TGTCCCAGTTCCTCGCGCACTCGCACTGTACATAGCAAGACCGTGAATCGAGTCTGTTCCTCTGCGAGCTTTCATTTAGCGTGCGAGAGAGATGACTCGAGAGTGTGCGCGCGAGATAGATGAGACCATGCGACTCGAGCCTGGAGCGTGTGAGGCGGTGGAGGTGAGCGCGACTCGCCGTCCTCCTCTCCCTGTCCCAGCCCCAGCCAGGACGCCCGCTACCGTCACCCATGTCCGCCATCGCCACCGTCACGTCGACCTCGTCCGGCGCCCAGGCGCCTCCGCCGCTGTGGAAGCCCGCGTCGGTCGCCCCTCGCACCCTCCCCGCCCTCCCGGCCCTCGACGACCTCCCCGTCTCGCAGACCCAGTGCGACAAGGCCCTGAACGCGCTCGTCAAGCACGTCGACAAGGTCCAGAAGAAGCGCGACGACGACGACCTCCTCGGAGAGCAGGACGAGAAGGTGTTTTTGGTCGTCGGCCTCAAGCAGGCCCCGAAGCGCGACGTCCACAAGCCCATCCGCATGTGCGTCTCTCGCTCTCTCTCTGTCTCGCTCGAGCGAGCGAGCGCGCGACCCGAGAGCGTTGTTGTCCTGACCCCACCCTCCTCCTCCTCGTGCAGCGCCGTCCCCCACCCGGTCCTCAACCCGCGCGTCCAGCCCGTCACCCTCTTCGTCAAGGACCCGCAGCGCGTGTACAAGAACCTCCTCGACGAGCTCAAGATTGGCTTCATCACGCGCGTCGTCGGCCTCGACAAGCTGCGCACCAAGCACAAGACGTTCGAGGCCAAGCGCCAGCTCCTCAAGGAGGGCGAGCTCTTCCTCGTCGACGACCGCGTCACGGTCGAGGTCGGCAAGTGCCTCGGCAAGATGTGGCGCGATGCCAAGAAGTGCGTCTCTTCTTGCCTCGTCGAGCGTGCTCCCTCTCGAATGGCCGACTGACCGGCCCCTCTTTCCCGCTCTCGCAGGCAGCCTATCCCTGTCGCGCTGCAGCGCAAGGACCTCAAGGCCGAGCTCGAGCGCGCCGTCGCGTCGACCTACCTCAACGTGACCACCGGCACCTCGCTGTGCGTCTCCCCCCTTTCCTCCTCTCGATGTGCCCCGGGCGCAGCGGGACTGACCCTGTCGCCTCGCACCACCCCGACACAGCTCGGTCAAGATCGGCTCGACCTCGCAGCACTCGGCGGCCGAGCTCGGCGCCAACCTGCGCGCCGTCCTGCCCTACATCGCGACGCGCATCCCGGCCGCGCCTTCGACGTTCGCAAACGTCCAGTCGCTCCACCTCAAGTCGTCGACGTCCGTCTCGCTCCCGATCTACAACGCGTCGCTCTCGACCCGGTTCGACGCCGTGCCCGAGACCGCCGAGGCGGCCGACGAGCGCAAGAAGGCCGAGGACAAGAAGGCCGACGAGAAGCGCAAGCGCGACGAGCGCGACGCCGCAAAGGAGAAGAGGAGGCTCGAGCGCGCCGTCACCAAGGAGGGCAAGGGGCGCGCCGAGAAGCGCGAGCGCGAGGAGGACGTCGAGGAGGAGGCGGCTGCTGCGGTCGCGGAGGAGGAGGCGGCGGCACCCGCCGCGGCGGCGGTCGTCGACGAGGCGCCCAAGCCCAAGGCCAAGAAGGCCAAGAAGGAGGCCAAGGCGGCTGCCGAGGCGCCCGCACCCGTCTCGCCGGCGGCCGCCGACAAGAAGGCGTCCAGGCCCAAAAAGGCGTCGTCGTCGAAGAAGGTCAAGGCATGAGGCGCCTCGTCCTCCTTCACCCTCTGTCGCTCGCCCTCCCGGTCCATCGCCTCGTCGTCACGCCCTCCCTCGTCTTGCGCGACCTGCCTGCTCGTCTCCTCGGTCGGTCGTCGTTCTGTTCCCCTCCCGCCTCGCGCCGGTCCTTGTACTTTCGCCCTCCCTCGCACGGTTCCCTCGTCCCTGTTGTGCAACACGTCTCTCTCGCCAGCATGAACCTTATCCCGTTCGAGTCGGTCTGTCAAGCACGAGAGAGTAGCGAGAGCGACGCGGCTTGAGAACAGGTGCAAGGAGCGAAGAGAGGGCGGGCCGGTCGTGCGAGCGGGCTCGAGCGAGGAGGTTCGCCCTCGCGCCTGCTGTCGTTCGCTCTGTTCGCTCGCATCGTATTCGCAGCCGCTCAGGCGAGGCGAGCGGTCTCGGACGTCGCAGCTCACCGAGGAGTCGACGCTCGAACCTCTGCTCGAGCTTCGCGAGGCCTTTTCCTCTCTTCCAGTCTCTGCGAGCTCTTCGGCGCGAGTCGATCTCGCAAGACGCTCGTAATGAAAGCTCGACGACCGTAGTTGCGAATTGCAGGGAATGACCGGCTCGATGCTCGTGTCAGCAAACACCTCGGGGGCGCGTTTCTACTCACAAGCGCGCCTTTTTGACCCGCCACGCCGACGCAGGGAGAGCTGTTTGCGAGGCAGGAGTGTCAGTGTCGCGCTCGAGCGGCTGAAGGAGAGGACGGGCGCGAAAGGGAGAGAGGAGAGAGAGAGAGAAAGAGACAAGGGAGGAGAGGAAGGGAAAAGGGGAAAGGGGAAAGAGCCGGCTTGGCTCGACGACGCACACTGCAGTTTCCTCGCGACGGGCCCGACAAATGTCCAGAGGAGCACTGCGCCAGCGACGATGCACACGGCGCTGACGGCATAGTACCCGTCGCGCTCGGTGACGCACTCGCCGCCGAGCTGGGCGCACGCCGCCTTGCCGTGGTCCGACACGCACTCGGCCGAGCGCACGACGAGGTCCATGTCGCCGCCCTCTGCCGACGACGAGGACGAGGACGAGGCGAAACCGTCTGGGTCGAGGGACGACGAGCGCACGTGGCAGACGGCGACCGAGAGGGCGTCGATGCCCTTGAGGACGAAAAACTTGGGCCAGGTGCCGCCCAGGTTCGACACCGTGTTGAGGAGCTGCTCGCCGTCGACGTCGTCGGGCGGGAGGGGGCATTTCCGGGAGCGAATCAGGGCGAGGAGGGTGTCGGGGTCGGGCAGAGGCGAGTCGAGGACGGCGAGGGTCCGTGCGTCGGCGAGAGGGTACGGACGAGGGAGACAGAGTGAGCCAAGTTGAGAAGAGAGGAGGAGGAAAAGGCGAGGGAGCGTCAGTACGAGGTCCGAGAGAGTGCGAGGGAGAAGAGAGAGAGAGAGAGAGCGGGGCGCACCGTCATGTAGGTCCCGCCGATGAGCGGGTCGGCAATCTGCGTGTGGGAACGCCGAGATGCCGACAAACTGGACCGTGCTGCGAGCGAGGGTGCCGTGTCGGCGCAGAGAGTGAGTACGTGGCTCACCGCTTCCACCACGACCAGGTCCGCCAACACGAGGCCGGCGAGGCCCCGACCGAGTCTCGAGAGAGAGAGAGAGAGAGAGAGCGCGCGCACGCACCTCGAGAAGCTGCTCCCGACCGTGCACAGGACGACGAGCGCAAAGTAGGCGTTGCCGATCTCGCCGCTCGGGAACTTGTGAATGAGGGCCATGCTGACTGCGGCCCACCCGAGGCGGGTCCACATGGCCACCATCCAGGGGCGCAAGGGCCGACTGCCCTTGGACCACTTGGCGGCGAGGTACCCAAACAGGATCTGGAACGGGAAGTCGATGAGGACGGCGAGCGCGAGGTCCTCCTTCCTGAGGCCCTTTTCGAGCAGCTTGAGCGACGTGGCCGCGTCCGAGGCGGCCGTGCCGAGCTTGGTGACGAGGTGGACGAGGATGAACCTTTGGACGTCTGCGCGCGCGGGCGCGATAGGGCCGAGCGCGAGTGAGGCGAGGGCGAGAGGCGGAAGCGGGTCATGCGAGGGAGGGATGGGCGGGTCGAGCGTCGAGGAGTGGCGGGCGCAAGAGAAAAGGCGGGGAGAGGACGAGATGTCAGTCTCGGTGATGCAGAGAGATGACGAGGAGGAAGAGAGGGCGCGGGACGCACGCTTGAGCTGGCAGATCTCGCGCATGATCGAGTACACCTTCTTGAGGTCCATGTCGTCCTCGTCCTCGGCCGTGACCGCGTCCTGTGCAAGCGGCGCATCCCCTTCAACTCTTGTCCTTCTCTTGCGCGAGGCGCAGGAAAGAGGGCGAGCTCGAGAGAGAGAGGGCGGGACGCACCTCGGGCTGGAAAAAGGCGAGGTAGGCCGTGACGACGATGAAGGCGACGGCCCAGAAGTGCAGGTAGCCTGACAGCGACACGAGCGGGTAGTCGAGGTCGGTCGAGCGGAAGTACTTGTTGCTGCGTGCGCGGGCCGATCCCAAAGTAAGCTCGAGGCCCGCAAGACAGGAGGCTTGCGAGACCGGGCGAGAAGGGGAACGCAGGGACGCACCTGAACTCGACCGAGTTGAACGCGAGGAAGACGGTGAACGACAGGAAGTAGCCCGTGTTGAGGCCGATCGTCTGGGCCGTCGAGGCGTACGACAGGTTCTCCTTCGAGAGGAGCGTCAAGGCCCAACCTGCGCGCCGAACAGGGTGGGTCAGTGCGGGCGTGGAGGGCGATAAGGGCGGGAGTGCGGCGCACCGTCGACGGCAATATCTGTGGAGCACGAGGGAGGCTCGTGTCAGTTGAAGGCCACGAGTGCGAGGGGAACGAGAGGAGGGAAGGACGGACCCTGAGTTGCGGCGAAGAAGACGAGGGTGAAAAAGAGTGCGGTCAAGACGTTGACGTTGGGCTCGTCCTGTGGCAAGGGGAGGAAGAGTGGGTCAGACGCAGGCGAGGAGAGAGACGAGGGAGAGAGAGAGAGAGAGCGGGACGCACGACCTCCATCATGACCTGGACGTTGCTGCCGAGCCACCAGAACATGAGGCCGACGACGGTCTGGATGGGCACGATCCAGCTCTTGCGGCGGCCGAGTTTGGGGCTGAAGATCGAGTCGACGACGGGCGACCACAGGAGCTTGAGCGAGTACGGGTAGGTGCACAGGGTGAAGATGCCGATCTGCGAGTACGACAGCTTTGCGCGCAGGAGGAACGGAATCGAGCCGAACGCGAGGCCGACGGGGATGCCCTGCAGGAGGTCTGCGTCGTCGTCGTCGAGGAGGGTCAGTGGTGGGTCTCGTCGCGGCGTGTGATCGAGAGGGTGGAAGGCGTGTACGGACAGAGTGCGACCAAGAGTGCGAGTGCGCGCTTGTCCCTGGTCGAGAGAGGTCCGCCCTCGAGTGGTGGCTCGTCGTCGGGGGTGGTGTTGCTGGCGGTGGCCGACGCGAGTGCGAGCTTGTTGGGAGCGACGAGCGGGATGCGGTCTGGTTCGTGTGTGGTGCCACCTTCAGCAAAGTCGAGGACGTCGTGGAGGTTCTTGTCGCGCGGGTGGGAGCGCTGGAGCATGGTCGAGTCGTGGACGAGGGCCGAGGACGACGCGGCGAGTGGGCGAGGTCGAGGGTGCTTCTCGGGCATGGCGCGGTGGCCCTCGAGTGGTCAAGCAAGGCGGTGCGGTGTGCGGGTCGAGCGAGAGCGATGAGGACGACGACGCGGCGAGGAGGGAGCTCGATCGAGGACGAGCACCGCCTCGTCCGGCTCTGTGCCTCCTCGACACGCCGCCATGCTCGACGCGGCGCTGCACAACCGCCTGCAGGCTGCGGCCACTTCGTCAGGGCATGCGCCCCTCGTCGTCCTGAGTGACTCGCTCCTCCAGCCCTCGCTCGCCGCCCTGCGCACCTTTGTCCACTCGGCACTCGTCGCCCCGCCGCAGAGCAGCGTCGTGCTCGTGTGCGCAGAGCAGCAGCCGCACCGCTTGCTGCCGCCCAGGCCCACCTACGACCCGCAGCGACTGCGCGTCGTCGACGGCTCGCTCGCCGCCCCGTTCGCCTCGACCTCGACCGCGACCTCGCCCTCGACACTCGCACCGTGCGCGAGCTACGAATCGGTCGACCTGTCGGCCACATCCGGCACCGCCGACCTCGTCGCCGCAGCAACGGGCGCCATCGCCGCCGCCGCCGCACCACCCGCCGCCGCCGACGACCATGCACCGCTCCTCGTCGTGCTCGACTCGGCCAACGCGCTCGCCGACGAGCTCGAGGGCGGCGTCAGCGACGCGCTGAGGGTCGTCAAGGCGTGCTTGGGCGCGCTCAAGGGCAGGAAAGGTGCGTCTCGCGCGCTCTCTCGGTCGAGGACCATGCGGCCTGTCGCTCGTAGCGCATGGGCTCGCCAGCCGCTGAAGCTCGACTACGACAGCGAGACACTGACGACGCACTCTCACACAGGCGCACGCCTGGTCGTCGTCCACCACGACGACCTTCCGCCCTGCCCCACCTCGTCCTCGTCCGCCTTGCCGTCCGCCCTCGTTCCCTCCCTCCTCACCTCGCTACTCGCGCCCACCCTCTCCCCCTCGACCCTGCACCTCTCGCTCCGCCCCTCGTCCCACCTCGAAACCCTCGCGACGCACTACGCGCTCCCGCTCCCCGTCGCCCCACCCTCCTCCTCGAACCCGAGCCCGGACCCGCGCGCCCACGGCATGCTGCGCGCCCTCGCCGCACGTGCAGTCGGCGACCCGTTTGTGCGCCCACGCGGCGCAGAGGAGGAGGACGAGCGCGTCGAGCTCGGCAGGGCGCGGTGCGTCGTCGAGTGGAGCGCGAGGGGGCTCCAGGGCGGCGAGGTGTGCCCGGGGGCCGGGGCCGGGGCCGGGGCAGGCGCGACAGAGGGCAAGGGGAAGGCGAGTGCGGCGGCGGTGGCGCAGGCGAGGGAGCGCGCGAGGGAGAGGGACAGGATCGCAAAGGGCGAGGTGCCGCGCGTCGTCAGGTGGGGCATGTGCGGCGCGGCGCTCGGTGCCGGCGGCGAGGCGGGCGCGACTGTGCGAGAGGTCGGCGTGTGGGAGGTCGTTGATGCGGCGGCGGGGCGGGCACAGGTGCGTCCTCACTCCCCGTCTTTCGTCCAGCTCGAGCCCGCTTTGACCTCTTCCGCCTCTGCCCGCAGCGCTCTCCCCTCGGCTCTCCCTCGCCTTCCGCCCCGCCGCTGCTTCGGCATCCTCCCCCCCACCGCTTCCCCAGGACCGCCCCCCGTCCACCCATCCGCCGCACCCGCCGCGTCCGCCTCGCCCCTCACCTTCTCCCCCTCGGACACGCTCACGCCCGTCCAGCTCGCCGCGCGCGCCGCCGTCCCCAACCCGTTCGCGCATGCCAACCTGCCCATCTACGGCCAGGAGGGTTACGTCGTGCCCGTGCTGCCCGGCGCGCTGCGTGACGGAGGAGGAGGAGGAGGAACGGTGGGAGGCGGAGGAGGGATCGAGTACACGCCCGATAGGGGGGATGATTGGGACGAGGAGGACCCGGATGGGGACGTCGAGCTGTAGCGAGACGAGGACATGGCTGCAGCGAGAGGTGCGCCTCGGCCTTTGTGTGCGGCGGCGGCGTCGTCGTGTGAGAGCGACAGATCTAGCGAGAGTTCGCCCTCTCGGCACCGTTCAGCTCTCCCAGTTTGAGGCGGCTCTCTTGTCAGAGCGTTGCGGGCTGTCTGAGAGAGGTGCTCGGCATGCGCTCGCCGTCGAGGGTACGGCTCGACGAGCGTGCAAGGGCGGCGACGACAGCGTGCAGGGCTCGAGCGTTGGGACGAGGCGGACGAGCTGCACGTTCCTTGACCAGGTGGCGCTGCTCACAGATGCTGTAGAGCTGTGCGAGGTCTCGAGACCGGCCGCACAAGGGAGAGAGAGAGGCAAGGTGGCCAACGCAGCATGAGGAGGAGGCCCGACCGCGTCGAGAAGGGCGCAGGCGGCCATCGCGCCGCAGCTCTCGCACCCTGAGCTGTTACTCTCTTTGACTCTTTCGCTCTCCGTGAAGCTCGTGTCGAGCGTGGTCGCAGCGTTGCGCAGGCCGCTGACCCGGACGACGAGGATCGAGGAAATCGAGCGCGTTGCACAGCGACGGCACTGCGAGGGCTCGTGCGGCCAAGCTAGATCTGGCAGTCTTGAGGCGACGAAGAAGGTATACACGAGAGGAATAGAGAGGGACGCGAGGAGGGAACAAGTACTCGGAGGGCGTGGGCGAGAACGAGAGAGAGAGACAGGGAGGTTGGGAAAAAGGGAGGTCGGCAGGCTCGAGGCACAGCTCGTCGTGAGGAAGGTCGTAAAAGGTCGTTGTCGTGTCGTGCGAGTGCGTGATGCGTGTTATCGGGCGTCCAGGCGGCCGAGGAGGGGACTTGAGAAGGTCGGTCGAGGCGCTCAGGCCCTCGCAGGGCCGACGAGGACGGCGCGCATGATCTGCGAGGGGGTGTAGCGAACGTCAGTCGCCTTCCGGATCGCCATTGCCTCGGCGTCGGACGAGCCGACGCCGCGGCGAGTACGACGAGGCGAGTACGACGAGGCGAGAGCTGACGAACGCACCTGGTCCTGGTCCATCCCGCTCGGGTCCACCTCCCTCGTCCGCCCGTCCCAGTACCGCACCTCGACGCTCGCCGGGCTCCCGCAGCTCGTGCTCACGCTCGGCCATGGCCCCCTCGACCTCGCCGCCGGCTCGCCCTCGCCCGCCGAAACCTCGTCCCGCTGGTCGACCGCCGCGCCGAGCGCTCGAGGGTCCCACGATCGGGCCCCGCCGACCTCGAGGCCGGCGAGGCCGAGCACCCACGCGTTGAGCTGCTCGTCCTCGGGCGCACCGGGGCGGAACCGCACGCTGAGCGCTCGGACCGAGGCCCATGGCGCGAGGACGGGCGCTCCGACCGGCGGCGTGAACGGCGACGAGGCCGAGAGGTGCAGCACCGACGTCAGGGCGCGGTACGAGTCCGTCGCGAGTGCGCGCAGGTCGATCGTCGAGCCGCTGCGCGGCGTCGGGCTCACGCTCGTGCTCGAGGACGATGGCGAGGGCGTCGATGCGGCGCTTCTGCGCTCGTCGCCCGGGCTGCCGTCGGTCGCCGACGACGCGACGTGCCGGTCGCGGTCGCGGTCGAGGACGTGCGACAGCGACGCGAGCGAGCCGTAGCTCCTCGAGGGCGAGAACGCGCTGCTCGGCGGCGAGGGGTGCGAGCGCGATGGCTGGTGCGGGAGCGGCTTGGCGGCAGGTCGCGAAACGGCCGGCCGAGGACAGGTGTCGACGAGGGTAGGCGAGGTGAGGAGGGAGTCGTCGGTCTTGCGGCCTGTCTGTGCACGGCAAGGGCAGGGCGAGTCAGGATCGGGGGAGGAGAGGACGAGGAAGGGCGACTCGTGGACGGACCTCGACGAGAGGTGTGCTCCTGCGGACGGGCAAGGGACGCGCCTCGACATGGTCAGTACGCCGTCCAGAACCAGGTCCGAGTCTGAGAGAGGGCAGGATGGGACGCACAGAGCTGCTGCGCCTCGAGCCGGCGCGAGAAGGGAGGTCGAGATCCACCGGCCTCGGGTGGGCGCCGTGCCGCATTTGCTCGAGCCGTCGCGTGCGCATACTGCTGTGGGCGTGAAGGAGAGTCACCCGGTGCGGCCCTGTCGCGTCCGAGAGGCTGCTTTGTCCGTCTGCGCGTGCCGCTCCTCCGCCGCTGCCCCACTCGCACCGCCTCGCCCACACACCGCATCGAGGGGCACCCAGCTCGCACACAGGGAGAGATAGAGGACGACAGGACGGACCAGAAACCGAAGCGAGGCCTCTAGGCCCCTCCTGGTCGCGCGCGAGTGCGGGACATCGTCATCGCCCACCGCGTCGTGCGAGTCGGCGAGGGCTCGAGGGGCCGTGGGGCTGCGCGTAGAGGGTGCAGAAGAGTAGGGAGAGGACAGGGAGCCACTCAGCGCACGGGCTCGCGATGGTGGAGTGATGCGGACGAGGGAGAGCTGGCGAGCCTCGAGGCGCTCGCCTCGGTCGAGCGGCCCAAGTCGTGGCGAGAGAGAGAGACGCAGCGGTGCGGGTTCAAGCGGCTCTCGAATCCTGCACGAGCCTCTCTGCTTTCGAGCTACTCGGTGCGAGAAACCGGCTTCTCGTTGCTCGAGCGCTCAATCCTCGTCGGAAGCCAAAAGACACGTCACGCTCGAGTCGGCCGCGACCACGCCGTCTACTTGCCGCCATGCTTGCTCGCGCGGTGCCTCTTGAGGTGGTGGGAGAGGGTGAACGACTGTAGGGCGAGCGAATAGCGTCAGTCGAGAGGCGCAGGGAGGGGCGACGATGACGAGGAACGAGCGCGACGCACCTGGCCGCACTCGCCGCAAGCGTGGGGCTTCTCGCCCGTGTGGCTGAGTTGGTGCTTGTTGCGGGTGGACGCCTGGGCGAACGACTGCAGGGCGAGCGAAAAGCGTCAGTCGAGAGCCGCAGAGAGAGAGGACGACGACGAGGAGGAACGAGTGGGGCGCACCTGGTCGCACGTCGAGCACTTGTACGGCCGCTCGCCCGTGTGGGTGCGCTCATGGCTGGTGCGGGTGGTCGACCGGACGAACGACTGTGGGGCGAGCGAGGAGCGTCAGTCGAGAGGCGCAGAGAGGAAGGAGGACAAGGAGGAGCGAGCCGGGCGCACCTCGTTGCAGCCGGCGAACGTGCACTTGAACGGCCGCTCGCCCGTGTGGATGCGCTCGTGGGCCTTGAAGTCGGACGACCGGGCGAAAGACTGCAGTGCGAGCGAGGAGCGTCAGTCGAGAGGCGCAGAGAGGAAGGAGGACGAGGAGGAGCAAGCCGGGCGCACCTCGTTGCAGCCGGCGAAGGTGCACACGAACGGCTTGTCGCCCGTGTGCACCCGCATGTGCTTCTTGAGCTCGGACGAGGAGCCGCACGTCTGCAGGGCGAGCAAGGAGCGTCAGTCGAGAGGCGCAGAGAGAGAGAAGGACGACGAGGAGGAGGAGCGAGCCGAGCGCACCTGGTCGCACTCGCCGCACTTGAACGGCTCCTTGCCCGTGTGCACCCGCATGTGCTTCTTGAGGTCGGACGAGGAGCTGCACGTCTGCAGGGCGAGCAAGGAGCGTCAATCGAGAGGCGCAGAGAGAGAGGAGGAGGACGAGGAGGAGGAGCGAGTCGAGCGCACCTTGTCGCACTCGCCGCACTCGAACGGCCGCTCGCCCGTGTGCACCCGCATGTGCTTCTTCAGGTCGGACGAGGAGGCGCACGTCTGCAGGGCGAGCAAGGAGCGTCAGTCGAGAGGCGCAGAGAGAGAGGAGGAGGACGAGGAGGAGGAGCGAGCCGAGCGCACCTTGTCGCACTCGCCGCACGTGAAGAACCCGCTCGCCTTGATGCGCCGACGGCGCTCGGCGGCCTTCTCGCGCTTGTGCTGGCGGTTCTCCTCGTAGCCGGCCGGGTTGCGCTGCTGCCACTTGGCGTCGGCGCTTTTGCGGGCGAGGATGACCTTCTGCGACACGAGAAGGGCCCGAAGTCAGTGTGATGCACAGCTCATTGAGAGGCGGGAGCGCAGGAGGGGAGAAGCAGCTCACGTCGGCGTCGTCGAGGCGCGCCTGCTCCTCCTCGGAGCGCTCGTCCTCCTTCTTGCTGCGGATCTCTGCGGGTGCGGGCGAGGGGCATCAGTGTTGGGCTCTTGAAGAGCTCGAGACGAGGAAGTTGAAGAGGCGGAAGCGAGGGCAAGGGCGGCGAGAAAGTGAGGACCGCGAGAGGGCCAAGAGGCCTGAGCGCTCGCGCTCGAGGAGAGCGCCAGGGTCGAACGGGCGGAAGGGGAGGGAGGGGGAGGAGGACGAGAGAGCGAGAGAGGGGACGCACCGCCGAGCTCGGCTCGGCCCGTCGCGGCGCGAGCCGAGAGCACCTGCTTTGCGAGCTGGATGGGCGAGTTGAGCAGGTCGGGTGCGACGAGGCGGCGGATCACCGTGTCGGTGCCGACCATCTGGCGCATCTCCTCGGCGTGGTTCTTCGAGTAGCGCTCGAAGTAGTAGACGCCGCTCGGCGAGAACTGGAGCATCTCGCGCGGCGAGAGCTGGCGGCCGACCTTTTCCTCGTACGCCGCGAGCGCCTGGATCTTCGCGGCAATCTCGGCGCGCTGCGGCACCTCGGGCCCGCCGTCGCTCCAGTACGTCGCGACGTACCAGTCGAGCCGAGGAGGGCGCTCGAGGGCGGCGGGCGCGAGCGCGAAGATGCACGAGAGCGACGCGTCGGCGCGCCGCGCCATCTCGTACGAGGCGCCGCCGTGACCGCTGAACGCGGCGGGCTGCGCCATGAAGATGACGATGGTGCCCTCGCCGAGCTTCTGCGAGGCGAGGCGCGCGTACGCCGCCTTGACCTCGACGGGCCTGCGGTCGACGACAAACAGGAGGTTGAGGGGCTCGAGCACGACGTGCTCGTTGCTGCGGAGCTTGTCGGCGGCCTCGACGCCCGAGATGACGATGATGGTCGACTCGGTGAAGGCGGGGGCGAGCTGGAGGGCCTGGCGGCGCTTGAGGAGCTCGTCGCCGGCCTCGCCGTAGTAGGTCGCGAGCGGGTCGGACCCGCTCGCCGACTTGGGGAAGACGACGGGCGAGTAGTTCTGGAGGCCAGTCTGCGTGCGAGGGACGAGGGACGGAGGAGATGCGAGGGGAGAGAGGAGCGCAGAGGAGGGAGAGGTGCGAGAGGGAAGGTGGTGGGGAGAGCGAGGAGCGATGGGCGAGCGAGGCGGAAGGGGCAACGAGTCAGTGTCGTGCGCTGCGGCTACATGAGCTCGAGAGAAGGAGAGAGAGAGTCGAAGGTGGACGGGAGGGGCAAGCGGGAAACCTTGGGCGAGGTCCGAGCGTCGAGGCGAGGAAGGGGAGGATCGTCGAGAAGGGGAGGAAGGGGGACGCACCTCCTTCTGGAGGACGCCCGTCGCCTTCCAGATGCGCTCGCTCGACAGGTCTTGCTCGAGAGCGGGCGGAACTCGGCCGTCCAGGATCGCGTCGCTCGGGCACCAGTTGCTCGCGAGGTCGAGGTGGACCTTGGCGCTCGTTGTCGGCGACCTGCAGGTAGCCGAAGCTCAGAGTCAGTAGCTGTACGGGTCGGCGACAGGCTTGGAAAGCCGAAGCTGCGTCGGCGCGGACGGAGAAGAGGCTCGAGCGGACTCACTCCTTGATGTGCTGGCCGAGCGAGTCGAACAGCGACGGCTCCTCGCGACGCAGGCGCTTGCGCTCGTCGACGTTGACGTTGGCCTCGAGCTTGGCCTCGACCTCGGCGAGCTCGGCCTTGAGCTCGTTGATGAGCTTCTCGCGCTCCTCGGGGTCGAGCTCGCCCGAGCCCGTGCGGATGCGCTCGACGAACGCGTGCGCCTCGCGCTCGCCGTTCTCGAGCTGGCCCTCGACGAAGACGCGCGTGATGTCGCAAGTGATGGTGTGTTGGATTTCAGCGGCGGTAAGGAGAGGGAGCGACGACGACGACGACTGCTGGCGAAAAACGGGCGTCAGGATGCTGCTCGACGTGCAGACGCAGGAGGCAGAGAGCGACACGGGAGAAATGTGAAGACGCACCTGCTTCTCGCTCACGCCGAGCCACGCCTGGTCGTCCTCGTCCTGCTCGCCCTCGTCCTCGTCCAGCTCGTCCAGCTCGTCCGGCTCGTCCTTCTCGACCGCCTTGCCCTTGCCCTTGCCGCCCGCCTCGCCCTTCTTCTTCGGCTCCTCCTCGCGCGACGCCCCGCCGCCCGACCCGCCGCCGCCGCCCTTCTTGCGCGAGCGCGCCTTCTTCGCCGGCGGCGCCTCGCGCTCGACGTCGCTCGTCGCGCCGAGGTTGGCCGACGTCGACGCGACCCCGCCGACGCCGTTCTCGAGGTCGGCGTACGAGACGCCGACCGCGCGACCTGCGCGCGTGCGCTTGGGGCGCGAGGAGGTGGGCTCGGGCGAGGCCATGGTCGGCGACGAGGAGGAGGAGGTGGGGGAGCGGGCGACGGCGAGGACGGTGTCGGCGGAGGAGCTGGTCGGCGGGTCGTGCTGTACGCTGAATAGGACTCAGAACAAGTCCAGCAGTAGATGTCGAGGGAGACGAGGGCGCACCTTGGACCGACACCGCCTCGCTCGACTCGCTCGTCCGCCTCCTCCTCTCACTCCTCCTCCTCCGCCCTCGCTCCGAGTACGACTCGGCTCGCGATCGCCCTCGCTCCGGCTGCTGCGTCCGTGCTGCGCCCGCACCACCCCGCATCGCCCTCACCGCTCGCCGAGCCCCTCGCGGTCGCTCAAACCGCGCCCTTCTCGCCCTCGCTCGACCTCCTCGGACCGCCCGCCCGTCCTGCGCGACACGTCCCACGTACCCACCACCTCCCTCTACACCCGCTCCGACCGTCACTCGACTGCCGCCGCGCCCTCAACAGGCCGACTCGCCCGGCGACCGCCTCGTCGCCGACGAGGCCGCGGCGCCGCACCGCAGCCCGAGGCGCTCGGCGGCTCGGTGCACGGGCTCGTGCACATCGTCCGATGGCGCTGAGCTGGTCGCGAGGCCGCTGCACGTTGTTTGCGCGTCGACGATGCGGCGACAACAACGAGATTGGCAAGGTCGAGGTTGGCGAGGACGACTCGGGCGAGGCTGGCGGTTGCGGGGCAGAGTTGTAGAGAGGTGCAGAGGACGTCGGTGCAGCGCAAAGGTTTCTCTAGCGGCGTGTCGTGGCTGAGAGGGCTGCTCGAGAGTGTCGCTGTTGACGACGGCGACCCGGCGGCTGAGCCAGCCTGGGTCGTCTAGCGGTGCGTCGAGGCGACGAGTGGAGCATGATGGGCTCTCTCCAAGTACTCTCGCGCTTGTCGAGAGTGCGAGCCGAGCTGTCGAGGTCTCGAAAATCGTCGCCATGATCACTCGCCAGAAGTGGGGCAAACCGGCGTGCCTCGCGGCCACTTGCGCTCTCTGCCTTGTGCACTCGCCCTTGCACAGCCAGCTTGTGCACTGTGGCCTCGCCGGGCTCGAGCTCCTGTGCCCGCCGCGCCGCCTGCTCGACCCACGCCCTCGCCTCCCTCCGCCTCATCACCTCGACCGCCAGCTCGACCTCGACACAGCTACCGCCGCTGCCAGCGACACCTCGCCCTTTCACTCACTCTCGACACGACGTCACGCCTGGTCCGCCGCACCTCGACACCCGCCCACCGTCGAACTCTGCTCCCCCGCCTCCTCGTCCTCGTCCCGCCGCCGCCCCAGCTCGCCCTCGCCTCGCCTCAGTCCTTTCCGCAGCGTCGTCCAGCAGGTGCAATACAGATTCAGCGCGGCGCATTTCTCGGCTCTCATCGGCAAGGGAGGAGGCGAGGACGCTGCAGAGCCGGGACGGCGAGCGAGGCGCAAGTGAGCGACCTGGCGCATCTTGTGCGCATGCGTCGCTGCCGGTCTCGAGAGATGGAGAGCGACAGCTTGACGAGAGCTTTCAGCGAGGCTTTGCGTGAGCGGGCGCAGTGAGCGAGAGCGGCGAGGACCACCACCAGCTTCCCTCGCTCTCTCGAGTCGGCGCAACTCGCTGGGCAGACGCGTAATTGCTTGCATTGCATCGACTGGCTCCATGCGTACTCCTCCACAGAGTGACGAGACTCTCTTGTGAAGACAAAGGTCAGCTCTCCGCCGGCGAGCGATGGAGGAGGAGGGGGAGGAGGGGGAGGAAGGGGGAGGCAGGCTCTTGCCGAGCGGAGGCAGGGCCGTGTCGCTGCGAGAGTTGAGGTCGACTGGTCGCTGTGGAGCTGGTGGAAGCCCGAGATGAGGTCGTCGACGCGAGGTGACGAGGAGGCGAGGTGCGCAGGAGGGGCTGGAGGAGCGGCGGCGAGCTGAGGGGGCGCTGTGGCGACAGCGCAGTGCGCAGAGGTCGGTGCTGTAGAGCGCAGCGCACAAGGCAGAGCGCACAAAGGTCAAGGCACAAGGCGTTTGAAGCTTGCCGGTTTGGCGCGCCGCACCCACCTCAGACGACGGCGGGGCAAACTTGCGCGCTCGTCTCTCTCTGTCGCCCCCCTCACCTTCGCGTCTCCTGCACGCGCACTTGCCGCGCCTCTGCCCGCAAATGACCTCGGCTCTCCTCAACATGGTCCCCAAGCGCGAGTACAACCTCCGCCCTCGCCTCAACCGCCTCCCCCGGTGCGTCCCCTCTCTCTTCCTGTGCGGCGAGACGCGCAGCACCGCGCCGAACCTTGGGAGCACCTCGCACGGAGTCGTCTCACCCGCCGTGGGCACTGTGACGAGCCATCCCCTCGGCGAGGTCGTGCTCGCGCGTCTCGCACGCCTCCTCCCCGCGACCTTGTTTGGCTCACCTATCTTCCACGCCGGCGTCATGCAGCGATCCCTCGTCCCTCGACTACCCTCGTGCGCACCAGCCCGACGCTCTCCAACCTCGCCACCTGCGCCCTCGACCGCCTACGCCTCGACCCGCATCGCGAGCAAGATGGCCTTGGCCGGCGCGACGAGCTCCTCCACCTCGCCAGCGTCGCGCCGGCACCCGCACCTGAACTCGCACCGGCCCCGACCCTCTTCGACAAGTACCTCGTCCACCCTATCGCCGCCGACCCGCTCGTACACTTCCCCGTTTCCCCCCTCCCTCCCTCGCACTCCCTGCCGAGCCGCCCTCCCCGCAGCGGCCCTCTCGACGCCGGCGTTCGCGACGACACTTACTTACTCGCCCCCTCGTCACGCAGTACCCGCTCGCTTCAGCTCGTCTCGCACGACGGCTACCTCTTGGCCTACCGCTCGTGGGGCCCGCCGCCGGCCACGAGCGAGGCGTTCAACCGCTTCGTCGCTCGCTGGAACGAGGCCGAGCGCATGACCAAGCTGTCGAGCGGGCCAGGAGACCGAGGAGGGCACCGCCAGACTCTCGTCGGCTCGACGCGAGGCTACGAGAAAGCGCGTCTCTCTCGCCCGCGTTTCTCTCTGCGCCGCCTCGACTCACACACTCTCTCCCGCTCCGCAGGAGCTCCACCTCACGGTGACGCACAAGCTGGCACCCGCACTCGCCGAGGCCCTCGTGAACAGCCCGGCCCTCGACATCCTCAGGTGCGTCCAAACCCTCCTCGATGCTCCCTCTCTTCCTCGAGGGCACGGTCGAGGAAAATCAGGCGATGGGTGGCCCGCCGTGCACGGTGTCGAGCAGGTGGACGGTGATCAAGGAGGTGTCGATACTGCAGGAGGGGTGCGAGGGGAGAGCGTCGAGTACGGGTGCAAGGAGGGAGGCGCGACATCAGCGGGAGGTGAGGGAGCGAGAGCTGATGTAGATTTTGGGGCTTTGCAACTGCGTGTTCATGGGCACTCGAGCGAAAGATCTGGAGCCGCGAGCGGCACAGCACGAGCAGGCGAGCGTGGTGAACTTTGACATGCGCGTGGACGGAACGTCAACTCTCCCTCCTGCTCGTGACCTGCGTCGGGCTTGACGCTGAGTTATCGTCGTACGTGAAGCCTTGTGAGTGGCTCACAGCTGCACGCGAGCCAGCTAGAGAGCCTCGCGACGAGCCTCATCTTCATCATCTCGAGACGCCGTCCACGATCACGCTCGCGGCTGTCTCTCGGGGGCCGCGCGGGCAGGTCTGGCGGCTACAGAAAAGTGCTCTGGAGCCACGTGTGCAAGCTCAATGATTGCAGAAGCGAGTTTGATGCGCAGGACCGTCCGAGAGCGAGAGCGCGCAGAGCATCTTGTGCAGGGCGCGGAACCTGTCATTGCAGCGCAGGAATGCGGGAGGTACGAGGACTTGTACAAGGTGTTGAGCGTGCACTCGAGCGAGTGATTCCCTTTCTCTGTGCCGGAGCGAGAGCGAGTCGAGGGCGAGGAAGGGGAAGAGGGAAAAGGGCCAGGACGCACCCGGAGCGTCAAGGGGATGTACTCGCTGCGTCCAGCGCTCCAGGGCAGTACAGGTCGGTCCTTGTGCGACAGGTGGGGCCGATACGTCCGACGAGAAAGGCGGAAGGACGTCAAGAGGCGAGCTGCGGTTGAGGAGGACACGTCGAGTCGAGAAAGGGCGAGCTCGACGGGCGCGAAACGAGGTCGAGGTCGCTCAAGCTAACGCGAGGGGCCGAGTCGTAGTCGAGCAGTCGAGGCGCAACGTTGGTCGAGACACGTCGGCTCGTCGGCAGCACGACTGGCGAGCCGGCGGGTCGAGATGCGGGTGCGAGGAAGCCAAGTTGGCGAACCCGGCCGAGCGGCGAGACCGGCGCTCGGTGACAGCGTGCGAGGAGGGGGATCGAGGCGCAACGAGCCTGCAGGACGAGCGGCAACGAGTCAGGCGAGCTCGCTCGAGGGATGGGGGACGAGAGAAGATCAGGACGCACGAGACGAGGTCATTCCGGACCGCCGCCCGCCCCTCGTTGCCCGCCACCTCTCCTCCACACACCTCGGTCCGCTGCCACACTCTCCCCGCAGAGAGCGGGCCCTCGGGCCACGGCAGCCCGTCCCTGCCCGTGGCTGCGACAGGGACCGGCCGACGAGAGCTCGTCGAGGGGGAGCAGTCGGTCGGCGCCAGGGGGCACGGCCAGTCGCACCCCTCGGCCGAGCCCGTCGGTGCGGTATGACGAGCACACGAAGCAGATGTGCGACTGCAAGTGGCCGCGAGCAGCTTGCTCGGGAGCAGAGGCCGGCGTGCGCGAGCTGTCGAGGCCGGGTCGAGGTCGAAGGCGGCGCCGAGTGATCCAGCACCTGGCGAGTCGGTCCTTGTGCGACAGGTGGGGCCGATACGACCGACGAGAAAGGCGGAAGGGCGTCAAGAGACGAGCCGAGGTCGAGGAGGACAAGTCGAGTCGAGGAACGGCGAGGCCGACGGGCGCGAACCAAGGTCGAGGTCGCTCGAGCTGACGCGATGGGTCGACTCGGGGCCGAGCAGTTGGGCGGGGCATTGGTCGAGACACGTCGGCTCGTCGGCAGCACGACTGGCGAGCCGGCGGGTCGAGATGCGGGTACGAGGAGGCCAAGCTGCTGAACCCGGCGAGCAGCGACAGCGTGCCAGGAGGGCGATCGAGGTAGAACGAGCCTGCAGGACGAGCGGCAACGAGTCAGGAGAGCTCGCTCGACGCATGGGGGACGAGGAGAAAGCAGGATCCAGGAGGAGGGGAGGAGAGTGGAGCGAGGCGGTGCACCTCGCCCTCGTCCTCTCACCCCACCAGCGACCTCCATGACCAGGTCGACTTTGGCTACCTCCACAGCCAGCTCCAGGCAGACGCAGACCTCAGGGAGCGCGTCCGCGACGCCGTACGCGACGTCGAGCAGGCTCAGCGCTCTTCCCTCGCCGTCCTCTCGCGCGTCCACTCGCACACCCAGGACCAACGTGCGCACCCTACCTCTCTCTGGCACTCCCTCGACGAGCTCACCGACTCCCACCCGCAGTCCCCGCCCTCCTCGCCTCGCTCGACCCGACCCTCACCCCGGTCCGCACCGCCCTCGCCAGCCTCGCCGCCCTGATCCCGCCCGGCCAGTTCTACCGCTACAACGACTCGTTCACTCGCGCCATCCAGCAGGCGTCCTACATCGTCGTCCTGCGGACCTTTCTCGAGACCCTCGACGTCCCGACAAAGCCTCAGGTCGCCCACCAGCTCGGCAGTGCGTCCACCGTCTCTCCCTGTGTGTGTGTCCCACGCACATCACTGACTCTTTTGTCACGACACGTGCCCGCAGTCGAGGAGGCGTGGCAGGACCACTTCTTTCTCTCGACCGAGGAGTACCTCCACAGCCTCATCTCGCTCGTCAACGAGCTCGTGCGTCCTCCTCTCCCTCCTCTTTACCCTTCCCGGTATTAAACGGTCCCTGTCGACGTTCGCAGAGCCGTCTCGCCGTGAACCGCGTCACGCTCGGCGACTACGAGGCCCCGGTCCAGTACTCGCGGTCCGTTCCTCTCTCTCTCGCACTGTCCTTTGCGCACCCGGCTCACTCTCCTCCCCGTCCCGCAGCTTCGCCAAGGAGCTCTCGTGCGTCCCCCTTCGCCCTTTCGCCCCCTCCTGAGCGCCCTGACCCTCGGACCCACCCGCTCGCAGCAACGCGTTCGGCCTGCTCAACCTCAAGAACGACTCGCTCCGCAAGCGCTTCGACAGCATCAAGTACGACGTCAAGCGGCTAGAGGAGGGTGCGTCGCGCTTGTCCCTCTTTCCCTCTCTGTGCCTCTCAGGTTACTGACTCGCCTCGCCTCGCCTCGCCTCGTCTCGCGCCCACAGTCGTTTACGACCTCTCCCTCCGCGGCCTCCTCCCCAGCGCCTCCTCCTCCTCCTCCACCTCGAGCACCAGCATCAGCACCGCCACACGACCCGCCGCCGCCGCCGTCGCCGCCGACGGTGCGAGGCCGGCCAAGAAGCAGAAGACGGACGCGGGCGAGGCGGGCATGGCCGTCGAGCCTTGAAGAGGGCGCGCGGCAGGAGGGGTTGGGGGCAGTGAGGAGCACTTGCAACTCTGCAGCCGTTCACCAATGCGCTGCGGCTCGTGAGAGGGAGGCCGAGAGTGGGTGTCGCGCTCGCTCGAGAGCCTCGCAGCTTGTCCTTCTCCTGCCCTCGCCGTCTCTGCTTCTTCTTCTTCTTCTCCTTCTCCCAGCCTTGGCCCGACTCTCGAGCTCGTTCCGGGCTCCTTCTTATTCTCAGGGACGAGAGAAGCGCCGAACCCCCTGTCGCGCGAGAATTGAAAGCGCGCGCCAAAGGGGCAGAGACACGCGAGCTTCTCGTCCGGCGTGTTCCTGGGCCAGCGCTCGAGGCTCGAGCCAGCACTGCGCTTTCGACGTGCTCGAGTGGGCCGGGCCGAGCGGGAAAGAGGCTCGACAAAGCTTCGCTGCGAAGGGAGAGGGGAGAATGACGGGCGAGGGGGAGGATCAAGCGGCGAAGCGAGAGGGACCGAGCGAGCGGCGACCGGTGCTGGACGTCTGCGTGCAGGTGGCACGCAGCCGTCGCGAGAGTCGAGAGAGGAGCAGAGACGACGAGCGAGGTCGAGAGCTGTGAAAGCGAGCTGAAGAGGGACGACTGTCGGACGGGCGAGCGACGGGGCAACTCGCTCGTGCGCCTCCTCGTCGACCATGGCGGGTCGAGCACGAAGCTAGGTACGCGCTGAGAGCGAGAGAGAAGCCGCAGGGGCGCAGGAAGAGGCTCCAGCGGCGGCAAGCGACTTGAGAAGGTCAACCCTCTCGCGCGCTCAGGCCCCCTCTCTCGCCGGCGTCCCTCTCGCTTTCGGTGCACGCAGCTCGCCGTATCGACGCTCGGCGCTGTGAAGCTCGTGACAGCCGTCGCCTGACGTGACGTGCGGTGCCAGCTCGAGCTCTCCATCGATGTTCTGAGCTCTCCCTCCGTCGCACGGTCACCGACTCGGGCGCCTCGCCCGCCTCGCAGATCGAACGGTAGCGCGTGTGCGCGATCGTGCGCGCTCTGCTCTCGAGCCCGAGACACAGGCGACTCGGCTGCTCGGCTGGCGAGGGAAGAAGGAGACACCGGCGACGAGGTGGGCAGCGGAGGAGCGGTTGCCGCGGCCGACAGCGCTGTGCCTCGAGCGTTTCATCATGCGCTCAGCAGGGACGCTCTCCCTGTCTCTCTCGAGAAAGCCGAGGAGAGGCCTGAGAGACGACGACGACGCGCAGTTTTCGCGCCGCGAGGACGCACGCAGATCCGCCCCCACCCACCACCGACCAACGTCGATTGCTCCCTCGCATCTCGCGCGCGGCGTCCGGAACGGCCCTGAGCCGGCAGCGCCGGGTTCCGTCGACAAGCGGCTCAGGGCCGCGAAAGTGGTCGGTCGGTCGGTGCGCGAGGTTGAGCGTGATGCCCACAGAATTGAACTTGCGTCTCGCCTCGTCCAGCTTGCTTGCTCGTCGAGGGTTGATGAAGGGACCGACACGACGTCGACGAGCCAAGCACGCCGGTGCAGCCGCACCTGATGCGGTCGACGTCGTCACAGATCGCGACGGTCTGCGGCGAGGAGCGGGGCGAGAGAGAGGGAAAGCTGCGCACGAGCCTCGAGAGCTGCGACTTGGGAAGGCCGCCGTTGCAGAGACTTGCTCGCTCTCGCTCTGCTCGCTGGACTCGTGCGAGAGCGTAACACCGCTCCGTCAAAGCGGACAAGAACGGCCTCGTACCGAGGGCCTCGCGCGCGAAAGAGGACCCACTTTGACCAGGTGGACGACTCGACGAGCAGCCCGGCGGCCCACAGTGCCGACCACTTTCGCGGGCGCCGATCAGAGCCAGGTCGTCGGCCCCATCTGCAAGCTGGTCGAGCGCGCGGCGCGCCCGCAGGCAGGCGAGAGGTGCTGCTCGCGTTCCTGAGTCTGGCGGGCTTTCATCGCGCAGATCTGAGTCGCCGCGAACTTTGTAAACTCCAGCCAGGAACCGGTCTGCTGCTGGTGCAGCTGCGACGTGCGTGCGCAGCGTGCGCAGGCTCGAGAGCGACGAGCTCGAGCAAAGTCCTGCGGCTCGAGGACAAGTCGAGCTCGGAGGAGGAGGAGGAGGCCTGAGCGAAAGAGAGAGAGAGAAAGAGGGAGAGGACGCTTCCCTCAGGCAGGAAAGAGTGAGCGATTGCTCCAACTGGCGAAGAAATTAGCGTGAGGCGGAGTCGGCCTCGTTGATTGGAAGGGATCCTCGTTCCTCGCGGTTGCTCAAGGGGCGAGGATCCGTGTCCCGGGGAGGGAACCACAATGGCGCGGCCGGCCTTGAACGACGAGGAGCGGGTCCTTGCGCGCGCGCTGTGCGACAGGCTGCAGCTCGCCCGCGCTCGCCAACGAGCTTGACGACGCCGCGGCTCTCTGCTCGAGTCCTGTGTGCATGCCCCCCGACCGCCCAGGCTCGAGACCTGCACCAGCTTCCAGGCACTCGCCCGTCACGGTCGCCTCTGCCGCCAGCGCCGCCGCCTGGCCGTCGTCGTCGTCGGCCGCCGCCGCCGCGACTTCGTTCCCTCCTCCGCTCTCGACCTCGACCGCCGCGCGCCGGTACTCGCGCGCCCAGTACGGCACGGCGCACCACGCCCAGCAGCACGCCCAGCACCAGCCGCAGGGCCCACCGACGAGCCAGGCGCAGCACGTCGCCTCGTCCTCGCACGATCTCCCCCACCCGCCGCACCTCACGTCCGACCCGGCATCCTCGTCTACGTCCCCCGCCTGGTCCGACCCGTACCCTCACCATCCACCACCGTCCAGCACCATGAGCGGCGGCCACCCGCACCACCCGCACCAGTACCCGTCGCCCTCGCCGCACCCTCCCCCGCTCCACATCGACACGGGCCCCCGCCAGCACCACCAGCACTGGCAGGACGAGGGCCGCCGCAAGTCGATCAAGCTCGCCAACGGCACCGACGCCGATGGCGGCGGCGTCATGTCGCTCCCGCTCTCGCAGTGGCAGTGGCCCGGCGCTCAGCAGCAGCAGCAGCAGGGCCAGGGCCAGGGCGGCGGCGGTGACGGTCGCAGGCTGTCGGCCGTCGGCGACCTCCAGCAGCACGGCGGCGGGTTCGAGCACCACCAGCTCCAGCAGCAGCAGCAGGGCCACGACGGCTCGCCGGGCTCGACCATGCTGCCCTCGCCTGTCGGCACGAGCGCCCACAACTCGTCGGCGTGGCCGCCGCCGGCCGCCCACCTGTCGCACTTCTACCCGTCCCTCCCGAACCCGTTCGCGACCTCGGTCGGCGGTTCGAGCGGCGACGGCACGCGACCAGGGTCGGCGGCGGCGGCGGCGCAAGCAGCGTCGGCGTACCCGACGCCGTACACGACCTACACGGGCCTGCCGCCGACCGGGTCGGGCCTGCCGCCGAGCTACGCCCCGTACGGCGGCGGCGGCGGCAGCGGCTCGAGCGGCGGCGCGCCGTCGTTCTATACCCCGACGGGCACGGCCTTCCCGCCGCACGCCTATACCCCGATGTTCTCGCACTCGTCCTCGTCCGCCATCGCAGCCTTCGCATCGACGTCGTCCTCGTTCTCGCACCCGCAATCGCTCGTCTCGCCGCACTCGTCCGCCTACCCTCAGCAGCAGCAGCAGCACCCGCAGCACCCGCAGCACCCGGAGCACCAGCAGCAGCACGCCTACGTCACCTACCTCACGAGCCCGAGCGCTCACCTCCCGCCGACCTCGACCATCCCCCCTCACGTCACGCTCGGCGGCTACTCGGGCGACGGCGGCCTCGTCGGCGCGGCGAGCACGGGCGACTCGCCGACGTCGCCGACGTTCCCGATCGACGCCTCGACGCCCTACATCCCGCCCGACCCGACGGCGCCGACCCCTCCCTGCGTCCTCGTCGCGGCGGCCAACCGCGACAAGCTCGGGCCGATCGACCTGACGGGCCACTCGCGCACCGACGACGTGTCGGCCCGCCGGCCCTCGACGGCGCAGAGCTCGCGCCGCGCCGTCGACCTCGTGTACGAGTGCCAGAACTGCCGCCGCAAGATCGGGCGCCTCACGCTCCGCGGCGGCTCTGTCGACAAGGCCGCCGGCGACAACCCGTCCAAGTACCTCGGCGTATTCTACTGCACCCAGTGCGTCGCACCGCCGCCAAGCTCGGCCAACGGCCTGCGGCCCGACGGCCTCAACGGCGGCACGATGGCGTACGCGACCGAGGCGACGTACCACGACACGTTGTCGGCCGCCGTCGACCGCTTCCAGGGCATCGACCCCAAGCTCGGCGACTCGAGGCCGCCGCCAGCGCCGCCGGGCAAGGTGCGCTCGGGCTTCACGGCGCAGTCGCAGCTCGCCGGGTCGAGCACGGGCATGGGCGGCGTCGGCGGCGGCGGCGGTGGGGGAGGAGGTGGGTCGCAGGGGAGCAAGAAGCGGCGGGCGAGCGTCGTCGAGGAGAGCGAGGGCCTGCTCGCGTGCGACGTGTGCCGGCGGGACCTCGCGACCGGGTCGCTCCAGCTCGCCGCGACGGGCGAGCCCGTCGGCGCGACGATCGAGGTCCTGTGCGCCCACTGCGAGTCGCGGTACACGCGGTGCTCGGACTGCGGCGGCGGTGGAGGGTCCAAGGGGTGCGTCCCCTTCTCTCTCTCTCTCTACTCTCTCGCCCCTCGTCAGGCGCGCAGACACTAACGTCTTCTCATCGCGCGCAGCGTCGGTCGATGGAGGTGCACGCAGCTCTTCCCGCCAGGGCGCAGGACGTGCATGCTGCTGCACACGCGCGTCGGGACCGTCAACGAGATGGACTAGTGCGTCCTCGGCCCTCTCTCTCTCTCCCTCGTCCTCACTCCCTCCCTCGCCGACCTGTTCCTGACTTTCTCTCTCTCTCTCTCCTCGTGCGCCTCCTGCAGCGACGTGTGGCCTATATCGACGATCCCCAACGCCAAAAGACCCGAGCTCATCGACCTCTGCAAGGACCTGTACTACACGAACCTGCTCGGCACGCTCGGCGTCCCCGACATGCTCGAGTCGGTGTGCCCGATCGCGCGCAGCTTCACCGAGGTCGAGAAGCTGTGCGTCGACTCGTGGACGACGTACGAGCCGTTCATGATCGACGACGTCGAGCCGACGAACCAGTCTCGCCGGTGCGTCCCTCTCGTTCCCCTTTCTCCTCCCCTCTCGTTCGTCGCCGAGCCCTTTCCTGACATCCCTCTCGCCCACAGCTACATCGCGCTGCGCTGGGTGCGCCCGTCGTCGCGCAAGAAGCGCAACAAGAAGGGCTCGAGCGGCAACACGGCCGAGGTCGGCGCCCAGTCGAGCCCCGAGGAGAACAAGATGCCGTTACCGGCCAGCCCGCTTTTCGACGGCTCGAAAGGCGACGTCCCGCTCATCCGCGAGGGCAAGGTCTTGACGGGCTTCATCCTCGCCGAGCTCGACGTGCGTCCCTACCTCTCTCTCTCCTTCCCACTCTCGCCCCGTCACGCCGGCCCCTGACCTCGCTCTTGTGCCGCCCTGCAGCTCAACGTCGGCAACCTGCACGTCGCCATCACGCTCCCGACCGGCGCCGGCGAGTCGTACGACGCGTCGACTCGGCTCTTGCAGACGCTCGTCGCGCGCGTCCACGAGGACCTTGCCGCGACCAACGCGCACCGCACCGCCATGCAGCTGCCGAGGTATCCGCCCTTGACGACCGCCTGGACGATGCGTGCGTCCTCCTCTTCCTTTTTCCGATCGCGAGAGCGAGCCTGACCCCTGCCACCCTCGAGCAGACATGACCAAGCGCGACAGCCGCATCATGAGCCGCCTCGAAACTCGGCGAGGCTTCATCCCTCTCGAAGACTGTGCGTCAACCCTTCCCTCGTCGTCACGGTTGCGCGGTACCTGACGAGCTGCCCCCATTCGTCGCAGTCCTCGTCAAGTTCCCCGAGTCGGACCCGAAGCACTTCCCGCCTCAGCGGCCCGCCTACCTGCCGCCCGAGTGTGCGTCCCCTGCTCTCTCCTGCATCGAAGAGGCGCCCACCTAACCCTGTCCTCCTCACCCTCGCGCAGTCCTGCGCGGCTGGCAGGTCTACGCCAAGCGCCTCACGGCCGACGACCTCCCTCCCTCCAACTCGGGCTCATTCTCGTCCACCTCGTCGTCGGGTCAGCCGAGCATCGGCAGCTCGACGTCGAGCTTTGCGCGACTGCCCGTCGGCGGTCGTCGGGCCTCGATGCGCTGAGCGGGGCGCCCACTTTCCTCGACCTCCTCTCCCCCTCCTGCTCTTGCGTTCCCCGCGCCCTCGAGCCGTCGGCGTCACGGTCGAGCGCAACACGAGGGCGTTGTACTACTTGCGTCCTCCCTCTTTCTCTCTCTCCCGCCTCTATGTTTTTGTTCGGGTCGAATCCGTCCTCGTTTGGCGTACCCCCTCAGCCTCTCTCTCTCTCTCCCTCCTGCATCGCCGTCTGTTTGCGCGATTGCCTAAGACCCTTGTCACTGTAGCGCCTCCTGCGAGAATGAGCTTTTTGCGCTGTCGGCATCGTGCGAGAGCTCGTCGCCAAGTTGCCCTCGAACAGCGGAACTCTCCGAACCGAGAGCCTCGATAACGCTAGCCTGAAGCCGAGAGTACATGCTTCGACGACAGCATTGCGCAAGATGAGCTGCTCGCGAGCGCTCGAGAGCCGCAGTGGCCGCGCCTCGGCTCGGCCTTCCCAAGTTGCCCTTCTCTCGCTTCTCGCGCTCGCTACTCTTGCTCTTCGACCGCACACTCGCCCGACACCCGCCCTGCTCAGCTGTAGGCACTCGAAGCTGCGGCTGCAACGATGCCTGACGGCGAGCTTTGCCGCGCACGAGTCCACTCACTCGCTTCCTCGTCCGCTCGTTCCCCTTCGCATCGTCGGCCTGCCCACCCAGCTCATGGGCGGCGGCGCGACTCGATTGTATGCGCTCGCTGTTCAAAGCTTAGTGAGCGACCTCGTCATCAACTTCCTTTTCGAGGGCGAGAAGCCGGACTTTGTGTGGGGGGTCCGACCGCGCCGAAGCAGGCGGCCACGCACCTCCACCTCTCACCTGTCGCCCTCTCCTGCTCTCACGACCAGCTCACACGCACCGGCACACTCGTCACTGTACGTACCCGGTCCACTCGAGCTGTCGTCGAGCCTGCAGACGCGCCCCGGCGGCGTCCTTCTGCCGCTCGCCGATCTCGGACACCCAGATTGACCCTCCCTCGTTCTCGCAGCTTCTTCCACTCGCACACTCGACACACAGCTTGCGCATCATGGCCCAGTTCACCCTCTACAGTCACGTTGGCGGCCGTGAGTCCCACCTTCTCCTCCTCGTCCCCCCGTCTGCGTCGGCCTCGCGCGCTCGACTGCGCTGCAGCGCATCTCGAGCGGCACGAGGACACTCGCTGACACTCAAGAATTCCCTGCAGCGAACGGCCACACCGTCGCGTTCGTCCTCAAGGCGCTCGGCCTCTCCTACGAGACCAAGTGGCTCGACTTCTCCAAGGGCGAGCAGAAGAGCGCTGAGTTCCTCGCTCTCTGCGAGAACGGAAGGATACCCTTGTACGTCCCTCGCGAGCCTAGACGACGAGAGCGGAGCTCGTGAGCTGACCCGAGACGTCCACAGGCTCGTCGACCACGAGAACAAGGACTTCAAGGTCTGGGAGTCCAAGGCGTGCATGCTTTACCTCGTTGCCAAGTGTTCGTCCTCGACACGCTCTCCAGGAACGTACACTGACCCACCTCGAACGTGCAGACGACAAGGACAACACGCTCGGCGTCGGTTCGTCGCCGGAGGAGCAGGCACTCCTTTCGCAGTGGCTGTTTTTCCAGGTGCATCCTCTCTCTTGCGTCTCTCGATGGAAAGCTGTAGCTGACATTCAAGCGTGCAGGCGTCGGGCCAGGGCCCGTACTTTGGCCAGGCCGCTCACTTCAAGATGTGCGCTTCTCTCTTTCGACCAGCCGACTTTCGCTCGAAACGACCCGAGACTCACTTCTTCCTCCCCCTCCTTCGATCGATCCACGCGCAGGTTCGCGCCGGAGAAGATCCCTTACGGCATCGAGCGCTACTCGAAGGAGGTCGAGCGCGTCTTTGGCGTCCTCGAGTCGGTCCTCTCGAAGCAGGAGTACCTCTGCTCGAACAAGCTCACGATCGCCGACCTCTCTTTCGTCACCTGGTACGTCGAGCTTTCGCCAGGCGTCCTGCGCGACCGATCCTGACCCTTGCGTGCGCCCGCAGGACCAACTTTGGCCTCCACGCTCTCCTGCCCGAGGGCGTCAACGGCCCGGAGAAGTTCCCGGCCGTCAACGCCTGGCACACCAAGCTCACGGCACTGCCGTACGTCGCCGAGGTGCTCAAGGAGCGCGAGGAGCTCATGAAGCAGCAGTAGATGCGCAAGCGAGGAGCGTTCGAGCCCTCGTGCAAAGAGAAGTGAAACGGTCTCGCTCCGGCGCCAGGCGCCTCCCGGCGAGTGAGAGAGGCCTGCTTGTACAGTGCGAGCAGCGAGCGTGCCGGTAGCGACTGCTGGCGAGCGAGCGAGCGAGCCACCGTTTCCCGCCCGACGTACTCGGCCTGCCGTGCCATTTTCCGAGCTCTCGCAACCTCGCTCGTACGGGCGGTGTGAGGGCTCCATCCTGCTCGTGATAGCGTAGGAGTCCAATGATAGAGAGCGCAAGGCAATAGGGAGCGAGGGCGGCGCAGTCGAGCTGAGTGAGGGACTTCGGCAGGCGCGGCCGCCGAGCCGGAGAGGAGGAGAGCTCCCTCTCCGCCCCCTCGCTCTCTCTCCACCGCTCTCGCTACTCTACCGCGCATAGTCACGCTTCTCAACGGGTGCGTCCGACCCCCCACCTGCACTCAAGAGCGGCACTGACCGTTCCTCCCTCCCCTCCCCTCCTCCCCACCTCTCTCATCTGCCGATCGACTCTACGCCGCGACCACAGTCCGAGCAGCTTCGCGAGCACCCCCAGCACCGCCACCCCCACCATACACATCATGTCGGAGCAGCTCTTCTCGGTCAAGGGCAAGGTGGTCGTCGTCACCGGCGGCGGCAAGGGCGTCGGTTGGGGAGTGCGTCCTCTCAAGCCCAATCGACTCGCAGTACGGGCGGTGACTGACCTATGCGCCTCCGACAGATCACCAACGGCTACCTCAAGGGTGGAGCGTCTCGCGTTTACATCGCGTCGCGCGACGAGAAGGCGCTCAAGCAGTCGGCCGACGAGTTCAACAAGCAGGGCTACGAGGGCAAGTGCATCCCGCTCGTCGCCAACCTGGCCACGTTCGAGGGCGTCACCAAGCTCGCTGAGGAGCTCGAGAAGAGGGAGAAGCGTGCGTCCAACTCTCCCTTTCCGTTCCTGCCTGGCTCCTATTCGCGAGCGCCGGGGCGCAGGCGGAGCTTCAAACCAGTGCAATACTCATCTGTCGATCTTCCTGCAGACATCAACGTTCTCGTCAACAACTCGGGCAACAACTGGGGCGCGCCGTGAGTCTGCGCTCGCCCCTCGTTCGACTAGCCCGGGAACCGTCCTCGAGCATGTCGGCGTCTTCTCGAGCAAGTACTTACTGCCTCGTCATGCAGCTACGACGAGTTCCCCGACGCCGCATGGGGTGAGCCTCGCTTCTCGCTCTCTCGCGCGGCAGAACGAGCTCGTCATTGACCATCTTCGCCTCCGTCCCGCAGACCGTGTCCTCACGCTCAACGTCCAGCGTGTCTTCACCCTCACCCAGAAGCTCACCCCGCTCCTCGAGAAGAGTCGCGGCAGCGCCGAGGGCCCCTGGGCTGACCCGGGTGCGTCCCTCTTTCCCTCTCGTCCTCGCCCTCGAGAGCCGCACTGACCCCTTCCTCTCGCCACACAGCCCGCGTCATCATGATCGGCTCGGTCGACGGTGTCCGTGTCCCCTCGCTCGAGACGTTCTCGTACTCGGCGTCCAAGGCGGCCCTGCACCAGCTCACGCGCGTCCTCGCGTTCCACCTCGGCAAGCGCGGCATCACGGTCAACGCGCTCGCATGCGGTGCGTCGCCGTGGTCCTCTCTCGCTCTCAGACTGTCACGAACGAGAACCTGACGAACTCGTCGAGCGCCCTCCTGCAGGTCCTTTCGAGTCCAAGAGTGCGTCCTCCTTCCCTCTCTCCAGACGGGCCTCCTCGTCGCCCTCACTGACTCTCGTCCCCTCTCCCTCCTATTCTCGCTCTCGCAGTGATGGCTGCGACGCTCGCTGCCGCCAAGGACAGCATCGTCGAGGGCGTGCCCCTCGCCCGCATCGGCGAGCCGGACGACGTCGGCGGCACGTGCGTCTTCCTCAGCTCCAAGGCCGGCAGCTACATCAACGGGTGCGCCTCTGTCCCCTCTCTCGAGTCGTCGACCCGACTGGACGAGCAGCACGTCCTGACTCGCCCTTCCCGCAGCGCGATCATCCCTCTCGACGGTGGGTCGCTCGTCGTCGCGAAGCTGTAGAGCGAGCATTTCTTGGTCCAGGTCTCTCTGTCGAGCGATGTCAATGCCGTGCCTTTCTTTGTCTTCTCTCTGCAAGGTCACGAGAGCGGTCAGAGAGAATGCGAGAGCTGCGTCCCCCGCACCGTCGGCCAGCAGTGCTCCTCACTCGGTCGCTAAGGCTCTCGAGACGGTTCTCGGCCTCGCTGCTCTCCTTTCCGAGAACACACGGCGAGGCTCGAGCGTCGCAAATACAGACATGCTCGACAACAGAGGACGAGAGAGAGAAAGAAAGAAAGAGAAAGAGAGAGTCTACGCTGCGAGAATCACCAAACGACCGCCTCCTCGCTATGCATGAGCCGGCACGCTTCCCACCGACCGAGACGCGAGCGCACCGCCTCCCTCGTCGCGTCGCACAGCGCCGCCGGGCCGCACGAGACGACGAGCAGCTCGTCCGGGTCGTCCTCGTCCTGCGGGGCCAGTGCGTCGACGTGGGCGCCGATGTCGGGGCGGCGACCGTCGTCGTGGACGATGAGCCGCAAGAAAGAGGAGGGTAGGTCGAGCGAGTCGAGGGAGGCGAGTGGGGGCGAGGGGCAGGAAGAGGTGGAGGTGACGTAGATGTGCAAGTGGACGAAAGACGATGGCAAGTGCGGGTCCCGGCGAGTCGAGTCGAGACGGCGTTGTCGGAAAGAGGGAGACGCGTAGAATAGGCGGTACAAGCGGTAAAGGTACGGCACGAGGAGCGCCACCGTGTCTGCGGGCGCAAGAGAGGGAAGGAAAGTCAGGCTCGAACTCGAGATCTCGAGAGGCGAAAGCTGGACGCACTCGACTCGCGCACTGACCACACGACGGTCACCCTCTCGCAGACCGTCTCGCCGCTCTGTTGCAGGACCTTGAGCCCGAGGTCGGCGAGCTGGCTCGTGACCATGGCGACGCCGGTCCCGCCGGCGACGAACAGGGCCTGCCGCGCCGTTGCGCACGGGTGCGACGAGTTGGCGGCGCCGTAGGGCCCCTCGACGACGATGCGGAGCGGAGCTCGACGGCGAGAGGGCTCGGGGAGGGCGACATCGTCGTCGGGCTCGGCGAGCACAAGTGGTTCGTCGTCGGCCGACGACGGGATGGCCGACAGCGGGAGGGACAGCGAGTCGACGAGCGACTGCGTGAAGCCCGAGTAGCGCTTGACGAGGAGCTCGAAGCCCTCGGGCGACGCCTGCTCGTCGAACGGGTCCGAGCGCGGCAAGGCGACGGGCGCGTCCACCCGGGCCCGACCGGCGGCGAGCGACAGGGTGTCGAGCCGAGTCGACTTGCCCTGCATCGACCCGCTCGCACAGCTGCTCGGCGTCGACGGGCCGCTGTCGTCGTCGAGGTCGTCGTCGAGGTGCTCGGGGACGCCGAGAGGCCAGGCGATCGAGAACGGGTGGCTTTCCCACAGGCGGTGGCCGGCCGAGAAGCACGACACGTAGACGAACGACCCGGGCCCGCCTCGTGACGACGACCAAGGCGACTTGGGCTGAATGCGGAGGCGCACAAAGTCGGTCGAGCCGCCCAGGAGGAGGCCTTCTGCCGCGACAGGTTCTCGCGACGAGGCAGTCGGCCGTCGAGTGCGACGCACAGCCCGGCCGAGGCCCGTGTTGTACCACAGGACGAGAGCTCGCCGTGCGCCGCGGTCGAAGCCCCACAGGGCGAGCGCGAGGTAGCACGGCTGAAGGTGGCTCGCGCCCCGTGCGCCGAGGAGGAAGACGTGGAAGAAGGCGCCGACGAGCCACATGATGGCGGCAATGATATCTGTGTGTGTCAAAGAGTCAGTGGCGGCTCTGCTGGGGAAGCAGGAGGCGAGGACGAACGCATGATCAAAAAGAACTCGTAAGCGCGCTGTCGGACGCGCCGCACGGCGCCGAAGCAGAGGACCCAGCCGCCGATGAAGGCCTGTACGACCGGAAAGAGCTCGTCAGTGTGTGTCTGTGGGCTAGGCGAGAAGAGATGTCGAGATGCGGGAGGACGCAAAGAAGAAGGAGAACGTACGAGCCAACCGAGGACGAGGTACTTGCGCTCGACGAGGGCCCAGACCGACCAGTCGTGCGCCTCGAGGTGAATGTACGAGTAGCCGAGGACTGTAGAAGGGACGAGATTTAGTCCTGGCTCCGAGCGATGCAAGAGAAGGTCGGGACGGACCGTGCATCGCCGCGTTGGCGTACGTCACCCTCGCGATCCACCGGTGAAACAGCTGCAGCGAGCCAAAGTCGACGCCTGCCGTCCACGTGATGGGCGAGTTGCGGGCGGCGAGCAAGAAGACGAGCGGCGTCGAGCCAAGGGCGAGGACCCCGGTCCGATCCGACGCGTGACGGATAAATGGCGCGAGGTGGCCGTCCTTCTCCGAGTAGCTGCGCAACGACTTGGGCAGGCATGGAGAACGGGGTGTGCGAGAGAAAGACGACGACGCACAAGCCGTTCGGGATCGGGATGTCGTAGCCGGAGAAGACGACGACGATGTTGGCGACGACGTACGCCGCGACGAGGACGGCCTGCGGCCGCAGCGGAACTTGTACCGTCGTCCACGCGCTCCAGCTTGATTTCGACAGGACCGGACGGGCAGCGAGAGCCGTCGAGCCGGCCAAAGGAGCGAGCGAGTAGTGCTTGACGAACGAGGTGTGCGCTCGTCGAAGCGGTCGCGGGAGCTGACGGATGCTGGCGGGCGTGATGAGGCGCCTGGCGAGGCCGACGAGCGCGACTGCTGCGACGCATTTCCACAGGAACGTACTGCAGGAGGAAGGCCAGGGTCAGTTGTGGCCTCGACGAGGCGCGAGAAGAGGAGGGTCGACGCACTTTGCCCACCGCGCCGTGCTGAAGCTGTTCCACAGGAAGGCGATGTACGACTGGACCATAAGGGCGTTGTGCTCGGGACTGCAGGGTGGTCGAGAGGTCAGCGCCCGCTGGGGCCGAGGCCGGAGAGGGAGGAGGAGGTGGGACGCACTCTGGACCGCTCGCGAGCGCCCGCAGGAAGCGCTCGTTGACATGCCAGCTTGCAGGCAGTGCGAGAGCCTCCTCGACGGTGCTTGGCCACGGCTCGGGGCGTGCTGGCCCCAGCGGCATGCTCACCGAGCGTGAGGAGCGAGCGACCGAGGTGGTGGACCGAGTCGAACGTCGTGTGCTGGTGGGCGGTCGGCGAGCGAGGAGCGCAGCGTCGCTCGAGCCGGTCGAGTGCACGACAGCCGAGTGGTGACAGCGCAGGAGGGAGGAGCGAACAAGGGCGACTCGCTCCTCGTCGTCGCCACGATCTTATCCGCCGCGCCTTGATCGGGTCTCTCCTTTTCTCACACGAGCGAACGAGGCGCGAAGAGTAAGAGCTACAGCAGTGTTGCAACACGCCCCAATGCGTCCTCCATGCTCGAGTACATACAACAAAGACAAGTCCATTCCCGCACGCCCGGCTCATCCCGGGAACCGTTCGGAGCGAGAGGGGAAGAGCGAGGCGAGGGGCTCGAGCTGCTCGAGAGCTTCACCCTAGGGACCACTCTGAGCTAAGCTGGTCGAAGCTCGTGAACCTGCGGAACGCGAGAGAGAGAGGAGGAGGGAGGGAGAGGGAGGAATCCGTGCGCGCGCACGTCAGCGAGCCCGTCGACGAGGAAGACGGGATCGAGAGAGAGGAGGAGAGTGTGGACGCACACGGTGGGCGAGGTGCAGTCGACCTTGACGTGCGACTTTTTGCTCATGAGGCCCATCACGTCCGGGTTGAACTTGGGGAAGATGGTGACGGTCGCGTTGGGCTTGGCCATCATGAACGACGCGAGCTTGCCCTGCAGAGGTAGAGGAGGCAGAGTTAGTGGGGCTGGGCTGGGCCGGGCGCTCTCGGCTCGACGAGGGCGACGACGAGGAGGAAAGAGGAAGAGAGGCAAGCTCACAAAGCCCGAGTCCTGCAGGAAAGGGTGCGAGTCAGTCTCGGAATCGGGCACGAGGGGAGCGAGAGAGAGAGGAGAGGCGCACCTGAGTCGCGACGAGCATGTCGGCCTTGGCGAGAATCCAGTCCTCGACCACGGCGTTCATCACGCCGTCGACGTGGCCGCTCTTCTGGTGCACGTGCTGCGGCACCATGTCGGTCGTGACGAGCTTGTTGCCGAGGACGCGCTGCGCGTCGTGCTTGAGGTGCGCGCTGTCGGTCACGAGGTAGAAGACGACGCGCTGGTCCTTGCGGGCGTACGTCTCGCCGAGCTCGCGCGCGCAGCGGAAGAAGGACACGTGGCGCTTGACTGCGGGAGCGTCGACGACGGTCAGGACGAGGGCCCCGACGAGGGACGACGCGAGAGATAGAGAGAGAGAGGGCGACGGACCCGTGTTGACCTTGTCGTACTCGGGGTCGCGCATGCTCTGGTCGCCTGTGCGGACGTGGATGCCGACCGAGAAGACGGTCGGGAGCGCGAGGACCGACGTGTACTGCGTGATGAGGTCGAGCGCAGGCGGCTTGGGCTTGAACAGGTACTGGCTGATGCACGCAAAGGCCGTCGTCGGCTCGAGGCCGAGCCGGTTGATGCTCTTCTGCAGGTGCTTGTACTTGAACGACCGGTAGATCATGCCGCGGTTCGTGTACATCTGCGCGTCGGGGAAGCAGAGTCAGGGATCGAGGCGAGAGAGGAGAGGTCGCGAGGGAGAGAGGGCGGGCGCACCTTGATCCAGGGCGACTGGTACGCCAAGTCGCGCCGCTCAAAGCCCGGCGTCGGCTTGCGCCCGAGCTTGGGGTTCCAGCTGACGGTGCCGAACGTCGCGTCGACGCTGAGGCGGTCAAAGTGGATGATGTCGAGGTCGGCAGCCGACGCGGCGAGGCGCTTCTGCCTGAGGACGGGGTGCCGGTCGGCCGTGAACGACGAGTGCGACCAGTTGACATGCGGCGAGTCAAATATGACGTCCAGGGGCACAGGTGATTGCCATTCGGCGAGAAACTGGCGGGCGAGGGCAGGTCAGAGACCGCGAACGAGGAGGTGGGAAGACGAGGGGCCCAGGGACGCACCGCTCGCTGCGTCATGAGGCCGAAGAAGAAGGCCGAGGTCATGCCGAGTAGTCTGTGTGTCGCGAGGAGGAGAGTCAGCGTGCGCGTTCGAGCGAGAGAGGAGGGAGGGAAGGGGAGGAAGGGGACGGACCGGTCGCCGAGGCCGCCGCAGTTGATGCCCTGCTCGCCTGCAAGTCGAGAGGGAGGAACGTCAGGACACGCTCGCCGAGCGACATCGAGAAAGGGGCGAGGGCGCACAGTGGTACGAGATGAACTTGGGGTCCCGCTTGCCCTCGAGCATCTGCAGGTCGAGGAGGACGAGGTCAGGACGGCGGCTCCTCGGCGACGACGACGACTACGGAAAGAGAGAGAAGAGAGGGGCGCACCTCGGCGTGCATCGTCTCGTACTTCTCGAGCCAGTTGGACCCCTGGCACTTGCCCGCGTGGCCCTCCTGCGACTCAACGACGAGCGCCGCCCACTTGTCGCGGCTGCCGCGGTCGAACGTCGGTACGTCGCCGAGCGGCGCAAGCTCGTGCGGCGCGCCGGCGCCGAGACCGACGCCGTGACCCACCGGGAGCTTGTGCAGGTGCTGGACCCAGTCGCGCAAGGTGCGCTCCTCCTGCAGGCGAGCGAGCGAGTCAGTGAGGCTAGGACGAGGGGGCAGAGGAACGAGGGAGTGGGACGCACGGGATCGAGCTTGTCGACAAAGCGCTGGAGCGAGGCGTCGGCCGGCGGCGCCTTCCACTCGAACGAGCGCCAGTCGTCCTCGTCCTCGGCGTACCGCTTCTTGCCCTGGGCGAACAGCTTGGCGAGCTGCTTGGCGGTCGGGACCTTGACCATGGCGTTGGTGAGCTCTGGGTCCTCGACCTCGGTCTGCGCCTCGAGGTCGTCGGCCGACAGGACAAAGTTGGCGCCGTACAGGTGGCGGCGAGGCGGGACGCCGGTCGGCAGGAGGCGCTTGTACCGCGACGCGTCCTTCTTCTTGCGGTCGGCCGCCTTCTTCCTCGCGGCAGTGACGGCCTTGTCGACGGCGGCCTGCGCCTTGGCCTCAGCCTCGGCGGGGACGGCGACGATGGCGTCGACGGCGGCCTTGTCGGCCTTGTGGTGCACCTTCATCGGTCGCGGCTTCTTGTGCTTGACCGACACCTTCTCCATCTCGAGCTGCTCGTTGAGCTCGACCTCGGCGCGCGCCGCCTCCTGCTCGGCCTGCTGCACCACCGCCTCGAGCCCGGCCTGCTCGTCCTCGGCCGCCTCGGCGCCGCCGCCGCGAGGAGCCGACGCCGGCTCGTTGCCCGCCGGCTCGGCGACGAACGGCAGCGCCGCGTCACCTGCGGGCGCAGCGTCGACGACCTTGGGGCGCGCAGGACCCGCCCGCTGCCCGGCCTTCTCCTCGACCTTGGCCGCCCGGTGCGGCCGGGGCCGCTTCTCCATCTCGGGCGCGCGCACGACCTCGCGCGGTCGCTTCTGCGCCTCGTCGCCTGCCCGTCGCGGCGCCGGCTCCTCGACCTTGGCCGCGAACGAGAACGCGCGGCCGTCGCCGCCGAGCACGGCGCTCCCTCGGGCTCGCCAGCGCTCGACCTGGTCGCGTGCGTGATCGACGCCCGTCGCGTGTAGGGCGACGACGAGGGCGGCGAGCATGAGGACGACGAGGGCGCGTCGAGGGGTGCAGGCGCGTCGGGAGGACGGGCCGTGGCGGGTCGAGGGGTGCGGGCGGAGGAGGGAGGGGGATCGGGGGACCTCGAGAGGCGGCGAGTCGAGGGCTGAGCGCGGGCGGAAGCGCTTGGGGACGAGGGAGGCGAGGAACGAGGGTCGGGAGGACGGGGTGCGGCGAGAAGAGGAGGACGAGGACGAGGGTGCGGCCGAGAAGGATTGGGGGAACGCCTTGACGCGCAGGAGGGACGGCGACAGGTCGGCGGACGACTCGTCGGACGAGTAGCCGTTGTGCGCGGCGGCGTGGTGTGCCGGCGAGCTGGCCAAGACGCGGATGCGAGGAGGTGACCGCGGGTGCTGGCGGTTCTCGCGCTCGCCGAACGAGGACGGGGTAGGGAAGACGCCGAGCACTGCGCCGCCTTGTCGAGGACGCGGTGCGCCCATGGCGTTGCTCAGGTCGGTGCTGCCGAGTCCGAGTCCGACCCTGCGCGGCGATCTGGTGCTGCCGCCGTCGGCGTCGAGCTTGACCCAGGGCGACGCGTTCATGGCGTGAGAGCTCATCTAGGAGCCTCGGTCGAGGTGTTTACGCGACGGCTCGGGGTGTACTCGGGGTGTGAGAAAGGGCGGGCCCGCGACGGGGAGATGAGGACGAGGCGAGGTGAGGCGATGCGGCGAGGCACTGTGGCGGGATGGTGCGGCGTGCCAGACGTGCAGCTGGGTCACTTGGCGCAGGGCAGCAAGTGCTCGCGGTGGCCTGCGTGGTGGGAGAGCGAGACGAAGCCTGTGCAAAGCGAGGGAGCGTCGAGACGCGTCTCCGCCGGGCGACCGATCTGCGCGCCCTTGCGGCCGTTGGCACTCTCTCAGGCCCACATGGCGAGGAGACGGGCACACTTCCGCCGCGACGCTCTCGCCCTCGACCGTTGAGAAAGGCACGCCGAGATAGAAATGGCACCAGTGTCCGTCCTCCTCGCTCCGGCCGGGGCGAGCATCCTCCACGCCTCGCTCCTCGTATGTACACTGCTCCTCGTGCCACGCTCGTCCACCGCGTCTAGCGACCCGCAGAGCGCGCCGAGCATCTAGAGAGGCTGGCCTCGGCGCCTCATCGTCCTCCTCCTCGCTCGCCTCGCCAACCGCGGCCGGCGCTCAGAGCAGACCCTTGCACCCGACGACGACGAGCGCGATGATGGCGCACACGACGAGGCCCGAGATGACGATCAGGGTGATGCTGCGCCGCGCGAGGAAAGGGGAGGAGGGAGAGAAGGTGAGCTGCTCGAACGGCCTCGACGAGGGAGGGAGACGCGGGCGCACCGTTTCCGCCGCAGCCGAGGGTCCTCCTTCTGCCCGATATAGCCCGTTCTGCGCGAGGAACGGAACAGTCAGGGTGTCGTCCTCCATCTCGACGCCGGCGAAGAGGAGGAGGAGGAGGAGGAGGGACGCACCCTCCCAAGTCAAGCGCCTCGTGCTTGGTGCCGCGCTCCCGCTTCTGCAGCACACTCGGATGCGCCGGCGGTCCCGCCGCAGCGCCCCCTGCCCCGTAGCGCCGCTCGCCCGCCTGCTGCGCCCCGCGCGAGCTCGGCGCGCCGCTCCCACCGCTGCCGAGCGCGACGCTGCTCCCTGCTGGCGACGAGTAGCCCGACGAGCCCGGTGTGGACCACTGCGTGACCGAGGGCGGCGGGCGCAGCGAGTCGTAGCTCTTTGTGCCGGCGGGAGCCTCGGCGTGAGCGGTTGTTGCTCGAAGAGAGAACGAGGGCGCGACGCGCAGGGAGGGGGACGCACCTCGGGGCTCTTGAGCTCTTGTGGCCGATAAGGTCGTGGCGCGTCGTAGGCCATGGCGCGAGGGGTGTAGCGAGGTGAGGAGGAGGACAAGGAGCGAGCGAGAGTCGCCGAGGTGATGAAGCCGGCTGGAGCGCGACTCTCTCTCTTTCTTGCTCGCGCGAGGTGCAAAAGGACGACATGCACAGTAGTAATGCAACGAGGGGCGATCTAGCTAGTGTCTGCGAGATGCGGGGCAGGAGGAGAGGGACAACATGGGAACCGACAAGTCTACGACGGCGTCGGGAACAGGCACGCCGTCGTTGGGGCAGGAAGGGATGCACAGGTATCGACGTCGACGGTGTGTCGACGCTGGGTCGGACGAGGAACGGCGGGCGGGACGAGGGAGGACGAGGGCGCGCCGCTAGACGACGACGGCGACGGCGGCGACCGCTCCTGCGACGAGTGCCGCGACGATCGCGACCGAGCCAGGCCGCAAGGCAGCTGCAGCGCCCGTGTATCCCTGCTCATATGCCGTTTGGTTGCCGAAGTTTTGGCGCAGCCACGCCTCGACCGTCGCGTTGTAGCCGTTGTCCGAGCCGACGAAGCGAAAGTCGGCCAAGACCTCGGCCGAGCTTCCGTTCGACTTCTTGAGGAAGTTGAAGATGCTGGCGCAAGGGGAAAAGGAGGGACATCTGGGTCAGTTACGAGGCTCGACGACGAGGAAAAGGGGACCGGGGGACGCACTTGACGAGCTTGAGGTTTGGGAAACGTTGCGCAGTCGCGTTGCCGGTCAACTGGGCGAGCCAGGTCGCCTTGACGGACAGCTCGTCGTCGCTGCGCTCGAGAGGCGGGCTCGCGAGCGAGGGCGCGAGGTTGGTGAGGTTGGGGAAAGGCTTGGTGATGTCGGTGTCGCCCTGCTGCGTGTAGAAGCGACTGCTTGGCGGGATCTGTGCGTCGGACAGGAAAGGAGTCAGCTCCGTCGAGGGGAGAAAGAGAGGACGGAAGAGGGGAGAGGAGGTGGCGCACCTCGTAGTAGTACGGCGCGCTCGTCTCGGCCACGATCGGCGAGTACGCCTGGGTGAGGCCGAGCGGGTTGTCGGACGACGACGAGGACGAGGGCGACACGAGGTCGTAAAACTTCTGGAACGAGTTGCGGAACTCGTTGTCGGGCGGGACCTGGTTGATCGAGCGCTGCGGGCCGAACGAGTACACGCTCAGGCCGACGACGTCGACGTACTCCTCGCCGGGCCAGTACGGCTCGTACGCCTGGACGTCGTCGTCGGCGACGTCGGGCATGACGTTTGGCGCCCAGACCATGAACGTCTCGTTGGTGACGGCGCGGATCGCGTTCGTGACGCTGCGCCACGTCGAGACGTAGTCGACAGGTTGCAGACCGTACTGCATCCAGCCGCCGTTCTGTAGCATCGAGGCGAGAAGGTCAGCTCGAGGTCCGCCAGCTCGAGCGTCGCCAGCTCGATCGCCCCCTGACTCGCCAAGCGACGAAAGAGAAAGGGGACGGACCATCTCGTAGCAGAACCGGAGGTAGACCGTGACGCCTTGGCGGTTGAGGCCGCGCATCTTCTGCGCGAGCGCGGTCGACAACTCCGGGGTCCACTCGTTCATGCGGCCGTTGAACAAGATTGCCGGGATGTACAGCTGCTTGACGTCGCCCTTGGCGGCGTCGAGGACCTCGGACAGGTGGTAGTCGACCTGGCGGAACGAGGTATCGTCGGGGCCGAATACGAGGTAGTCTCCCACGGCCGCCGGGGAACGGCCCAGGGCGCGAATGATGTCGGACGGCTCGTCGACGCCCCACTGCGGGAGGAAACCGACGTAGATGCCGTTCGAGTTCATCGCCGACGGGTCGAGGGCGGGCAGAGGGCGAACGGGCAGGCTCGACGAGGAGGGCGCCGCATGGACGACGGCGGCGGCGGCGGCGGCGAGGGCGGCGACCGAGAGGCTTGAGGGCGACAGGGTGGCGGCCGTGGCGACATGTGCGGCGAGGAGGACGACGGCTGAGAGGAAGTGGAGGGAGGAGGAGGCGGTGCCAGAGGCCGAGCGACGGGAGGACGACGAGGGGCGCATGTAGGACCGCGCGCTCGAGTCCGGCTCGTGCGTGAGGTGCGCCTTGAAGAGTGCAGAGCAGAAAGAGCGGTCGAAAGATGCTGTGGCCGAGCAGAGGAGGAGCTTGAGCAAGGGCGACTTGGCATCGAAGAGCGGGCTCGGCCTCCACACGAGCGTGGCCGGCGCGCGGCCGCCGTGAGCGCGCAGAGCTCCTCCCACCACACGCAGCGCGCCTCGCACATCGCTGGTACTGCGCGAGAGGTGGCTGGAGCGGACGCTCGACGCCGCGCTCGCGCCTCGCTGCCGGTCCGCCTCGGTCGCTCTCGCCGCGGCGCCGTCGCCGAGCGATCGGCTCATTCCAAGTTCTCCTCGAGCGGCTTGGCACGCTCCCCCGTCGAGCGCAGATCAGAGCGCTGCCGGACGAGGGGCGCGACGGCAGAGGCCAGCGCGACGGCGCGACCGGCTGGCAGGTGCCGGCCGACACCGCGTCGCCGAAGCGGGAGGAGGAGGAGGTGGCTCGGACGTTGCTTTCCTGCGCCCTCTCGCGCTCGCAGGCGAGCTGCAAGGTCGTCAGAAGGAGGTGCGGCAAGCGCGCGCTCTGCGCTGCCGCCGTTTTGACCTTGCGTCCACGCCGTCGTCGACCGACTCGCCCTCCTCGCGGCTCTGCCGGCGTGTCCGCGCTAGCTTGCTGCGCACCCGGCGCTACCGAGCCCATTCAGAGCGAGTTTCACGTGCCGTACGCTGCCGGAGGAGGTGAGAAAGCGAGGTCCGCCCCGCACGCACGCGCCGCCCTCTCCTCTCCCTCCTTCCCCTCACTCTCGCTCGCCTCGCCTCGCTCACGCCACCACCTCGAGTGATGGAGGACCAGCAGCACGACCAGCCCCACTCGGCCGCGCCTGCGCCCACCGCCCAAGGCCCGCACCACGAGCCCGCCCGCTCCACCTCCTCGTCCCCCTCGCCCGCACCCATGTCCGCCTCGAGCCAGACCGCCGCGCACGCCGTCGAGGACCCACAGCAACCCTCCACGACCTCGTCCGACACCCAGCACCGCGCCTCGCTCGTCCACGCGCCGTTCTCGCAGCACGACTTCCCCGTCCTCAGCTCGGCACCGCACGCGCAGCCCGGCTTCGGCACCCACAGCGGCGACGACGACCCGCAGTACTCGATGACGACCCAGGTCCACATGGTCGGCGGCCGCGCCACGTTCGTCCTGCCCGAGCAGCGCTCGCCCGCCTCGTCGTCCTGCCGCATGACGACCACGAGCGGCGGCGCCGCCTCGCTCGCCCAGCACGGCACCGACCGCCACGCCGGGCAGCCCAGCTTCTCTTGGTACGACCCGGGCGCCGTGCAGGGACCTGTCGAGCAGCGTGTTCAGCCTCGTTCGGCGCCGGCCAAGCTCCTTCCCGCGACCGGGTGCGTCCTCAGCTCCCCTCCTTAAAGCCTTGTCCAGTCGGACGTCTCCTGACGCACCTCCTCCGCTATCACAGGCCTGTCGTCTCGAGCAGCACGCAGAGCGGCCGCCGCACGAGCGACCCGTCGACCGACCAAGACGCCAACGCCGCACGCGAGAGCGGCTCGAGCGCCGGCGACTCGGGCAAGGACGGCGAGATGAACCGCGGCGTCGCCCTGGCCGGGCGCAAGCGCAGCCGCGACGAGGAGCAGCAGCAGCCCGACATCGTCGTCGACTCGGCGCCGAGCCACCCGCAGCACCACCTGTCGGTCGGCCTCTCGGTGCGCGTCTCGTCGGGCGAGATGAACGACGCGAGCTCGGCGACGACCGACGACGAGGCCGTCGAGGTGCAGCAGCGCGAGACGCAGCGCCGTCGCACCGAGTCGAACGCGCAGCAGCAGCACGCGCTCGCCGCCGCCCACGGCCGGCAGCCGCACCTCGCGCAGCTGTACGACGACTTCTACCGCCAGCAGCAGCAGCAGCAGCAGCGCGTCCTGTACAACACGCGCGGCTTCCCGCCGCCGCAGCAGATGGGCTCGTCGAGCGCTTGGGCCCACCCGGCGCAGCCGCAGCCGCCGATGGCGTCGTACTACGGCCAGCAGGCGTACCAGGGCGCCTACCAGGGCTACCCGACGGGCTACTCGGCCCAGTCGTCGAACCAGTCGGGCGAGGCCAGCTCGGCGTCGTCGTCGTCATCGACGAGCCCGCACCTCGGCTCGACGCACGCCGGCCAGCCGCGCTTCGGCTACTACCAGTCGGCGCCGCAGCCCTACTACGGTCCGCAGTACGCGCCGGCGACCGCTGCGTCGTACAGCGCCTACTCGCCGTCGACGGCCATCACGTCGCCGTCGGTCCAGGCGACGCCGGCGCCCTCGGAGCGGCGCGTGAGCGGGCCGCCGATCCTCCCGGCGTTCGGCGCCGCGCCGTCTCCTCAGCAGCAGCAGCAGCAGCAGCAGCAGCAGCACGGCGAGCAGGAGAAGCAGGCGTTCGGCGCCACGAGCTCGGCGCAGGTCGCCCAGCCGGCGGTCGCCGACGAGAAGCCGTTCAAGCGCGGCGTCAAGGTCAACAACCCGTTCACGATCCCGACGCTGCAGGGCGTCAAGCCGTTCGTCACCAAGCTGCGCTTTCTCATGCGCAACGCGGACAAGGTCGGCGACGTCATCTGCTGGGAGTGCGTCCTCTCTCCCTCTCTCTCCCCCTCTCTCTTCCTCCCATCATCTCTCTTCCTCCTTCTCTCCTCGCCCTCTCTCGTCCACCGTGACTGAGCGTTCAGGAACTGACAAGACCCTCGTCGTCGTGCCCACAGCGAGTCGGGCAAGGTCATCCTCGTCCACGCGTCCAACGAGCGCCTCGAGTCCGAGGTCCTCCCTCGCACGTTCGGCCACTCGAACTTCAACAACCTGAAGAGTGCGTCTCATTCCTCCTCGTCCGTCGTCAGAGTCTTGACGAGGACTGACCCGTCCCTTGCGTCCCTTTCCGCAGACCAGTTCACGGTGCGCAGTCTCTCTCCCTCGTCGTCGGCCTCTCGTACCCGCCTCCTGACACTCTTCGTCTCCCGCAGAACTACGGCTTCCTCGCGCTCAAGGACCCGGAGCTGTCGCGCGCGCTCAACTCGGCCCGCTCATCGTCCTCGACGACCGCCGCCGGCGCGTCCACCTCGACCGCCTCGACGAGCGCCACCTCGTCCTCGGCGCCGCACATGCCGCGCGACGTCCGCGAGTGGAAGGCGTTCGTTCACGTCCACACGGCCGACGACCTCGCCGTCGTGCGCGCCGAGGAGCGCGCGCGCGCCTCCATCCTTCGCCGGGCCGAGAAGGACAAGGAGGCCGCCAAGCGCGCAAAGGCGGCCGAGAAGAACAAGGACGACAGCCTGAGCGGCATGGCGGCGGCGGCGGCGGCGGCGACGCAGCAGCAGCAGCAGGGCGAGCTGAGCGGCGACTCGGACGAGGAGGAGGACAGCGAGGACGAGCAGGACGACGACGAGCCGTGGTTCTCGCGCGACGGCATCGACGACCTGCGCTTGCTCAGGCGCGTCAGGGCCAAGTCGAGCAAGGGCAAGGGCAAGGCCGACACGAGCGGCGCGGCGGCGGGCGGCGGCGGTGGAGGAGGAGCGACGGGCGCGGCGGCGGGCTCGAGCGCGGGCAGCAGCAGCACGGTCCTCGGCTCCAACATCTCGCAGGCCCAGTCGCACGGGCAGCCGATCGCGCCGAGGCCAGCCTCGACCGCGCAGCACTCGTCGGCGTCGACCTCGACCTTCCCCCTTCCGCCGGCTCAGTACCCGGCCATCCCCCTCCGCTCGTCCGCCAAGGCCTCGTCGACCCACCTCTCGACGACGCCGACGGTCCCGCCGCCGCAGGTCGAGCAGCCGCAGACGTCGACGCCGGCGCAGAGCGAGGCGCGCGGCGCCGAGTCGGCCCACCGGGTCAACACCGGCGCGCTCCTCGGCATGAGGCGCGGCGCGGTCGGAGGAGCGGGTCAGGGTCAGTGAGGGCGATGTCGAGGACGAGAGACGAGGGGAACGAGGGCGCGCTTGCGGCGGGAGGAGGAGCGAGGAGGACGCTTGACAGAGGACGAGGAGGGTTCTGGTAGCTTTGCTCGACCACCGCTTGAACGACACACTCTCACGCTCTCGAGTTCTCTTTGAGAGGTGCGACAGGAAGATAATGAAGAGCACTCGAGAGTCAGATCTACTCAAACCCGCTCGACCGCCCTCGCTCGCTCGCTCGCTCGCTCACGCCTCATCCGCCTCGAAGCGGCACGGGATCTGGTCGCACACCCACTCGAGCTTGTCCCACGTCTCCTCCCTCGTCTCCCACAGGAGCGCGAGGTACGCCTCGAGGTCGTCGCGCACGTAGGGCGCCGTGTAGTTGTCCGGCAGGGTGAGGCGCCCGTTCCGAGGGAGCTGGTGGAGGAACCGAAAGGGGACGGCGTCGCTCATCCACTCGGTGCCGTTCTCGAAGCGCTCGGAGCGGAACCCGGGGAACCAGCGCTCGCCATAGCTGCGCGCGAGAGACAGAGTGAGCGACGAGGCCCAACTTGGGAAGGCGAGGTCCGTGCACGCGCGAGAGAGGGAGGACGTCGACGACGCACTGAACGCTGGCGACCTCGTACGCATTGATGCGGTGCATGCACTTGACGCTCGGCGACGGCTCGCTCACCTGGTCGTAGTAGGCGAGCTCGAGCGGCTGCGTGTGGGCGACCTTGGGCGACACGTGGCTCGAGACGTCGACCAGGCCGGCGTGGTAGCTCTTGCCGTAGCACGCCGTGCCGAGATCATCGGGGAGCGACGCAAAGTGCTCGGGAAGGGTGCTCGAGAGCTGGGCGAGCGAGTCGGCGGCGGCGAGAGCGGCCGAGGGAAAGACTTTGGGCATGAAGTCCTCGTCGCGGTCGAGGTGGGCGAGCCAGCGCGTCGGGTTCTTCTGGTGCGAGCGGAACTTGCACGAGATGTAGTAGACGATCTGCCAGGCCATGGGAGAGAGTGAGCCGAGATGCGCGTCGAGTAGAGGGTCAGGCGAAAGAGAGAGCGAGGCAGGCGCACCTGGTCGCCGTAAAGCCCGTTGTCGGCCATGTTGTTGCGGTGGCCGTACGTCTCGAGGCTCATCGGCGGCGCGTACATGAACGTGTCGCTCGAGCCCGTCACGTAGTTGTACCGCTCGACCCAGTCGCCGACGACGGCCGCGCGCGCGTGCCAGTGGACCGTCTTGACGCCGAGCAGGCGCATGTTCTCGCGCCACTCGAGGGTCGCACGAGCGTCGAGGTGGCCCCAGATGGGCGACAGGCAGATGCCGAACTGCGAGCGGGTCAAGGGGTCAGGTCGAGGCGAGAGGAGAGGAAGGGAAGCGAAAGAGAGGTCCGGGCGCAGCTCACCTCGCTCTCGGCCTCGGGGTGGTGCGCCTTGAGCGTGAGCGTCTTGCTGAAGGAGCCCTTGTCCTCCTTGTAGACCCACTTGATCGTCGTCTCGAGGAGCTTGCGCGGATTGGCGTCGAGGACGGCGTCGAGCTCGCGAGGGAGCGGGCAGCCGACAAACGAGACCCAGCCGACGTGCGACTCGAACGCGCGCGTGTCGTACACCTTGCCGAGAAAGGCGTGGCTGCACTCGATGTGCGAGACAAAGTCCGTCGGCGTCGACTTGATCTGGTGCGCCGGGTTGTACCACGGGAGCTCTGCGACGCGAGACAGGACGAGGGTCAGGCCGCGCTCGTTCTCGACGGGCTCCCACCTGCGAGAGAGAGAGAGTGGAAGGCGGACGCACTCTCGACATGGACAGGGACGGACACGTAGCGATCCCACTCGGCGTCCTCGCGGCGGTACGTGTCGTTCTCGCTCCGGACGACGGCGTGGATGAAGGTCGCGCGGTGCTCGTCGAACGGCGCGTCGAAGAACTTCTGCACGAGGCCGTGCTGCGTCGAGGCCCACACGACTGGGCGTTGGCCGTGCTGCTGCAGTGCCGCCTTGAGGCTGTCGGGCAGGCGGCCGAGGGAGGCGGTCGCGGCTGTGGCGACCGTCGCGACGGCAGGGTGGCGCGAGGCCGACGCGATAAAGATGAGGAGCACGACAGCGACGACCGCTGCGACGAGGCCACGGTCGTCCTTGGTGAAGCGCTGCCACGGTCGGCGCGTCGAGGTCGAGGTCGAGCCTGCGAGGAGCGGCGACACGGGCAGGGCGAGCATGGCGCTGTGGTCGAGCGAGAGTGCGGTGGAGGAGAAGAGAGAGCGAACGAGCGTGAGCGCGTCCGTCACACTGAGAGCGATCGAGCGCCTCTCCTCTCGGACGCGAAGCGGGAAGAGCGCGAGGCGAGCTCCGGGAGGAAGCGACGCTCGCCGCTCACGCAGACTTGCGGCTCGCTCTATCTAGCTCTGCTGGCAACTGTGCGCGCTCTCGGTAATTCTCGTCGGGCGAGAAAGGAAAGGGAACAGCGCGAGAAGGTCGTTCGCCTCCTCGCGTTCGGCTCGACGGCCGCCCCACCCAGACGAGCTCGAACGACGTGCATAGCGTATCACAACAGCAATCGAACCCTGTACAGCAAGCCCATCCGACCGACGACCACCTGCACCCACCCTCACCGCAGCCGCTCCCTGATCTCGGCCGCCCTCAGTCGCGCGCGCAGAAAGTCGAGCCGGCGCGAGTACTTGTCGTCCGTGGCGGCCTGGCGGTTGTACAGCTCGCGTACCCGGCGTTGGACGGCGCGTGTCGCGAGGTCGATGTCGTCGGGAAGGCCGGGCGGGATCAGGCTGGGCGAGGAGGGGAGGAGGAAGGACGGGAGCTCGAGGAGCGTCGACGAGGCGGGCGATGACGAGTTTGGTGAAAGAGAGAGAGGCGCCGCAGGCCTTCGACGCGCCGCCGTGTCGCCGCCGAGCCCGGTCGTCCCGTCCGCCGACACGAGGGCGCGCCCGCTCAGGCCTCGCACGACCTCGACGCCGACCTCGTCCTCCCACCGCCGCACCTCGTCCCTCGCCATCGCGTCCCACGCCCGACGCACCCTCCCCCACTCGCCCTCGATCTCGTCGAGCTCGCGTTGCAGCTCGAGCGCGCTCAGGTCGCGCGTGACGAGCGCGGCCGGGTCGCGGGCGCTCGGGAGGGGAGGGAGCGGCGTCGAGGCGTAGTGCGCCGACGTCGACGTCGAGGCGTGCGACCGCGTCGTGGTTGAGGCGGCGAGCGAGGAGGGGGGCAACTTGTCGCGCCGCTGCGAGACGGGCGAGGTCCGGGCGGTCGTTGCCGACCCCACGGACCGGCCCGAGGCGGAACTGGGTCCGACGAGCTCGGGGCTTGAGGCGGCACTCACGAGACGAGGTGACGAGGCCGAGCTAAAGGCGGACGAGGCGAGCCCGGGGTGGTGGCCGATCGAGCGCGTGCGGTTCGTCGAGTACCCGCCGGGCGGCAAGTCGACGGGCGCCCTCGAGCGACGAGCCTGACCCGCCGACTGCACGCTCGCGTGGTTATCGAGGACAGGGGAAGAGCCCGACGCCGACAGGGCGACTGGCGCGACGTGCGTCCAGCCTTCGCCGAGAGGCTCGACGGCGCGCACCGAGGCGGCCGACGGGCGGCGGAAGAGCCCACGCAGGCCCGAGGTACGCTTCGAGTGGGTCGATTGGGCGAGTGAGGGCGCGCGCTGCGAGTCAGGCGCGAGCGAGAGGCGGCGGGTGGACGAGGTCGTAGGTGGAACGAGGCTGGCCGGCGGTACGGAGGCAGGCGAACGAGGCGGGTCGTCCAGATCTGGTCGCAGGATAGTCGAAGTCGTCGAGGCTGTGGAGGCAGAGCGAGTCAGTAAGTGCGTCGACGGCAGAGCTGAAACGAGAGAGCGCGAGGACGCACCTCGCCTCGCCTCGTTCTCGATCCGCCGCAAGCTCGGCACAGCGAGAAGGCCCTCGCCCAAGTTGGGCGTGCTCGAAGTAGGCCCAGTCGCCGCCGCCCCTGCGCCGCCCTGCCCGACCGCGACGCTCGCCTCGAACAGCTGCCCGCGCAGGATGCGGTACTCGTCCTCATCGAGGAGCCCATCGGCGTTGGCGACGGCGAGCTCTTGCAGTCGTTGCGCGAGCGATACGGGCTTGTCCTGGCCGCCGGGGCGTGCGTCGGCCGAGGCGAACGACGAGGACGACGAGGACGACGGGTGCGGTGCTTGGCGAGCCGAGCGGTCGCCTCGGCGCCCGCGGGACGCGGTTGAGGAGGGCGGCGCGAGCGAGCCTGCGCCCTCTGCTCCAGCTCGATCGGCGTCACGCAGACGGGCGCCGTCGCGTGCGTCTCGACTCGCGCTGCGCGAGCCCGCGCCGTCGCTGCCGAACAGGCGACGGAAGCTGCCCGAGCTCCTCGCGCTGCGCACGCTCGGCGCTGATGCCCTCACGCCGTCAAGACCGTCGCCTGCACCGGCCGCAGCATCCTCGTGCGCCGTCGAGCCCGCCGCCTTGCCGCCGGCCCTCCCGATCGACCTCAGCCAACGTCCCTCCTTCTCGCGGCGCGCCGAGGCCGGCGGCGGGGCTGGTGGCGGCTCGTGGATCTGTGGCGGAGGTAGGGCGTGGGTGCGGCGGAGCTTGGCGAGCATGCGAGGCGGTGTTGGCGGAGGACGAGGCGAAACAAGGGGGAGCTGGCGGTGCGGCGCGAGCGATGGGCGCGTGAGGGCGAGGGCGGCGGCGCTAGAGCTTGGGCTCGCGCATAGCAGGCCACTCGAGTCGGCGAGCTGGCGTGCAGGAGCTTCGCGCTGGTTGTGGACGAGAGAGAGCTCCCTCGGACGAGCGCGAGCGCGATGAGACAGAGTTGGGGGATGGGGGCTGGCGCCGACCTCCCCTGAGTATTGAAGTTGCTATTCCGGGCGTTACTACGCTTTGGAAAGCTGCTCAGGCGCGAGATGCGTCGCGCCAGCTGCGGACGCACCTCGTCGCGCTCTCGTCGCAAGCTCGAGAGTACGAGCAGTCGAACGGCAGCACGCGCAAAGATGGCTCGACTCGTGCAGCTCTCGCCTCGCCGCACCTCTCGTCGCACACTCCGCGTCGTCCTCATCTCGACCAAACCTCGCCGTCGTCCACTGTCCCGCAGCAACGTCGGGACCGGCAGCAGGACGCGCACGCTCAACGAGGCGAATAGAAGCGCGAGCTGAGCCGCAAGTGTGCCCTCAACGACGCGTGTCGGCGGCGACACGGCCGGCCTCGACCTCGAGCCCGCCCTCTTCCCTCCTCCCCACGCCCACGTTCTCGCCTCGAGCCCGATCTGAACCGTCCAGATGCTCGGCACGAGCTACTACGAGCCGCAGGCGAGCGGCAGCGCCGCCACGGGCAAGCGCAAGGCCCGCCCGTTGAGCGACGACCCCGCGACCCGCTTCTCGGCCGCCCACCGTCGCCCGCTCAGCCCGCTCGAGGTCTACCAGCAGCAGTGGACGTCGCCGACGAGGGCTCACCGCGAGCGCCCGCACGCGGCGCCCGAGCTCGCCAGTGCGTCCAGACCTCGCCCTCGCCCACCCTTTCCCTCTTCCCGACTTGCTCTAACCCTCAGCCTCTCCCTGATCGCGCGCAGACCTGTACGCGCCCTCGGCCTCTCCAACGCATCCACTTCGTCCCGCTCACCCTCCCGCGACCACGTCCGACCTCCCCGTCGTCTCGACCGGCACCTTTGCCCCGAGTCGCCCCGCACCGCCTTCCTCGGCGTCGCACGCCGGCGACACCGGCGAGGGTTCACGCGCGACTATCGGCGTCTCGTCCGACGAGTCGTCACAGGTCGACGCACTCGGCGAGTCGGCGACCAAGGCGCACTCGCACTGGCACGTCGGGCGCCTGTTCGGCGGCGCGTACCTCAAGGACATGCTGCGCCGGCCGTCCACCTCGGCCCCGTCGGTCAAGAGCAAGTCGTCGCGTGACTCGATCGGCACCTCTTCCGCCACGACGGTCCGCTCTGGCGCGCGCAAGACGCCCAACACGACGGCGCCGTCGTCCCCCGTCGTCGCCTCCTCGCCGTCATACCATGCCTTGCACTCGTACCAGGAGACGCACCGGTCGCCTGTACCGCTCGACTTCCCGACGCGCCCCTCGCGCACGCTCAGCTTCTCGAGCCGCGTCGACACGCTCGAGTCCATCTCGGGCAGCTCGCCGACGACGCCCGCACCCGCGCCCGCCCTCCTCCAGGTCCTCGACAACGACGTCGGCGACGAGTCGCCTGCCGAGCTCGTCATCTCGATGCCGCTGCACCAGCCGAGCCCGACCGGGACCGCGTGCGGCAGCGGCACGCCCGCCACCAGCAGCGGCACGCCGAGTACGGGCACGTGCACAATGAGCGACCCCGTGCCCGCGCAGCAGCAGCACGCCGCCGCCGAGCAGCCGCCGCGCCCGCCGCGTCACCTTCGTGTGCAGCTCGCGAGCGTGCCGGCGAGCGTCACGTTGTACCTGCCCCCGGCGACGACCCCGGGCGGGCGCGACCTCACGCTGCGCCCGCTGTCGCAAACGGCGAGCCTCGCCGAGTCGGACTACTCGTGGCAGCAGGGGCTCGTGTCGCGCTTCTCGGACCCGTCGCCGTACCCGGCATCGTCAAGCGGCGCGCCGTCGGTCCTTTCCGGGCGCTCGGTCCTCTCGGGCCGCTCGGCGAGGTCGGGACGGTCGGCGCGCTCGGCGTCGGTCAAGTCGGGAGTCGACGAGGCGATCGTCGTGCGCCTGCCGGCGCCGGCAGGCGAGCAGCACCAGGCGCGCGAGGGCCGTTCGCCGCCTCGCGGCCTGACGTCGCACTTCTCGGACTGGACGCCGACGCCGCCGACCTCGAGCGAGGGCACGCGCTCGGTGCGCCCGTCGCCGACGCGCTCGGTGCGCCCGTCGCCAACGCGCTCGGGCTCGGACCCCGGCGGCAGCGGCAGCAGCGGCGGCGAGGGCGGGCCCGCCCGAGCGTCGGGCAAGTCGCTCCTCCCGACCGTGACCGAGGGCGTCGCCGTCTCGTCGCGCCTCGCGCCGCCGCTCCCGCCGTCGATGGGCAGCGCGATGGCGCAGCGCTCGACGGAGGCGTTGGGCCGCGCGGCGCACATCCTCGAGGCGGCGAGCTGCGCGCCGCACCTCGTGTACGCTCCGGCGCGCTTCAAGCGCAGGGTCGCTCGCCTCGCCAATGAGCCGGCCGCCGAGCTCGTCGTCTCGGGCCCGTCGTCGTCGTCGTCGTCGCCCAAGTTGAGCACGAGCGCGCTCGCGAGCTCGACGGCGAGCGGCGTCGTTCTGCCGCGCGCGAGCAGCAAGCTCGACATCGAGCCGGCGCCGCAGAAGCAGCAGGAGGATGAACAGGAGCAGCAGGACGAGGACGCCGAGCGCGGCCCTGGCGCCGAGCAGCCGCACCGTCCCGTGCTCCGCCGCCACGTGTACTACACGAGCGCGTCGAGCGCGCCGTCGTCGAGCGCGTATACGTGCGCGACTCAGGGCGGCGGCGGCGGCGCCTGCGAGCCTGTCGAGCGCTCTCTCGCGCCCGCGGCGAGCGTCGGCGACCCGCACGGCCTCGCGCCGCCCTCCCTCGAGCTCAAGCCCGAGCCCGAGCCCAAGCCCGAGCTCGTGCCGACGTCGAGCGCCGCCCCGTCGAGCGACATGCCCTCGCCAGGCGGCCCGGCGCGCTCGCGCTCGTCGTGCTCAGCGGCGACGGACGACACGGCGACGGCTCCGGCCGGCCCGTCCCTCGAGGCGCTGCCGCCTGCGCCGGACGACCCGGCGAGCGGCTCCTTGCCCTCGCCCGCGCCCGCCCCGCCCTCGCACGCCCCGCCCGACCTCGACTGGGCCTCACCGGGCCTCGCGCGCTGTCGGGCCCTCTCAGCGTCCACGACGGCCGACTCGATGGCGCGCCGGTCGGGCACGGCGCGCGAGCGCGCGGCGCACGTCGTTGCGGCCGCGAGGGGCGCTCCGGGCCTCGTGGCGGACCCGGGGCGGTACGGGCGCGGTGGGGGCGTGGGGCCTGTGACGGGGAGGGAGAGGGGGAGGGTGTGAGTGGGGGAAGGGGGCGCAGGCGGGCAAGGCGAGGGACGGGGCCGGGTGCGCTTGACCGGGTGGGAGGTCGGGGGAGGCTTGAGCGCTCGACGTAGCGCTCGCTGTATCGCGCTCTCTCTCTATCTTTCAAGCTCTCGTTGTCGAGAGACGCAGACTGTACAGCTCGCCGGGTCATCGAGGCAAGAGCCCGCTCGAGCAAGTGAGCGAGCGAAAGGGTCCTAGTTGCGCTCCTTGGTCTGCTCTTCACGCGCCCGACGCCGCATCTACGTCCATGCCGCTCGCCTAGCTCCCTCCTCCCTTGCCCTCGCCCTTGCTCTTGCCCTTGCTCTCGCCCTTGACGCCGCCCTCGCTCGCTGCACCCGCTGTGCCACCTTTGCCGCGCCGCCTCTTGCGGCGCTTCCTCCTCGCCTCGTCCGGCCCTGCTGCCGCCGCAGCCGCGCCCTCGTCCTCGCCTGCAGGCTCGTCGCCCTCGTCCGCCCCACCGTCGGCCGCTGTCGCAGCTGGTGCTGGTGGCACTGGTGGTGCAGGCGCGGGAGGCGCAGGCGCCGGGCGCTTGAGTGCGCGTTTGGCGCTACGCGAGGGGCGTGGTGGGGGTTGGTGGCTGTCGCGGAGGGCACACGGGGGAGTGTCAGGTCTCTGGTGTGCCGGCGAGAGGAAAGAGAGGGCGGGAGGGAAAGGCGACGCACGTGAACGAGGAGGGGAGCGCGAGGGGGACGGGCGAGACGACGATGAGCATGAGGGGCGTGTGTTTGCGGCGGGGTCTGCGGGGTTGCGAGGAGGGTCAGGGAGGTGACCCACAGGAAGAGAGAGAGAGAGAGAGAGAGAGGAGGGGACGGACCTGCGGTTCGAGCCTGCGCGGGCCGAGAGCCAGTCGAGGGCGACCAAGTCCTGGCGCATCTGCTCGCGTTCGTCGTCGTCGTCGGTGGTCGTGGTAGAAAAAGGAGGTGCGAGGTTGTGGCGCTCGAACGAGTCGACGAGGGTGTACGAGTGCAAGGGGGTGGTCGAGGTGCGCAGGACGAGTTGGTGGAGCGAGACGAGTTTCGGGAGGGCTGCGACTGCCGGGTCGAGTTGGTCGGTGGTTGGAGGGAGGGTGTGCAGGACCAAGGGGTCGCACGAGGGGTGGGCGAGGTGCGACAGGGCAAATGCGACGAGCGAGTGGAGCGACGAGTGGGACGCGGTGCGCACTGGGTGGAACGCCGTGAGCGGGACGAGGGTGTGCAGAAGTCGGTGGTGTGGTGGTGGTGGTGCTTTCGAGGCCATGCTCGTCGTCGTCGAGTGGGCGAGCGAGGACGGGAGGACGAGGGAGATCAAGTCGGCGGTCGTCTCTAGACCTCTCTCTCCCTCACCGCTTCCCGCCCCTGCGAGAGGTGCACCCCCACCGAGCTGGGAACACCAACTCGCCATGGTCCACCCACACCCGCCCACCAACGGCTCGCGAGACGACCCACCTGACACGCTCCCCTCCGAGTCCCTCGCTCGCTCAACTCGCTCCCCAGTGAGCGCCTCGCCGAGACCACCACCGACACTCGACACGGCCTCGCACTCGCCCACAAAGCGCCGCCGCACCCTCGACCCGAAACCTTCACCGCCTCGTCACCCCCACTCGCCCCTCGCCCTCTCGCTCGCCGGGTCCACTGCCACAGCCGCACTCGACGCAGCCATCGAGCAGCCTCACCCACCCGCCGACCACGACGCCGCCGACGAGCTCGAGCGCGTCAAGAACGGTCCGTCCCCTCTCTCTCTCTCTCTCCCTCGCCCAAGCACCGACTCACGCGCACCACCTCCACAGGCGCCTACGGCTACCTCGTCCAGGACGTCCAGTGCTGCACCGCGCGCGCCTCGCACCCGCTCAAGCCCCTCCTCACGGCCCCGCTCAAGTGCCAGGCGTGCACGAGCCGCCACTCGGGCTTCACCTGCGCCTTTGTCGGCCTCAGGTCCTTCCCGCTCGACCGCGACGAGCGCCCACAACCGTACCCGGCTTTCGTCGACGCGCACGACGGCGATGACGAGCGGCCCGTGTTCCCCCTCGGCGCCGCGCCGGCCGCCTCCTCTTACTCGAACTCCTCCTCCTCGGCGCCGACTTTCACCGCCCCGACGTCGACCGCCGCCCCTCCCTCGTTCAACAGCCCCCTCACCCCTCACCACGCCCACCTCCTCCGCACCACCGCCGCGACCCACCTCCCCGCCCACCTCGCCCTCGAGCTCGCCCACGCCCACCTCCCGACCTGCGCCCGCGTCGCGCGACGCACCCTCGCGACCCGCACCACGTGCGATGGCTGCAACGCCGCCGTCTTGAGCGGGAGCTGGATCTGCACCAGGTGCGGCAGGGAGTACTGCCTCGCGTGCGGGGCCGCACTCGGGGCGCTCGCGGCTCGCGCGGCGGCGGCGGCGACGGCGGCAGCGGGGGCGGGAGAAGGCGGCGAGGACGACAAGGACGAGGGCACGGCGGCGCGCGAGGACAAGCTCACGCGGTGCAAGGCAGCGCGGCCCGTCGCGCGCCACGCGCTCGACGACCTCGTGCCGCTCGCGCGCATCCCGGCCCGCGAGCTCAGGCGCGTGCAGGGCGCCATGGAGCGCTGGGTCGCGCAGCACGGCGCTGCCGCGCAGCAGAAGAAGGAGGAGGAGGAGGAGGAGGAGGAGGGGGAGGAGGAGGAGCGGGCACGGGCGGGCGAGGAAGAGTGGGACGCGTGGGTCGAGCGGCACAGGGTTACGAGCGGCGGCGAGCGCGAGGCCGAGCGCGGCAGGCCGTCCGTCAGGCTCGGCGCCGGGCTCGTCCCGCCGCGGCTCGACGAGGGCTGGCGCCGCGCCGCCGCTGCGCCGCGCGTCAACGGCGAGGGCGGTGGGAGCGAGGCCGCGGGCGAGAGCGACGAGCGCGACGACGACGCTCCGCCGGGCCGCCTGTCGCAGGAGGCGCTGTTCCGCAAGCTGTGGGCGCGCGGCGAGCCGATCCTCGTCGACCTCGAGGTCCTCGAGCGCTCGTCGTCCACCGCCACCTCGACCACGACGTCGGCCCCGACAACCGCCGTCGCGGCCACCGCCACCTCGCCGTCAGCCCCGTCAAGCGACGCCCCGCAGCGCACCGACCCTCTCCCCTCCTCCTCGTCCTCCTCGCTCCCTCCCGCCGCCGCTCCCGCCGCCCCACCCGCGACACACGGCCTCCCCGCGCTCCCCTGGTCCCCAGCCTTCCTCGCCGCCGCGTACGGCGACCGCCCGTGCACGGTCGGGAGCAACACGCGCGACGACGCCGCGTACGGCGACCGCCCGTGCACGGTCGGGAGCAACACGCGCGACGACGAGCGCCACACGACCGTCGGCCGGTTCTTTGCTGGGTTCGGCAAGGCGGGCCGGCGCTCGGGCAGGGAGGGGGCGGTGCGGGAGGGTGGGGAGCGGCAGGGAGAGGCAGGCGAGGAGGAGGAGGAGGAGGAGGAGGAGGAGGAGGGGGAGCGGCCGGGAGAGGGCTGGAGAGACGAGGAGGAGGGTCCCGGCGCGAGGAAGGCCGAGGCGAGGTTCAAATCGGAGAAGATCAAGGTGCGCCCGACCTCTTCCCTCTCTCTCCTACGGCGTCAGTATGTGCGTCGTTACTGACTGTCGTTCGACGACGGATTCGCGCCGCGCAGGACTGGCCGGCCGCCAAGGACTTTCGCGAGTACCCCGAGCTATGGCACGACGTGAGCTCCCTCTATCCCTCTCGCCCACCCTCCCGTCGTCCTTCTTCCTCGACCTGTCGTCTCGGTCGAACCGATCGCTGCGTCGGCGTCGTCGGCGACCCTCGAGCCGCTCTCCACCAAGCCCGACTGACCTCTCTTCCCCTCTCCTCTGCCCTCCTCGCTCCCCTCCTCCTTCCCCTCTCTCTCGCCCCATGCCCCGCCCCGCACCTCTCGCAGTTCATGGACGTCCTCCCCGCCGGCGCCATCACGCGTCGCGACGGCGTCCTCAACATCTCGGCGCACGTGCCCGTCAACGCCAACCCGCCCGACTTGGGCCCAAAGGGTGCGTCGCGGCGGGCCTCTTTCTCTCGTCCTTCTTTCGGGGCGTCGTGCGTCTGTGCGGCGAGGGCGGGCCCGGGCGGGCGCGACGAGGAGGACTCGCGCTCAGGCCTCGCAGGCCTTTTTCGGCAGCCTCGACGCGAGTCCCGCCTCACCGTCGCCGTCACAGTCACTGACTCGTCCTCGCCTCGTCGCCGCAGGCTACTTCTCGGAGATCTCGGACGACGGCGAGGGCGGCAACGGGTCGACCAAGCTGCACAGTGCGTCGGCAGGTTTTCGCTCCTTCGTCAGGCCGGCCCGGCTCTTTTCGAGGTCGACACTGACTTGATGCGTCGGGATCTTTGCGCACAGTGGTGAGCATACGGCGCCGTCACATGGGCTCGTCCTGCCCGCTCGTCGAGGCGGCACTGACCATCCTTCTCTGACGTCGTCTTGCAGGACGTCGCCGACGGTGCGCCCTCTCCTCCCTCTTTCCCCTTGTCGTCCTCCTCGATCACGGCCCTGACATGCTTTCGACCTCGCCGCAGCCGTCAACATCCTCATGTGGGCGAGCGACATGCCCGATGGCTTGCCCGGCGTCGCCATCTGGGACCTGTACGCCGCCGAGGACGCCGACAAGGTCCGTCTCCTTTCCTCCTGTCCCCTTTCAGTCGATGCGAGTCGGCTCGTGGGCCGGCTCGTACTCGCCTCGTGCCCTTGCGCGCCGTCAAGCCCGTTGACTGACCAGTCCTCCTCGTCCTCCTCGCCTCGAGCAGATCCGCGACTTTCTCTACGGGCACATCGCCAAGCTCGAGGGCTTCAAGGACGCCGACGAGGCGCGCAAGAAGGTCGACGAGTGCGTCCTCGCCTCGCTCTCGCCTTCGCGACCTTCCTAAACTCGACTGACCTCTTCCTCCTCCTCCCTCCCTCCTCTTTGCCCCGCTCCCTTCTCGTCTCGCGTCTCCCTTCCCAGCCCCATCCACACGCAGCGCATCTTCCTCTCGGCCCCGCTGCGCGCCGCCCTCCTCGCGTCGCACGGCGTGCGCTCGTTCCGCATCCTGCAGCGCCCGAACGAGGCCGTCTTTATCCCCGCCGGGTGCGCCCACCAGGTGTGCAACCTGAGCAACTGCATAAAGGTCGCGACCGACTTTGTCAGCGTCGAGAACGTCGCCCGGTGCTGGAAGTGTGCGTCGTGCACGGTCCCCCTCTCTCCCTTTGTCTCGCTCTCTCTCGAGGCTCGTCGTCCCGACGAGGGTCGAGCCATAGCTTGAGGAGTCGGCCCTGACGCATGAGGTCGTCGTGCCCGCAGTGTCGGACGAGTTTCACGCGCAGACCAAGTCCAAGAGCCTGTGGTGCCCGGACGTCCTCGAGCTCAAGAGCATGCTCCTCTGGGCCTGGGTACGCCCTCTCCCTCCTCGTCCTGTCGCGTCTTCTTCTCGGCAAGACGCAGCACGAACCCGCACTGACACTATCCAGCGCCCGCCACCCCTCTTGCCCTTCCCTCGCGCACGCAGTACTCGGCCGAGCGCCTCGACGACGCGCAGGACGCGAAGCTGGGCTCGACGAGCGGCGCAAACGGGACGACGAGCGGCGTGCAGGACGTCAAGACGAGCGGCGAGGAGGCTTGAGCGGGCGCGTCGGGCCGTGCGTCGCCAGGAGCAGGAGAGCGAGGAGGCTCTGTGTCGTTCGTCGGATGGCTTTTTCAGGAGGGCTTGCATCGGCAGCTTGACGTTCCTCTCTGTGTCTCTCTTTGTGTGACGAGCTTGCGGCGCTCGTCGAACTCTCTGCGTGAACGAAGGACACGCGCGGGAGAAAGTGCAAGTTGCGAGAGGGACGGTACGAGGACGAGGAGGGGTTGCGAGTTTGCGAGAGAAAAGACACGGGTACGGTGAGGGGTACACAGGGAGGGCACGAGTAAGAGGCGAGAGAGGAAAGGAGAGGAGAGGAGGGAGGGAGAGCTACTTGGGCGGCGGGCGCTTCTTCGGCACGAACAGCGATGGCGGCGCCTTCTTCTTGACGACCGTCGTCGTCGGCCTCGGCGGCGCAGGTGCGCCCGACGCACCAGACCCTGAAGCCGCACCCGCTGCAGGAGCAGGCGCCGGTCGCCCGGGAAGCGCGCGCCGCGGGAGGGCGTGCAGGCCGGCCGGGAGGGCAGGCTTGCGCTCTTCGACCTCGCCGTCCTCGAGCTTGGGCTTCTTGACCGGCCCGGACGCATCTCCTGCGGCGACAGCGCCGTTAGGGCGCTTGAGGTCGCCCGGGTGGGCGACGACGGTCGCGCCGGGGCGGCGAGAATAAGCGGCGCCGAGCGAAGGGTCGTACGCCGACGACGTCTCGAGAGGGGCGGCGTGCGACTTGACGACGGGTGCAGGTGCAGCACGAACGACGGGCGGAGCAAAGGCCGCCGAGCGGAAGACGTTGGCGTCGGCCTGTGCGAGAAAGGGCGAAAGGCTGAGTCAGTTCCGGCTACCGCAGCTAGAGAGACAGAGAGAGAGAGGCAGGACGCACCTTGCGGAACATGCTCCTTGCCTCGGCGTCGGCGACGAGCTTGCCCCAGTACTGGTTGAAGCGCAGCTTGTTCGAGTCGCCGAGGATCCAGATCGACGACCGCGCTCGCGTCAGGGCGACGTTCATGCGGCGCGTGTCGGCCAAGAAGCCGACGCCCTTGTCGGTCGAGCCGCCTCGGACGCACGACAGGATGATGATGTCCTTTTCCTGGCCCTGGAAGCCATCGACCGTGTTGAAGCTGATCTTGGTGAGGATGTCCTCGCCGAACCGCTGGCGGAACTGGCGCTTGAGCTCGCCGACCTGGCCCTTGTACGGCGTGACGATGCCGACGCGGTAGTCAAAGTCGATCGACGGGTAGTCGCGCTTGAGGCGCTCGTACATGGCGAGCGCCGTCGCCGCCTCGATCGGGTTGGTGAACGAGTGGTACCGGCCCGTCTGCTCCTGGCCCTGGACGTGGTAGAAGGCGTACGGCGGGAACAGGGCGTTGGCGTGCCACGGCTGGAGCGTCTTCTTGTCCATGTCGGGCCCGTCCGTCAACCGCGACTGGTAAAAGGCCGCCGACGGGAACGCCGAGATGTTGGGGTGCATGCGGTACTGGATCGACAGGAGGTGGACCGCCTGCGGGCCTCGCTGCATGACGCGCACGAAGAGCGAGCGGTCGTAGCCGCCACGCGAGGCGACGCTCGAGATGACGGTCGGCGGGAGCTGGAGCGGATCTGCGAGGGGTCCGTGCACAGTCGGTCGAGGGCAGGTCAGGTCCCGGCTCGTCTCGACGATGATGGCGAGAAGAGAGAGAGAGAGAGAGAGAGAGAAGGAGGAGGGCAAGAGAGAGGGGGAGGGGACGCACCGCCGACGAGGATGCAGCGAGTGCAGCCGTACTTGAGCGGGATGAGCGAGCTGAGCTCGACCGACTGGGCCGCCTCGTCGATGATGACCGTCTCAAAGTCGAACGGGAGCTGCGACATGTAGTCGTGCCCTGCGCCGGACAGCGTCGAGCAGATGACGTCGGCCTCGGACAGGATCTTGAGGCGCATCTTGCGCTGCTCGGCGTCCATGGCGCGCCGCGACTGCTGCGCCTTGTCGCGCTCGCTGTCGAGTCGCTGCTGGAGCTCGAACAGGCGCGACTTGATCTTCTTGAGCTCGAGGTTGAGCTCGCCGCGCTTGAAGTCGTTGCTGACGACCGAGTCCATCTCGAGGCGCTTGAGGTCGCGCTCGCCGCGCAACGTGTCGATCTCGGCGCGCATCGACTGCATGCGCGCTTGTGCGTCCGACGACCCAGCCGACGACTTGGTGCCGCTGAGGGCGCTCTCGACGAGCTCGTCGATAAAGACGTCCTTGACGGCGATGTCGATCGACGAGTCGGCGCCGATGCGGACGACCTTGGGCACGTACAGCGAGCCGTCCATGAGGCGCACGCCCTCCTTGAGGCGCTTGGCGACCTCGTCGACGGCGGCGTTACTCGGCGCGCACAGGAGAATCTTGGCGACGGGCGGGATCTCGCCAGGCGCGGTCGGGCGGCCGACGCTGATGGGCGCGGCGACCTTGGGGCGCGAGTCGACAAAGGCGCCGACGAGGCCGACGATCGTGCTCGTCTTGCCGGTACCGTGAACAATAAAATTAATATAAATCAGCAACTTAAATAGCCTCTAAGGTTTTAAGTTTTATAAGAAAAAAAAGAATATATAAGGCTTTTAAACCCGTTGGTCCTTAGCGCGCCGTGGATGGCGACCGCCTGCGGCTCGTTGACCTTGTACGCCTTGACGTGCTGTTCGATGGTGCGGGCGTCGGCGCCGAGGGCTGCTGGCGGTCGAGGGTCGAGGATGTCGCCGCACAGGTCGATGAACTCGAGCGCTTGGAGCGCAGCGTACTCGCGCGAGACGGTGCTCAAGCTGTGAGTCGGGGAGAGAGAGAGAGAGTCAGTAGGTCGCACGAGAGTACGAGGAGGATGGGCGAGAGAAAGAGGACGGGGTGGGACGGACTTGGCGAGCTTGACGAGCTCCCACCTGGTGCGGCCGACGAGGCCCGACCCAGCGCCGTGCACGTCGTTGCCGAGGTGACAGCGCAGCGTGAGCTCGATGTGCTCGCGCTTGCGGTTCGACGACTGGATCTTGGCGTAGATCTGGCGAGGACCCTGCCGCAGCCACACGAGGTCGGTCTCGCCGAAGAAGATGCGGTCGCGCACTTGCGAGTGGGCGACAGTGCAGAAGACGTCGATAAAGTCGTCGACCGACTGGCGACCGGCGACGTCGACCTGGAGGATCTGGGCGTCCTGCCGCGACTCGAGCTTGGCCTGGCGCACCTGCTCCCAGCACTCGGTGACGAGGAGGGGCTCGAACGCGGCAAAGTAGTCGCGCGCCGACTTGAAGGCGCCGCCGGGACGGGACGTGAGGTCGACGTTGGGCGGCACGTCGTCCTCGCACGCCGGGTCCCACTGAAGGATGGCGCGGTGGAGCCGCGACAGGTCCTGCGCCGAGCGGAGCCGCGCCGCCCGGATCGCCTGGCGGTCCTCCTGCGTGCGGCCGTTGAGCGCGCCGGCGCCGCGAGAGCGCGGGTTGAACCCGCCGCGCCGGTCCTCGTCCCGCATGCCGAGCATGACGACGCCGCGACGGCTCTCCTGCTGCGGCTTGCGGATCGACGGCTTCTGGTCCTTGGCGAGCAGGGCGAGGCCCGTGAGCTTCTTGCCGTCGGCGCCTCGCACGACGTCCTCGTCCTCGGACGACTCGGTCTCGGACTCGTCGGCCTTCTTGGACGAGTAGGTCGTCCACGGGACGCCTCGGGCTCGCGGTGCGACTGGCACGGACCGACGAGGCTGCTTCCTGCTCGTCGGCGGTGCACGACCGGGGAGCGTCGGGAACGGGAGCTTGGACTGGACGGGGCCGGACGACGTCGTCACGTTGCCCTTGACGCGCAGGCTCGACGCCGACGACGACGACGACGGCGCACCTGCCACGCCGAGCTTGGCCTCGTCGTCGCTCAGCTCGAGGATCTCGGCGCGCCTGCCGCCCTCCTTGCGGCGCCGGGCGGCGTCCTCGTTGTCCTCGATCGCCTCGCGCAGCTGGAGGAGCTCGCCCTCGCGCAGGATGGTCGAGCGCTTCTCGCTGTCCTGCGCCGTGCCCGCCGCCGGCTTGTCGGCGATGCGCCGCAACTTGGCCGCGATCGTGTCGCGGAGCGCGATGCGCGAGCGGGTGAAGCGCGCGACCATGCGCAGGACGAGGTTGAAGGCGTGCGTGAGGAGGTCCTCGTCATTGAGGCGGAGCCACGCGATGAGGTCCTCGAGCGGGTCGGCGAGGGCGCTGATCATGCTCTCGGCCATGTGCGACTCCTTGGTGCTGCTGCCCTTGGTCGGCGAGCCCGGGTCGGCGCCGGCGCCGGCGCCGTTTGACGACGACGTGGCGAACCGGTCGAGCGACTGGCCCGAGATAACCGTCTCGAGGACGCGGAACTGGTCGAGCATGTCGGCGCCGAACAGGATGGCGTCGCGCATCCACTCGGTCATCTCGTCGTTCTGGAAGAAGACGGCCCAGTCGGGCGTGCGGCGGAACAGGAGCGCGAGGGCCTCGCCCATGAGCTTCCACAGGGCGACGAGCTTGGTCTGGAGGCGAAAGTCGCGGCCGCGGCGCACGAAGTCGGGATCGCGCAGGAGGCCGTCGGTCTTGTCGCACAGGACGTCGAGCGCGTCCGACAGGCACCGTACGAGGCGCTTGGCTATGCCGCACGCCTCGGGCAGGTTCTTGGCGCTCGTCTGGAACAGCTGGAGGGCGCCGGCGAGGCCCTTGAGCGTCGCCTCGGGCCACTTGGCCATGAGGTGGTGGAACACGTCTCGACGGGTCGTCGCGTCGAACGCCTGCTTGACGAGGCCTTGGGCCGTGTTGTGGACCGCCTCGACGGGCGACAGGAGGAGCGAGATCATGTGCTGGACGATGTTGGGGCGGTCGAGGAACTCGAGGAGGACAGGCGGCGGCTCGTCGGCGAGCTGCATGACGAGGTCGACGATCGGGTCGCGCACAGCGGCGAGGGCGTCGTTGACGGCCTTCATCTGGGGCCGCACGAGGTCCTTGACGTACCACGACCGGCTCGTGAGCTTCTCGAACTGGGCCGTCGCCGCGACGCCCTGGACGAGGATGGCCGTGCCGCGCGTGTCGCCCTCGCGCACCGTCGCGTACGCCTGGTCCCACAGCGCCTTGGCGTACGCGACGACCCTCGGCGGGCGAACTGGTGGCAACTCGCGCTCCTTCTTGGCCGCCTCGTCGCCGGCAGCGATGCGCTGCAGCCGCTTGCGCTCGCGCCGCTCGCGCTCGGTGTGCTGCTGCGCGAACGTCGCGAGCTGGTACACGGCGCGCGCGATCGCCTTGCCGTCGCGCCTCGCCAGGCCGGCGACGAACGTGCGCGCCGCCTCGGACGCGGCGGCCCACTCGGGCCCGAGGAAGGTCGCCGAGAAGGCGAACGAGGCGACGGTCGCCGCGTGCAAGTCGAGCACCTTGGCGGCGGCGGCGGCGTGAGGGTACCGCGGCGCGGCGGCGACGAGGTCGGCGGCTGACGAGGTCGGGGTCGGGGCGGCCGAGGGCGCGAGGAAGACGTCGGTGAGGAGGGCGAGCGCGACTTGGAGCGCTCGAGTGCGCGCGACGGCCTCGAACCGCGACTGCTGGAGGCGGTCGAGGAAAGTCGACGCGATGAGGGCGAGCGAGTTGGTGAACAGGGCGGGCGAGTGGGCGACCGACAGGAGGAAGGGCGCGAGCCAGTCGAGCCAGGGCGAGTCGAGGGGGCCGCTCGAGCCGGACGCGAGGAGGTGCGGGTCCGACTCGAACGCGTCGTGCAGCTCGGGGTTGTCGAGGATGGCGTGCAGCACGACCTCCTCGTACTTGTCGTCGCCGACGGACCAGAAATGGGCGCCGAGCCGCTCGAGGAGGACCTTGAAGCTCGCGAGGACCGACTCGAGGTGGTCGCCGGCGTCGCTGAGGTGCGCGCACACGAGGTGGACGACGTCGAGCGACGCGGCGAGCGACGTTGCTCGGCGCACGAGGTGGTCCCGGATCGCCTCGCCCGACAGGACCCGCAGGCACGCCGCGACGCCGTCCATAAAGTCGCGACGCTGGTCCGTGTACAGCATGCGGATGCCCGTGGGGGCGCCGACCTCGCCGCGATCTCGACTCGCGAGGACGCCGAGGTGCGAGTCGAGGACCGGGCCGAGCGCTCGTCGCTGGTACTCGAGCGAGGCCGGCTGCTTGGTGCAGCGCGAGAGGTGCAGGTCGGAAAACTCGCGCAAGAGGCGAGAGTGGTGGAGGCGCAGGGCGAGGAGGCCGGCGGACGGCGTTCGAGGGAGGGGAAGAGGTTGAGGGAGGGGAAGGCCCGACAGGAGCATCTCGAGGACGTCGTCGTTCTCGAAAATGCTCGAGTTGACGAGCACGTTCTGCACGATGGCGAGAGGCACGTGGGCGAGTGAGGCGGATCGAGCGGGTCGCCACGGCGAGTCGGACGGCGAGGTTGGCGGGGTGTCGAACCCGGCGGCGGCGAACGACGTGAGCACGCTCGACAGTTCGATGGCCTCGACGCCCTTCGAGAACGTTTCGATCGACTTCTCGGGCTTGTAGTGCCGCAGGTAGCTGCGACGAGGGCGAGTCGGTCGATGTCAATCTCCGAGAACGCGAGGGTGGCCTGGGAGGGTGACAGGGAGGCGGGACGTACTTGCCGCGGAACTCCCGCTTTGAGCGCTGATACGCCTCGACGCATGCCGGACACGTCTGCATGAGCCTGCGCGAAGAGGAAACGAGGGTGGGCAGAGCGAGGTCAGTTTCCGACCAAGGACAGGCGGCGCACTCTCGCCTTGGCGCGGCGGCCCTTCTCGCCGCGCCGGGTAGGCACGCAGAGATGACGAGAGAGAGAGAGAGAAATGAGGACGTACCGCTCGAACTGGTCGCGCCAATCCGCCACCTGGTTGAGCCGCTTCATGCCCAGCAGGCGCACGCACAGCGTCGCCGGCTCCCAGCACCCTCCCGCGCCCCTCGCGCCGCAGTACCAGTGCACGAGCGCCTCGTCGAGCGCAACGCCGTCGTCGTCGATGCGGGCGCGCTCCTTGCCCTTGGCCGACGGCGGTGCGGTGGTCGACGAGGAGGACGCCGACGGCGCGAGCGAGAGGAGCCACAAGACGCTCTCCTCGGTGACATCTTGCCACAGCTCGTCTGAGACGCGGGCTGGGTCGCGCAGGGCCGCGAGGTCGTTGACGAGGCGGGGTGGAGGGACGAACGACGACGCGGGCGGTGGGCGCGACGACGACGCGCTCGGTGGGGCGGCCATCTGCTCGAGCAGAGCGCAGAGGCGTGGTGCTGGCTCGCTCGGAGGTGCTTGTCCCGCTTGGCGCGGAAGCGGTGGTGGGAGACAGGCGAGACGGACGACAAGTGCGATGAGGACGACCAGAGCTCTGGAGCTCTCGCTCTTCTCGAAAGGGCCGCGCTGCTGTGCTGAGAGCAGCCGTGAGCACCTCTCGAGCTGCTGCAGACCTCTACCGCACCGATAGAGCGTGATCACTGCCTCGCTCTCCTCCTCGTTCTCCTTCTTGCCGTCGGAATACGCTTTGCGGCTCATCTGCCCACGCTTGCTTTCTCTCTCTCCGTACTCTCGACGGGGGAGTACAGACGAGGCTTCTCGAGAAATGTCCGTGCGGTACGAAAGCGTTGCAGGATGACGAAGAGGAGTGAGGCTCGAGGACGAGGACACGAAGCTATGAGGCGGGAGGGGTACAGGACACGCGAGGCGGGTCATACGCGAGGGGGACGAGGAACAAGGACGTCGACAGGCGGGGAAGGAGAGTACAGGTCGGGCGGTGCGGCGGCAGAAGAGGCGGGCTTCGCGGTCGGGCCGTCGAGCCGGGGCCCGGACCGCGCGGCGTCGTCGCGCTCAGCCGAACATGCTGTTCTGCCACTCGTCATTGGTGCCGGGTTGCTGCGGGTGCGCGAGAGAGCGCATGTCAGTGACGCTCGAGGTTGGGCAAACTCGAGAGGGGGAAAGGAAGAGAGAGAAGCGTGCGCACCTCCATGTCCGGGTGCGCCCTCCTCGCGCCGCCGCCCATGCCGCCGAGCCCGCCCGGCTGTCCTTGCGGGGGCTGACCAGGGCGCTGCGGCCCGCCGCCGGCGTTCGGCCCGCCGACTTCGCCCGTGGGAGGCCCGTTCTGCGGGCGGCGAGGGAGAGGTTCAGCGTGCGGTCGGAGGCGCAACTCGGGTGCCGGGCCGAGACACATACAGAGAGAGAGAGGGAGACGCACCGTGGGCCCGACCGGGTCGAACCTCGCTCCCTGCGGCGCGCCCATCGGCGGCAGGTACCCGTCGCCACCCCACCTCCTACCCTCTCCTCCGCCGACGACGTCGTTGCCCGGCCCGAACCGCTCCCTGAACAGCGAGTGATCCGGACCCATGAACATGCCGCCTCCACCACCACCACCGCCGCCCATGGCCCCTCCAAGTCCGCCAAACCCGCCGCCGAATCCGCCGCCGCCCATGCCAGGCAGCCCGCCGAACGTGCCGCCCATGCCGCCGAGCGGCTCGAGGTCCCTCCTCCCGATGTCGGCGCGCGGCATGCCGCCGTACCCGCCGCCGCCGCGCCCGCCCGAGCCAGGAATGGCGAGCGGGTCGTGGTCCGGGTTCGGGCGCGCCGGCCCGCCCGTGCGCGGTGCGGCAGGCGGCGAGCGCCGGTCGCCCTCTCCCTCGCCGCCGCCGCCGCCCCCACCGCCGCGCGAGGGCGGGAACATGCCCATGGGCCCGCCGCGGTCGGGGTAGTAGCCCGGCCCGCGCGCCGCACCGCCGCCGCTCGACGACGACGCTGCGCCCGGGCCCGAGGCGGGCGGGCCGCGCAGCTCCTCGTAGCCGTCCTTGCTGAGGCCCGGAACGAGGCGCTGCAGGACGTTGAGGCGGTACAGGTGCACGAGGTCGTTGAAGCGGGCCGGGGTCGCGAACGGGTTCGAGGGCGAGAGCGAGGCGATGGGGAGGGGGTCGGTCGAGGACGACAGCGAGGTGGGCGAGAAGTAGTCGTTGAGGACGAGGTCGAACGTGGACGAGCGGGCTGGGTTCTGTGCGGTACGAGGTAGGGTCAGTCGCCGGTCGAGAGGAGTCGAGAGGAGGAAAGAAAGGAGGGGCGCACGTCGACAGCTGCGCCTGCGACGAGGGCACGGTCTCCGAGCTCGACGACGGTGACGACAAACTCGAGGCTCGACTGCTGGTGCTTGTAGCGGAACTTGAGCTCGCCGGCCGACGAGTGGGGGGGCCACTCGTCGGGGAGGCGGTTGGCGTGGTGGTCGTCGCCGGTGAGGGGCTGGGGCTGGGTGAGGCGGAAGCCGAGGGCGGTGTGGATCGTGTGGACGATGAGGGCGAGGGCCTGGACGGGCGAGGCGAGAGTGCACGACGACGAGACGAGTTGCGGGGCGAGGGCGAGGAGGGCGTCCGACGAGAGCGGGTCGGGGGCCATGGCGGGGGGTGCGACGTTGACAGTCGCGGTGTCTGAGCTGCTGTGCACTCGGGCGAACAGGCCAGAGCAAGCTGGACGAGGGAGAGGAGAGAGAGCGAGGCGTCGTCACCGTCCAGGTGGGGGCGCCCTCCTCGCCTCGCTGTGCTCAAGGTCCCGGCTGTACAAGCCATGCGAGTGCTTCATGTGAGCGATGAACCGAAGCAATGTACGCCCAGAGGCGAGGGAGAGGCGGCGAGTTGGTCGTCGCCTTGGTCCGCCTCCGCCTCGACCCTTGCTCCTCACCTTCGAGCGACGCGCACCGAGCCCAGCCATGGCCACCGCCCAGTTCGAGTCCATTTTCCACGGCCTCGCGCCAGCGAGCGGCAGTGCGTCCGCCCTCTCCTTGCCCCCTTCCTCGTCCTCATCGCGAGACGCGACTTGCACGCGTTCACCTCGCTCACCAGCCCGCCCTGTGCCCCTGCAGAGCTCCGCATCGCGCCCTCGGGCCTCGGATGGAAGTCGTCCGACGAGAACGAGGCCGTCGTCACCGTTCCCGGCAGCGACATCAAGTGGATCCAGTGGATCCGGTCCGTCCTGTTCTCCCCCTCGCCTCTCGACCGCGACGAGCTGCGCACGAGCTCACCTGCCCACCTGTGCAACACCGACAGCGTCGCGCGCAACTACCAGATGCGCATCGGCACCAACAAGAAGCGCACCACGTTCGACGGCTTCCTCAAGGAGGACTTTGAGCGCCTCGGCAACCTCTGCAAGCAGGTGCGCCTCGCCCATCCTCCTCTCTGTCCTCCTTCGCACCGATTGACACGCCCTCTCGCGCACCCCTGCAGTACTACAACATCTCGATCGAGACCAAGGACATCAGCGTGAGGGGGTGGAACTGGGGCGTCGCAGAGGTCCAGGGTGCGTCCTCAGTCTCTCTCGTGCGCTCAGCGTGTCGTACCGCAAGGCCGAGGAGGCTACGCGGGCCGCGACTAGCGATTCACGCCAGTCCCGACTGACCCCCTGCATCCCCTCCCTTCTTCGCGCACAGCCGACGACCTCGCGTTCCTCGTCGCGGGCAAGCCCGCCTTCACCATGCCGCTGCACCTCGTCCAGAACACGTCCATCACCAAGGCCGAGGTCGCGCTCGAGTTTGGCTCGGCCCTGCCCGCACCCCCCGCCGAGGGGTCCGAGGACGCCGTCGCGCGCAAGCGTCGCCTCAAGAACCAGCCTGACGAGGTGAGCGAGATGCGCCTGTACATCCCGGGCTCGGCGCGCGGCATGAAGAAGAAGGGCGACAAGGCCAAGGCCAAGGCCGAGGGCGTCAAGGCCGGCAGCGGCGACGAGGACGAGGACGAGTCGGACGAGGACGAGGGCGCCGAGGGCGAGGACGGCGAGGCGGCCGCGATCGCGTTCAACGAGGCCGTCAAGGACAAGGCGCAGATCGGCGTCATCGCGGGCGAGACGCTGTGCACCTTCCCCGAGGTCCTGTGCACGACGCCTCGAGGCCGGTTCGACATTGACCTGTACAGCGACTTTATGCGGCTCAAGGGCAAGACGTACGACTACCGCGTCACCTACACCCAGGTCCAGCGCCTGTTCCTCCTCCCGAAACCGGACGAGCTCCACTCGCAGCTCGTCGTCAACATCGACCCGCCCATCCGCCAGGGCCAGACGCGGTACCCGTACCTCGTCATGCAGTTTGTCAAGGACGAGGTCATGGAGATCGACCTCAACATCGACGAGTGCGTCCCTCGCTCTCTCTCTCTCTCTCCTCGCATCCTCGTCGTCGTCACCGCCTTCTTCCCCTCGTCCTCTCTTTCCTCGTCCATAGACTGACTTCTTGTCCTCTTCGCACGTACAGGGACACGATCCGGGACAAGTACAACGGCAACCTCAAGCAGCACTACGACGACCCGGCGTACGAGGTCGTGTCGCTCCTGTTCCGCGTCCTCACCGAGAAGAAGGTCATCACGCCTGGAAACTTCCTGTCGTACGTCTCTGCCTTCCTCTCTATCTCTCCTCGGCGGGGTGCGTGTGCAGCGACCCTAGACTGACGACCCTCGTCCCCCTCGTCTCGCCCACCGCCGCGCAGGCACGACAACCACGCCGCCGTCAAGTGCAACCTCAAGGCCAACGAGGGTCAGCTCTACTTCCTCGAGAAGCAGCTCCTGTTCATCTCGAAGCAGCCGACGCTCGTCTCGTTCTCGGAGATCTCGGCCGTCGTCCTCGCTCGGTGCGTCCTCGCGCCCTTTCCCGTCTCTCCCTCCCTCGCGTGCAGGCTCGAAACCAGCATCTGACGGGTGGATCCTGGTGCGCGTTCTGCAGTGTCGGTGGTGCGCTCCCGTCTGCGCGCACGTTCGACCTCGCGATCCGGCTCAAGGACTCGACCTCGTCGGCGCCGCTCGTCTTCTCGGCCCTGTCCAAGGAGGAGCTGAGCAACATCACCGACTTTCTTCAGACCAAGAAGATCAAGGTCAAGAACGAGATGGACGAGCTCGCGGCGGCCGAGGCCGAGGCGCTCGGGGCGGCCGTCATGGAGAGCGACAGCGACGACGACGCGATGAGCGTCGACGAGGACAAGCCGGTGAGGAGGCCTGGCGCGGACGCGATGGACGAGGACGACGAGTCCGAGGGTGCGTCCTCTCTTCCTCTCTCCCTTGCCTCCTTCCTGCGGCCGCCGAACGAGACTGACCCTCTCGTCCCCCCTCCCCTCCCCACGCTCTGTACCCGCAGTCGACGAGGACTTCCAGGCGTCGTCGTCGGACGGCGGGAGCGCGACGAGCGACTCGGGCGACGAGGACGCGAGCGACGCCGACGACGCGGCGAGCGAGGCGGCCAAGCCCAAGAAGAAGAAGCAGAAGACGGCGGACTGAGCTAGGGCGGCGCGAGGGTGTCCGGGTCGGGCTTGGCTGGGCTTGTTGGGTGTACGTAGTTGCGAGGCTTTGCGATCCCGTTCCGTCTGCGCGGCGCTCTGCGGCGGTGAGAGAGCGAGCGAGGCTCGAAAGGAGCTTGGTGTCGCGCTCGCGGATCTCTCTCGGGCGGGCGCGCAGCAGATGTGAAAGCCTGCAAGGAGTGCGAGTCCAACGACACGATGCGCCGAGCGAGAGGCGAAGGAAGCGATGCTTTGTGAGACGCGCCTCGCCGCGGCGAAGACGAGGAGGAGAACGGCCGGGCTCGCTCCCCTCGCACCCTCGCCTGAGCATGCTCGGCACCATGGACCCGCCTCCGACACCGCGTCGACGCCCGCTGTCGGCCTACTACCCACCGCCCTCGCCCTCGTCGTCCTCGGCGGCGGCGTACCAGGTTGACCGAACCCGCTCGCCGCCGCCGTCCCCCTCGACCGCCCAGGGCAGGGTGCAGCGCACACGGCCCGCCCACCAGGGGCACAGGAGCACCAGCTCGCTGTCGAGCCTCGCCCAGCTCAACCTCGCGCCGACCCACGCGCCTCCCGCGACCTCGACCACCACCTCGACCTCGTCCTCGTCGACCATGACCCACTCGCCGTCGCTCTCGCGCGGCTGGGACGCCGCCGACTTCAGCAGCTCGCTGCGCAGGAGCAACTCGATCTTGACCAGCTCGGCCACGCCCTGGGGCGAGCGCACCCACTTTGGCGCCCAGGGAGGGGGCGGTGCACTCGGGCACGCAGGAGGAGGAGCAGGGGGACAGGGAGGGCTCGACGGGTCGAGGAGCTTCGAGCAGGTGCAAGAGCGGACGTTCGTCAGATGGTGCGTCTGCGCTCTCTCCCACTCTCTCGACGTCGGCCGTGCGGAACTGACTCGTCCTCCTCGCGCAGGGTCAACTCGCGTCTCGAGCCGAGCGGCTTCCTCCCCGTGCAGGACCTCGGTACCGCGTTCAGCGACGGCACGCGCCTCATCCAGCTCGTCGTGCGCCCGGCCTTCCTCTCTCTCTCTCCCCCCGCTTCCTCGAGCCACCTCTGATCTTTCCCCCACGCCGCGCAGGAATCGCTCACGAACGAGTCGCTCGGCAAGTTCAACTACCAGCCGTACCTGCGCGTCCAGAAGGTCGAAAACGCGGCAAAGGCGCTCGACCGCATCAAGGAGATGGGCGTGCACCTGACCAACATCGGCCCCGAGGGTGCGTCCTCTTCTCGCCGCATGCTCTCGAGCCGTTCGTGCTGAGTCGCACGACTGGGGAGCTCACGTGGTTCATCTCCCGGGACGCAGACATCGTCGACGGTCGCAGAAAGCTCATCCTGGGCCTCATCTGGTCGCTCGTCCTGCGCTTCTCCATCGCCGAGATCAAGTGCGTCCTCCTTTCCCTCCCCCTCCTCGTCGTCGAGCGCTCTGACGTCTCGACCGTTCCACAGCGAGGAGGGCAGCTTGGCCAAGGAGGGCCTGCTCCTGTGGGCGCAGCGCCGCACGGCGCCCTACGCCGAGGTCGACGTGCAGGAGTTCTCGACCTCGTGGCGGGACGGCCTCGCCTTGTACGTCCCTTCTTCCTCTCTCTCTATGTCTCTCTCGATCTGCCTTTGCCCTCGGGCAAGTGCGGCGCACTGACAGTGGGCAACTCGCGCGCAGCTGCGCCCTCATCCACGCGCACCGCCCCGACCTCCTCGACTACTCGGCGCTGCGCAAGGACCCGACCTCGGCGGCGTACAACCTCGAAAAGGCGTTCTCGGTCGCAGAGGAGAGCCTTGGGATCCCGGTGCGCCGTCCTCGTCCTCTTCCTCCTCCCCTGCACGAGCTCGATGCGGTCGAGGAAGGATGGTCGACTGACGTCTGGAACGCGCGCAGAGGCTGCTCGAGGTCGAGGACTTGGTCGGTACGCGCAGGCCCGACGAGCGCAGCGTCATGACGTGCGTGGCGCAGTACTTTCACGCCTTCTCGTCGCGAGGTGCGTCTCCTCGGTTCCACTTGTCTCGAGGGCTCTCGCAGCATCAGCTCGAGAGACGACACTGACCCTGTACCTGCGTCCGCAGCACAAGCCGAGACCGAGGCCAAGGTCATCGGCCGCTTCGTCGACGAGATGAGCGGGCTCATGCTGTCCGTGCACGACTACGAGCAGCGCGTCACGGCTGTGCGTCTCCTCCTCTCTCTCTCCCGTCGTCTGCCGACACTTATCTTATACCCTCGTCGCAGCTCCTTACGTCCATCCACGCCTACCTCTCGGACCTCTCGACCTCGTCGCCCAACCCGTCGTCTTCGTACCCTGCCCTCGTCGCCCACCTCACCTCGCTCGCGTCGCACCGCCGCGGTCCGACACGCCTGTGGGCCCGCGACAAGCTCGCGACGCAAGAGCTGCTCGGCAACATCCGCGTTAAGCTCGAGACGTACCGCCTGAGGGGTTACGACGCGCCCGAGGGCTTGAGGGTCGAGGTGCGTCCGGCTGTCCACCCCTGTCGGCCGAATGCTCTGACGAGCGGTACACTGACTCGTGCGATCTGCCGACGCAGGACGTCGCCAACTCGTGGGAGGAGCTCACGTCGGTGCAGTCGGAGCGGGCGAGACTCGTCACCGGGCTCATTCAGCGGTCCGTCCCTCCTTCCCTCCTCCTCCTCTCCCTTGAGGCTCATCAGAGTACAGTCTGACGCTCCTCTTGCACGGTGACAGACTTCAAGAAGAAGCTCAGGCGCGGTACGTCGCTCAAGCCGAGGCGCTCGACGAGGCGCTCTTCAGCGCTCAAGGCGAGCTCGCCGCCATCGCGCTCCCGGCCAATGTGCGTCGTCAGGCTCCTCCTGGACCCTCTCTCTTCGACGAGGCAGCGCATTGACCCTCACGACCCATCCGCAGCCTCTCCCGGTCCAGCTCTTGGCTCTCGACCGTCTCGCCGCATCTCGCCTTCCGGCCTTGCGTCACTCGCTCGACGGTGTCCTGGGCGCACGAGACGCCTGTGCGGCGTGCGACGCGCTCGACAACAAGCTCGAGGCGCTCGCGAGCGGCGTGGACGAGCTCGAGAGCGCGGTTGGCGAGGTCGAGGCGGCGGTCAAGGCGCGCAGGAGCTTCGTCGAGAACCAGGTGCGTCCTCGTCCCCCTCTTTCTGTCATCTCGTCGCCCTATGTCGGGAACCGCTGCTCACGCACCTCGAGCCGTACCGCAGATCATTGCCCGCAAGGCGACGTCGCTCAGCCCCGAGCAGCTCGAGGACATCTCGTCGGCATTCCGCACGTTCGACAAGGAGGCCAAGAACGCCCTCGACCTCGACGAGCTTGCGGGAGCGTTGGGCAGCCTGGGCGTGCCCGAGGTGGTGCGTCGACCGTCCTCTCGTCCTCGCCCGTCGACGTTGGCGACTTAGGAAGGTCGAACTGACTCGGCTCGCGCTCGCAGGACCTCGACGACCTCAAGCAGGACGACAATGGTCTCGTCCGCTTCGACGAGTTCCTGCGGTTCATGGTGCGTCCCGCCTTCCTCTGGTTGCGCCCGCCGCGTCTTCAGTTGCTCACCGTGCCCGACCCCGCCCTCCAACCCTCCTTCCTCGGCCCGACCTGCCGGATCGCCCGATTCCTCCTCCGTCGTTATCTTCCACCGGACGACCGACCTCCTCCTGCAGACCGAGCGCGCAGAAGATCGACCGTCGGCAAGCAGGCTCCGCACCTTGTTTCGCTCGGCCGCTAGCGACAAGGTTCGTCCACGTTCTCCTTTTCCTTCGCCTTGTCTCTCTCTCGGCGGCCCGCCGCTCCCGTCGACTGCCTCCTCCCGCCGTGGGCGACTCTGCGCACGCCCGCCGCCCCGGCCGGGCGAGCAAGCCAAGCCTCGGACGACCGCGTCGACGCCGGCGTCGCTCTTCCGCATCGCCCCGTCGAGCCTCGGCTCACTCTCGTCCTACGAGTCGCCGAGCGAGCCAATACAGAGCCTCGTCGCTCGTGTCCCCGAGCATCATGCCTGACCCTCCCCTCATTGCCTTTCCGCCCCCGACACAGCCGTTCATCACCGACCTCGACCTTGCGCGCCTGTCGCTCCCGGCTGCGGCGGTCGCGTTCCTCAAGGAGCACATGCCGCGCGCCGCCGCCCTCGACACGAACGGTGGTCGCCCCGACGACGACGGCAGCGACGGGTTCGACTACGAGAGCTTCCTCGAGCAGTTCTGCGAGGCATAGAGACGGGCGCTCGAGCCTCGTCCACAGACACTTTCTCTCCTTGTTGTAGCTCTCTCTCTCTCTTTCTCTGTGCTGCAACGCTCTCGTTCGCCTCTCTCTCTCTTGCACACGCTCGCCGAGAGTACGCGCTGGAGATAAAAGGCATTGCCTCGAGAGAACACGAGCGAAAAGAGGGGGATCTAGTGGTCGACAACACCGACTGCGAGAGGGGAGAGCGACGACGCAGAGAGAGGGGTAACGTTGGGAGAGAAGCGAGACGACGGCTCGCTTGGCGTACCGTCAGTAAGCCTGGCGGATCGGTGCCGGGCTCCAGGGCGAGGCCTGAGCTTGAGCGGCTGGCGGCGGCGCAAAGCCGTACGGCTGGCTCGACTGGCCCGACGACGGCGTGCTGCTGTAGTTCTGCCCTGCCTGCGACGGCTGCCACGGCGCGTGCGTCAGGCCCGAGAGGGACGAGGGCGGCCCGGCGTAACGAGCCTGGAGGGGCGCGAGGGGAGCGTACGACACGCTCGACCTCGGCGACGCGTACTCGCCGCTAGCGTTCGTCGTCGAGGCCGGGTGCGCATGGTGGCCGAGCGGCGGGACCGTCTCGACGAGGCCAGGGAGGCCAACGACCTCCTGGAGCGGCGACTGCTCCGGCGACGGCGTGTGGTACGAGTGCGCGCCGCCCTTGCTCGGGGCGATCGGGTGGTACGACGACGCGAAAGGCGAGGGGTCGTACGCCATGTGCGACGCCGGGACGAACGCCGACGAGGAAGGGCCCGCCGCCGCCGAGTGGTGGTACCCGTGCGAGTGCGCCGACGACGACGACGCCGCCGCCTCGAAGAACGTGTTGCTCGTCGGGCTGAACGTCGGCGTCGGGTACGGCGACGCGCTGAACCCTTGCGGGATGGCGTGCGGCTGCGACGAGTGGTGCCCGTCGAGGTAGACGTGCTGGTGGTGCGGGTCGTCGGCCGGCATGCAGTTCGACGACGACGCCTTGCGCAGTCGAGGACGGTGCTCCTCCTGGAGGCTCGACAGCGTCGACGAGTAGCCGGACGACTCGCCCGCCAGCATCGACGTCGGCGTGAGCTTGAACTCGCCGAGGCTCGAGCGGCGTGGCGGCGCGTAATGGTCGCCGTCGCCGCGGTTCGGGTCGAGCCATGCGCCCGTTGTTGGGGCGTATGCACGCCACTGCGTCGTCTCGGACGAGGTGCGAGGAGGGACGGCGGGCGAGTTGAATGAGGAGCCGAAGCTCGGAAGCTGGAGGGTCGGGCGGTCGGCAGGGAACGACGAGCGGTAGTCGGTCGAGGGTGGCCATGCCGGCATCGGGTACGGGTGCAGGTTCGACGGGTACGTCTCGTCGGACGCCGTTGAGCACTCGCTCGCGCGGCGGCCCTTCTCGGGGCGCGTGCGCGCCTTGCGGACGATCTTGGAGAGCTGGGTCGGGTCGCCGCGAACGAAGAAGCCCGAGGGGTGCCTGCACGACGACGACGAGCCTGTGAGTACGGTGACTTGGGGCTGAGTCGACGAGGAAGGGGGTGGACGACGTACTGGAAGAGGACATAGCCCGGGTTCGAGTTGCGCCGCTCGGTCGAGCGTCGGCGGTCCGACAGGCGGCGGAACGAGTAGTACGACAGCTGACGCTGTGCGCAAGGAAGAGGCTCACAGTCAGCGGCGCGAACGTGCTCGTCGACTGCGACGAGCCGAGTGAGAAGCGAGGCGGGGCGAGGGGAGGGGAAAGGCGAGGAGAGCTGGGACGCACGATAAAGCTGCTGAGCCTGGAAGCGAGGCAAAGACGCGGGGGACGAGGTCAGTCGCCAATTTCGAGCACTGGGCGTCGCAGGGCTGGAGGAAGTCGAGCGACGCACGAGCGGAACTCGAAGGCTGGGCTCAACGCGTGGATCGCGACCGCGTCTTTGCTGCTGATCTCGAACGAGTCGTCCGTGACCCAGCGCAGGCCGTTCGGGTCGAGCGGGTTCTCGAGAATGCTGTCGACGAGGGAAAGGGAAAAGGGGAACGAGCGGGCAAGGTCAGGGCCGACGTTCTCGCGCCGCGCGGTCGAGACTGAAACGAGAGGACGCACGAGTGTAGCTTGGCGAGGAAGTGGCTACGCGGCGCCTTGGGAGGCGGAGCGACGGCGGTCGACGACGACGAGGCCTCCATCTTGGGCGGTGACAAAAGGAAACGGCCGGGTCGAAGATTCGCGAACTGCGGCGCGAGGCGAGCGAGGCCCGATGACACGGCAGGCGAAGGTCGTCGCGAGAGAGAGCGAGGCGGTGCGGCGTTCACGTGTTGCGGGAGGTCGCGTCGAGTACCGACGATGGCGGGCTGAACTTGGCGTCGAGCGGTGCGAGTGCGTCGGTCCGGGTGCGCACACGTAAGGAGGGGAACTCGTAGAGCGGCGGCCGGTATGAACGACGATGAGGAAGAGCGAGAGAGGAGAGTTGGAGCTGCACGCATGCGCCTGCCGCTCGCTCTCGAGTCCGACCCGCACGATGAGCGGGCTGCGCGGTTCTGCCGCTGCACCCTTGAACTCTGCAGTCGGAACCTTGCGCTATCCGAAAACGGAAGCGCTCCAAATGACAAGCTCTGCCCCCGTGCCTTGCAGGCTTGACCCGACCTCCCGGCCGCAGCGACACCGGCCCCAGACCCGGACGCTCCTCGCGCCTGCCCACGCGCAGAGCGTCGTCCGCCCGCCGGCCGAGCGCGACAAGGACGTCTAGCCTGCTGCTGCGGAACGCGCTTGAGCGAGGCCGCATGCGCCGCAACTGTGGGACCGAGGCGGGCTGCCGGCGGCCTGAGCGGACCTTCCCAAGTCGACGTACCCGCCTCGATGGCCGCACAATTGCACGGGACGATGTGTCGCTGCAGCTCTCTCCCGTGCAGTATGAACGCGGACGATCGCGCTTGTGAGGAGCGACGATCACCTTATCCTCCAGCAGAGTTGGCCCGACTCGCGCGAATCTCTCCCTCTCCCCGGACCGCCTGTCGAACCTCGATTGCGAAGTGCTCAACCGACCCGGCGTCGGGCTCGTCCCTCCCCCAGCTCCCGAGAGAGGTGCGTCAGACTTTCGCATGCGAACAAGCTTTGCGAGCCTTTCGCAACGAGCGGCGGCCAGGAACTCCGGCGTCGGGAAAGAGCTGCAAGCTGTCGACCCTGCCGCTCCGCCCTCCGCCGACTCGCCGACTCGACCGAGAGCTCGAGGCTCGAACGACGCGTACGCGGCACGAGAGAAAGGCAGCTTTTCTGGCGACTTTCCACGGTTCGTCGCTCAAGGGGCGCTCAGGCGCTGCCTCCGGCGACGCCTCCGACGCGATCATTGCTCGCTTCTGACTGGAAAGAGCGCTCTCGAGGCACATGCCAAGCCTGCAGGCCATCTCGCCGCTTCCGGGCGCCGGCCCGCTCTGCGCCCATGAAATCAGAGCGCTCGACACCACGCGCAACGACGAAGGCGTGCCGCTGCGGCGACGACGACGGCGCGCTCCTTCTGTGCACCTCGCGGTCTGGTCGTATCTCCGTCGCTCTCGATCGGACATGGGCAGGAGAGAAAGAGAGAGAGAGAGTTGCAGGGCCTTCTACAGGAGGTCGAACGAGAGGATCACGCGTGAGGAGGACGCCCGTCGTTGATCGGCTCCTTGGGCAGGTCGTACTGTGCGACTGCGGGTGGCGAAGAAGGGCGAGCACGAGTGAGCGATCAAGAACAAGGTGCGGCAAAGGCCGAAACTCGAGAGGGCGAGGAAAGGCGACGCACGGCAATCATGAGCCCAGTCGATACTCGCCAGGCGACGTTGGGTGGCCGAGACGAATGTGTCGAGCGGGCACATGCCGTCGCGGTTGTCGCCACAGCCCTCGATCACGTCGAGCGGGACGACGCCGTCGTTGAGGATCCACCGCACGAAGCGCGCCGTCTCGCCGTCGTCGCGACCCTCGACCGGGCACGACAGGACCTGCGAGTGCAGGTTGGCGGCAAAGGGCGAGATGGACGACGTGACGAACGACAGGTTGTCCGGGATGCGGTCCGACGGGAGCGGGCCCGAGCGCGCGAACGACGAGAAGCCGAGGGTCGTGATGACGGCCGAGATGATCGTGTCGTGCGTCGCGTCGACGTACAGGCGTTGGTCGAGCGGGAAGTACTGGCTCGTGTGCAGCGTCGAGTTGGTCGTCGAGTTGAACTCGCCGAGCGGCTGCTTGAGCGTGCGGGCGAGCCACTCCTGGACCCACCCTTTGCCGACGGCAGCTTGCGCAGGTTGGCCGAACGCTGCGGGCGAGCGAAGCACGGTAAGGGCGGGCGCTCGAGGAAGAGAGGAGAGAGGGGCTTGAGCGCACAGAAGATGTCGTAGAACTCGATGTCGTGGGCGTAGCCGAACCCGCGCCACTCGTCCTCGTTAAAGAGAGGGCAGAACGCGCTCCCGCCGAGCGCGACGAGCTCGTAGGCGCACATGAGCTGCATCTGCAGGCGAGAGAGAGGGCGGTGAGTGGACCGGACGAGGATGGCGAGAGAGAGAGAGCGAGGGACGCACGTTGAACAGGTCCCGGTGCGACAGCTCGACGCCCTCGACTTGCTCCTGCAGCCGCACTCGTGCAGGCTCAAGGTACTGCTTCATCCACAGGGCCATCTTGCGCGGGCCTCGGGTGAGGTCGAGCCGGTTGGCGTTGGTGCACGTCATGTATGGTGACAGCGTGTTGTTGAACGCGGGCCACTCGATCGTGACGAGCTGGTGGTACTTGTCCTCGAACGGGACTATGGGGCAGAGAGAGAGTCAGTCAAAGACGAAAGAGGGAGAGAGAGAGGCGCGAGCGAGACGACGACGCACTGCCCCAGAACCCGGCCGCAAAGTTGAGCGCCGACGCGTGCATGCGGTCCTGCGTGCGGCACCCGAATCAGTCGAGGCGAGGGACAGAGAGAAAGGGGAACGAGCGCGACGCACCTGGCTCTCGGTGCGGAACACGGGCTTCTTGCCCTCGTCGAGGAGGTGGCCGTACTTGGTGCGGAACGAGACGCCGAGATTGAACAGCTGCTCGCGCCCGAACGGCGTCAGGATCTCGGCGCCGAGCTTGTACTCCCACTTGTTGAGGAACGACAGGTTGCCGGAACTGCGAGCGCGACGAGACGCAGTCAGTCCTCGACGACCTCGCTCGTCGACCCGGCCTCGAGGCGGACGAGGGACGCACCCCTTGAAGCCCTCGGCGCCGACGACATCTTTTGCGAACGCTGCAGGCCCTGCGCCCGTTGTCGGGTAGCGAGCGCCGTGGCTGTTGCGCGGCAGGGAGGGCCAAAGATCGTCAGTTGTCGACGGACGAGGTGGTACGACTTGAGCGTGAAAGGGCGAGGGGCGGAATTACCGGTGAAGGAGCTGGACCTGGCAGGGATAAAGGCGATTGAAAGGTCAGGAGAGTTCCCGTGCGGGAGCGAGTCCGCTACAGGAAGACGATCGCGAAAGTGGTGGGCAGGTGGGCTCGACATGAGGGCCTGGGCGATCCACTCTGTCGAGCGCGAAGGCGCGCGAGACGGAGGCGAGCGGTCGCGAGACGAGGGGATCGCATCGCGAACGACGGGGTGGAGCGAGGGAGGGGCTGGACGACGAGAGAGACGGCGGACGCACCTCTTCGACCGTGCAGCCGGCGGGAACTTGAGCGGTCGTCCTCAGGCCGTGGTTGACGGTGCGCCACGGCGACAGGTTGCCGAGGTGATGCAAGATGTTGAACTGTGGCACGCAGACGTCAGTGCACGATCAAAGTTGAGCTCATCGAGTCGAGGAGAGGACGGACCGCTCGAGACGGCGCAGGCGGGTTGAGGGGCGACGAGTCGAAGTTGACGGGGTAGCTGGTCGCGGCGGCGAACGCCTCCTTGCCCTGCGGGTCGAGACGTATCAGTGTCTGCTCTCTGATGCAGGGAGCGAGGCGACGCACCGTTGGTGTCGGGCCCTCGTAGCCCACACGCGAGGGGAAGGCCGGGTCGTCCTCCCACCGCTCGTCTCGGTCTCGCCGGTCCAGGTACGACGTGCCGAACGCGAGCCACAGCAGGCCGACACCAAAGCACCCGAGCACGACCCACGCCCAGGCAATGCGGCCGCGAGACCGGCTCGTGTTGTGGTGGAGGTCGGATGAGGACGCGGCGGGCGAGGTGGACGAGGGGACGGGCGCAGGGAGCAAGGGCGCGTTCGAGTCGAGGTCCGAGTCGTCGGCGGCGTGGTTGCGTGGTGCAGGAGCCATGCTCGCTCTGTCGGGCGAGAGGCGCGGGTTGACGAGGAGCGAGGGAGGGAGCACCGCCTCGTCGCTTTGTTTCAAACTTTCGCTCGACCAGAGGTGCTCTACAGCGTGCATTGCCATGCTCTGTTCTACAAGACGAGTACCCCCGCTCACTTGCTCATGCCCGTCGCCGCCGTCCACGCCGCCTTGATCAGCTCGGCGACGCCCTCGACGCCGTCGTTGTTCTTGACCGACGTGAACAGCGTCGGCCCGTGGTCGCGCATCTTGTCGGCGTCGCGCTTCATGACGTCGAGCGACGCGCCGACGTACTGGGCGATGTCGATCTGCGCGAGAGCGAGAGGGGGAGAGAATGCGACGTGAGCTGGCGGCCGCGGCGAGCGCTCGAGAGGGAGGATGAGAGAGAGAGAGAGGGCGCACCTTGTTGACGACGAGCAGGTCCGACTGCGAGATACCGGGTCCGCCCTTGCGAGGAATCTTGTCGCCTGCGAGACCGAGAGAGCGCCGTCAGCTTCTCGCTCGCACGAGCCCGCCTGGACGAGGAGGGCGCCGTGCTCACCGCCAGACACGTCGATAACGTAGATGATCTAGCTCGGGGAACGGAGAGTAAGTTCACGTTGCCGGAGAGACGCGAGAGGCTCGGAAGGCCGGGCTCACGTAGTCGGCAAGCTCGCGCGAGTAGTTTGCTGCGAGGAGGCGAAGGTCAGGATCTCGCCGGCGACAGGTTCCATCGCGATAAGGGCGCACCTGCAAGGTTGTCGCCTCCACTCTCGACGCTGTGTGTGACGATGAGGGTGCGAGGTGAAGATATGTCGACGAGCGAGTCGAGGGAAGAGGTGGGAGGGAGGGCGGCGAGGACAGAAAGGGGTGTCAGCGCCCGCTCGGGTTCGGCGAGACGCAGACAAAGGAAGAGAGATGGCACGCACAGGAGAAGCTCGCACTGGTAGGTTGCCTGCAAGTCCTCCAACGCGCCGAGGTTGGCCGAGATGTCCTCTCTGCGAGCGAGCGAGAGAGTCAGGATCGTTCGCGGCCGGCCCGGCTCGACGGCGGTAGCGTCCGCATGGTGCGAGTGAACGGAGGGACTGACCGGATGGCGGCATGAGGGCATCCACCTGTGGAAGAAAGCAGAGTCAGTGCTCTCTCGGCCGGCGAGGACGAACCAGCGGGAGGCAGCCGCACCCGTCTCGATGGCGCGGATCCGGCCCGGGTCGGACAGCGCCTCGTTGCGGATGAGGAACTCCTGGTCCTCGCGCGTGAAGATGTCGTTCGTGACGACGGCTGCGAGGAGCGAGAGGGTGAGCCAGCTGGCGAGGTGCGAGAGAAGGGGGAAGAGAGAGCGGACGCACCGATGTTGTGCGTGTCGCGGAAGTAGCGGCACAGGGCGAGAGTGAGGGCCGTCTTGCCGGAGCCAACAGGCCTGTGTCGGGGCGAGAGAGTCAGCCTCGGCATCAAGTGAAGAGGGAGAGGTCGAGGGGGGAGAGGGACGGACCCGCCGATGCCGATGGTGAAGGCGCGCTGGTTCCAGTCACGGCCGCTAAAGTCGGGCATGTCGCGCTCGGTGAACTTGCCTGTGCATCGAGGGCGAGGGAGAGATTAGCCAACTCCGCTCGTCGATGTGGGGGGAAGTCGTCCTCGACAGGCTCGCCTCGCCGGGGAACGGGCAGGGGCGGAAGAGGGGCGCACCAGGGTGCTCCATGATGTCGTGCGTGTGGCCGTGCTCTTGCGCGCCGTGCGAGTGGTCGTGGCCGTGGTCGTGGTCGTGGTGGTGAGCGGGCGCTGCTCCACCGAGCGCAGGGGCCGGGATGAACTGGGCGGTGGGGGCCATGGCTGAGAGTGTGCTTGTCCGAGTGTCGAGATCAGCAGCACAGCCGGTACGCTGAGGGTCGTTGGCGACAAGCTCTCGGCCGCTCGTCCTCCCATCTCTCTCCTCCTCCGCACCCGTCGCCCCGCCTCCTGTGCGCTCGACGGTACTCGCGATGGTACACTTGCTACATCTGGCTGTCTGGCTCCGCGTGCAGGCAGCGCACGCCGCCTCCCACCCTCTCCTCGGCTCTCCCGCTCGCCTCGCTTCCGTCACACGAGCGAGAGCAGATCAGCTTGTTCGCCAGCACGAGCAGATCTTTCTTCGCTTCCCGTGAGCCCTACTGGCGCATAGTGGTGCCTCAGGCCCGTGAGCGGCGCACCCAGGGCGCTTTCCCAGCCCCGAGTCGCCTTCTTCAAGGGGCAGCTCGCCGAGTCGGCCCTGGCTTCGTCCGACGCAGGGTGCTCAAGCTCGCTTTCGGCTCGTACGAGGGCTGCGCAGGCACTCGAGCTTGAGGCGGCCTTGAGCGCTTCCCCGACGGGCACGAGTCAGGCGACTACGGCCTGTGCAAGGAGGACATGTGGTTCGGCAAGACGACGTCGACGTTCTGCGGCACGCCCGAGTTCATGGCGCCCGAAATCATCCTCGAGCAGCGGTACGGGCGCATGGTCGACTGGTGGGCGTTCGGCGTCCTCATCTACGAGATGCTCCTCGGCCAGTCGCCGTTCCGAGGCGACGACGAGGACGAGATCTTTGACGCCATCCTCGAGGACGAGCCGCTGTACCCGATCCACATGCCTCGCGATAGCGTGTCGATCCTGACGAGGGTACGTCCCCGTCGCTCTCTCTCTCTCGTCCTCCTCGACTCGTCGCCCGCATGGACCCCCTCGCTCACCTTGTCCTCCTCCCTCCCTCCTTCTCTTCCTCCTCCCCGTCGTCGTTCGCCTACGACCTCGCTACCGTCCCTGTCGTCCCGCACCTCTCGACGCCCTCTCGCCTCGTCGTCGCCCTGGCCCTCCTCTGCCCTCGACCTCATCTCGCTCCGACCCGCCTCGCTTCGCCCCGCCTCTTCTCGCCCGTCGACCGACACGCATACAGCTCCTCACCAAGGACCCGGCCCGCCGACTCGGCGCGAGCGAGGCCGACGCCGCCGAGATCAAGTCGCACCTGTTCTTCAAGGACACCAACTGGGACGACGTCTTCCACAAGCGCATCCCGAGCCCGTTCTACCCGGCCATTGTGCGTCTCGCCGCTCTCTCTCTCTCTATCTCCTCCCTCGCGTAACCGTGACCTGACCCTTTTCAACTCGCCTTTCCTCCTCCTCCTCCTCCTCCTCTCTCGCTCGCCCACTCGCACAGTCCTCGGCCACCGACACGTCCAACTTTGACAAAGAGTTCACGAGCGAGCAGCCGACGCTCACGCCCGTCCACTCGACCCTGTCGGCCAAGGACCAGCAAGAGTTTGCCGCCTTTGACTGGAGCGCGTCGTGGGCATAAGCCTCACTTCGACCCGGCGACGATGACGACGAGAGGGAGAGGGGCAGTCATTCTCTGTGTGCAACGACGATTGACGATTCACGACTGCGTCTCGAGAGCGAGGGCCTCGGTGGACGGGCGAGGCGAGGACCGAGACGAGGCCAGTCGACTTGAGAAGGTCGAGTTGCGAGAGAGCAGAGACAGAGACTGCGCCCGGCTTTTGAACGAGGAGGACGTGCGAGCAAGCTCAGACAGACGAGAGGGACGTGCGAGGCGCTCAACCCTCGAAGCTCGCCGAGGGAGAGAGGCAGTCGAGAGAGCATCCAGCGCTGGACGCTCGGGCCTCTCGCTCAGGACCCCTTGGATCAGGCTTCTCAACTCGCTCGTTCTCTCTTTCGCTGCGTGGACTCGCGCCAATAGATAGTCCAACGTCTGAGAGCATCGATACACAATCGCTCCAGGTCTTCTCGACCTTCCTTCCTCCTTCCACCGGCTCGCACTCCTGCCCGCTCGAACGCGCCAGACCAGGCGAGCGACGTCGTACGACTATGCGCTCGGCCCGACCGAAACACCCTGCAGGATTCACGGCCGAGTTGGTCAGGATGACTCGTGGTGAGGGCCGCGAAACGCTCTCGGCGGTGAGAGTGACGCACCAAGTCCTGGACGAGCCCGGTGTCGAGGTCGTAGAGCCATCCGTGAACCCTGTACGAGGCGTGAAGGAAGGCGAGGGCGAAGTAGGAGGAGGGGGAGAGCGTCAGGGGGGGAACTCAAAGCAACTTGAGAAGGTCCCGATCTCGACTCGAGGAAGGCGCAGAGAAGGCGGGGGGACGGACCAGAGCTCGACAGGCTCCTCTGACGCACGCCGGACGAGTCCTGTGGGCCGAGATAAGTCAGAAAGGAGAAAATCGACCGAATGAGAAATAGCCCTCGACGCACGATGACCTTGCATGCTCGTCGACGAGGCGGCGCCGGATGCGACAATCGACGACGCATGCTTTCCTTCGCTCCACTTGGCCCATGACTGCGGCTCGACGAGGTCAGTGCGACGTCCCGAGGTGAGAGAGGAAGAGAAAAGGGACGCACCCTTTGCACGGTCGAGTCGACGGCGACGCGCTGCACGTTCAGCTTGACGTTCTCCTCGACGACGGCCCGCCACACCTCGCTCGTCACGTCGTCGCCCGTCACCTTCTTGTCCTTGTGCGCGTTGCGGAACGAGGCGATCTCGGGGCGGGTCGAGGTCGCGTACAGCGAGCGGATCGGGCGCAGCCAGGTCTGTGCGCGGGCTCTGGGTCAGTCGCGAACGGCCGCAAGAGAGGACAAGAGATAGAGGAAGAGGACGTACGTCGATGCGCGTCTCGTCCATGTTGGTCAGGACCTCGTCGCTCGAGTCGGCGATTGCCGCTTTGACGGCGCCGCAGGACGTGTGGCCTGCGCGCTCGCCGCATCAGTCAGAGGATCGGCTCGACAAGAGTATCGAGGAAGTAGGGACGGACCCATGACGATGATGTGCTGGACGGCGACGTGGGCGACGGCGTAGCTGAGGACCGTCTCGCTCGACAGGTCGTCGACGAGGTACTGGTTCCCTGCGGACGTGTCACAAGCGCCTGGTTAGCGCAGGTGCTTCGGATCGAGCTATTCGAGGTTCGAGAAGCTCGCTCGAGAGCACGAGGTCGGTGGGGAGAGGAGGGGCTCGAGCGCGAGGGAGGACAGTTCGAGGGAGGAGACAGAAGGCGACGCACCGATGTTGCGAGTCTGCGTTTGTCGGAATGAGCAGGGGGGCAATATGTCCTCGCGGCGCGGCCCTGCTTGAGAGGAAAAGAGAGACGAGGACGCACGACAAAGAGCTCGCCCGGCTTGGTGTGAAGGATGGTGGTCTCGGGCACGCGCGAGTCGGAGCAGCCGACGTAGGCGAGCTGCGGGCGCATGAGAGGGAAGGTCAGTACTCGCTGATGTCGCTCCCGGCCAACCGGCGTAGCAGACTGAGGCAAAAGACGGCGAAAGAGGAATGCGGCGGACGCACCTTCGGCTTCTGCGCCTTGGCGAGCGAAGGGATGAGCGTCGGGTCGGTCGCCATCGTCTCGTTGACCCACTCCTGGTTGGCGGCAAAGAGCGCCTGCAGCTCAGGAAAGCGCTGCATGGCGCCCGTCGGGCTCGGGAGCGCGGCGTCCAGCGGCGTCGTCGCCAAGCCGTGCGCAGCTGCGCCCGTCGTGGCCGTCCCGTGTGGGCCGCCGGACGCCATGCCGAGAGAGCTCTGCATCGCCTCGCCCTGGGCGTCGAGCGCCGCCTTGTCGGCCATGCGCTGGCTGTCGGCCGCCTCGCTCGCCGCCCGCTCCTGCGTGCGCTTGGCGTACAGGACGCCGAGCACAGCGCCGATGCCGATGAGGATGACGAGGCACAAGACGACGACGGCGATGTAGACGCGGCGACGCGGCGAGGCCGCAGCCGCGGCCGAAGCCCTGCGGCGAGCGGGCGCTTGGGCCTCGGGGTCGTCGCGAGCGCGCTTTTGCTGCGCGAGCAGCGACTCGTCGTCGGTGCCGCTACCCTGGCTGCTGTGCGGGTGCTTCGTGAGGGCGGAGGGATCGGGAAGAGTCAGTGAGAGTCAAGGGCGCGGCGAGGCGAGGGCGTGCCCGGACGAAACGAGGAGCTGAGACGGACCAGGAGCTTGTGCATCGTCGTCTTGTTCAGCCCGAGGCTGCGCATGACCCTCACAGGCTTTTCCTCCTTCTCGTCCTGCCGCGAGCGCGCCTGCCTCGCCGCCTGGCGAGCTCTGCGCTGCGACCGCTCGTCCTCGAACGCCTCGCGCGCGCCGCCGAGGTCGTCGGTCAGGTCGGCGTCGCTGTCGCTGGCCGACGAGTCGCCCTTGTTGTCGCGGTAGTGCTCGCCCGATGCCATCGCGGCCGCGCGACGGGAGGACGAGGCGCGCACAGCGTCGCTGAGGGAAGAAGTCGAGTCGTCGCCTGAGTCGGACGAGACTGCTGAACGGCGCTGCGACATGGCTGCTCGTGGACGGTGGTGCAGAAGCAAAGGCTCGGGACGAGATGCGGCGGGCGCGCTCCAGCCGGACAGGGGCGAGCGCGGAGACTCCGACGAGAGGAGCGTGCGCGGACGGCTTGGCAGGTGTGCAGCCCGTTGCTCTCGACAAACGACGGTCGGCGTCCATTTTAAGCTCGCCAGTAAGCGGCGGCAAGCCGGGAGCGAGAGTGGCGGGCTGCGGGTTCGAGAGGCCCGAGCGACGAGCCTTGCGTGTTGCTCTCGACCGTCTCTCCCTCGCCGAGCCTCGAGAGTTGAGCGCCTCGCACGTCCCTCTGATCTGTCTGAGCTTGCTCGCACGCCGTCCTCTTTCAAGAGCCGGGCGCAGTCTCTGTCTCCCTCGCAACCCGACCTTCTCAAGTCGACTCGCCTCGTCTCGGTCCTCGCCTCGCCCGTCCACCGAGGCCCTCGCTCTCGAGACGCAGTCGTGAATCGTCAATCGTCGTTGCACACAGAGAATGACTGCCCCTCTCCCTCTTGTCGTCACCGCCGCCGGGTCGAAGCGAGGCTTATGCCCACGACGCGCTCCAGTCAAAGGCGGCAAACTCTTGCTGGTCCTTGGCCGACAGGGTCGAGTGGACGGGCGTGAGCGTCGGCTGCTCGCTCGTGAACTCTTTGTCAAAGTTGGACGTGTCGGTGGCCGACGACTGTGCGAGTGGGCGAGGGAGAGAGAGAGGAGAGGAGGAGGAGGGGCGAGTTGAAAAGGGTCAGGTCACGGTTGCGTGAGAGAGGGGAGAGTGAGAAGAGAACGGCGAGACGCACGATGGCCGGGTAGAACGGACTCGGGATGCGCTTGTGGAAGACGTCGTCCCAGTTGGTGTCCTTGAAGAACAGGTGCGACTTGATCTCGGCGGCGTCGGCCTCGCTCGCGCCGAGTCGGCGGGCCGGGTCCTTGGTGAGGAGCTGTATGCGTGTCGGTCGACGGGCGAGAAGAGGCGGGGCGAAGCGAGGCGGGTCGGAGCGAGATGAGGTCGAGGGCAGAGGAGGGCCAGGGCGACGACGAGGCGAGAGGGCGTCGAGAGGTGCGGGACGACAGGGACGGTAGCGAGGTCGTAGGCGAACGACGACGGGGAGGAGGAAGAGAAGGAGGGAGGGAGGAGGACAAGGTGAGCGAGGGGGTCCATGCGGGCGACGAGTCGAGGAGGACGAGAGAGAGAGAGCGACGGGGACGTACCCTTGTCAGGATCGACACGCTATCGCGAGGCATGTGGATCGGGTACAGCGGCTCGTCCTCGAGGATGGCGTCAAAGATCTCGTCCTCGTCGTCGCCTCGGAACGGCGACTGGCCGAGGAGCATCTCGTAGATGAGGACGCCGAACGCCCACCAGTCGACCATGCGCCCGTACCGCTGCTCGAGGATGATCTCGGGCGCCATAAACTCGGGCGTGCCGCAGAACGTCGACGTCGTCTTGCCGAACCACATGTCCTCCTTGCACAGGCCGTAGTCGGCCACCTTGACGTGCCCGTCGAGCGTGAGCAGGATGTTGTCGAGCTTGAGGTCGCGGTACACGATGCCGTTCTTGTGGAAGTACTCGAGGGCGAGGAGGACCTCGGCGGCGTAAAACTTGGCGCGGCGCGGCGTGAACTGCTCGCGCTGGATGTGCAGCATCAGGTCGCCGCCCGACACGTACTCCATGACAAAGTAGATGCGCGTCTCGGTCTGGAAGCACGAGTGCAGGCCGAGGAGGAACGGGTGCCGCTCGCGCGCGGCGGCGAGGAAGACGCGCTTCTCCGACTTGGTCGACTCGACCTCGTCGTTCTCGACGATGAACTCCTTCTTGAGGACCTTGATGGCGTACAGCTGCGCCGTCGTCTTCTCCTCGGCGAGCATGACCTTGCCAAAGTTGCCCTTGCCCAAAACGGCGAGGAAGTTGAAGTCGTCGAGCCCGACCTTGCGCTGCCGTGCGGGCGCCGGCGACGGAGCTGCGACCTGCTTTTGCGGCGACGAGACGAGCTGCTGCTGCTGCTGCTGCTGAGGCGGTGGCGGCTGCTGCTGGACGACTGGCGGCGGCGCGTGACCGACCGGCGGCGCGAGCTGCGGCTGCTGAGGCGGGACGGGCGCCGGCGCGACCGGCTGCTGAGGCGCCGGCGCCTGCGGGTGGGCGTAACCCTGCGACGGGTACGACTGCTGCTGCTGCTGAGGCGGGAGGCGAGATGGCGAGGGCGAGGCGTACTGCTGGTGGGCGGGAGGCGGTGCCGGCTGCTGCGGCTGGAACCGAGGAGGGACGGGCGTGACGAGCTGCTGCATGTATGGCTGGTGGCTCGACGGTGCCGACGAAGGCTGCTGCTGCGGCGGTACCGGGTGCTGGAGGACAGGAGGAGCGCCCTGCTGGTACGCCGACTGCGGCTGCGGCGCCGGCTTGTACGGCTGGAACGTCGGCGGCTGCTGCGACGTCGGCGGGGCCTGGCGCCCGGTGCCGTCGCTCGTGTAGCCGCCGATGAGGGACCCGATCGAGTCGCGAGCGTCGTTGCCGAACGACGAGACGGTCGAGGCCGACGAGTGACGGGGCGGCGGCGGAACTTGCGGCGCGCCCTGCTGCTGCTGCTGCTGCTGCTGCTGCGGCTGGCCGTACGGGTCGAGCTGAGGCACAGGTACGCGCTGGACCGGGGCCGACGACGAGTACGGCGCCTGCTGCTCCTGCGCGCCGACGAGGTTGAGCCGGCCGACGTCGCTCGAGAGCTGGTCCTGCTTCGGGCCCGGGTGCGGCCGGGCGGCGTAGGCGTCCTGCGGCGTCGATAGCTGCGTCTGCGACTGGGACGGCGGGAGCGGGCGAGCCGTCTGGCGAGTCGCGCCGGCGCGACGGCTGCTGTTGATCGACTTGATGTCGGCGAGGAGCTTGTTGGCCGTTTCCATCGACATGCCGCAAAAGTCGGGCACGAGGTGCATGCAGTCGGTGTGCGCCGTCACGCCGCATTCTGCGCGAGCAAGAGAGAGAGTGTCAGGTCGGCGTCGATGGATGAGGAGGACGGCGACGAGGGGACGCACCGGTGCACTTGCGCGCCTGCTTGCGGCCGAGCGGGAGGACGAGGCCACAGTGGCAGCACCAGTTGGGCGAGATGTTGGTGATCGGCTCGAAGCGGTGAGGGATGCGGTGGTTGATCGTCTCCTCGTCCTTGTCCTGCGAGAGGGAGGCGGCCCCGAGTCAGGTCCGGCTCGACGAACGACGAACGAGGGAGAGGACGACGACGACGCACCGAGTCCGTGTTGCTCTTCGAGATGCACTTGGTGACGACCTTCTGGTAGCACTTGCCGTGGCAGGCGTACTTGCAGTCCTCGCACTGCATGCCGGCGCCTTTCAGGAGGAACTCGCCGCACAGGGCGCACAGGACGACCGTGTAGAACTGCTTGGTGACGAACTTGTGGCCGTTCTGCTCGTGGATCGAGTCCTTGCGCTTGCGGACGGCGCCCTGACGGCCGAGGCCGCCGGCGTCGTAGGGTCGCTTGCGGACGTTCGACTTGACTGCGGGTGCGGCGTAGTCGAGCGGGTCAGTCTCAGCCTCACAGTCGAGAGGAGAGGGGAGAGGGAGGGAGAGAGAAGGTGCGCACCGAAGTTGAGGTGCAGCTGGATGGCGCCCTCGGGCTCGACGGCGAACCAGGCGTCGATGCCCTCGCCCGCTCCCGCCGCGCCGCCGACGCCGAACGTCCCCGCGAGGCTCTGCTCGCGGTTGAGCCCGCCCGCCGCACCGTCTGCACCTGCTCCTGCTCCTCCTGCGACGACCGCGCCGCCGGGGAGGAGGGTCCCGCTCCCGCCGCTGCCCTGGCCCTGGGCGACCCTCGCCGCCGTGACCCACCCGGGGCCGGCCTCGGCGCCCATCTTCTTGCGGCGCAGCTCCTCGACGATGTCGCTCAGGCGGAGCCACAGCATGCCGATCGGGACGGGCGCGCCCTCGCCGGGCACCTTGTCGTAGATGGTGACCTCGCACTCGTTGGCCTTGTCGACGTGGATCTCGAAGTCCTCGTTCCACCGGTCGTGGCGGGCCGGGTGCGTGCGCGCGCGAGGCGTGTCCTCGACCTTGACGTAGATAATCGTCTCGGACGGGTGCTTGCTCTTCTTGGGCTGCGGCGCGTGCGCGAGCTCGCGCGCCTGCTTGATCGTGATCTGGAGCGCGCCCGACAGCGGCCGGCGCAGGTTCGACTTGACGTCCTCGGGGATGCCTGCAGGAGAGGGAGACGAGGGTCAGTCGGCTGAGGCTCGAGAGAAGGGAAGAGAAAAGTCGACGCACTGTCCTCCTCCTCGCCGAGCTCGCCCATGACGTCGAGCGCCTTGTACTTCTTGAGCGCCTGGTTGAGGAGGACCATCTTCTGCTTCGACTCGACGCGCTTGTTCTCGGTGTCGGCCCTGCGTCGTCCTCAGAGCTCGTCAGTGCCGGTCCTGGACGAGCGCGACGAAGGAGGGAGAGAAGACGCACCGAGCCTTCTTGTCGCCGTCGACCAAGTAGAGCTTGGCCATCTTGTCGATGCCCTCCTTGTACTGGCGCTCGACGTGCAACTTGAACTCGAGCTGGTGGAGCATGCGCGAGATCTTGGCCGTCGTGAGCGGCGTGTCCGACTTGATCAGGTCTGCGCGCAACCGGGAGTGGAACAGTCAGATCGTGCGCTCGTGGAGAGAGCGCAAGGGAGAGACGAGATCCGGCGAGAGAGCGACGCACCGAGGTTGGTGAACTGGTCGCGCGCCTTCTGCCCGCCGAAGATCATGGCTCCTCCCGGCCCGGCCGGCACGACGGCGTCCCTCGCCTCGATGCGGCCGTGCGGGCCTGCCGCGCCGTACGCCTGGGGCTGGACGTAGCTCGGCGCGGCGCCGGGAGGAGGAGCGCTCGCGTACGACGCCGCCGCGCCCGACGGCGGCATGCGCTGCTGGCGCGGGTCGTCAAACGACTGGCGCCCGCCCTGGCCCTGGCCCTGGCCGTAGCCCTGGCCGGGAGCCGGTGCGCGAGGCTGCTGCTGCTGCTGAGCGCCGCGGTCCTCGAGCTGCCGGATCGAGTCCTCGAACCAACCGATCGTGCGCTGCGCGTCGCGGATCTTGGCGTCGCACGTGCGGATGACGTCCTGGTTGGCGGTCGCGGCGCGCATGGCCTGGAACCCTTCGAGGATCTTGCGCTCCTTGAGGATGCGGGCGTGGAGGGACGCGAGCTTCTGGGCGTACTCGCCCGAGGCGGACGACGACGAGGCGTGCGACTGTGAGGGGCAAAAGGGTCGTCAGTGATGCCGCTCGGCTATGCTGCGCAGGACCTGGCAGAGCCCGCCCGTGGCGAGAGAGGGACGAGGGCGGGGACGAGGTGGAGCACACGGCCCTCTCGCTCTTCGCGACGACCACCAGAGAGGACGAGAGTGGACGTACGCTCATCGTGCCGAGTCTTGCAGCAGATCCACTGGGTCAGGCGGGTCCTTGAGCGCGGTAGACGAGGCGGAGGAACCGGGCGACGGAGGCCGAGCGAGACGCGGGGGGAGAGACGGCGGCGCGAGAGCGGCGGCGCTGCTGTGCGGTGCGGGTCGCGGTGTCGATGAGCTCGATCTACCGAGCGGCGGGTGCTGCTGGTCGTCGCAGGGCGGTGCGGGTTCGAGGGGGAGCGAGGCGATCCTCCGCAGCTGCGTTGTGCGCGACAAGGGTCCGCCGCGCGAGCCGCGTGCGACGTCTCTCGCTTCCTCGATGTGACAAGTTCAGGGCATCTTTGCAGTGTAGACGACTACGTCGACGAGGTGGGGGGCTCTAGCTAAGGGTATCAGGGCGTGGAATGAGGGAGAAGGAGGGCGGTGCAGGCTCGTCGCGCCGACGAGATGCGGCACGGGCGGACGTCGACGCTCAGAAGACGTAGGGGATGTACCTGTACGCGACCTCGATGTCAGGACGTGTGAGAGGGAGAGGATGAGAGAGGCGCGGGACGCACGAGTACGGGACGAGCTCCTTGTACCGGCGCCAGTCGTCGCCGTACTTGCGCGCGCACTTGACGTCGTCGCGCGAGTTGCGGTGCAGGAGCATCGTGCAGTGGAACAGAGGGTAGTAGAACGGGATGACCGACTGCGTGCCGGCGCTCGCGCCCCAGATGAGCGCCTGGATCCAGTCGGCGATGTAGTCTGCGGCGGGGCGCGAGGCTGTCAGTGAAGTGGCGGCGCATCGACTCAACCAGACGATGTACTCGGTGCGAGAGCGCCGTCGGGTAGGGAGAGAGAGCGCGCGAGACTCACTCGGCTTGCGCAGAAACGCCCAGCACCCGTCGACGAGGAGCTCGCCGGCCTGCGTCTTGAACGTCTTGGGGTTGTCGAGCTCGGCGAACGGCAGCTGCGGGAACGTGTGCCGCTTGATGTACGTGCCCGTTTTGAGCGCCTTGAAGTGCGACTTTTGCGCCATCGCGATGTCCATGCTGCGCACGCTCGAGGGACCGGGTCAGGACACATTGCTGGATGGCGACAGACTCGACGAGGAGGAAGAAGAGGACGCACATGACCTGCGCAGCGGTGAGGAGGACAAAGAGGACCGAGAGGACGGGCTTGGGGTAGGCGTACGACGCCGGGTCGTGCGTCGCCATGTAGATGGCGGCGTAGGCGTACGAGAAGGGGACGCCGGCGACGTTCCAGTACGACAGGAGCCAGCCGAACTGCGACCGGACAGGGTCAGGTACGGTCGAAGAAAGAGGGACGAGAGGGAGCGAGCGCGCACCTTCTCGTAGTTCATGTCTGCGAGGCGTTGTGGGGGGAGTCAGCGACAGCGACGAGGAGAGGAAGGAGGGAGCGAGGACGCACCCCAGGTCTGCGGAATGTACTGCTCGCCCTGCGAGACGCAAAGAGAGAAGAGGTGAGTCCGACGACGTTGAGTCGAGAGAGGCCCCGAGACAAAAAGAGAGAGGCTCGAGGCGCACCTTGCCGCACGCGTTCCAGTAGATGCCGACGCCGTAGGCGAACAAGGCCGTGTTGCCGCTCACGTAGCCGTACTCCTGGTACTGCTTGGCGACGGCGCCCATGGCGAGCGCAAACAGGATGCTCCACGAGACGCGGATCTCGAAAAACATCTTGATGTCGACGCGGCCGAGGCGCGGGTTGAGGGTTGCGCCCATGAAGTAGTCGTACACGACGTTGCCGCTCATGCGGTGGTTCTCGGTGCTCGTGACGTAGGTCGCCGCCGCGACGGCGAACCCGAACAGGCTCGCGACCGTGAGGAGCGGGCCGTACAGGTCGATCACCTCGGCGAGGTTGAACACGCCCGTGTAGTGCGCCGCGCCGACGAGCGCGATCGTGGCCCACTGGGCGGCGTACGCGTTGCAGAAGTAGTCGAGCTGGAGGCCGTTGCGGTGCTTGAGCGGGAGGCCCTTCTGCCACACGCCGGGCATGACGAACGCGAGCAGGAACTGGCCGCCGACAAAGGTGAGGTAAACGGCCGTCGCACGCTTGGTCGGCATGGCGTTCTGCGTCGCAGGGCAGGCTCGTGTCAGCTCTTGCTCGAGCGAGAGAGGGAGGGAGAGGGAGAGGAGCGGACGCACCTCCCACACGAGGCTCGCGATCGTCTGGACGAACTCGAGCCAGCCACCCGAGCCAGTGAGCTCGAGCGGGTGCTTGGGCGTCGCGAGCTTGCCTGTGTGCAGGGAGGAGGGTCAGCTCGCAACAGATGAGTGGGCCGACGACGAGGAGGAGGGAAGGGCGAGGCGCACCGTCGTAGAAGTAGAGGCACGCGTAGAGGTAGTAGAACAGGGCCGGGAAGCCCGTCATCATGGCAAACGTGCCCACAGCGCCGCCAAACTCGAGCTCCTCGTCGTGGTCGCCGTGCCGATCGGCGGCCTTGTCCTTGTTGGCGACGGCGACGGCGGCAGGCTCGGCGGGGGTGGACGCGTCGAGGGCCTGGGCGCTCTTGCGACTGCGCAGGTTGTGCCGGTGCTCAGACATCCTCGCGAGCGTGTCGAGCGAGAGGTGGGAGGAGTGGAGAGTGCGTTGAGCGACCCGCGCTGTTTCGACCTCGGCTCTCGCTCTCCGTCCGCTCCGAATGGGTCGCACGCAGCTCGGTAGCAGTCGCAAGCTGCCATGTAACCCTCCCGAGCCTGCACGAGTCGCGCCCTGCGGTGCCGAGCGCCTCACCTCTCGAACCTCCTCGCGGTGTGGGCGGGACGAGAGGATCGTGCGAGTCGCGCTCGCTTTGTCTGCTCGCGCAGCTCTCAGGCGCTCTCGAACGAAGGAGAGCAGCTCGCGGAAAGAGGACCACTCGACGTCGCCATTCCACCTCGTCTCGACGGCTCGCCGCCGGAGCTCCGACCGACCCTCGCGCCCGCTCTGCCCGACACGCCCGCTCGCTCGCTCAGCGCCAGGCGAGCGGCACGACCGAGCTCCAGTCATGCTCGTAGTCGTGCGGCCCCTCGACGACGAGCGCGACGCGGCGCCCGTCGCAGAAGGCGCGCAGGCTCGCGAGCTGCGAGTCGTCGCCGTCGGGCGACAATTCGGCCGCCGTGACAAAGAGCGTCGCGAGCTTGGGGAGGGCCTCGACCCAGGCGATAAAGTGGCGGACGAGGTCGCGCCCGTAAGCGTCGGTGAGGCGCAGGTGGTGGACCCTGTCGCGCCCGGTGCGGTCGTCGAGGTCGTCCAGGCCGAGGAGGCCCAAGTCTGGCTCGACCTCGAACCGAGACCAGTAGAGCGTCGTCTCGTCGGTGCCGGGACGGTGGTCGCGGAGTGGCACGTTGCTGACGGTGCGCAGGGAGGAGGGGAAGTCGTCGAGGCGCAGGCGGGAGGGCGAGAAGGCGTGGGCGATGACGCGCAGTCGGGGGAGCGTTGCGGCCGACAGGTGGCCGACAGCGGCTGCATCTACGTGAACGCCGCAGAGGGACAGGTGCGAGAGATGAGGGGCGACGTGATGCGGGTTGTCGGACGACGGCGAGGACGTGGACGCGGATGCGGGCTCGAGACTGTTGGTGAGCTTGGCGGCGTAGATGGACAGCTCGCGTAGCTCTGCGTGTGTGCGACCATGACGAGGTCAGGATGTGCTTCTTCTGTCGGGCGAGAACGAGCGAGGGGAGAGGGAAGGCTGGTGAGGAGGGAGGCGAGAGACGCACTTGGGAGCGACCACAAGGACGCGATGTCGATCTCGCCAGGTCGGCCCAGGAAGAGCTCCTCGACGTTGCGCACGAGGTCGAGCGCCGAGTGGAGCGCTGGCAGCACGGGCGAGGAGTGCGGCCGACTGCTGTGGACGTCGAGCCGCTTGACGCGGCGGGCGAGGTCGACACGATCGCGCAGAGTGCGCGCGACGAGCTCGAGCGCGACGTCGTCCGGTGAGAGGACGCTCTCGTGGAGGACGCACTGGGCGACGTCGCGCCATCGACGGCAGACGAGGCCGAGGGCGCGCAGGGTCGAGTAGCGAGCGGTGTAGGACCACGGGAGGTCGCCGGGCTCGACCGAGTTGCGCACGACGTGCTCGAGGAGCTCGACGGGCAAGCTTGAGATGCCCATGGCGGTCGCGGACGTGCGGCGCGAGGCTGGAGCTGGCTCGAGGCGATGAAGGCGGCGGAGGACGATGAGGATGGGCGATGAGGGCGCTTCGAAGGCGGCGGTACGGCTGGTTCGCCTGAGCGGAGGGCACGCAGGCTGCTGAGCTGGTCAGCCAGTCAGGCTGTCGTGGTGGATGAAGCAGACGGGCGTTGCCTCATCGCTCGGCGGGTGTGTGGTTCGCCCCTCTCACTCGAACTCGGCTCGACGCAGCTCGTACGCTCAGCAGAGCAGCTCATACTCCCTCAGCGCATCCTATAACCCCCGCCCACCGACCACCGCCGCCCACGACGGCGCCCCAGCACCTCGCCGCCTGTCGTCATCTCGCGCCTTTCCTCGTCTCGTCCTCGCCCCGACGCGTGTTGAGCACCGCTACACGCACAATGGCTCCCGTCATCATCACCATGGTCCGCCACGGCGAGAGCAAGGACAACCTCACCGGTCCGCCCCGCCTCCCTCTCCCCGCCTCCCTCCTCGACTCGCGCTGATCGAGCCTCTGGTCGACAGCGCTCTGGGCAGGGCACCGTGACGCCTCGCTCTCGAACCACGGCTTCACCCAGGCGCAACGCCTCGGCCAGGCCTTCGCCGATGTCCCCATCACCGGTCAGTCTTCGCCACGCCTCGTCTCGACGGGGCCGAGGAGCACCCCCTCTCGAGCCTCGTTGTCGAACGAGCCAGACAGGACTGACATCCGGACCTGCTCGCAGCCATCTACGCCTCGGACCTCAAGCGCGCCTACACGACCGCGCGCTGCATCCACGACGCCAACCGCTCGACGCCCAAACCGCCCTTCACCCTGTCGCCCCTCCTCCGCGAGCAGTTCTTCGGCGAGGCAGAGGGCGCACCGTGGGACGCGGGCAAGTACTCGAGCGCCCACTTGCCGTGGGAGGACCACCGCGCCTTCTGGTGCGTCGCGCTCGTTCCACTCGAGGGTCCTCTCGCGCACTGTCGGCACGGGAGCTGACTCTCTTCGTGTATTTGCCGTCGCGCACAGCATCGCGCCCAATGCCGAGTCGCTCAACGACGTCGCCCGTCGCGCCGACCTCGTCCTGCGCCACTTTGTCCTCCCGCACGTCCTCGCGACCGCCCAGGTCCCACCCGACGCGTCCTTCCCCGACCAGCACCACATCGTCCTCGTCGCGCACGGTATCTGGCTCTCGGAGATGCTCTTTGCCCTCAAGCGCGCCGGCGACCCGCACATCCGGTTCGTCAAGTCGTCGGGCTACACCAACACCGGGTGGTGCCGCATCGAGCTCGAGCTCGACGACCCAGACGCGGCGCACGCGCTCCCGAGCGAGTCGACGTCGCCCAAGGACGAGGTGACCGAGACGGCGACCCAGGGCGACCTCCTCGCCTCGCCTCCTGCGCCTTCCGAGGCTGCCCCCTCTGCTCCTCCTGCCGCACCCGCGTCTTCCATCCCCGAACCCGCCGACGCGCGACCCGCAACCGACCCCGAGCGCATCGGTGTCCTCGCACGCGCCCAATCGCCCGCCTCTCGTCCGCCCATGCCGTCCCACATCGAGTCGCTCCTCCCGACCCTCCCTCCCGTCCCGCCGCGAGACCCCGCCCTCCCCTCGCCCTGGCCGCACGCCGACGCGCTCGCGACCAAGCCCGTCCCGCGCATGCGCCACAAGGTGCTCGCGTTCAACCAGGTCGCGCACCTCGAGGGGCTCAAGCGCACGGGCGGCGGCGTCGGGAGCGCAGAGCACGACGACAAGCAGCGCGGGCTCAAAGAGTTCTTTGGCGGGCAGGCGGCCGGCAAGTAGAAGTCGGCTGCGACGTCGCCGTATTTCAAACACCTCGAGAGAGGACGAGAGACGACGAGGAGGCGCCGACGCTCGGTGTGCTCGGACTTTCCGCGGCGTCGCTCTGCTCCCCGCTTGCCCGGCTCGCGTCTCTGCTTCTGCTTCTGCCGCTGCCGCTCTCGCCCAGCTCGCGCACACGATGAGCCGCCGCACCTCGAGCCGTGCGACGTCGTCGCTTCGCCTCCCGCCCTTGCCGACGCCGCCGCGCGACGCACTCGTCCTCCTCGACACCGCCCTCTTGCCGACATCTCTCGCCCCGCCTCTGCGCCCGCGCTCGGCGCGCACACCCGTCGGCGGCACCGGTCGGGTCGAGCAGGACGGCGGCGACTTCTCGCCGAGGGTGCGAGGATCGACGCTTGGCGGGCCGGCGGTGAGCAGGCGGTGGGCGCGAGGGGCGAGAGATGTCGACGGCGAGGACGAGACCGGCTGGGAGACGATCGACGGGCCGGACCACGCGCAGGCCCGCAAGCTCGTCATCCTCAGTGAGCACCCTGCGCTCGTCAAGGTGCGCCGGACGTTCCTCTTTGCGTCCTATCTCTCCTCCTGCCAGGGAAAAGACGCTAACGAAGAGTGTTCAAGCACACAGGGAGAAGTGCGCGCTCACGTCGGCGTGCTCGTCGCGACCCGGCGAGGCCTGAACCTCGTCGAGGACGACGTTGTGCTCGAGGTGCGCCCGGCTGGTCCTCTTCTCTCTTTCGTGACGCAGTACTGACGACACGCATCTACAGCACATGCCCTTGTCGACGAGGATCGGCATGCGGCTGCTTTTCCACGGCCTCGACCACGGGCGGTTCGTCAACTCGCGTCGGACCGAGCAGGTGCGTCGTCCCTCTCTGTCTCTCTCTCTTCCGTTAGACGCACTCGACTGACATCACGACTTGCAGGCGTTCAAGCAGTGGTCCATTCGCGAGGGTGAGCTCGGCGCTCGTGTCCTCGCCCCGCTCGCACCCACTGATCGAGCACGAGTCGAGCAGGGCGCAAGTTCGACGACCCGACACACGCCTGCGAGCGCATCACGGCCTTCATCCGCACCTACAACAGTGCGTCGAGCTCCACTCCCTCGCCTTGGGCAGCAGCAGGACTGACGAGCGCTCGTCAAAGTCGACTGCACGCAGCTGCGCGAACCCGACCTGCGCAACTACCCAACGATGAACTCGTTCTTCACTCGGTCCGTCGTCAACTTCTCCTTCTCGAGCGGCACCCTGACCTTCAACCGCCGAGCAGCCGTCTCGAACGAGGCGCTCGGCCACCTGCCTCGCCTCGCGACCCGACCGTCGTCTCGTCCGCCGCCGACTGCCGCCTCACCGTCTTCTCGAGCGTCGCCGACGCCAAGCGCTTCTGGATCAAGGTGCGTCGCTCTCCCTCTCGGTCGTCAGGCGAGCAGAGGACGAGACACTCACGAGGCCTGAGCGCAGGGCAAGCACTTTACGCTCCCGGCGCTCCTGCAAGATTCCGCACTCGCCGGGCAGCTGCACAACGGCGCCGTCGCCATCTTTCGCCTCGCCGTCGAGGACTACCACCGGTTCCACATGCCCGTCGACGCCGTCGTCGGCGAGTCGAGGAGTATCTCGGGAACTTACTTTGTGCGTCTCTCTCGCCTTCTTCCTCGTCTCTAGGCTCGTCGGCTCACCTCTACGCGCCTCGCAGACGGTCAACTCGATGGTCGTACGCGACAAGCACTTTGACGTCTTCACGGAGAACAAGCGCGACGGTGCGTCCTCCCCTTTCCTGCCCCTGTCGCCTCAACCTCCAGGGGCTGACTTCTTCTCGCCGGCAGTGACGACCCTGCACGCCCGGCACCCGCTCACGGGCGCAGCGCTCCCTGTCGCCTACGTTCAGGTCGGCGCGCTCCTCGTCGCGTCGATCCGGCGCACGGCCCGCGAGGGCAAGACGCTCCAACGCTCGAACGAGCTGGGCTACTTTGGTCCGTCCGCCTCGTCCTCTCTCCCTCTCTCGGGTTCCTCAGAGTGACCTGACGATCCACTGAGCAGCATACGGCGGCAGCACGGTCGTGTGCGTGTTCCCGCAGGGCAGCGTCGAGTGGGACGAGGACCTCGTGCGCAACTCGGAGGGCCGGAACGTCGACGGTGTGCAGGTCGAGACTATGGTCAAGGTCCGTCGCCCTCTCGTCTTTCGCAGTCTCTCTCTCGAAGCAGCGACGACTGATAGTGGGGCGACGCTGAACGTGCGCAGGTCGGCGAGCGGATCGGGCGGTGGGTGGACCCGGCGCGCGAGCTGTAGAGCCTCTCTCTGGACAGGACCTGTATCGACAGACACTATAGATACACCGACTCGTCGCGAGCTACCGCCACCGCCTTTCCCTGCGCCGTCGCCGGCCCTCCTCGTGGAGCCTCCTCCTCTCGCCGCGCTTCTCGTCCTCGCTCTCGCTGTCGGTCCCGCCGGCCTCGCTGCTGCTCCTGTCCCACTCGCTGTCGCTGCTCCCACTCTGCGTGTCCGGATCGCGCCCCCTCGTCGACGCTGGACCGGCGGCGGCGGCGGCGGCGCGGCGTGCGGCGCGGCGGGAGCACCACCAGGCGATGCCGGCCGCGAGGACGACGGCGGTGCAGGCGAGGACGAGGAGCGTCGAGGCTGTCGAGAGAGAGGAGAGCGAGTCTAAGATGCCGCTTGAGGTGCTGGGTGAGTCGAGGGAGGAGGAAGGAGAGGGGGAGCTGCGTAGGTGGGTTTAGGAAGGTCAGAGCGTTCGGACCGATTGCGAGGGCGAGCGCTGGACGTACGCCGTATCTGCTTCGTCGGCTGCAGCGATTGTTGCAGACGAGGGTAAGGAGGAAGAGGGAGCTGAGGCGGCCGAGGGTCGGGCTGACGAGGAGAGGACGGGACGAGACGGCGACGAGCTGGTCGAGCCCATGCTGGAATCGCTGGAACGACGACCAGCGTCAATCCCTGTCCTCCTGATGAGAGAGAGGAGGAACCGGCGAGACGCACGGTGTAGCCTCGCCCTCGCCCGTCCCGCCAAACGCCTTCTCGACCAGCGCCTTGCCCATGTCGAACATGACCTCCTCGTCCTTGCCCGCCCCGCTCGGCACCGTGTCCTGCTTGCTCCCGGGGAACGCGACGTAAGTGACGTCGGGCTCGCCATGGCCGTAGTTGCCCGTCATCTGCGTCCCGAAACACACGCGCGCGAGGTAAACCGACGCCTCGCCCATGCTGCCGAGCGCGTCTGCATGCTCGGCCGAGGTCAGGCGTCTTCTGGCGCAAGAAAGAGGGAGAAGAGGACGCACTCGTGTCGGCCCAGACGCCAAAGGTGAGCTTGCCGCCGCACACGACGGCGACGACCGAGAGCGGCTGGATGCCGAACTTGACCGGGTCAAAGTCGTCGTCCTGGTCGATGACGACGTACCTGCGGGCGGGACGGACGAGAGTGGGTCGAGCGAGACGAGGCACGAGGGAGAACGGGACGGACTGGATGGCCTGCGCGTCGATGTGCTTTCCATCGTCTGGAAGAGGAACGAGCGTCAGGTCCTGCCTGCGTAGGGCCAAGGAAGATTGGGACGCACCGTTTTGGAACGTCGTGCTCGACTGGTACGAGCCTGTGGGCGGCGACAGAGTGAGCGTCGGCGCAAGGGGAAGGGAATCGAGAGAGGGGACGTCGACGAGCGTACCGTCGCCGTTGCAGATCTCGCCCTTGCCGTCCGACCCGTCGCAGTCGATGTCCATGTTGCTCTGCCACCACACGAACGTCGGCTTGTCGTCGTCGCTGTCGGCGCAGTACCGCGTGCCGTCCTTGCCGCTCCCGTTGGTTTTGTACCCGCCCGAGCGCGAGTCGATGGCGACGCCGCCGCCGGCGTCGCACGACAGGGACCCGGCCGTGCCGAGCTTGGAGGTGAAGGCGGCGAGTGCGGCGGGGAGATCGAAGAGGGCGGCAGGGTTGGTCGAGGCGGTCGAGGACGAAGCATCGTCGCGGCGGACTGGGTCTGAGCGCATCGACAAGGGAGCACGACGGCGAGCGTCGAGCGCGAGCAGCAGGCACAGCTGGGCGCAACGCTGCGCAGTGCAGAAGCACGAAGCTGGCCTCGAGCGCAGCAGAGAGGCGAGGTGGGGAAACGAGCGGACCGGACACGCCGCGGACAGCTCGGCGAGGGGAACGTCCCCTGTCCGCTCGACAAGACCGGCCAGATTCGCTGTAAAGCTTGTGCTCGTCGCGCGCCCAGGTGCGGGAGCAGGGCAGCCGTGGCAGCGCGCGCGAGGCACAGTCGCTCACGCGTGCAGAGACGAGGCGGCATAGGAGCAAGGCGAGGCGGGCCGCGGTTTGCTCGTGCGGCTGAGGAGCGCACCGAGCATCGTTTGCCTCGTGACGACGAGAGCGTTCGAGGTGAATGGCGAGTGGGAAAGCGCCGGTCAGAGTTGTCGGCCGACAAGGAGCAGATGAAGCTTAAGGCTGGTCGCTCGTCTCGCTCGTCACACAGCAGCCGCCCTTGCGCGCAAGTGACCTGCACGGGCTGCACAAGCCTGCAGCGACGACCACCGCACCCGTCGTCGTCGCTCCGCATCGCCGCCGGGGTCCCACACTCGAGCGAGTCCTCGGCCCCGAGTGTGCCCACGCCGACGACGCCAGCCTGGGACTGGGCCCGACTTTTGCCAGCACCACCACCAGAGCAGCATCACCCTAGCGAGCCCTCGCCGCTCGCCGGGCCATGGCGCCCTCGACGCCGCCGCTCCTCCCTCCTCCCTCCTCCTCCTCGGCGCCCTTGCCTCGGCCCGCTGCACCGCTCGCACGAGCTCCATCGCCCCTCTCGTCCGTCCCCACCTCCGCGTACAACACCCCGGCCGCCCTCCTCACGCCCAACGACACGGCACCGCCCTCGCCCACCACCGCGACCGCGACCACTACCACCGCGGCCAAGCCCCGCCCGCGCCGCAACGTGCAGTGGAACGAGCTCGTCGCGGCCCATGTCACCATCCCCTTCTTCAGCGAGGCTGCTCCCGACGCAGCCTCGACTGATGACGGCCACGAATCGGTCCCCGACCCGTCCGCCCACGCCACGACCACCCTCGCCCGACTCGGCGGCCACGACGACCCTTTCTCGGACCAGTGGCGCCTCGACGACGTCCCGCTCTCGCTCGCCGGCGGGCAGGACGACAGCGCCCTCAACGGCGGCGGCGGCGGCGGCATCGCGCCCATCGCCCACGTGTGGGTCGACCCGCTCGAGCGCGACGGCCTTCCGAGCGCGACGGCTCTCGACGGCGGCGAGGGCGCGTTCGGCGCCAACGAGAGCGAGGACAAGGCGCAGGGGCTCGTGAGCGCCTACGCTCGCGGCGCCGTCGGGCTGTGGGAGGGCTTGCGGCAGCGGCGGGCGAGCATCTCGGCGATGCGGCACCGCGAGGAGGACGAGGACGAGAAGGGGACCCGGCCCGACGACGAGCTGCACAGCCCGGTCGTCGCCGACGACGGTGCAGCGCCCGCGCTCGACGTCACGCCGGGCATCCTCGGCGCCCTGTTCGCGCTCCAGCAGCAGGAGGCCGCGCTCGCGAGTCGCGGCGGCGACGACTCGGCCTCGTCCTCAGCCGTCCCGACGCCCGCACCCTCGACCCCGTCCTCGCCGTCCCTCCACCCGCTCACGACCTCGAGCCCGCTCGCGCACGACTTTGACCTCGACTCGTCCGACGACGAGGTTGAGCGCGAGCGCTTCATCGCCAAGTTGCGCGCCAAGCGCGCGAGCAAGAACGCGCTCCACGCCGCGTCCACGACCGTTGCCAAGACGTCCAAGCACGCGGCGGGCGCCGCGCTGCGCTTCGCCGTCGGCGGCGGCGGCGGCGGCGGCAAGGGCGAGCGAGGGCGCACGATGAACCCGTCGGGCCGCCCGCACTCGTACACGGACCGCTCCGGCTCCCAGTCGCGCACCTCGTCCCCGACGGCGTCGTCGCCGGCCCTGTCGCCCACTCGGCGCCCGGCGTCGGTCACATCGAGCGCGTCGGGCGGCGTGGAGAGCCGCGCGCCGTCGTCGCCTGCCCTCTCGGCGCACGACCGCTCGCGCTCGTCGGCGTCGCTCGTTCAGCTCAAGAGCGACGCGTCAACGTCGACGAGCCACCCGACGGCCGACCTGTCGGCGCGTCACCGCTCGCACTCGCACAACACGCTGTCACGCCTCCTGTCGCACGCGTCGGCCTCGCCGCCAGCCAGTCCGGCCTCGCCCTCGCCCGCCTCGCCGTCGTCGCCCACCGCCCTCATCGGCGTCGCCGTGCCGCACAAGCCCAAGCTCACGAGCGAGTTCAACCGGCGCGTGCGCAAGGTCGGCGACCGGCTCGGGCTCGAGTGGGAGACGAGCCGCACGAGGCCCGACGCGGCGAGCAGTGCGGCGGGCGTGTTTGGCGGCTTGATGCTCGGCGCTGTGCGTCCCTATCTTCCCGTCTCTTGGTCGCGCCTTGCCAGCAGGTCCTGACCTTCTCGCCCTTGCAGACTGCCCTCGCAGGACCCGCCTCGCCGTCCGGGACGAGGGTCGCTCCCCTCCCGACCCGTCCGGGCTACAACTTGTCGCGCTACTCGGCGCCCAACGTCAACGAGTCGTCGCGAGCGTCGGCCAAGCCCTCCTCGATCGCCCTCCCACCCTCGCCCGCCGTCGCTCCTTCTCGACGCACCCTCTCCCCACCACCCTCAACCCGCCTCTCGCCGCCGCACTCGCCCGGCGTCATGCTCAGAGCTTCACCGACGCCGAGCCGCAAGAGCTTGAGCGACATGGTGCGCGAGGAGGAGGAGAAGGACCAGGGCGAGCCGACGTTGAGGGAGAGGAGGCGGCAGGGCAGGAGGGCGGTCTTCTCGCTCCACGTCAACGACCTTGTGCGTCATTATCTCTCTCTCTCTCTGCGGTGACTGTCCCTGACGCCGTCATGGCCCTTTACAGCCTTCCGCAGGCGACGAGGACGCCGCCGAGCCGAGTTCGGCCTCGCCTCGACCGACCCTCACCATCGACACGTCCGCTCCCGGCTCGACACGGTCGCAATCGCCGTCCCCGACCTCGGCCGGCGCAACCCTGCGCTTCTTCGGCCCTCGCTCGCCTCGCTCGGCGCCGAGCTCGTTCAGCTCGCTCCACCGCGACTACTTTGGCGGCGGCGCGCTCTCGCCGACGCTCACGCCCGCCGAGCGCGAGCGCGAGCGTGCGCAGCGCAAGGCGCGCGAGGACACGGAGCGCGAGGCCAAGGAGCGCGAGCAGGACCTGCGCGCGTGGCACAAGGAGAAGCGGCGGCGGCGCAAGGCGCGCGAGAAGGAGCTCAAGCGGCGGCGCGTCTTTATCAAGGAGCACGTCGCGGCCATCCTCGAGCGGCAGCAGTTCATCCTCAAGCTCGCGAGGGCGTTCATGATGTTTGGCGCGCCGTCGCACCGCCTCGAAGCGCAGATCCAGGCGACGGCGAGGGTCCTCGAGCTGCCGCACTGCACGGCCATGTACCTCCCGGGCGTCCTCCTCGTCAACTTTGGCGACCCCGCGACGTGCACCTCGGACATCAAGGTGCGTCGGCGTCGCTCTCCCTTCCTCCTCGAGCGTCTCTCGCGCCACGTCACTCACTCTGGCTCCTGCCTCTTCCTCTCGCAGTTCCTCAAGCAGGCTGCAGGCCTCGATCTCGGCAAGCTCAAGGCGTCGTACTACGTCTACAACAAGGTCATCCGCGACAAGGTCTCGGTCGCCGACGCGGCCACCCAGCTCGACGACTTGATGACCTCGCCGCCCAAGTACAGCCTCGTCAAGAACGCCGTCATCGGCGGACTCGCCGGCGCCTTCATCATGCCTTCAGCCTTCAACGGCAGCTTCATCGATTGCCTCGCCGCCATCCCGCTCGGCAGCCTCCTCGTCATCGTCCAGGTCCTCCTCGCCCGCAACGACATGTACTCGTCCCTGTTCGAGTGCGTCCCTCTCGCTCGCCTCCTCTCGTCGTCCAACCCGTACTGATCCTCGCCGTCGTGCGCAGGATCGTCATCGCGTGCGTCAACGCCATGGTCGCGGGCGCCTTGACGCGCACGAACCAGTTCTGCTTCTACGCCGTCGCGAGCGGGTCTATCGTCCTCATCCTGCCCGGCTTCATCACGTTGTGCGCCGCCCTCGAGCTCGCCAACCGGTCTATAACGTCGGGCGCGGTCCGCCTCACGTACGCGGCGCTGTACTGCCTGTTCCTCGGGTTCGGCCTGTCGCTCGGCGCCGAGATCTACGTGCGCGTCGCCCGGTCCGAGATCATCAACGGCGCCGACTACACGTGCTCGTACCTGCGCGACGGCGCGCCGTGGTGGCGGCAAAACATCCCCAAATGGTGGTACTTCTTGACGATCCCGTCGTTCCTCCTCTGCATGGCGCTCAAGAATGGGCAGCCGCTGTTCCGCCGCGACACGCTCGCCATGGTCGTCATCGGTAGCGCAGGTGCGTTGCTCGCTCCCTCTCCCCTCGTTCCCTCTCCCCTCTCTCTCCCTCCCCTCTCCTCCCCGAGTCGAGTGCGCTCGACCTGTCCTCGTCCACGAACTCACTCGTATCCTCCTCGCCCGGTCTACAGGCTTCTCGGCCAACTTCTTCTCTGGGTGGGAGTTCAAGAACCAGCCCGCGCTCACCTCGTTCATCGGCTCGTTCGTCGCCGGCATCCTCGGCAACACCTGGAGCCGCCTCACGCGCGAGTCTGCCTTCGTCGTCATGATCGTCGGCATCTTTGTCCAACTCCCGAGCGGGCTGGCCAACGGCGGCCTCTTGCGCTTCGCGGCCGACTCGTCGAGCAACGGCCAAGGTTACGGCACCGCCATCGACGCGGCGGCGGGCTTGATCACGATCGTCATCGGCATGACGGTCGGCCTGTTCCTCGCCGCCGCCGTCATGAACCTCTTGTCTCGCCGAGGCAGGCGAAGAGGAGCACACCTGTCGACCTTCTGAGCGTGCTCCCTGCTCCTCCCCCCTTGTCATTCCCTCGCATTCTCTCCTCTCTGTGCGTCAGTACACTCGTCGTCTGTTGGACCTTTAGACCTGCACCACTTTTTATCGTAGAAGCCTCGCCGTAGAAGACTATCCCTGCATCTCGCACGTTCCCTGCCGAGCCTCACTCTTTTCTCTCTGCTGCGCCGAGCCCACGAGAAGAGAAAACGTGATGTGATTGCGAGCATGCGAGAGGCAAGAAAGGACTGAGAGAACTGCGAGGGCACTGATAAAGAGAAGTGTACAAAGAGGGGGTCAAAGTCGCAGGGACGACCTCGCCCTCGTCCTGCGCTGCTGCTGCTGCTGCTGGTCGTCGCTCGCCTGCTCCTCCCGACTCGACGACCTGCTGCCCCTGCCCGTCCCGCCGACGAGCCGACCAACGAGCGACGTAAAGTCCCACAGCCCGCTCGCACCTCCACCTCCTCCTCCACCGCCTCCCTGCGCCGGCGGGCCCATCGCCATGCCGAGCCCTGCGCTCACACCGCCCGAAGCAGTCGCACGCTCCTCGCCGCGCTTGAGCTCGGCGGCCGCCTCTCGCCGCCTCGTGCGCGCGTCTCGCGAGCCCGAGTTGTCGCCTTGCCCGGGGCGCGGGCTCGTCACCTGCCCCGCTCGCCGTCCTCGACCCCGGCGCTCTGCGTCGGCGTCCGTCTCGTCGCTGACGAGCGCGACGTCGGTCGGGACGCTGTCGGCGCCGTCCGTGAGCGCGAGGGCGTCGCGCACGAACGACAAGGCCCGGTCGTCCGAGAGCGTCACGACGACGCGCGACGCGTACGCGATGTCGCGCTGCTCGTCTTCGTCGGCGGGCGCGCCGCCCTTGGCTGCGGCGCTACGCCGAGAGCGGCGCCGGCGACGGCGGGCGGCCGAGGTGAGGTCGCCCTCGACGGCGGCCGGCTTGCGGATCGAGAGGAAGAAGCTGAGCGCCTCGACCTTGTCGGGTTGCGCGCCCTTGCGCCCGCCCGGGCTCCCGCCAGTGGCGCCGCCGGTCAGGTCGCTCAGGCGCTGCGGCGGTGTCGACGCGCTGCGCCGAGGCTCGAAGCCGGTGTGCGTGTTGGCGCGCGCGGGCATGCCCGGCCGCCGACGCTGCTGCGTGCGCTCGTGCTGCTGCTGGAGCGTTGCGCGAAGGCGGAACGTCGCCGGGCTCAGGTTCGAGTCGTCCGACGAGGACGAGGGCGGGAGCAGGACGACGCATTGGAGGTACGCGACGAACGACTCGTCCGGGTTGGCGGTGCTCGCCGGCGACGAGGGAAAGGGGAAGCCGCCGAAAGGGGCAGGCGGCTGGGCGTGAGGGGTAGGAGGGAGGGACGGAGGCGCCGAGTCGGGCGAGGCGAGCCCGAAAGACGCGGGCGTGCCGCCGATGAACGGCGAGGCGGTCTGCGACGAGACGACGTTCGAGTCGTCCCGAACGTGGTACAGGATGCCCTTGCACCGCAGCGCGTACTTGATGTACGACACGGCGCGGCGGATCGGCTCGTTAGTCGGGTTGAGGAGGGTGAGCTCGACCGGCGGCGGGTACGACGGGTGGGGGAAGGGGAGCGAGTACGACGACGGGGTGGGAGGTGCGGTCGAGGGTGCCGAGGTGAGCGAGTCGGTCGACGTGTTTGAGGCCGTGAGGGTTGGCGAATGCGGCGAGGTCGGCGAGGACGACAGGCTCGTGCGCCCGAGCGAGGTCGGCGTTTCGGGCGAGCTCGACGCCGCTCGCGCGAGACCCGATGCGACGACCGGCGGCGCGCAGACCTGCGGCTGCTCGGCGGTCGCTGTCCGGGTCGACGACGTCGAGCGCGAGGTTCGAGATGGCGCGATCGTCGTACACGATGACGCGACCTGCTCGACCAAGCCGTCGAGGCTGTCGCCGACGATAGTCGCCTCGAGCTTCGGGCCCTCGGAGCGCGCGAAGCTCTGCTCGTCGAGGAAGAGCTCGAGGCGGTGGGCGAGCGGCGCCGGGACGAACGCCGTCGTCTTGAACTCCTTCTTCTCGCGCGGCGGCGCCGGCGCCTGCTGCTGCTGCGACTGCGACGACGGCGACGGCGACGGCGACGACGACGTGCGCGAGTCGTCGACACTCAGGGCCGAGCGGCCCTCGCGGTCGGCCCGCTTGGCCTGGCGCTCGGGGAGCGACCGGCAGAAGCGGTCGAACGCGCGCATGCGCTTGACGCCGTCGAGGTGGAGGAGCCCGGCGAGGACCTGGCGGATGGCGGCGTCGGGTACCGTGAGGAGGGCGTCGACGACCTTGTCGGCGAGGCTCTGCAGGCTCGTGTGCCCGATGCCGAGCGGGTACTTGCTCGGCGTGACGCACCGCAGGACCGTCAGGCCGACGCACCAGGCGTCGACCTCGGGCCCCCAGTAGCGCACCGAGCCGAACTTGTCGCGCAGGCCGCGCCACAGCTCGGGCGAGTGGTACGCCGGCGAGCCGCAGCATGTCGTGAGCTTTGGCTCGCTCTGGCTGAAGTGCGTCGCGAGGCCAAAGTCGAGGAGCTTGAGGTGCAGGGTCGCAGGCGACGTGGACGAGTCGACGCGGACGAGGATGTTCTCGGGCTGCAAGAGGGGGCACGAGGCCGTTAGTGCTGCTCGCGAGCCGGTGAGATGAGGAGAAAAGGGAAGGGGAAGGGGGTCGAGCTCACCTTGATGTCGCGGTGACAGACTCGCAACGGCTCGTGCAGGCTCTTGACGACACTCGCGAGCTGATCGAGGATGCTCCAGGCTTGGTCGGGCGGGAGGACGCCGTCGGGCGACGAGGCGACGAGGTCCTCGAGCGTGACCGACGAGCGCAGGCACTCCTCGACGAGGTACAAGTGGCCCGGCGTGCGGATCGTCTCGAACACCTTGACGAGGTTGCGGTGTGGTAGGAGCTGGGCGAGGATGGTGGGCTCGCGGAGGAGGCGAGTCGAGATGAGCTGGTGGTGCGGGTGCAGGGCCGTGTGCTTGAGCGCGTACTGCGAGCGAGACCGTCGTGTGAGTGCGCGTTCGTCGCGAGAATAGAGAAAGAAGGAGAGACGGCGCACCTCGGTGTTGCCCTTGCGGACGAGGAGGACCTCGCTGAACTTGCCCTTGCCGAGCGAGATGCGCTCTGACCGCTCGTCGCCCTCGGGCTTGGGCGAGTCCTGCGGCGCCTCGGACGACGGACCGCCAATGGACGACGAACGAGATGGCGAGAACGGCTTGGCGTAGGTGTAGTCGCCGATGCCGTGCTGCAGGAGCGAGTCGAGGTCTTGAGGGTCGACGGTGCGGACGGGTTGGCGGACCTGCCGAACGAAAGGGTTCAGCTTCGATGGGAGGAAAATATGTAGGGAGAGAGGTGCGCACCTGGGCCCGGATAAGCTCGCCGATGCTCGGCTCGCGCGGGACGAGAGCGTCGCCCTCGAGGAGGTGACCGAAGAGGCCCTCGCGGCGCCGCAGCAAGTCGCCCGCTCCCCGGCCCGCGTCCGGCTCGCCCTCGTCCTCGTACTCTGCATCGCCCTCGTCACCGCTGCTCGAGATGCCGACGACGAACGCGACCGCCTTGTCCTTGCCCTTGCTCGCCCTGCGCCCGCCGCCGCCGCGCTCGACACCTCGATCCTCGTTGCCGTGCTGCGCGAGCTCGCCGGCCGAGCCGAGGGACCGCCTCTTGCCCTTTGCGCGCAGTGCGCCGGCCCTCGCCTCGCGGCGCCAGGCTCGATAAGCGTGCGACTCGGGCCCAGCAGGAGGGACGTCGTCGTCTCGGCTCGAGGTGGTGGTGCTGGCGGCGCCTGGCCAGACGGGCGAGACCAAGGAGGCGTAGTGCTGGTCTGGGCAGTAGATGCGCGAGGCGGACGACGAGCGGGTGGTGAGGTTGGACAGGCCCAAGGTCGCCCTCGAGCGTGACGCGGTGCGGAGGGACGCCGGCTCGGGGCAGGGCGAGGTGGACGAGCTTGCGGTGGGCGGTGGGTGCAGTGTGTGGACGGGCGAGTTGCTCATGCCCTCGGCTGGTGGGCTGCTCGAGGGTGAGCGGGACGAGGGAGGACGAGGCGAGCTCGACGACGGTTACCCGGTGCGGGCGAGAAGAGATCGGCCTCGCGTCGGTCGTGGAGACCCCGGAACTCGCACCCTCTGCTGGCTGCGGAGTTGGAAGGGACTCGATCGCAAACGCTCGTCGTTGGCGGCTCGTGCGCTCCCCCTCGACGACTTGGGCTCGCTCTCCACCGCTTTCGCTGCATCGTCGTCCACGACGGCTCGCTCTTCCACGGCTCACACTCGTCTCTCGAGCGGTATCGGGCTGCTCGCTCCCGTTTGCTTTCGCTTCCCACGGGCCTCCTCCTCCTCCCTCGCTCATTTGACGCACGGCTTCGCGAGCCCGGTTTGCAAAGATTGCGCACAGGTGACCCGCACCTTGAGCACTGCAATCATCGGCCTGCTCGCCGCTGGATCTGCGTCAAGCGCTGCGCCGGAGCCCGAGGAGAGAGAGAGAGAGAAAGAGACGGTGTCGTCGAGCTCGCGCCTGTTCGAAAGTAGAGAGCGAGGGCAAAGGCAGCTGCGCAGTGCGTCTTCCTCCCGCTCGAGGGCGTCGATGGCTTTCGAGACGAGCTGCAGAGCACGCTGCCGACTTGGCTCGTGTGGGCGAGAAGTACGATTGTCCCACGGTCCGCTCGAGCATCTTTTCCTCGCCCGCACAACCTGCTCCGCATGAACCTTGGAGCTTGAGAACCACGGCAAGCCGCACAGAGGTCGGGTCGGGCGAGACGGGTCGTCGCAGGGAGCGGAGAGCGAGGCGCTTGGACCTCTCTTCGACGCTCACCTTCTCAAAGTCGAACAAGCGTCGAAGGGAGCGAGAATGTAGCGACGCTCGTCCTGCTCGCTCGAACGGGCTCGAGAGGACAACGACGACCGAGAGAATCTATACGGGTTCATTGGCAAGAGGGCAGTCGTTCTAGCTCAGACTCGCTCGCGCGCCTTCTCGCCGCCGCCCTCGCCCTTGCCCGCCTTGCGCTCCTCCTCCTCGCGCTTGACCCTGTCGCGCATGCCGACGTCGAGGCAAGGCGCGAACCGGCTCTTCTGCCTGAGGCGCCAGCCGTACTTGTAAAACACGAACGGCGCCGGCGCGATGGCGAGCGCGACAAAGCCGATGACGGAGCAGGCCCACCCGACACCGAGGGCAGAGAACCACTGCGAGCGTCGGCGAGATGGTCAATACTCGAACGAGAGAAGAAGAGGCCAGGGCGGTGAGGCGAGGGATGACGAGGAGGAGGAGGAGAGAAGCCGAGACGCACTTGGGTGGTGAACAACGGGAACGCCGCCGCGACGGCCGAGCGCACGATCGTGTTGGCCGCGAGGGCCGATGCGCTGTACATGAGGTAGACCTCGACTGCGGGAGAGAGCGCGGGCAGGCCGAGCGGGTCAGTTTCGGCTGGCGGGCTCGCTCAGAGCGGGGGCGTGACGACTGACCGAGGTACTGCAGGAGAAATGTCAGCTCGTCGCTCAAGAGAGGAAGAGGGCAGAGGAGGGAAGGGAGGGGAGAAGAGGGGAGAGGGAAGTGGACGCACGGTGAGGAAACTGATGAACAACAACGTGAAGCTGGAACCGACGAAGATCGTCGAGACGGCGGGTACCGCCCAGTGGATCGACTCATAGTCTGCGAGGGAGAAGAGAGCGTCAGGGACCGATGACATGAGGAGGCCCGACTTGAGAAGGTCGAGACGCACTGCCGGTCCACCCGAGCCAGAAGATACCGACGACGAGGAGGGGTCCGGCGAGCATGGCGCCCCACAGCCGCTCCTCGGGAGGCGGGTGCCCGTGCCACTTGGGCACGAGCTCACGATAATGGCGCTGTGTGTAGACCGAGGTGACTGCGCGCAGGGGCGAAAGAGGAAACGGGAGAGAGGAAATACGTCAGGGCCCGTCGCAAGGGCGAGAGCGAACAGAGGGGCGAGTAGGAGGAAGAGAGGAGTGGAGGAGGGACGCACCTGCGCCCAAAGTCGTCCCGATTCCTATTCCTATGAATACGAGGCCCGTCTCGCCGCTGTTGAAGCCCCGCAGCTGACCGAAGATGATGGGGATGACGCTGAACAAGCCGTACAGGAGGCCGTAGACGATCGAGAGGTAGACGGTGACGGCGAGGACGATCGGCTCGACGACGAGCATGATGAGGGGGCGAGCGAGGGTGCGCTGGACGAGCGACTTGAAGCTGCAGGGGCGCAAAGGAGCCGCAGCTCGTCAGGACGCGTGTCTGCTGCCACAGGCGAGAGAGGGGACGCACCCAAAGTCGGCCTTTTCAAGCTCGGCGTACTTATCGCCGTGCCGCTCGGGGTCCTCCTTGCGCAAGCGCTTGGCCCGCTGTTTGAGCAAGATCGGGTGGTACGTCTCGGGGAGGAAGATGGCGACCTGCAAGCGTCAGAGTGTCAGTGTGACGTCGAGGGCAGTCGAGGAAGGGAACGAGGAGAAGAGCCGGACGCACGATCACCCACGATGCCGCGCCCCAGACGCCGATGTACAAGAAGATGAACCTCCACGACAAGTAGCTGTCGATAGAAAAGCCGGCGATGATTGGACCGACGACCGGGCCCTGTGAGGAGAAGAGTCAGTGAGGGCGCGAGGGGCCGAGAGGGAGGGGACGGTGCGGCGCACGAGGAAAACGGACGCCGAGAAGACCGACATCGCCTTGCCACGGGTGACCGGGTCCCATATGTCGGCAATGACTCCACCTGCGGCGACGAGCGGACTGCTGGCGAAAACTGCCGCGAGGAAGCGGATGACGATGACGGTGGCGAAGTTTTGGGCGAGGGCGTCACCGATCTGGAAGAGGGCAAAGACGAGGAGGGTGCCGACAAAGACGGGACGACGGCCGAGCTGCAGGGAAGAGCCGTCAGTCGAGTCGAGAGGAGAGGCGGCGAGGCGACGCACGATTTCCGAGGCGGGCGCCCAGATGAGGGGACCGGCACAGTCTGTGTGCGTCGAACGCTGTCAGTACAGGCCGCACCCTCAGCAAGAGAGAGACCGAGGAACGCACAGCCGAGGAGGAACATGGTCGTCGTGAGCTGGCCCGCCTCGACGCTGACCGAGAAGTCGGCGGCGATTTGGCGGACGGCGGACGACGGCGCGCTCGAGGCGAACGTGACGACGAGCGTCGCCTGGGCGCAAATGATGGTGACCATCCACTTGCGGAGGGTGGTCCAGTTCTGCGGGTTGTGCGGGTCGCCGTTCTCGTCCCAGACGACCTTGTTCGGGTCGGGCTGCTGCTCGTCGTCGCCTTCGCCCTCGCCCTCCTCGTCCTGCTCCTCGTGCGTGTCCTCGCGCCTCGAGCTCGACGTCGACGTCGCGCGCTGCCGCGAGATGCGGCTCAGCTCGCGGTGAGCGTCCGAGAAGGCCGTATCGACGACGTGCAGGTCCTGCCCCTTGTAGCTGAACCGGCTCGTCGTCCTCCTCGCGAGCGGCGCCGAGCCCGTGTCGCCCCCTGCGGCACTGCCGCTGCGCGCTCGGCCGTCCGGGACGCGGTAGTCGGGTGCGCGGTTGGGCGGCGGGACGGCGAACGAGGTGCGGCGAGCGCGAGACGAGGGAGGGACGACGGGGAGGGCCTGCGGCGCGTCGCCGCCAAAGTTGCGCATCTCGCGCTCAGCGTCGGCATCGGGCCCGTCAAGGTAGGGCGGATCGTGCGGGTCGTGGTGAGGCTTGCGCGGGTGGTGCTTGGGCGGCGAGGGCGAGACGGCGGCGTTCTGGAGCGTCTCGCTCGACGAGGCGTCGCTCGAGGACATGGCCGTGTGGCGGGTCGAGTACTGGTCTGGTGCGAGGGCACAGCTGTGTAGCGAGCGGCGCAGGAGGCCTGGCACTCGCAGCGTTTGAGCATCGTTGGCCGAGTTTGGGCGCGGGGTCTCATCAAAACCCGAGTCTTCGTCATCGGTCATTTGGCCGAACTGGGTGCCGAAAGTGTCCGCCGCTCGCGATCAAGCGGCTCGAAATAGCCGAGAGCAAGCTGCGGTAACCGGCCGGTCGAGCCTCGTCGACCGTCGCTGCGAGGGACGACAGGGACGGCGGCAGGTGCTCTCTGCTCTGCTCCTGTAGAGGCTTTCACGCAGCTGTACAGGACGAGAGACGCTGGCGAATCGCGAGAAAGAGAGAGAGGAAAGAGCTTGAACTCTCGAAGGGAGGGTCCGAGAGCGAAACCGCTCGCCGCTCGTCGTTGCAGCACCGCTCCTCTCAAGGCTCGCGAGCTACTTGACCTCCTCCGCAGCAAGCCCGAGGTCCTGGGCGACCATCCTGCGGCAGATCGGGTGCAGCCGGAACGCGTTGTCGAGGAACGTCTTCTTGGCGAGCTCGGGGTCGACCTTGGCGAGGGCGCGGTAGCCCGGCCGCTCGTACTTCATGCGGCCCCACTGAGGGAGCCACGAGGCGGCCGACGAGGCGTACTGGCCGGCCTTGAGGGCGAGGATGTACCACCGGAGCTGCAAGGTGCGCGAGGAGGGGGAGGAGGCGGTCAGGGCATGCTGCGCCGACTTGACGAGGCTTTCGACGTCGAGCGCGCGAGAAAAAGAGAGAGCGAGGACGGACCCTGATCTCGGGGTTCTTGTTGGCCTCGAACGCGTACGCCTTCTCGAGGCCCTCGACGACGTGGCTGCCCTTCTCGCGCTCGAACGCGTCCTCCTCCTCGAGCGTCTCGAGGAACAGGACGACCTGGGTCGCCGAAAAGTGCTCGAGGTCCTCCTTGCCGAAGCGCGACGTGAGCTCGTCGGGCGACGAGAAGCGCGATGCGGCCCACCGGGACGAGAGCGAGTAGGCGGCATCGGCGAGAGAGGTGTCGTACTCCATCTGCGCGTGGGCGAAAAGGTGAGCTTCACGTGCGAGAGGCGTCGACTGATCACGAGAGACAGAGAGGGAGAGGGAGCGCACCTTGACGGGCAAGTCGAGCCCCTCGCCGTTGAGCCAGGCCTGCGGTCGAGAGGCGGGTCAGGTCCTGCTCGCCGAGCAGAGAACGACAGGGACGCACATTAAAGTCGACCTGTTCTCTCAGAGCACGCTCCTTCTCCGGGTACCGTCCCCAGTACGCCCAGAAGTGTTCCTCCCACTCCTGCGTGCTGATCGCCTTGCCGGCGAACGTCGAGATGTAGTCCTTGTGGTACGGGTTGAAGACGTCGACGCCGCCGACGACACGCTCGAGGTGCAGGAGGAAGTTGGCGCCCTTGTGGTCTGCGAGCGAGAGGGCGAGAGGGCGGGAACCAGGAGGAGGACGAGTTTGGGAAGGTCAAGGTCGACTCGCGTACTGGCGCCGAGCGCAGAAGAAGGTGAGGGACGCACACGCGACGCTCGAGTAGAAGTCGTCCGGGTCCTCGCCGAACTCGTACGGGATCTGGAGGCGCTGCGCTTTGCGCCGGCCGTCGACGTCGTACCGCTTGAGGTCGTCGAGGAGCCCTTTGCGCTCGCAGAGGTACTCAAAGTCGCGCGTCGGCTTGCCGTGGAGCTCACGAGCAATCAGAGCTTCCGAGTAGACGGTCCAGCCCTGCGAGGCAGCGTGGGGAGGAAGAGGGACGAGGGAGGGAGCGGGACGAGAGGAGGGTCGATGGGGACGACGATGGAGGGACAAAGGGTTTCGGGGTCAGTGCCGGACCACCCCGTCGACGTGTACACGTAGTAGAGAAGGAGGCGCACCTCGTTGAGCCAGAAGGAGGACCACTCGGCGCACCCGACGAGGTTGCCGTGCCAGAAGTGGGCGAGCTCGTGCGCGACGACGTCGACCTGGCTGCGGTCGCCGACGATCAGAGCAGGGTTGAGGAGCACGCAGTTTACCGCCTCCATACCGCCGAATGGAAAAGACGCAGGCAGAATGACCTGGTCATGGCGCCCCCAGCGGTAGGGACCGAGCAGTTTCTCGGCGGTCGTGACCATGCTGCGCGCCGATGGTTCAGGGTCAGTACGAGGACGCTCAGAGGGTGACGGGAGAGCGGCGACACACCGCTCGGTGTCCTCCTTGAACTCCCAGTGCGCCCGCTCGATGACGCCCGGCTGCGCCCAGACGCCCGTCCGCTCTCCCAACGCGCGGAACACGAGCTCGCCGCCGACGATGCCGATGAGGTAGCTCGGGATGGCGTTCTTCTGGGCCCAGGTGGTCGTGTAGACGGTGCCGTCGATGGGCGGTGCGGGCGCGTCGAGAGGGGGCGAGATGCGCAGGGCCGAAAGGAGGATCGGGAGCGTCGAGTGGACGGTGGCGGCGTAGGTGGCCTTGACAGCAGGGGTGTCGAAGCAGGGGAGGAGCGAACGGGCGTGAATGGCCTGTGGCGGGCGCGAGAAAGGAGGGGGAAGGGAAAGAGGGTCAGCTTGGGAAGGCGGGTCGACGACGACGCGAGACACGCTCGGCGCCGCAAAGACTGGACCAGAGAGAGACAGAGGACGCACCTGGCACTGGGCGTACACGAAAGGGTACTTGCCCGAGTCGGTCTGGGCCGCCTCGAGCCATCCGAGCGCCGTGCACTCGTCAGTCGTGTTGTACTCGATGACGAGCTCGAGCTTGTCGCCCTTGTTGTACGGCTTGTCGAGCTTGATGGTGAGGGCCGAGCCGAGGTTCGGGTGGCGCTTGGACGGGAGCGAGAAGTCGAGGTTGCGCGAGGGCGAGGACGTGAGGTAGGCGCGCTTGACGGCGAGGTAGGACGAGTCCAAGACGACCTTGTCCTGCGGGTGCGACTGTCGAGGTCAGTGTTCGTGTCTGCGCAGAGCTGGGTGACAAAGAGAGAAGTGCGTGGACGCACAATGCCGTTCCTGGCGAACTCGAGGTGGTGGGTGACGGAGCCGCGGATGCAACGCTGGGACCAGTCGACGTGCCACTCGAGGTCGATGTGGGTCGAGTAGAGGTCCTTGTAGTTGGACTGGGTGGCTTGCTGTGTGCGCTCGAGGGCAGGTGAGCCTTGGCGGTCCGAGTACGTCGGAGGGTCTCGAGGTGGGGATGAGCGAGAGGTCGGGACGCACGTCGACGGGCGCGTGAGGTGCTGCGGTGGCCATGTTGGTGGTGCTGAGTCGATTGAGCGTGTCGGCGAAGAGCTAGAGAGCTGCAGCGAGGCTGGGTGACGAGCGAGCTGATGGAACCTCGCGGAGGAGAGCGGGCGGCCGGCCGGCGGCCACCTCTCGCTCGAGGAGAGCCGTACAGCACGAGCCAGTCTGTATTGTACTGCAGAAGCAAATCAGCTCACCCGCAGGGCCCACAGGAGAGCGAGAGCGGCGTGTCTCGTGGTTTTGCGAGCTCTGCCGCCTCTCGTCCTCTTCATCGCTGTCTGCGCCTTACCCCGACACCCACGACCATGCAGCGATCAAGCTCCCTCGCAGTAGCAGCAGCACTCGGCCGCACCCTCGCCCCTCGCGCTCCCGCACCCGCCCCTTGCGCCCGCCTCTTCTCGTCGTCCTCCGCCTCGCCTGCCCGCTCGACCGCCAACCGCCCCAAACGTGACCCGACCACGTACGGCGTCGGCGGCAGGGTCCCCCGCAAGAACTGGCCCACCCAGGCCACCACCGACACGGCCAACCACCCCTTGTGGCGCTTCTTCCACGACCAGCAGCCCCTCGAAGCTCCCGACAAGCGCGTCGACTACTCGAGTGAGCACAACCCCTTTTGCCCTGTGGCCTCCCCTAGACTGTCTCCGTCCAACCCGACCTGACTCGTGCCCGTCCCGCAGGTCGCCCCTGGACCGCACCCGAGCTGCGAGCACTCCCCTTCGACCAGCTCCACGCCCTGTGGTACGTCCTCTTGCGCGAGCGCAACGTCCTCCTCACCCAGCGTGAGGAGGCTCGTCGTGTTCGCGTCGACCTCGGCGGCTTCAGCGCCGTCCCGGAAAAGATGAGGATGGTGCGTCCCGCCGTCCTCTCCCTCCTCCCTTCCCGCCTCTTCCTCCCTCTCTTCCTTCAAGCCTTTCCTCGCGACAACCCTGCACCCTCGCTACTCTCCTACATCGCCCTCGCCTCCCTGTCGCACCCGTGCGCAGCGTCGCTGACCTCCCTTCGTCCCTCCCTCCTTCCCCCGACACCCTCGCCCGCCCACTCCCGCCCGCCCACACGCCCGCCCCACCCACAGTGCCAGAAGAGCATGGCGCGCATCAAGCAGATCATCTCGGAGCGCCGCCACGCCGCGCTCGAGGCGGCCGAGATCCTGCGCGCGAGGGGGGACCTCGAGGGCGCGGACCGGGTCGAGCGGAGCGTCGACGAGAGCGCCGAGGCGCTGCGGTAGAGCTGGCGGGCAGGAGAGGTGCAACGAGGTCGTGTTCGACGACGACGAGGCGCCGCTCGAGCGAGAAGGACGAGAGGCTTTCGCTGCTGCTCGCGCTTTCCGTCTCGCTCGCCTGCTCTCAAGAGAAGGTCCCGCTCGAGCTCTTCGCTGCCTCTCGCTGCGACTCTCGACAAAGAGCTGAGGTTCTATAGTCTGTTCGAGTCGTTTCATCAAGAAGCGCTTGGTCAAGTTCCGGCTCTGCCGGCGGAGGAGGACGAGGAGAATATGGACAGGGTTGCGAGGACAGCCCCGAGTGCGCCAGGCACTCGCGGCGAGATGTGAGGAGGAAGGGAGGATCGCGCTACTCTGCGACGCACGCGGTCGAGATGGGGTCGAACAAGAAGCCGTCCTCGCACGCCCAGACCTCGCCTGTGTGAGGGACCAGGTCGTCAGGATCCGCCTCGTCGCACTCGAGAGACCGAAAGAGAGAGAGAGAGAGAGAGAGACGCACAGACACCCTGGACGCACCCGACGGCCGCCACGTTGGGCAGCGCCGTGCAGTCGACGCCGCCCTGCGCCGCGCACGCCCCGCACTGCTCGAGCGCGCTCGTCGTGTCGACGCACTCGAACCCTGCCGCTCCAGCGCCGCCGAGGCCGACAGCGAGCGCGCACGCCTGCCGCCCCGCCGGGCACAGTGAGCGCGCCGCCGGTCCTGCGCCCGGGTGCGCGCGCGCGACGACGACGGCCTGGTGGCCCTGCGCGACGGCCCTGCGCGAGCGGCTCCTCGCGCGCTGCGACGCTCCGGGCGCCGAGGGCTCGCTGCCGCCGAGCGAGCGCGTGCACTTGAGCGACGAGGCGTCGCACGAAAGGCCCGTCGCGCAGCCGTACGTCGGGTCGGACTCGCACGACTCGCCGAGCCCCTTCTTGGTGTCGCACTGGGCCGTGCCAAAGTTGCAGTACCTGTCAGGCGTCGCGAGGAGTCAGTAAGGGGTTCGAGCGAGTGCCAAAGGGGACAGAGAAAGCGAGACGCACCCGGACTGGCAGAAGCCGTCGAAGATCTCTTGCGCCTCGCTCGCCTGCATGTCGAGCGACGCCGACCGTGCGTCGTTGCAGAACGCGCCGATGCCGCCGCACGTGTCGCTCGCCGTCACCTTGTAGTCGGGCTTCAACTGCGTCGTCGAGGAAGGGCCGCAGCGTCAGTCCTGGCCTGTGTGAGAAGGGCGAGAAGGGGACGCACGCAGTAGAGGAAGCCGAGGCAGTTCGTGTCCTTCTGCGAGCACGACTGGGCGAACCCGCCTTGGCTGTTGAGCGGGGCGAGGAGGGCGGGAGAGTCAGCTCCACGCGCCTCGTGACATCGAGGGAGGGGGGGAGGGGAGAGACGGGTCGACGCACCAGGTTCCCTCGACGCAGTGGCCGTTGTCGCAGTTGGCGTCGCTCGTGCACTGCGCGCCGGCCAAGCCGCAGAAGTAGGCGCCCGTCTCGGCCTGGAGGACGCACTGGGCGCCGGTCGGGTTGACGCCGTCGCCCTGCGTGCCGCCGGCGTTGCCCGTAGCGAGGCCGGGCGCGACGAGCTTGGCGTCTGCGCACAGCGAGGCGTCTGTGGTGGGAGATGGGCCAAGACGGCGCGTCAGCTTGGCTCGAGAGAGGTGGGGGCACGCGCTCGGAGAGAAGGAGAAGGTGGGACGCACCGGCGCTGAAGGTGCCGTCGGCATTGACCTTGGTGCACGGGAAGCGGCCGTACCCGAGGGGCGCGCCCGAGGACGACTGGGCGGCGGCGAGGCCGGCGAGAGTCGCGAGCGACGCGAAGGCGAGCGAGGAGCGCATCGAGGAGGACAAGGGTCGGGATATGAAACGAGTGTGGGTGGTGGCGACGAGGTGTGCGCGCAGGCGAGGCGATCACGTAGACAAAGAGCACGAACGAATGTGAGGAGGAGGAGGAGGCGGAGGAGCCGACGACGCGAAGCCGACGCGTCGAAATTGAATCGGACGCGCTTGTTTTCCGCCAACGGGCAGTTGAGATTTCAATCCTATTTCGCGGTCAGCAACGGTCATTACAAAGCTTTGCTATTCAGCTTCGTTTCTCCTTCTCTCGGGCGCTCTTCTCGCGCGGGTCGTCTCGGCCTTTTCCTCGCGCGACTGCGGCTGTCGGCGAGCAGCTTGTGTCCCTGTACGCACCGGACCGGCCGCCGTCTGTCCGCGGACGCGCCGGTCCTCGAGCGCTCCTGCGCCTCGCCGGGTTCCGCTCCTGCACTCGTCCTCGCGCTTGCTCGTTGCTGCTGCCAGTCGTCCTCGTCCGCTACATCGCGCTCTGCCGCACGCCAGCATGTCGGCGCATCCTCCTACCCCGAACGAGCTCTCGCTCGACTCGAACGTCGCGTCGGCGATCCACACCTGTACGTTCTGAGCCGTTGTTCTCTCTGTCGTCGCAAGCAGCAGAAGTTGGACGCTCACGGCCCCGGGACCTTCCACAGACCGCGAGTGTGAGTTCCGCGAGGCCGCCTTGTCCCCCTCGCGCGACCGGTTCGAGCCGAGCCAAATCGCCCTCTCACGTCTCCCTCGTCCTCTCTCTCTCTCGCAGTGTGGTACGTCCGGCGAGCCACAGATCCCGTGAACGAGCGCATCTCGTACGAGGTCAAGACGAATGCGCTCCTCGAATGGGTGAGCACCCGTCTCGCGTTCGGGCCTCGTCCTCAATCTTGGTCGAGGTTGTCGCCGCCCCTCGACTTTCAAGCCTTGCTCACTAGCCCTTCTCTTTGCCACGCAGCGAGCCACGATACAGCAACGGGCTGTCGACTGTGTCGGCGGGAGGACGAGCGAGCAGATCTCGACAGCCTGTGCGTTCCTTTTTCGGCCTCGAGCGTCAAGTGTCGGCCGCTGGCGGAGCGTGTACCTTCTCATTCCTCGCTTAACTCCTCTTCGCAGATATTCAAGGTGCGCCCAGTCCTTTCCCCCCCTCTCTGCCGTCGGGCGAGCCGCCGACGCGACACTGACACAGTCCCTCCTCCTTCTTCTCCTCCTCCTCCTTCTTCTCTTCCTCCCTCTCCTCCTCCTCCTCCACCCAGTCAAAGCTCTGCAGGAACGCCGGCGGCTAGACGCCGACCAAAGCCTGCACGACCCAATCGTCGCCGTCCTGAACGCCTTCGTGCGCCTTCTTCCTCTCGCGCATCGGTCCAGCGCTCGCCTCGACTCAAAGACTGACTCGGGCCTCTACACAGTCCATCGTGCTAGACGAGCGCCGGCATCCCGTCCCGACCGGTCCTGTGCGCAGCCTCGGACGCTCGAGTCGGGCGCCTTCCTCGAGCCTGGGGCTGCGGCAGCAGAGGCTCTACTTCCAGCGCCGGTATTGAAGCAGGGAGGTCGCACGGGATAGATTGAGCGCGCTGCAATGCAGCCGTGACGCGAGTCTTGCAAGCCGTGAGCGTCTCGCGAATCGAGAAGGCTTTGCGACTTGAGAAGGTCGCCGCGGTTCGACCTCTTGCCTCGCTCTGCGCCTGCGCTTCAGCGAGAAAGAAAGACGAGAGAGAAAGGGCGAGAAAGAGAAGCAGCGACAGCAAAAAGATGAAGGCGTGGTTGCGCACGCGGCTCTCTCTGGGTCGGGAGACAGGTTACTAGAGGGCCGCGCCGCTGGTTGCGGCGCATCCTCTCCTCTCGGGATGTCACATCGAGCAGCGTAACCCGGCTCTCCGGCTCAGACTGAGCACACTTCATCTTTTGCCAGTTGAATGGCACGCCCAGTTGAGGGCGAAGGGAGGGAGGCGGACGGATTGACCCCGTTCGAGCAAGGAAAGGCCAACTTTCGAAACGCGCGCCGCACGCATGCGTACGACGCTATCGCCGCTCGGTGCCCCGCACACAGCCTCGCCGCCGCTTCGCTCGCTCGCCAGGGTCAAGCTGAATTATCGTGCGTGCGAGGGAGCCCGAGCAGAAAGCGCGCGAGCGAGAGGGCGAGGCGAGAAGCGAGCGGAAAGACGAGCGGCGACGGCTTCGGCACGCGCGCCGGCGTCCTGGCGAGCTTTCAGGCCTCAGGTGGGCGCTTGGGTGGGTCGAGCAGGTCCGTATACAGCTCTCGCACTTACCCGATGACCGTCAGACACGCGCTGTACGCGTGCAGGCGGAACGCTCGTCGAGCACGACCTTCGCAAGTTGAGCGACGCGAGCTTCGAGCGAGCGGCTGCAGGCAGCTCTTCTGTGTCTCTCGCTTGCTCGCTAGTATACTCTCGAGGGGGAGCGGTCGACATGAACAGACGTCACACGTTGCAAGCAAAGAGAGACCGAAAGTCCGCTCGCTCGCGCCTCTCGAGCCGCATGCACTTGCGAGACGCAACGAATTCACTGCATCGGGACGCCCACCATCTCCTCGCCCGGCGCCTGGTCCAGCCAGCTCCAGTCGCTCGCCTGCCCGGGAAACAGGCTCTCCCTGCGAGAGGCGCGAGCGCGTCAGTACACGCGAGAGAGAGGGGGGGAAAGAGAGAGACGAGGGGACGCACCAGAAGAGTCGGTCGTCGCCCATGGCCTCGGAGAACGTGTAACTGCCGTCGGGAAGAGGAGAAGAGGCGCCAAGGGCGACGGGCGTTGGCTGGGTGCGTCGACGAGGGTCAGTCTGCGCTCGACTGACTCACAGGGAGAGGGGGGGACGCACAGGTACAGGCAGTAGCCTTGGCGGCGCGAGGGCAGTCGACGTCGAGGGCGCCGGGACGACAGGCGGATGCAGCGGCGCCGTCAAGCCTGGTGCCGGGCTGCCGAGGGACGAGAACGGCGCCGAGTCGGCGTGAGCAGTCGGCGGCGGCGGCGAGCACAGGACGCGAATGCCGAGCTTGAAGAACCTCGACATGAAGGCGGCGACCGAGTCCTCCTTGCCCTCGGTCGCGAGCTCGCAGGCTTGGTAGACTGCGAGAGGGGGAGGATCGGCTCGTCAGGTCGAGAAAGGGCGCACGAGGCGGCGAGCGGCACATACCGCGCTCCATCCACGTCAGGATCTGCGTCTGGTTGCTCGGGTAGACGCGATGGAAGATCTGCGGCGCGACGAGGACAAGGTAAGCGACGGTCGAGAGCGGTCGAGCCGACGAGGAGAGAAGGAAGGACCCACCTTGACGAGGAACTCGCCCAGGCCGAACATCGTGACCGCCTGTCGACAAGGACGAGTCAGTGAAGGTGGCGAGAGAGAGGCAAAGAGGGAGAGAGAGGACGAACGAGGTTGTCCTGCCAGTAGCGCACCATGCCCTCCTTGACGACCTCCTCGAACGCGTCGACGAGCTCGCACGCCGCAACCATAAAGTGGGCGAGGGTGACACCCATCGTACCCGTCGAGACGAGTGTAGCACGCCGGAGCGCGAGGTTGGCGGCGGCGATAAAGAAGGTGACCTTGAGCGCCGAGCGCCGGTTCGTGTGGAGCGTGTGCGGTGCTGCACGCAAAGGGCGAGGGTCAGGCGGCGCTCGTCCACGGGAGAAACAGAGAGAGAGGGGGCTGGGACGCACAAGTAGGGTCGAGGTAACGGCGGTACGTCGCGTCGAGCATGCCGTGAAGGTGCGAGGCGAGCGCTCGGGCCTGCATCGGCCGAGCGTGCGCGATGTCCTTGGACAGTCGAAGAACCTTGATCCACCTGTACGCAAGAGACTATGGTGAGCGGGGACGAGAAAGGAAAGGCGAGAGAAAGGCGGGACGCACTCGAAGGCGGCCCCCTGCTCGAGGTCGTCGGTGACGCCGTACGGCCTCGTCTCCTCGAGCCAGGCCTCCATGTGGATGTTGTAGTGCGGGATCATGTAGGTCTGCAGGAGTAAGGCAGAGTCAGAGTGAGCTCTGCTCGATGCGGCCGTCCCGCTCGAGCCGGTCGCTCGGACCTCGCTCGGGAGGCAGTTGAGCGAGAAAGGCGGGCGTACCTGGTGCACGCCGTCATCGCCGTCGCCGCTGTGCAGCAGGTAGGTACCGTCGAAGCAGATGAGGACGTGCCAGGTGCGCTCGATGTCCTGCGGGAGGCGACGAGGAGGGAACGGTAGGGGGGCGTCGACGAGGGCGGGGCAAGGCGAGAATTGAGTCAGTACACGTTCAGGAGGCGCGAAAGGAAAACGTCAACGCACGAGGATCAATCGGGCTTCGTGCTCGTCGGCAGGGAGCGGTCCGTTGCGCCCGACGTTCAGGTCGAGCTGCAGCGCCATGCGGATGGCCACGCCGACCCGCAGCCACGCCGACATGTCGGTCGGCGGCTTCCAGTAGATCAACGTCAAGATGGCCTGGATGAGGCCGACGCTCGCCCTCGCCTCGACGATGCCGCGGCCGATGAGCTGCTGGGCGTTGGCCAGGAGGGGCGGATACAGGTCGGGCCGCGCAAACTTGGCCGAGACGGCGAGGAGCGCCGCGAACAGGACCGTCGACGTCGACCGGACAAAGGCGAGGGTGTGCAGGTACTTGTCGAACAGGATGATGTACCGGTTGAGCTCGCCGAAGAAGAAGGCGAAGAGCGACTCGGCCTCGGCGAGCGTGAGGATGCCCAGGTCGACGACGTCCGGCACGACGTCCTGCGACATTGCGCTCGCCGCCTTTGCGCGCTCGCCGGCCTTGACGGTCGTCGGCGCACCGGCGCTGAGCTTCGACAGGGCCTCCTCCTTGGCGCGCGCGACGTCGACGAGCGACAGGTTGGCGGCCGGGCTGACCTCGCTCAGCGTGCTCGGCGAGTGGTGCGCCGATGTCGATGCCGAGAGCGTCTGAGGGTGAGGGTGAGGAAAGGGAGGGAAAGTTGGTGGAGGAGGGAAGGGAGGGAGGGTCGGTGCGGTCGAGGTGAAGTGGGCGGGCGGGTTCGGGAGGGCGGACGCGGCGAGGAGGTCGAGAGGGTTCTGCGCTGCTTGTGCGGCGTAGTAGAGGGCGGCAGGCGAGTGAAAGGCGGACGACGAGGCGGATGCGGATGCCGACGACGAGGGAAGGGGGAGGGGAGGGTCGGGCAACCTGCGCGGACGGGCCCGGGTGAGCTGTGCTGCGGGTAGAAGGTAGACCGGGACTGCAGGACGGACTTGTGGCCCTTTGGCTTGCGGCCACGCTTCTGTGGCGCGGCCCACACGCACTCTTGGTGGAGCCGCTCGCACCGAGCACACTTGTGGCCCGCCGGCTCTTGCGGGAGGCAGCGCATCTGCAGGGGGAGCGAGTCAGGCCTGTCCGTGTTGCTCAGAGCAGGCAAGACGCACCTTGACGGTCCTGCACGCGAGGCAGGCGCGCTTGGCCGGCTCGGACTTGGAGTGGTCGTCGTCGCCGTCGAGGAGCGGGTCGCGCTCGCGCGAGGTGGACGGGCGGCGCATCGGCGAGTCCATGGCCGTGTGGTGCTGTGCGCTGCAGCAGAAAAAGGCCCGGAGCCAGCGAGGGCGGGTGACGGCGGACTCGTCCAACCTGCGGTCGCTCGTCGGCGGACGGCCTCGTTTGCTCGCGCCAGTCCCGCCATCTGGCTCAGCTGGACCCGTGCAGAGCTCTGCTACAAGCACGAGGGCCACATGGCTCGCCTCGAGCTACTCGCGCATCGTCCCTGGCCGCTCGGTCGCCCCCACCCGACGTCCACCTGATCCGCCCGGCCATTTCGAGCGACGGTCGGCGCAGGCCCTCTGGGCACGGCGAGATCCGCTCAGCTTGTTCTCTTGCTCCCTCTCGACACTTTCCCGTCGCCCGCACCCCGCCAGCGATGGTCGTCGCGACTCGACTCGCCCGCTCCCTCTCCCTCGCATCTGCGACTCGCCCGACGCCCGCCGCCGGACCTTTCTCCGCTTCTCGCCTCAGCTTCTCGACGACTCGCTCGCCGTGTGCGCCGACCCCCGACGGCGACAACCAAGAGGGCTCAATCGCCGACGTCTTCTCGAGCCTCGGCGGCGACGCCTTCGTCCCCCTCGAGCCGCGGTTCGCCAGCCTCAAGCAGTCGCTCTGGCACGACGGCCTCATCGAGTCGTGGCGCAGCGTCCTCTCAGCCCTCGAGGAGCGCACGGCCGAGATCGTTGAGCGCGGCAACAAGGTGCGTCTCTTCCCCCTCGAACCTCTTCCTCGTCCTCCTTTCCTTCCCGACCTGACGGACCCGCCGGCGGATTTCCCCTGCAGGTCATTCCGCAAGTGTCGTACCGCGACATCCGCGACGGCGTCCCTCCTGCACTCGCCGAGGAGATCAAGCGCGTCGGGACGGTCGTCGTGCACGACGCAGTCGAGCTGGGCGAGGCCGAGCGGTGGAAGCGCGAGCTCGAGGCGTACATCAAGCGCAACCGCGACCTCGCCAAGGGCTTCCCTGCCGATGATCCGCAGGTGCGTCCCCTCGCCTCTGCCACTCGAGCGTCGCCGGGTCGACGAGAAGATGCCGTCCCTCACGAGCTTCCTCGACCTGCCACTGACTCATTCCCTCCTTCACCTCAGGTCTGGGAGCTGTACAACTCAGTCCAGCAAACGCAAGCGCGCACCCATCCCGGCGTCCTCGGCACGCAGAAAGCGCTCCTGTCGCTCTTCCACACGTCGTCGCCCGACTCGCCCGTCAGCGTCAACACGCCCATCTCGTACTACGACCGCCTGCGCATCCGCTTCCCCGGCGACGCCATCTTTGCCCTCGGCGAGCACATCGACGGCGGGAGCCTCGAGCGGTGGGAGGATCCAGGTGCGCCTTCACTTCCTCTCCCTCGCCCTCTCCCTCTCCCTCTCACCTCCTCGCGCACAAGAGGCTCACGGCGACTGTTCCTCACAGGCTTTCGCTCGTGCTGGCGCGAGATCCTCGCCGGTGGACCCGAGCCGCACGAGCGGCACGACCCGTGGGACCTGTCGCCGCGACTCGACGCCAAGACGAGCTTGTACCCGTCGTCGGGCCAGTGCTCCGTCTTCCGCATGTTCCAGGGTGCGCCCCGCTTTCTCCCCGTCCCTCTCTCCCATCGTGCGCGCCTGTCTGACCCTGCTGTACGCGCAGGCTGGACGGCGCTCTCGAACACGGCGCCGGGCGAGGGCACGCTGCGGGTCTTTCCCGACGTCTCGCTCGCGACGGCGTACCTCGTCCTGCGCCCGCTCTTCCGACCTCGTCGAGGGCGAGAGGGCAAGCTCGGCTTTGACGACTGGGAGGTGGACGTCGAGTCGACCGATTTCCCCGGGTCGGTCAAGGGCAAGGGTGCGTCGAGCTCCTTCTCCTCGAGCCTGCCCCCCCTCTCTCGGCAGATCACTCATGGCGTACGTGCCTGCAGGTCAGGAGCTGTCGGACAAGACGCACCCGCACCTGCGCCTCCCCGAGACGATGACGAGCGTGCCGAGGGTCAAGCCGGGCTCTTCAGTTTGGTGGCATTGCGACGGTGCGTCCTCTCTCTCCTCTCCCTCTCCCCCTCTCTCTCTCTCGGTGGACTCTCTCTTTCGGTTGGGCACAGCCGTCGCGAGCGCACCTCTGACCTTCTCTCGTCGTCCTCCCGCTCGCCCTCGCAGTCATCCACTCGGTCGAGTCGCAGCACCTCGGTGCCGAGGACTCGTCCGTGTTCTACATCCCTGCCGTCCCGCTCACGGTCCCCAACGCGCACTACCTCGCCGCCCAACGTGCGCGCTTCGCCGCCGGCACGCCCGCGCCCGACTTTCCCGGCGGCGAGGGCGAGCGCCGGTTCGAGGGCAGGGCGACGGTGCGCGACACGCACGAGGGGAGCGGGAGCGCGGGAAGGCGGGCTATCGGCGCCGAGAGGTTTGTCGTCGAGGAGGGAGAAACGCCAGGAGGGAGGAGGGTCGTTGAAGAGGCGAACAGGATCTTGGGATTCTCTTGAAGCAGCTCGAGTGCAACGCAGTGCCCTCGTCACAGCCGACGCTCTCGGCGCGTGCGAGACGAGAGCTGAGCAAGCCAGCCATCGTCGCTGGAACAGGTCCGTGCGAGCGAGCGGCGAGCGGCGAGCGAGCCTCGCGAGAGCCTGGTGACGAGCTCGCGGGTGCGCGCACTCCTTTCGTGTGTCTCTCGGAGCGACCTGCCGACGTAGAACGACGACGTACGGGCCGAGCGAAGCTGTTCCCGGCGAGAGCAAGTGCGAGAGAGCAGCTTGGCACTCGACCGGATGCCCTTGCGGATTCCGAGCCTGGTCAACTTGGCTCGGTGTGCGCAAGGACGATTACGGTCGAGGCCTCGCCCGGACTTAATTTCTGGCAGGCGAGAGAGGCAAGTGCGACCGGACGAGGCGCCGCACTTGTTTGACGCTCTCCTCCCCCCTCTGCATCGCCGCCTTGCACGACCGAGTGCGCGCCCAGCTCTCGCACCGAGCCCAGCTCGTCCACCTCCCGCCAACCGCGACACTCGTTCAGCTCGGCCAAGTCGCCCTCGTCCAACAGAGCCAGCCCCTCGCCTCCTGCAGATCTGCCCGCAAACGCTCGACCGAGCCTCTAGGGTTCAGCAGCAGCGCGCGCGACCGGCCTGGCGAGCACGCGCAGACGCAGACCATGATGGCCACGTCCCCTCGCGCGGCCGACCACCCCGACCACCTCCGCACCTCGCTCGATGGCGACGGCGACGAGCCGGCGCCCTTCTTCGTCCGCGCGCTCCACTCGTTCGCGCCCGAGACGCTCGCCGGCACGAGCAGCCACACGTCGGCCCAGCAGCAGGCCAACTCGTGCCTGTCGTTCTCGGCCGGTCAGGTCATCCGGTGCTTGAACCGCGACCCGTCTGGCTGGTGGGACGGCGAGCTCGACGGGCGCAGGGGCTGGTTCCCCTCGAACTACACCGAGGTCCTGCACTTGACGCCGGGCAAGGTCGAGGTACGCCGCACCGTTCTTCTCCCCCCTCGTCCTCCTGCGCCAGGACGAGCGAGCTGAACCTCCTTCCCCCTCTCGCAGTCGGCGTCGCTGTCGTCCAGTGCCGCACAGCTCCTCGGCAGCATCGAGCACAATGTCGGCCTCCTCGACAATGCCGTACGAACACGCCGCAAGGCCCACTTTCAGCCGAGCACTGCCTGGTGAGCCTCGAGACGAGCGGGTTCCCGGCCGGCCGTCCCGGCTCCGACCGAGACTGACAGCCCTTGCGCCCGCCCGCAGCGTCATCTCGTCCATCCGCACCGTCCTCTCGGCCACCTCGGCCCTCACGCGCGACTCGCCCGTCCTGCGACAGCACCCTTCCCTCTCTTCCTCGCGCAAGCGCATCCTGTCGTCCCTAGCCGCCCTCGTCAACCAGGCGCGCAAAGCCTCGGCACCCGCACCACCCGCGCCTCCACCCGACCAGGACGAGCGCGACGCCGAGGACGCGCAGGAGATGCTGCGCATCGCCCGCGAGACGCTCGCGAGCGTCCGGGCCTTCCTCGTCGCCGCCGAGGACAAGGGCGTGCCGGTCGACCTCGCCTTGGCGGCGGCGACGCCGACGAGCGCCGACGCGCCGACGAGCCGCAACGGCGAGGCGAGCGCGGCACCGCTGCGGGCGGCCAAGAGCCTGGGCAACTTGCGCGCGCAGCGACGGCCCGCAGCGCCGACGGCCGCCGAGCGCGTACCCGCACCGGCGTCCACCTTTCCTGCTCGACCGCCCAAATCCCCATCCCGATCGACCGTCGCCCTCGCCGCCGACCCGGCGCACCTTACCCTGCGCTCGCCCTCAGCCCTCTCCCTCCACCTCTCGACCCTCCACGACTCGCTCCTGTCGACCATCGCCGCCCTCATCGGCCACATCCACTCGCATGCGCGCTCAAGCTCGCCCGCGTCGTCTTTTGCGCACCTCATCGACCTCACGCGCGAGGGCATCGAGCGCGTGCGCGACGTCCTCGTCGTCGTCGAGAAGGTCGCCGCGAGCTTCACCGCGCCCTCGTCCTCGTCCGGCGACGCCACGGTCGACGCCGACGACCTGCAGCCGCTCGCAGCGGCGCGCGAGAAGCTGTACGAGGCGACGACCGCGCTCGTCGCAGCCGCTCGAACGGCGACATCGCCTCGCGAGGGCGCCGCCGCGAGGAAGCGGTCGACCGACTCAAACGCGTCGATCGAGCTCGCGCGGGAGCGCAAGCGGGTCGACCGCGAGTACGACGACGAGGAGCGCAAGGCGCTGCTCGGCGCCGCGACGGGCGTGCTCCGGGCGGGAGGCGAGTGCGTCGGCGCCGCGAGGGGTGTCGTGCAGCAGTTCGCTGCGAGCCGCGAGGGCGCGTTCGAGCTCACGCTGCCGCGGCCCAAGACGGGCGACGAGCTCGCCGAGGAGCACCGGCGAGGGGAGGAGGCCGGGCGGGCGAGCTCGGTGCAGGACGGCGCCGTCCTCGACGCCTCGCCGCCAAGCAGCATCGCGTTCGCCGATGCCGACGAGGACGCAACGCCGTCCTCGTCGGTCAGCGTCGAGGCCGAGCAGCGAGCCGTGGCGCGGCCGCCCTCGGACCGCGTCTCGCCGCGCAAGGGCCACGCGCACACGCTCAGCATGCTCGGTCGCAAGGCGACGAGCCTGAGCGGGCTCCGAGGGCGGTACGAGGGCGACGGCGGCGCAGCACCCGGCGTCGCGGCGCTCACGCTCGAGGAGAGCCACGAGCCCGAGGAGGAGGAGGGGGCGGATCGGCGCGACGAGGACGGCGAGAGCGCGTGCACGGGCGACTCGGAGCAGACGGCGTCGTCGCCTGTGCTTCCTCGGCCGGCGTCGTTCGCGAGCACCTACTCGCCCGTCGACGACGACGGCCGCCGCCGCAGCATCAAGACGTCGACCTCATCCCTCGCGCCCGTCGACTTTGCCTCCTCCTCATCGCCCTCGTCGCCTCCTTTCTCCGAGCACCAGTCGACACGCCCCAACTCGCTCGCGATGCACCGCGGCAAGTCGAGCGAGTCGGCGCACTCGGCTTCGTCGTCACGCGCGACGGCCCACAGCCTCGCGAGCAGCAGCGCCGTGACGAGCGGCACGGCCGAGACGAGCCCGCGCAACTCGATCCAGAGCCCGCTGAGCATCGCGGCGGCGCTGCTCAAGGCGCCGCCGCGGTCGAGCCTCGGCAGCGTCGACGAGCTTGCGAGAACGTCGTCGTCGCCTTCGCCGTCGTCGCCCAACGCGACGCCGCGCGGCTCGGTCTCGGCGGGCTCGACGTCGGCGACGTGGTTCCTCGAGCGCGACTACCTGCCGCAGGAGATCTCGTTCAACGCCGACGGGCACGTGTCGGGCGGCACGCTCCGGTGCCTCGTCGAGCGCATGACGCTGCACGACACGACGATCGACGCCGCGTTCAGCAACACGTTCCTCCTGTGCTTCCGCATGTTCACGACGCCGCTCGACCTCGCCAACCTCCTGTGGGCGCGCTTTGACCTCGTGCCGCCTCGCCATCCCGACTCGGGCGCCGACTTGTCGGCCGACGAGCTCAAGCAGTGGACGGCGCAGAAGTTGACGCCGGTCCGCCTGCGCATCTTCAACCTGTTCAAGACCTGGGTCGAGAGCTACTGGCAGCATCACCCGGACGGCGAGATCGTCGACGGCCTCCTCGAGTGGTGCGCCGGCCGGCTCAAGGCGGCCATGCCCTCGGCGAGTACGCGCCTCGCCGACCTCGTCCGCAAGCGCGTCGTCGCCGCGCAGCACGACGAGGCCGCAGCCGTCGCCGCCAAGCGCGACAGCGGCGAGGACTTTCTGCTCGGGCACAACAACGGGTCGTCGTCGAGCTTGGCGTCGAGGTCGGCGTCGCCGAGCCTGAGCATAGACGGCTCGACCCTGTCGCTCGGCGTGTCGAACGCGCCGCCGGTCGCCGCCGTCCGCAACGGGTTCGCTGGCGGCGGCCTCAACCGCATGCAGTCGACGGACCGGCTCAAGGCCGGCAAGACGCTCGTGCCCTTCTCGTCTCTCACGACCGGGTCGTCGTCGTCCTCCTCCTCCTCGTCGTCGGCCGCCATCGACGCCTACTCGCCCTCGTCAGCCGCCGCCTCGTCCGCCCCTCCTCCCGTCGTCACCAAGTCGCTCGTCGCCAACCTGCGTCCCGCGCTCTCGGGCCGCCGGTCGCTCCTGTCGTCGGTCACCGAGATCGACGCCCTCGAGCTCGCCCGCCAGCTCACCATCATGGAATCGCGCGTCTACTGCTCGATCCGGGCCGACGAGCTCCTCGGCGCGGGCAACGGCGGCGCGAGTTCGGGCTCGGCCAAGCACGTGTCGGAGTCGATGCGCACGCCCAACGTGCGCAAGATGAGCTCGTTGAGCACGAGGTTGACGGGCTGGATCACCGAGGTGATCCTCGGCGAGCAGGACCAGAAGCGGAGGACGGGCCTGCTCAAGTACTTCATCAAGCTCGGCGAGGTGCGTCCCTCTCGTTCCTCTGCCTCCGTATCGCCTTACGAGCCGACCCTGACCATCTCTCTACGTCCGTCTGCAGCGCCTCCTGCACCTCGCCAACTACAACGCCCTGTTCGCCGTCTTTACCGCGCTCAACTCGTCGACCATCTCGCGCCTGCGCAAGACGTGGGACGGCCTCGCGCCCAAGTACCGCTCGACGTTCGAGACGTTGCGCAAGGCGACCGACCACGGGCGCAACTACGCCGAGTACCGCCAGAAGGTCCGCCAAGCCGTCCCGCCGTGCCTGCCATTCGTCGGGGTGCGTGCACTCTCTCCCTCTCTCTCGCTTTCCTTCGCCTCGGGTCGACGAGGCGATCACTGACACTGTTCATCGACGCCCTGCAGCTCTTCCTCACCGACTTGATCTTCGTCTTCGAGGGAAATCGGGCCGAGCGGCCGTCGCCCGCCGACTCGTCGCTCCTCCTCATCAACTTTGACCGCTACCACGTGCGTCCCTCTTTCTCTTTCCGTCTTCTTCCACTTTCTGCGACGACGCTTACGAGCTCGACCGTTCCGCAGAAAATGGCGCGTATCGTTGGCGAGCTGCAGCGCTTCCAGTCGCCGTACTCGCTCGTCGAGGTGCCGGAGATGCAGGCGTACCTGTCGCAGGAGCTCGAAGGGCTCAAGCGAGGGCAGGACGCTCAGTCTCTCTGTGCGTCGACTCTTCTCTCTCTCGGTGCCGTCACGAGCGAGCCTCTCTGACCATCGTCTCGCCCCGACCTGCAGACCGCCAGTCGCTCATGATTGAGCCTCGGCAGGGCGGGCCCGCCTCGTCGTCGGCCGCGAGCATCATCAGCTCGCAGGACAGCCACCGACCTCGCGACATCTTCAACTGGCGAGGGTGATTCCGCCTCGTCCATCGTCGTCGTTATCGCCCGACCACGCTCGATCCTCCTCGACTCGCTCGCCTCGGCGGCGGCCACCTCTCCCTTCTCTCTCCTCTCCTCGCCTCGTCCATCATGTCCACGCGTTATTGCCTCGCATCCATCCATTTATGCCGTAGTCCTGTTGTTCCCCATTCCTCGTCGAGCGTACCCCCCTCGTCTCTCCTCAGACCTCGCGACGCCGTCGCAGCTGTGCAAGGTTGTTGTCAGTCCCTCTTTCGGCAGTCGGTCGTGCTACCTCTGTGCTCTGCCGCAAGCATTTCCAGAGAGCGAGAGCGGTCGCCCTCGTCTCGGCCGACACGTTGGTTGACTCGCGCTCGGAGTTGACCTTCGCAAGTTGGGACCGACTCGACGCGAGCGCGATCGTGCGGCCAGCGAGACCGCTCTCGTCAGACTGGTGCTGACTTGGACTGTGGGGCTCGCAGGGAACAGCTCGGAGGAGAGGCAAGCCATCGAGAGCCGGCGAAAGCGGTCTCGCCTGCTCCTGCTTTCTCCTCGCGCATCCTCTCCGAGCTACCGCCCGCTCGCTCAATCGACCCGCGCACGCCGCTCTCGCAGCAGAGCACAATGGCCGTCGGCATCCCGGCCCTCACCACCGACCTCGGCTCGCCCTCGTCCGGCGCCTCTCCTCAAAGTAGCGGGTCGTCCTCGGCCACTCGCACCGCCACCGTCGTCTGCATCGTCGTCCCCGTCTTGCTCGTCACGGCAGGCATCGTCGCGGGCGTCCTGATCTGCTTGCGCAGCCGCAAGAGGCGCGCACTCAAGCACTCGTGGATCGAACAAGGTGCGCTCGCCGCCACTTTTCCCTCTCTGACTCTCGGACGAGCGCGCTCGTTGACTCAGGCGCATGCGCGACGCAACGCAGAACTCGTCCCGACCACCGCTCGCCATCCACCCATGCCCTCGCCCCCCCACGCGTACCCGCCCCTCACGAGCCACACGTTCTCGTTCGTGCAGCACGCTCGCGCTCCCGACCCGGCTCCGCCAGCCTCGCAGTCAGCGCCAGATGTACCTCCGCCGGCGTACGCGCGCCCATGACGCGCGAGCGGGATTGGCGCTGCGAGAGGGATGAGGTGGCCGAGGGTGCGAGGGCGGCGAGGGACGGCGGCGAGACGATGAGGGAGGGGCGGCGTTTGTCGGGAGGTGCATCGTCGAGTCTGTGAACGTTCAACCTGTGTCGAGAGGCAAGAGTGAGTGAATGCGACGCCAAGGGAGGAGAGAAACCGACTGCGAGCAAGAGAAGCGGAAGCCGAGCGAGGGAAGAAGGGAAGCGAGAGACAGCCTCTGCCGAGCCTCTCCTCGCACGCGAAGAAAGTGTACAGTCCAGTGCGCCGTCCCCGAAGTACAACACCGCGCACCCGTCCGTCCTCGCCCGCTGGACCGCCGTCAACGAGGAGGAGGACCGCCTCGCGAAGAGGCCCTCGCCGGTCCTGCTGCGCCGACCAGCTGGCCCGCACTGATCATTGCCACATGCTCTTGGCCTTCTTCTTCTGGTCCTTCTTGCCCTCGACCGAGTCCTTGCGCTTCTCGAGCTTCTGGGCGCGCTCGGTCGCGGCCTCGCGAGCCTGCATCTTGCGCTTGTTGCTGGCGGTGGACTTTGCGCGCTTGCTCTTGGCCTTTGTGGCCTGGTCGGGAGCGACGTGTGGCTTGGTGGTGGCGAGCGAGGGTTCGGGAGGAGGGGTCGCGCCGTCGACGGTGAGCTTGACGTCGGGGACGGGCTCGTCACGGCGCTGTTTGCCTGTGGGTGCGGCTTGTCAGTAGGGTGCGAGGGAACGGTACAAGGACTGGACGGTGCTCACGGTCGGCCTTGTGGGTCGGGGCCATGGTGACGAGGTGTGGAAGGACGACAAGCTTCATCAGCCAACTCTCGCCTCTCGTCCCACACCGTCTCTCTCGAAGCCTGGCTGCTCCAACTGCGGCCAGGGAGATGCACAGCATGCTCGAGCATCTACCTGCGCGAGCGCACGCCTGCTCGCAACCGCGCGGGCTTGCTCCGCTCTCGCACTTCCTCCTCATCTATCGTCGCCGCCCGCACCGCATCCACCACCCGAGCAACTGCCTGGCCTCGTCGTAGGGTGTTCAAGATGCACTCGCTCGCGACTCGGCTGGCTCCTGCACCGCCTCCGCGCCCTGGGTCGACCGAGCCCCTTTGTTCCCCTCGCCTTGTCCTCGAGCGCGCGCGCTCAGGCTCCGCTCGGCACCCTATGTCCTCCCACCAGGTCGCGACCGACCCTTTCTTGCTTGCGAGGCGGCGGGGCCGAGCTGGACTTTCGCTTCCGCTCTCGCTCTCGAGACGCCCGCCCAACCTCGTCTCAGCGCACTCGACCTCGTCCACGCCACACCGACACCCGCGCGCCGCCTCGCGCGACAGCCCCACCTCAGCATGGCGACCTACCCGCCACTCCCCTCCTACCCCGGTCACCCAGCTTTCGCCCCGACCTCGCCGTCGCACCGCCGCCTCAAGCCCTACCTCGGCCCTCGAGCCCACCTCTCCCTCTCGTGGCTCTCGCAGCACTTCCTCGCCCTCCTCCTCGTCCTCGTCGCCCTCGCCTTCCTCCTGGCCCAGATCCCGGCCCTCGTCGACGACGCAAAGTCGTCCCTGAACGCCGCGTGCGCCGGCGTCGAGGGCGCGGCGTCGGTCGCCGTCTCGCTGCCGCACTACATGGCCGGGGGCATCAACGAGGTCAACGCCAAGGCGGTAAATGCCATCAGCGAGGGCGCTGGAACGGTCCTCGACCTCATGTTGCAGGCCCTCGAGGCCATCGTCCTGTGCGTCCCGCCGGTCCTCCCCTTTCCCGACTCCTCGCCCTGGCAGGCGCCCGAGACTGACTCTCGCCCCCTCGTCCCTCGTCTCTGCAGCTTCATGATCGACATGTACCGGTCTCTCTTCCTGTGTCTCCTCGACCTCGCCGTCCACGGCTCGATCACGGTCCTCGTCAAGGGCATCGAGGAGGCGCAGGAATTCGTCACGGACGCGCTCGGCGGCATCCGCACGGCGATCCAGGACTCGGTGAGCGGCGTCAACACGCTGCTCGACAAGACGGTCGGGCTCATCGACGACCTTCCAGGGTGCGTCGCCTCTCTCTCTCTCCCTTCCTCCTCTCGGTCGACGGCGCCTTGCCGACCAAAGAGCCGTATCCTGACGGCCCTATCCCGTCTCAGAGTCGACATTGACGTCCCGACCATCGACATGCCCGAGCTGTCGGCCCTCGAGAACGTCACGCTCCCCGACACGCTCATCAACGCCCTCACGGACCTCAACTCGTCGATCCCGACGCTCGACGAGTTCCGCTCCGGCCTCGACTCGCTCATCTCGACGCCGATCGAGGTCCTGCGGAGCAAGATCAACAGCACCCTGTCCAACTCGAGCATCGACGTCGAGCTGCTCCCCGTCCCGGCGCGCCAGACGGTCGAACTCTGCCACGACCTCGACACGTCCTGGGTCGACGACGTCGGCGACGGGCTCGCCAAGTTTGTCAAGATCGCCATCGGCCTCGTCGTCCTCGCCATGGCACTCTTCATCGTCGCCAACGCCCTGTGGGAGCGGTACCGGTACCGGGCCTTTCTCGGCGGCGTCTCGGCCGCGCGCGAGGCGTGGCTCCTCGACCTTCCCGGCGCAGCAGGCGCAGCCGACCCCAAGGCTTCGACGGCGGCAACAGCGCACGAGACGCTCTCGACGAGCAACCTCCTGTCGTTCCTCAACGCGTCGTCGCACCCGTCCTTGTTCCGCTTCGCGTCGCGCCTGTCGTCCCTCCTGCGGCTCGAGACGTCGAGCGGCAAGGCCAACCTCATCTGGTTCCTGTCGTACGTCGCGCACCCGTACGCGTGGGCGTTCCTCGCCCTCGGCGTCGTCGGCCTCGTCGTCGTCCAGATCCAGATCGCCATCCTCGACGGGCCCGTGCGCCGCATGACTAAGGACAAGGCGACCGAGGGCGCGGGACAGTTCTCGAGCAGCGTCACGGGCACGCTCAACGCCAAGATGGAGGCGGCCGGCGCCGAGTGGGCCGACTCGACCAACCGCGCCATTCTCGGCGTCGAGGACGGCATCAACGACAATCTCGTGCGCCCTCTCTCTCTCTCTTCCTTTCTCGCCCTCCCCTGAGACGATCGGAACGCTCACACGTGAACTCGCTCGCAGTTCGGCTGGGTCAACGACACGACGACGACGCTAAACTCGACGATGGTCCACTTCTACGCCGAGATCACGGTGCTTCCTCTCCCTCCTTCCGGCCACCTCCTCGACGTACAGAGCCTGACGATTTCCCTCGCGCTCTCTCGAACTGCAGGACGCCATCACCGACGTCTTCAACGGCACGGTCCTCGAGGATCCAGCCCTCGGCCTCGTCTACGTGCGTCCTCCTTTCTCACTCTGCATCTCTCGACGTTCATCGCTCACGTTTCCCTCCTTTTTCCGCGCACAGTGCCTCGTCGGCAGCAAGGTCGACGCCGTCTCGACTGCCCTCACCTGGCTCCACGACCACGCCCACCTGTCGCTCCCGACCGTCTCGCCCTCGCTCCTCACGCTCTCGCAAAACCAGTCCGACGAGCTCACGGCATCGCTCACCAACCCCGAGTCGGCTGTTTCAACGTCGTCGATCGCCGACCGGCTAATCGACGCGTACCGCCGCTCGCTCGAGCAGCAGCGCATGGGCTTCATCCTCGCCATCGGCATCTGGCTCCTCGTCCTCGTCATGGGCCTCGTCGGCGTCTGGTGGCGTGCGTCGGGCGAGCGGGCGTGGCGGCGCTGGCGAGGGGTGCGCGGGTCGGACGAGGGCGGTGACGAGCCACTTGAGAAGGTCGTCGCGCCCGGCGCCGACGAGGAGAAGCGCGCCTTCTTCAAGCCGCTGCACCTGCGCTCCATGTCGGCGCAAGCTCAAGGCGGCGTCGAGCCGTCGCAGGCGTACGCCGCGCCGCCGTCGATGTCGACGCACCCGTACGGCACGTCGCACGCTCGAGGGGCCGAGAACCCGAGCGCGGCGAGCTGGGCGTCCCTCATCGACTACTTCAAGCCGACGCCGAACGAGGACCCTCAGCCTCCCGTCACCGCAGTGCCCGCCGCCGAGCCCGCTCAGGCCCGTCGGTCCCCTCGCACCCTCGTCCTCCCCTCTCTTCCCTCGCTCCCCTCCCTGCGCCGCACGCCCGCCACACCCTCTTCCCCTTCCACCTCTCGACCTCGGCTTCGTCCTTTCATCATCTCGCGCCCGTCCCGCCCGCTGTCGGCGTTCCGCTCGATGCGCGACTCGCACTTTGCGTCCAAGCGCTCTGCGCCGACTGTGGCGGCGGGCCCGAGTCGGCGCGCGAGCGACTGTGCGCCGCTGCGGGGCGACGAGGCGCGGGGCGAGAGGCGGTACGCGCTGCCTGGAGCGGTCGGCGCAGACGAGGGAGCTGGAGCGGGCCGAGGAGCGCGGTGGAGGAGCAAGGTCGTGGCGAGGATGGGCGGGCGAGGACGCGCTCGAGCGCTCGAGGGCGACGACGGTGTCGACGAGGGCTGGGAGGAGATGCACGACGACGACGACGACGAGCCCGCAGGCCGAGCCGTCCTCCCTCTCTTCCCCTCTCCTCCGCCTCCTCCCCCGCAGGCCCGAGCGCCGCCCGTCAACCCGTTCGCCGACCCGCTCGGCGCCTCTCGCACGCTCTACGGGCCGTCGAGCCGGCCGCCTGTCCTCCCTGCGCACCACCACGTGCGGGCGACGGCGCAGAACCCGTTCGCGACGCCGTTCGACGGCGAGGGGGAGCGGTGAGTGTCAGGAGGGTCGGGCGCGCAGGTCGCGCTCTCTTTCTTTTGTCCTCCTTGTTGTTGTTCCTCTCGTTGCACTGGACAGACACTCTCTCGGGACTCGACGCTTGCGTCGGGTCGAGCGAGAGATCGAGAGCGAGCAGGAAGAGAGAGAAAGTATGCCAACAACGAGGACGAGGCTCTCGTGGCGCCCGCTGCTCTCGTCGCTCTCGCCGAGACTAGGTCCACGAAGAAGGCTGTGCATTGCTCGATTCGAGGCAGTCCAGACTGATCCACCGCGTCATACCGAAAGAGGGGGACAAGGAGGCGAAACGGGGCTTTACGCCTCGAAGGTGAGCGACGAGCCGACCTTGGGGGCCGTGATGGTCTGGCCGCTGATGTCGAGGGCGGCGCCGAACGAGACCTTGACGCCGGGACGGAGCGCCTGGGTGTAGCCGAGCGCGAGGACACCTGGAGGAGGGAGGGGCGGGAACGTCAGGGCAGGCTCGCGGGGTTTGAGAGGGGCAGGAGACACGCACCTGCGTTGTTGGCCTTGACCTGGTAGAGGAAGAAAATGCGAGGGGAGAGGGTCAGTACGGGTCGAGGAGGGCGACGAGGAGGACGGCGAGCCGACGGACCTTGACGAAGGCGGTGTTCTGCACGACGGGCAAAAACAGAGGGTCAGTGCGATGAAGAAGGCGCACGAGAGACAAAGAGAGAGGCGGACGCACGTCGAGGTAAGCCTTGGTGCCGACCTGTGAGGAGAGGGAGGGAAGAAGGGGTCAGTGCGGCGTTCCGAGCTCTCCCGCCTGCACCGTATACGCGCCCGACGAGTTCGCGAGAGCTCGTCGAGAACGCGAGGCCGGCAGAGAGCGCGAGGCAGCGCAGGAAAGGCGAGCGTGGACGCACCTCGAGGCCGACCTGGGAGCCCTGGACCTTGGTGTCGTAGATGGCCTTGGCGCCGGCCTCGACGTCCTTGGACACCTTGTGGTAGTACGACGCCGAGAAGACGGACAGGTTGGCGAGGCCGTGGAGCGTGACGGTGTACGACGGCGCGGCGTAGCCGAGGCCGAGCGCGTAGCGCGTGATGGCGCCCGTCGGGACCGAGTAGGTCGACTCGGCACCGAGGAGGAAGCCGTCGCGGCCGATGACCTGCGAGAGAGAGAGGCGTGAGTTGGGCGCGCGAGAGAGAGAAAGAGGCAGAGGGAGAGGGCGGGGGACGCACGGCGTCGGCGGTGAAGGTCGGGCCCTTGAAGACGTCGAGGAGGGCACGGGTGTGGAGCGACGGCTGCTTGTAGATGGCGGTCACGTAGGCCGACTTGCCCTGGGTGGCGGGCAGGAGGTGGCCCTGAACGTCAAGCTTGAGGCCTGTGAGGTGGGGGGAATGAGCGTCAGTCCCTCTACAAGGACGAGAGCCAAGGCTTCCCGTCACACGACGAGAGACTCTCGGCGACGACAGTCACGAGAGTGGGAGGGACGACGGACCCTTGGCGATCTGGTTCTCGAGCTCGACCTGGGTCTTGAGGACGTTCGAGGTGGTCCACGCCTGGGTGAGGGTGACGCCGTTCTTGGCGTCGACGTACTTGGCCTCGATGTCGCCGGCGATGGCGGCCGACTTGGCGTCGCGGACACCGGCAACCTTGAAGGCGACGTTGTTGGGCGCGCGGGTCTGCTCGAGCCGAGAGGGGGAGGAGGGGGGGAGGACGAGAGGTCAGTGAGGCTGCTCGCGCGGCTCAGGGGGTTGGTGGAGGTTCGTCTTCCGGGTGTGTCGTGCACGACGATCGAACCGGGCAGAGACGAGGATGCGGGGTGAGGGCGCGAGGTGGGTCGGTGCCGGCACGTTGGCGCACGGGGGAAGAACTTCCGGCGGCGGGAGGAGGCGCTGTGTGGCCGTGCCGACTAGACCAGGCCCTCCTTGAGAGGTGAAAGTGCCGTGTGACGCGGTGGCATGCACGCTCGAGGGCGATGCGGGCGAGGGGAGGGGCGGTGGGAGGAGGACGAGGACGAGGAGGAGGGGGGCGACGCACCTTGACCTCGAGGGCGTTGCCGGCGAGCGGGTAGTCCTTGTTGAGGAGGTCCGAGGCCGACTTGCCACTGCGTGCACCGTCCCATGGTCAGCGTTGGTCGAGGGCGACCGGGCGGAACAGGCCGGGGGTGCCATCTCTCGACGGGGGGTGGGCGACGACGAGAGGGCGGGGGAGGGAGAGGGGACGCACAGGTCCTTCCACGACGGGGGAACAGCAGACATGGTAGGTGGTAGAGGTGCTTGGAGGGGTGGGTAGGCAGAGAGCGAGCTGGGGAGGAGGAGGACGACCAGGTCTGACCCGCGGAGGGCAGCAGGTTGCCCTCCCCTCCTCTCTCTCTCTCCCGCTCACTCCCCTGCGCACCCTCTGTCGCGTGCTTGCACACGCCGGCCCGCGCGACGAGACCGCCGCTCGGCCCCCATGCTGCGCTTCCGCTTCTCGTCCAGCTCGACTCGGTCCTCGCCCTCGCCGCAACTCTCCCTCGCGCATGCCTGCCGTTCTACTCGGGTCGCGCATGCTCTCGCTGCCTCGCCTTCCGCTCGCGAGCTTGACGCGGGCGAGGAGCCTCGAGGCCAGGAGGCGCTCGCCTTCCTCGTCGTCGTCGACCGAGTTCCTGCCGCCGCTGCACCTCAGCCGCACGTCGACGGACGTCCTACGCTCGCACGACGGCTCGCTGCCTCTGCAGCGAGGTACCCGCTCACGCTCGACAGCCATCGGCTGGCTGCGCAGGAGCGAGCGCACCCCGTTCGCGCGGCTGCTCGTCGTCGAGCGGGAGACAGCGACGAGCCTCTCCTCCGTCTCTTCTCGCCTTTCTCGTTCGCTCGTCGTCTTGAGCACGTCGAGCGCGAGCTGCGGAAGCCCGAACGGCTGAGCACGAGTGGCAGGGGAGCAGACGCCGTTACGCTCGTCAAGAGGTCAAAGCCCTCGCCCGCGATGCCCTCCTCGGCGCTCTCCTTTCGACGCGGCATTTCGGTACGAGTCGCACTCGAGTCTCGAGAGCGGCGTCGCGTCGAAGCGGTGGGCAGCGGGTCGTGCGAGCTTGCGCGAGGCGAGACAGGCTGAACCGTGCGAGGGCGACGAGCGGCGGAAGGCCCGGCTCTCGCGGGCGTTCGAGACGACGAGCGCTCGAGAGCGCGACGGACGAGCGAGCGCAGGCTCGGAGCGAGAGCGAGACGAGCCGGGTAACCACGAAAAGCTGAAGGGGGTGCGGTTCCCCCGCACGACTGTCGTCAAGGGCGCCCGCACCTTGCGAGCCGGGCTCCTCGCTCCTCCACCGAGAGAGCTGCCTCTCTCGCTCCCCTGCACTGTCCCTACGCCTCGTGCACACCACCCAGGCGCACAGCACTCGCCCGCTCTGCGCCGTCACCCGCGTCGCCGTCACTTTCACGCGCCTCGCTCCTCCTCCTCCTCGTCGACCTCCTCCTCCCCCACGACCACCCACCCCACGTCGCCCTCGCCCGCTCGTCCTCCACCACCACCTTGCGAGGACTTTCACCACCTCGTCGACCACCATGTCGCTCCCGCCCTCGCGCCGCCCTTCGTTCGCCGGCACCCCACTCGCCCAGCCGCCGTCCATGCCCTCGTCTCGCCCGGGCTCGGCCGCCCCTTCGCGCCGCGGCTCGTTCGCCCTCTCTGTCACCGAGGAGTCGCCTGAAAACTCGCGCCCCGGGTCCACCACCTTGTCGCGCCGCAGCTCGTTCGCCGCGAGCCCGCTCTTCCGTCGCTCGTCGACCGCCGGCCAGATCCCGCCAGAGGGCCTCCGCCGCAAGCTCGAGGGCCTCAACAAGGTCCCGCCCTCACTCGGCGAGGTCGGTCAGCGCCCGAGCAGCTTCCCCGACCGCGACGCCGTCCAGAACCAGGAAACCGAGTTTGTCGGGTGCGTCGTCGAGCCGACTGCCGCTCTCTCCCCCCTTGCGCACAACCCCGACTGACTCGGTGTCTGCCTCGCACACAGCGCCATCGACTGCGGCACGACGAGCTGCAGGTTCTACATCTTTGACCAGTGGGCCGACATCGTCGCCAACTTTCAGATCGAGTTCGAGCAGCGTGCGTCGGCCTCTTTCCCTCTCTCTCTCTCTCGGCCGTCGTCGGGCCTGCACTCGCGAGGCCTCGCACTCCTTGTGCACACGCTGACACGCCTCCTTGCCCCCTCCTCCTTCCTCCCGCCTCGCCGCCCTTTCCCCGCCCGCCGACGGCCCCACATGCCCCCGTTCCTCTCGGCCGTCGCCCTCGCAGTTCACCCTGAACCCGGCTGGCACGAGCACGACCCGTCGACCTACTGCCGCGAGATCGACCGCTGCATCGACGAGGGCATCAAGCAGTTCAAGGAAAAGGGTCACCAGATCCACGAGCTCAAGTGCGTCGGCATCGCGACCCAGCGCGAGACGACCCTGTTGTGGGACAAGGAGACGGGCGAGGCCCTGTACAACGCTAGTGCGTCCCTCGCCTTCCCCTCTCTCGAGAGCCTCGCGCCGGCCGACCTCTGTCGAGCCCGGCGCGAGAGCAATCCCTCCTACGACGCCGTCGACTTACTGTCCCTCCCGCCCTTTTCCTCGCGCAGTCGCATGGCCCGACGCCCGCAACGCGGCCAACGTGCGCGAGCTGCGCGCCGCTGCCGAGACGCGCACGTTCCACACGCCCGAGGGCGAGATTGTCGGCGAGGAGGGCATCCGGCGACTGACGGGCCTGCCTTTGTCGTGCGTCTCCCTCTCTCTCCCTTCATCCCCTCCCCCGAGTGCCCGGACGTGACCTGACGAGGTGAGCGTGCGCCCGCAGGACCTACTTCTCTGCGACCAAGTGGGACTGGATGAAGGACAACGTGCCCGAGGTCAAGGACGCCATGGACCGCCAGGCGCTCATGTTCGGCACGGTCGACACCTGGCTCGTCTACGTGCGTCGTCGCTCTCTCTTTAACGTCGAGCGTGCGGGCCGGACCTGACCCTCAGAGCCCCCTCGCGCAGCAATACACGGGCGGCAAGGACGGCGGCAAGCACATCACGGACGGCACCAACGCGTGTCGCACGCTCCTGTTCAACCTGCACAAGCAGGACTGGTGCGACGAGCTGTGCGACTTTTTCGACGTGCCGAAATGGTGCCTGCCGCGCATCGTGTCCAACTCGGAGGTGTACGGCGTGTTCAAGAAGGGCCACCTCCTCGAGGGCATCCCGATCGCGGGCCTGATCGGCGACCAGCAGGCGGCACTCGTCGGCAACAAGTGCCTCACCAAGGGCGACGCCAAAAACACGTACGGTGCGTCCGCCTCTCGCTCCCCCTCTTCTCCCTCGTCCTCTCTCGCGCGCTCGACGAGCCTCTCACTTACGCTCCCTCGTCGTCGCACACAGGTACCGGCTGCTTCATGCTCTACAACACGGGCACCGACATCGTCAAGTCGACCCACGGCCTCGTCACGACCGTGCGTCCCGTCTCGCTCGTCTCCTTGTCGGTCGTCTCTCCTCGTCGAGCGCCTCCTGACAATTGACGGCTCTCATGCGCGCAGGTCGGGTACAAGATGGGCCCGCAGTCGCCGATGCACTACGCTCTCGAGGGCTCCATCGCCGTCGGCGGCAGCTCGGTCACCTGGTGCGTCCCCCTCTCTCCCTCTCGTCGGCGGCGGGCGCGCTCGTCGGGCTTCGCCTGCACGTCGGACAGGGCGACGTCCACTGACACCTCGAGCACGCTCTGCAGGCTGCGCGACAACCTCAACATCATCGAGCACCCTCGCGAGGCGGGCAAGCTCGCCGAGATGGTCGAGGACACGGGCGGCGTCTACTTTGTCACGGTGCGTCGCCCTCGCCCTCTCTTGTCGTCTCGTTTCCGCTCCTCGGGATCGGCGAACTGACTTGTACCCGTCGGTGGCACTCGCAGGGCTTCTCGGGCCTCTTTGCGCCGTACTGGGACATGCGCGCGACGTACGTCCCCCTCTCTCTCTTTTCTTCTCCTCCGTGCCCTCATGGCGCGCGGTCACTCACTCGCTCTCGGGCCTCGCACCCGCAGCGGCATGATGATCGGCCTGTCGACGTACACGACCAAGCACCACATCGCCCGAGCGACGCTCGAGGCGACCTGCTTCCAGACGCGCGCCATCCTCGACGCCATGACCAAGGACGTCCAGCTCGCCGCCGACGGGCCGCACCACCACCACCACCCGCATCACCAACCCGTCGTGTCGGACCGCAAGGACGGCGAGGTCGAGGAGGACGTGGCGAGCGACAGCGGGAGCGAGGACGGCGAGGCGATCCGCGTCATGCAGGTCGACGGCGGCATGACGGGCAGCGACGTGACGATGCAGCTCCAGGCCGACATCCTCGGCATCGACATTCGGCGGCCGGCCATGCGGGAGTGCGTCGCCGTCTCTCTCCCCCTCGTTCTGCGGCGGTTCCTGCACGAGCGCAGCGCCGTCGTGGCTCGACTGTGCGAGCGTGCTACTGACACCTCTCGTCCGTCGCCGTGCACAGATCCACCGTCCTCGGCGCCGCTCTCCTCGCCGGCGCCGCGCTCAAGCTGTTCAACTGGAACCTCGACAAGCCCAAGTCGCTCGCCAAGGTCAACCGGCTCCGGGTCGACACGTTCCAGAGCCAGATCAGCGACGAGGAGCGGGAATGGAAGTATGCGGGCTGGGTGCGCGCCGTCGACCGTGCAAGGGGCTGGCAAAGTGGGTGATCCCTCTCCCTCTTCCCCCCCTCCCCTCCCTTTCCCTCGACGTCCTCGTCTCTGCGACGGTCGCCCTCTCGTCGACCCTCTCGGCGTTCTCGGTACTGACCCTGGGCGCCTTCCCCTTTTCTACCCCCTCCCAGCCAACTCGGGTCACGGCTGAGCGTGCCCGTGCCCTCCTTCTCTGTCCCTCCATCCTTCCCTCTCTCGCATGCCCTCCTCGTCATACTCTCTCTCTCGCACTCCCACACACTCTCGTCGTCGCCGTCGCCGTCTCGATGGCGCCGTCGTCCTCTCTCTCCCTCCCTCCCCTCCTCTCTCCCTCCTCTTGATATACAAGCCCCGCAGTGCACTAGAAGTGGTTCCTCACGCACTACAGTCTCATTCCCCGCAAGCTTCTCGTCACCTGTGAGCCGGAAAGATGGCGCCAGTGCCGGTGAGGTGGTTCGTCCGTTCACCTCGTCCTCCTCCACGCCTCGCCCAGGCGCCGAGTCGAGCTGCTGTGCGCCCCGCTGGCTCTCGGCAGCACCGCTATCGGCTGTGCGCTCGCCTTAGGGGCAGCCGAGGGGCTGACGCGGCTAGCCTCCACCCGCCGACACCGCTGAGTGAGCTCCTGCTCGCGCCCCACGCGGCGAGCTTGAGCTGCTGAGTGCGCGTTGCCTCAGCATGGACGGCGAGCGAGCCCCTCTCTGCTCCCGGCCCTCGCTCGCCTCGCTCTTCCCTCTCCTCCTCCTTCCCCACCTCAGCCCCTCGACCTCCTCCTCGCCCGACTTGCTCGACGTCCCAGGACAACACACGGCCGCACCAGCATCGTCACACGATCCAGCATGTCGAACAGCTCTCCGACGACCTACTTCAGTGCGTCCCGACCTCTCCCTGTCCTCCTTCCCCGCGACGACGAACCTGACTCGGACCTCGTCCTCTCTCGCGCACAGTCAGCGGCGCCAACCGCGGCATCGGCTTCGGCCTCGTCGAGCAGCTCGTCAAGCGCGACAACGTCCTCGTCTTTGCCGGCGCGCGCGACCCGACCAAGGCGACGGCGCTCAATTCGCTCGCCGACAAGACGGGGCGGGTCGTCGTCGTCAAGCTCGAGTCGACGTCCGACGAGGACGCAAAGGCGGCTGCGCAGCTCGTCAAGGACAAGGTCGGCAAGCTCGACTACCTCGTCGCCAACGCCGGTGAGCCCCGCTCTCGTCTCTCGATCCCGCTCGTCCCTCTTCCCCTCGAGCGCGACTTGCTGACCCGCTCGGACCCTCAGGCATCTCTCTCCCCGAGGCGGTGCTCCCGGTCGTCGACACGACACGCGCCCTCGTCGACCAGCACTACGCCGTCAACGCCGTCGGGCCCTTGCTCCTGTTCCAGGCCTTTGCGCCCCTCCTCCTCGCCGCCCCGGCGCCGCACTTTGTCGCCATCTCGACGACGATCGCCTCGCTCTCGATCGCGCTCCCCTTTCCCCTCACGGCCTACGGCATGTCCAAAGCCGCGCTCAACTACCTCGTCGTCAAGATTGCGACCGAGCACGGCACCGGTAAGGACGGCCTCACGGCGTACGCCATCTCGCCCGGGTTCGCGCAGAGCGACATGGGCACGGCCGGCGCCAAGGCGATGGGCCTCGACGAGGCGCCCGTCAAGCTCGAGGACAGCGTGGCGGGCGTGCTCAGGATCGTCGACGGCGCGACGGTCGAGAAGAGCGGCGGCAGGTTTTGGGACTTTACGGGCGACGAGCTCACTTGGTAGCGGTCGTGTGCAGTCGATCATCCTTGCACAGTGAGCTGTCTCTCGAGAGTCTAGCCCAGGAGAGCAACGACCCGTCACGAGGGAGCGAGGAGGAAGAGCGGCACCTTGCATTTCCTCTCGCGCCTTCTTTCGATCGCTCGGCTTGCTCTGCAGCTGTATCCGCGAGCGGAAGATGTGGAGCAGTCTCGCAAGCACGACGAGAGGCGAGCAGGGCCGAGCGCAGAGCTCCAGGAAAAGCGACTCAGCGCACCTCGAGATAAGCACAGGAGGGTGCGAGGAGGAGAGAGCTGTCGTTTTGAACTTTGCGCGAGGTCCGCAGATATCAGATGCTGCAGGTCTGCGCGACCGAGAGACGGTCTCGTGCGGAATAGACCTCGACAAGCTTGCCCTCGCGTCAACTCGAGGAGGCGGCCGCACTTGAGAAGGTCGCGAGCCGAGGGGGCTCGAGCGCACCTCTCTCTTCCCTCGCAGCCAGTCAGGCTTGCTTCTCTCTTGCTCTCTGCAACGAGGCAGCCCTGAACAGAGCAAAATATTTGAGCTCTCGTCCGCTCGACGACCGACGACGTCGACCTTCTCGAAATCGTCCTTTCAATCTAGGCGTGCTCGCTCGCTCGAGCCTCTCTCTCCCTCTCGTTGCCGCAGCAAGGTCACGCACGGACCGAGGAGCTACGAGGCCCGGCTGGACCAAGCTGCGCAAGCTCGCTCGACCCTTTCCTCTTCCGCCTCTCGAGACGGTACCGCGACGACAGCGGCAGGAAGAAACGCACTGCATCGCAAAGAGCGAGAGGGGGAGGGAGTAAAGGTAGAGAGAGGGAGAGGGAGGGAGGGGAGGGATGATCTATCGTCGCGGGTATGCACAAGCTCTTTTTTGGGGCGGGTCTATCTCCAAAACTCGGGGGGCGCTCGCTCGCCCGCTCACCAGCTGCCGCCGGCCTTCTCTGGCGGCGTCTTGTTCGAGTAATCGATCTTTGCGCCCTCCTTGGTCGGCGCCGGTTCGCCCGACCCGCGGTGCGAGTTGGGCTGCGAGCCCTTGTCGGCGGCGGCGTCGACCGAGTCGTCGTCGCCGAGCTGGCCTTGGAGCGCGACGTCGGTGAAGGCGTTGTGCAGGTGCACCTGCTTGGCGCCGGCGGCGACGTCGAGGTACTCGTCGAACTGAGAGAGGGAGCAAGGAAGGGCGAGTCAGGCAAAGGTCGAGAGAGGTCCGAGCGGCGAGGAGAGAAGGGGGAACGCACCGAGATGCCGCCGTCCTGGTTGACGTCGACCTCCTTGATGACGTTCTTGATCGTCGCCTCGTCGACGTCCGAGTAGCCGAGCTTGCGGTACGTCTTGGTCAGGTCCTGCGTGTCGATCTTGCCGTCGTGGTCGGCTGCGGGCGAGACGACGAGAGAGAGAGTCAGGACGACGCTCGGCTCGGCTCGAGCAAAACAGAGGTAGACGAGGACGCACCGTCAATCTTGGCGAAGCGCTTCTTGAGAGTCGAGAGCTCGTCGGGCGTGAACACGGCGCGCGAGGTGACTGCGGGTGCGAGACGAGGAGGGTCAGGGTTCGGCTTGAAGGGCAAGCGAGAGAGAGATAGAGTGGGACGCACGCTCGTCCTGGTGGCCACGGCGGTCCTTGTGGCGGCCCTCGCGCACGTCGTCGAGCGTCAAGCCCTCGGTGCGCGCACGAGCGAGGCCCATGCTCTCGAGGAACTCGCACGCGTCGGTAAACTCCTTGGCGCGACGCTTCTCGTCCCAGCCGAGCTCGGTCGTCATCATGTCGATGACGCGCGGGAGCGCCTCGAGGGCCGCCTCCGAGTTGAGGAACGACAGGCGGGTGCGGCGAGCGATGACGTCGACGGCGGTCGCGGCGTACTCGCGGCGGCAGGCCCAGGTGACCTGCGAGGCGAGGAGAGTGTCAGGAATGCGCTCGTGTGTGACACAGAGAGAGAGACGAGGCGAGAGGAAGAGGGCGCACCTCGGCGTCGATGTAAGGGTACACCGGGTCGAGGCGGGTGCCGTGGACCGGGAAGCGCAGGCCCGTCGGCGGCGCCATCGAGCAGACGCCCCACGCACGGTCGCCGTAGTTCTCGGCGAGGTTCTTGGCGACTGCGAGGCGACGAGGGATGCGGGACGAGGGAGGAAAAGGAGAGCGTGTCGTCAGGTTCCGGCTCATGACGGGCTCGACGAGAAAGAGGAGAGAGAGGGACGCACCGTCGACCTCGAGGCCAAAGTGCTGGATGAGGCGGATGAACATGAGGGGCGTCCAGCCCTGCGAGCCGACGAGCTGAACGTCCTTGGTGATGCAGCCGCGCTTGGGCTTGAGCGAGTACTCCTTGATGGCGCGGTCGACCGTCTCCTCGGCCATGGCCTGCGAGTCATGAGAGCGAGAGGGGAGGAGAGGAAGATGACCGAGGAGGGGAGAGGAGGGGGAAGGCGAGCGGGACGAGGAGGAGGGGAGAGGACGAGGACGAGGTCAGTGACGACGCTCGTGTGCGACGGCCCCGACGGCTAGTACAACCCGCAAAGACGAAGAGAAGGGAGAGGGGTGCTCACGCGGTAGGTCGTCCACTGCGGGCGAAAGAGGAGAGGGTGAGCGGAGGTTCGAGGGAAGCGGCTCCTGCCGCTCGCGCCGTCGAAAGGAGAGAGGTGGGACGCACCTTGCCACCGGCGATGGTGAGCAGGCCCGTCGGCGACACGTCGATGAGGTGGTTGCGCACGAGGCTCTGCGTGTCCTTGGCGTTCGGGTCCTTGACGAGCGGGCGCAGGCCGCTCCACGCGCTCAGGACGTCGCCGCGACGGACGCGGATGTCGGGGCTCAGGTAGTTGCGGACCTCGTTGAGGATCCACTCGATCTCCTCCTCCTTGGGGACCGGGTGCTGCTCGACCTTTGCCGGCGAGTCGGTCGTGCCCGCGATCGTGTTGCCCTGCCACGGGAGGAAGAAGATGACGCGGCCGTCAGACGTCGACGGGTCGATAAGGCCGATCTTGGCCGGCGCGTAGTAGTTGGGCAGCGTGATGTGGACGCCCGAGGCCGGCGCGACAATGTTCTGCGCGTGCTGGTTGTCCATCGAGCGGATGCCGTCCGTGAAGGGGCCCGTGGCGTTGATGACACCCTGTGCGAGAGGGACGACGAGGTGTGCGTCAGGGCGTGCTCGACGTCGACGAGGAGGAGCGAGAGAGAGAGATAGAGAGAAAGAGAGGGAGAGTGGGGCGCACCTTGGACTTGGTCTCCCACTCGCGACCGGTGAGGACGTCGCGCATGCGGGCGCCCTTGATCTTGCCCTCGCCGTCCTTGATGAGCGACGTCACCTCGCAGTGGTTGGCCGCGACGGCGCCGTACTGGACCGCCGTGAGGAGGAGCGCGACGTTCATGCGCGAGTCGTTGTGCTGGCCTGCGAGCGAGGGTGCGAGGGACGGCGTGAGCGTCCGAATTGATCCACCTCAAGAATCACGTGGACCGCAGCGAGTCGCTGCGGCCGCACGCGAGTGAGGGAAAGAGCGAAAGCTCGACGCACCGTCGTAGTAGACGACGGCGCCCGTGAGACCGTCGTCCTTGAGCATCGGGAACGCCTCGAGCGCTTTGCCCTTGCTCATGACATAACTGGATTCCATGTTGGCCTTGCCCGCGAGGAGGTCGTACAGCTTGGTGCCGCTGCGCCGAGGGGAAGAAGAGGACGAGGGTCAGTTCTCGCCCGCTCGAGGAACGCTCGCCCGCTCCGAGAGAGAGAGAAAGACGGCGACGCACGCAAAGAAGTAGGGGATCTGCCAGTAGGTGTAGACGGGGAGCATGATCGGGAGCGAGTGCGACAGGTAGGGCGCCGTGTGGAGGAACGTCTTGCGCTCGTGGAGCGCCTCGCGGACGAGCTTGTACTGCTCGTAGTCGAGCTCAAAGACGGCCTTCTGGAGGTAGCGCACGCCGCCGTGGACGAGCTTGGTCGACTTGGACGACGTGCCGGACGAGAAGTCGTCGCGCTCGACGACGGCGACGCGGAGGCCACGTGCGGCGGCATCGAGGGCGACGCCGGCGCCGGTCGCGCCGCCGCCGACAATGATGAGGTCAAACTCGCCGTCGTCGTGATGAGGGGGCTCGGCCGTGTTGCCGGTCGAGTCCTGCTGACCCTGGCGCGCGAGCGACGTGTCCTTGTCGGCCTGGGCGCGCTTCGAGTCGGGCTGCGAGTTGTTGCCGCCCTTGCCGTCGTGGTCGGCGTCCGAGGCGGGTGCGGGTGCGCCGAGCTTGTGGAGCATCTCCTCGCGCGATGGCGGGGTCCACATGGTCGAGGGGCGGTCGAGGGTGCCCTCTGGCGGGGCGTCCATGCGGAGCGGGTTCTTGGTCGAGAAGTAGAGCGACTGGGCATCGACGTCGAGGGTGGACGGTGGCCCGCTCGTCAGGAGCGAGTAGGTGAAGGCGGTCGGGACGGCGACGAGCGAGGCCGAGAGGACGGGACGGCGGCGCGGGAACGAGCCCGGGCGGAAGAAGCGCGACATGGCGGCTCCTTTGGGTGGTGGTGGGTGGCGAGTGTAGAGGTCTGCAAGGGACGGACGGGCGTGGGCGAAGAGGGTGGGAGGGCGTGTGGCAAGGCCGTGGGGACCGGAGTGGAGGGAGCGAGGGGGAGAGACGCGGGGGTAGGGCGGAGGAGGCCGGGTGCAGGTGCTCGTCAGCTCGTGGGTCCTCCTGGTCGAACAGCTGCACTGCTCGCCTCGGCGCAGGTGGGTGGGCGACTGGGGCGGGGAGCGCCGTGCGCGATTTCACGCGGGCGATGACGGCGAGCTCGACCGACGGCTCGTCGTGCGAGAGGGGGTGTGGCAGTGCTCACCTTGCGACGGGGCGAGTGTGGTGCTGCCGAGCTGGTGGAGAGCTGGCCTGGTGGTGTAGGAGTCGAGGGTTCGAGGTGGACGCGGACGACGACAACGACGAGCGAGCCGCCGAGCGCCTCCCACACTCACCGACCCCCGTCTCGTTGACGCCCACACTGCGGTGGCTCCGCTTTTTGGCACCCACACTAGCGCGGGCCGGGTTCAAAGCCGGGCGAAACACCTTTGCTCTCGAGGACAGCGAGGTTGCGGCTCTCTCTCGCGACAGAGTGACAAGCACGGCTGGACTCGTCGTACTGAAAGATACTCGACCTACCAGTCGACTGTGCAGCCCGTGAGCGGGAAAAGGCGAGACGGTGCCTCTCGCGGGGCGGTGCAGCCTTCTGAAGCTCCTCCTCGTCGCTCCTCACCTCGGCATCGACCCCGACAGCGCACTCAGCGTCCTCCGATGGCCAGCCCGCTGTCACCGCAGGGCAAGGCCACGGCCACCACGTCCCTCTCGGCCGCGAGGGCAGCCTCGCCCCCTCCTCCTCCTCCTCCCGCCTCGGACCCGCCAGCCGTCGACCTCGCAGCGCCCGCACCACCCCCGCCGCTCCACCGAGCAGCACAGCAGGGCGACCTCGACCAGGTCTATGCCCTCCTCGACCACCCGCAGCCCGACCAGCCGCCGCTCACCGCCTCGGACCCGGACCTGCAAGGCATCACCCCCCTCCACTGGGCCGCCATCAACGGCAACGCCCTCGTCGCCAAAGCCCTCCTCGACCGTGGTGCGCTCGTCGACGCCCGCGGTGGCGACCTCGACGCGACCCCGGCCATGTGGGGCGCGCGCAACGGCCACCTCGCCGTCGTCCACCTCCTCGTCCAACACGGCGCCGACCCGCGCCTCGTCGACCAGCAGGGCTTCTCGCTCCTCCACCTCGCCGTGCACTCGTCGTCGGCCTTCCTCCTCGCCTACCTCCTCCTGTCCAACCTCGCCGGCGTCGACGTCGACGGGCCCGACCCCGAGGGCCACACGTCGCTCGCGTGGGCGTGCTACCAGGGCGACGCCATCAGCGTCGAGCTCCTCCTCGCGTGCGGCGCCGACCCGACCCGCACCGACGCCGCGGGCCTCACCCCGCTCCACTGGGCCGTCACAAAGGGCAACAGCGCGTGCATCCGCCGCATCGCCTCGGGCCCCCGGCGTCGACCTGCACGCGCGCACCCACGACAACAAGACGGCGCGCGACATGGCCATCGAGCTCAAGAGCTACGCCGCGTACGCGCGCGCGCTCGCCGACGCCGGCATGGGCGAGACGGGCGCCCAGGTCGACCGCCCGCTCGGCGAACGCAACACGCGCCGCGCCATCTTTGCCGTCGTCGCCGCCGCACTCGGGACCGCCCTCGAACTCGCCGCCCTCGCGCCGTGGTACGTCGGCCTCCTCGCCGTCCCCGCCGTCGCGTTCGGCATGCACCACGTCGTCGTGCGCGTCCTCCTCGGCGTCGGCGCGCCCGGCCCTGCTGCGGCGGCGGCGGCGACGGCGGGCGCCAACAAGCACGGGCACGGGCACGCGCACGGCGCAGGGGGAGGAGAGCGCGTCACCAAGAGCCCGTACCTGTGCGCCATCATTGTCGGCAGCCTCGGCTGGGTCGCCTGGGTCTGGCTCTCCCGGTACCTCACCCGTGCGTCCTCCTCTCTCTCTCCCTGCCTCTCTCTCGTGCAGCTCTCTCGATCCTGACGCCTCCCTGTCACGCAGTACACGGCTACGCCCTGTCGAACCTCGTCTTTGGCGTCCTCATCGGCTCGTGCTCGTACGCCCTCTTTAAGGCCGTCACGCTCGACCCAGGCACCGTGCGCGGTCCGGCAGTCGGCAGCGAGGGACTCAAGGAGGTGCGTCGGCCGTCTCTCTCGCCCTCTTGCCTGCGAGGTCGCGGTCGTCGGGACGAAGGAAGAGAGCGTCCGAGGAGCTGATCCTTGTCTCCCTCGCCTTTCTTTCCCTCGCCACAGGTCGTCGAGGAGCTCGTCGACGCCGGGGCTTTCAACGGCATGAACTTCTGTCTGTCGTGCTTGGTGCGTCCCGCTCTCTCTTTCGTCCCTCGCTCGAGCGCGTCGTCACGCTCGACGAGGGTGCGGCGACGTTTGTCGGACGATCACTGACTCGCTCTGTCCCGCAGGTTCGTCGACCGCTCAGGAGCAAACATTCGTACGCGACCGAGCGATGTGTCGCCCGCTTCGACCAGTGCGTCGTCCCCCAGTTCTCCCCTCTGCCGTCCTCGGCCCCGTCGACTGACTCTCTCGCACCGCCGCACAGCTATTGTCCATGGGTCTGGAACGACGGTACGTCTCTCTCTCTTACTCGATACCAGGCTCTCGTCGATGAGGCGACCCCTGACCTCCGCCTCCTCTCCCGCAGTCGGCGTCAACAACCACCGCCAATTCCTCACCTTCCTCATCACGCTCGTCATCGGCGTCGTCTCGTTCCTCCACCTTACCTACGGCTGTGCGTGCTGTATGTCTCCCGGGCACCGTCGCCCGCAGCGCACTGACCCTCCTCGCGCACGCAGACTTTTACGAGAAGGCGCCCGACCTGCCGCCGACGGCCTCGTGCCCCGCCGTGTCACCCACCTTCCTCTGCATGGCGCTCCACTACGACCCGTTCCCGGTCGTCGTCGCCTTCTGGGCCGCCCTCCAGCTCTCGTGGACCCTCATCCTCCTCGGCGCCCAGCTGTACCAGGTCTCGCGCCAGCTCACGACGCTCGAGCAGAGCAACCTCGGCCGGTACGGTTACATGGGCGGCAAGCCGGGCGTCAGCGGCGCGCAGCAGCAGGGCGCCGTCGAGAAGTGGAACGCGGCCAAGCAGGCGCGGCACGCGGCGCAGCTCGGCGACGCCGGCGCCGGCGACGGCGACGACGACCCGAACAGCCTCGCGCATGCGCCCGTGACGGGCAGCAGCAGCAGCGGCGGCGGCGGTGGGGCGGCGGACGACGACGAGGGCGCGCTCGCGTCGGCGAGGGTGCCCAAAGGCCGCATGGCGCTCCTCCTGCGCCTCCTCGGCCTCGACCGCTTCCTCCTCTCGTCCTCGTCGCGCTCGTCTTCTCGCGCCCGTCGCTCGCGCACCGCAGGACCCGGCGCAGGCGCCAACCCGTTCGACCTCGGCGTGCGGTCCAACTGCGTCGACTTCTGGACGGCCGGCGACGAGCTCGGCGTGCGGTACGAAGAGCTGTGGGGCGTCCCGGACGGCGGCTTTGCGCGCGTCGTCGCCGAGCGCAGGAGGCGACAGGAGGAGGAGCGGAGCGCGAGGGGCGAGGGCATGGCGCCGGGAGGCGCGTGGGACAGGGTCCGGGGCAGGAGGGGGTCGAACGCGCCGCCGGCGCCGGCGAGAGGGTACGAGAGGGTTGCGCTCGACGAGGTGTGACGAACGTGCAGAATGTCTTCGCTGCTCTCTGCGGGCCTCGTGCGAGAGAGCGAGAGCTGGTCGAAAGAGGCTCTCGAGGAAGCGCACAGGGTCCGAGCGACTCTCCTCGCCCTCGACGCTTCTTTCTCGCCGTCTCGTCTCGCTGAACGAGACCTCGTGTCCTCGCACACTGTATCTCGTTACACTGCTAGTGACCGCGCCTGCGATACAGCACCGCCCGGCGGTGGCTGCCCTCGGGGGGCGCCGAGCCGCCCGGCTCGCCAGTGACGGCGTCGAGAGCTGCCGGTTGACGAGGCGCCGTCGGGAGCTGACCTTGTCGACGGCGCAGGTCGTTGCGCTGCGGTGCCGGGCACAGAGGGTGAGCGGCCGGGTCGTGCGAAGGGAGGGAGGAACGAGACGAGGGGACGCACAAAGGCTTCGAGCATGGCCTGGTTGGGCGCACGCAGCCCTCGGGGCAGTTCGGCATTGCCGAGCAGTAGCTCGACTGGGTCGTAGTGCGCGAGAGAGAGTCAGTGTGCTGGTCGGACTCGGGAAGGCGCTCGCAGTCCGAGGGGCACGAGCGCACGCTGTCTGGCTGTCGGGGCATTACGAGGGTCAGCGAGACGTCGCAAGAGACGCCGTAGACGAAAGGCGAGGGACGCACCGATCTGCTTGACCATCTGAGTGTTCGGGGAAGCGCGCGCCGACTGCCGACTGTACTCGGCGAGCTTGTCCAGCTGCGAGGGCAAGTGCCGTCAGGACGTGTGGCTGATCGCGCGCTCGAGAGGGAAGGCGAGGGACGTCGCTCACGATGGCCTGCATCTCCTCCTTGAGCGTGGCGGTTCGCGCCGAGAGTGCGCCGAGCTGCCTCGACAGCGCGCGCTCCTCCGCCTTGAGCGGCGCGCGTTGCTCGTACACTGTGGGGCGGGACGGTCAGTGAGGGGGGGTGTGCCCGTCAAAAGGTCGAGCTTGCAGACTTGCACGCGTGATCTGCTCGGGAATGAGGTCAGTTTGGCGCCCGGGTTGGCGGGAGAAGGGCGGAAGAGGAAGAGAAGGCACGCACAGCGATTGATGAGGTCCTGCTCTGCGCTGGTTCCAGCCGGCTCGTGCGTCTCGTCTGCCGGCATGTTGTCGAGCGAAAGAGCAAGGGTCGAGAAGCGAGAGCGAGAGCAAGCTGAGGCGGGTTCCGGCACTCGCCCGGCGGACGAGTGACATCGACCGGGGCGTCCGTCCGCGGAGGGCTGAATCGCGGCCGGGTGATCGACCGACAGGAGGTCGAGGAGCTCGGTGCCCGGCTCACACGTAGCCGCAGCAGCATGCCGAGCCCGAGCGATTCGGCTCATCAGGCGCGGAAGCAACAGGGGAGGAGAGAGGAGAAGGAAGAGGGTGAGAGCAACCGTGGGCGGGCTCGGGCGGGAGACAGATAGCGAGGCTCATACCGTGTAGCTCGTCGTCGCCAGCACAGCGGCGTGGGCACGACGCGGTCGACGGCAAGGAGCGAGTCGGCAGGACGAGATGCTCAACTCGGCACCACTGCCTCGCCCTCGCTCTGTGCACAGCTGCACTAGCGCAGGTGCCTGCTACAGAGCTCGACTCCGCCTCGACCGCTCGCGCAAGAGCCGCCTGACGACGCCCGCCAGCTTCACCCGCCGTCATCTCACGCCGCCGAGTCGCTCAACGACGGCATCGACAGCAGCGACGCACGCGACAAGGAGCAACACAGCGCTGTAGTACTAGCACGTGCAGGTGCGTCGCCGCTTCCTCTGTGCTCTGCGCCGTCCGACACCTCGCGCGACTCGAGCGGTTCAAGGTGGGGGCGGCGAGACGAAGGGAATCGACGGCCACAGCCACTCGAGGCCAGGAAGCGATACGCCGAACCGGTACTGACATTGAGCTTACCACACACAGCGCCCAGCACGACCACCGCGCGCCGCCACCTTCCTTGACCTCCTCGTGCCTCCCTCGCCTTTCGACCTCACCCTGCGCCACTGCGCCTCACCCCGCCCGCCATGAAGTTCATGCTCGACGACATGGAGCTCATCTTCCCGTACGACAAGATGTACCCCGAGCAGTACAACTACGTGTGCGACCTCAAGCGCAGCCTCGACGCCCACGGCCACTGCGTCCTCGAGATGCCGTCCGGCACGGGCAAGACTGTGTCGCTCCTGTCGCTCATCGTCGCCTACCAACACGCGCGTCCCACTCTCTCTGCCCTCTCACGCGACCGCGAGCTGACACACGCTCCCTGCCGCGCAGCACGAGCGCAAGATGGGTCGACCAGAGCGCAAGCTCATCTACTGCTCGCGCACGGTGCCAGAGATCGAGAAGGCTCTTGCCGAGCTCAAGCGCCTCATGCAGTACCGGTGCGCTCCCCCTCTCTCGTACTCCTTGCCTTCCCGCCGTCCCAGACTGACCCCCTCGCCCGCTCGCGCCGCAGGTCCGAGGTGTACGGCATCGACGACGGCGACTTTCTCGGTCTCGGCCTGTCGTCGCGCAAGAACCTGTGCATCCACCCGTCGGTCCGCCAGGAGAAGAAGGGCAAGGCGGTCGACGCGAGGTGTCGCGACATGACGAGCGCCGTCGCCAAGCAGCGCCACGAGCAGGACCCGGGCAGCGTCGAGCTGTGCTCGTTCCACGAGGTGCGTCGTCGCTCCCTCGCCCCGTCTCGTCGTCTCTCTCTCTCTGTGAGCAGCGGGCCTGACTTTGCTCGGCACTCGACCCTGCGCAGAACCTCGGCGAGCTCGACCAGGACCACCTCGTGCCGCACGGCGTCCACACGCTCGAGGACGTCAAGGCGTACGGCCAAGAGCACGGCATCTGCCCCTACTTTGCGATCCGGCGCATGGTTCGTCCTCTCTTCCACTCGGCGTGCTCCCCATCTTGCGCGCCGCCGCAGGAGAAGGACGTTGTTACGAGCCATCTCGGACTAACACTTCATCTCTCTTTCTCGTCTGCAGTTCATCCACGCGAGCGTCATCATCTACTCGTTCCACTACCTGCTCGACCCCAAGGTCGCCGAGCAGGTCTCGAAGCACATGAGCAAGGACTCGATCGTCGTCTTTGACGAGGCGCACAACATCGGTGCGTCCAGCCTCCTTCTCTCGCCTCTTTCTCCTCGTCGACGTACCCGTGTATGCCGCGAAGGCCTGCGAGAGGCCGCACGAGACTGACTCGGGCTCTTCTCCTCGCAGACAACGTCTGCATCGAGTCGCTCTCGATCGACCTGACCCGGCCCATGCTTGACACGGCGGCACGGTGTGTCGACAAGCTGAGCGAGACGATCGAGGAGTGCGTCGCCCTGTCTCTCTCTCCCGCCCTGTGTAGCCCGGCGCGCAGAGACTGACCAACTCAAGTCGCGCAGGATGAAGGCCAAGGACGCGTCGGTCCTCGAGGACGAGTACCGCCGTCTCGTCGAGGGTCTGCAAGCTGGCGAGGATGGCGCCGAGGACGAGGACTTTATGTCGAACCCGGGTCCGTCAGCGCAGCTCGACTCGGTCCGTGAACGAGTCCAAGGTCGACTGACCCTCTCTCGCGCCCGCAGTTTTGCCGCAGGACCTGCTGCAGGAGGCCGTCCCGGGCAACATTCGCCGAGCAGAGCACTTTACGGCGTTCCTCGCTCGCTTTGTCGAGTATCTCAAAGTGCGCACGCTCCTCTTCCTCGATCGTCCCTTTGCCCCGTCCCGTCTCTCACGTCCTCGTTCACTCGCAGACCCGCATGCGCGTGCTGCACGTCGTCGCCGAGACGCCGTTGTCGTTCCTGCAGCACCTGCGCGACATCACGTTCATCGAGCGCAAGCCGCTCAAGTGCGTCCCGGTCCCCTTTCCTCCTCTCGTCCTCTCGTCGCCGCGACTGACGCCCTCTCTCTCGCCCACCAGGTTCTGCTCGGACCGCCTGTCGTCGCTGCTACGGACCCTGCAGCTCACGCGGCTCGACGAGTACTCGGCGCTGCAGAAGGTCGCCGCCTTTGCGACGCTCGTCGCCACCTACCACGAGGGTGCGCTCGCCTTCCTCTCCTCTTCTCTCAGCGGCCTCCCTGACTCTCGACTCGCTCACAGGCTTCCGCCTCCTCCTCGAGCCGTTCGAGACCGACAACGCGACCGTGCCCAACCCTGTCTTTCACCTCGTCTGCCTCGACGCCTCGCTCGCCATCGCGCCCGTCTTTGAGCGGTTCTCGAGCGTCATCATCACGTCGGGCACGCTCTCGCCGCTCGACATGTACCCCAAGATGTTGCGCTTCGACGCCACGGTCCTCGAGTCGTACGTCATGACGCTCACGAGGGACTGTTTCCTGCCGCTCGTGCGTCCCGCCTTGTCCTCCCTCCGCCTCCTTCCCTGTTCTCCTCGGGCACAGTCCTGACCTCTCTCGTTGAGCGTACAGGTCGTCACGCGTGGCTCGGACCAGGTCGAGATCTCGTCGCGGTTCGAGGTGCGCAACGACCCGGCCGTCGTGCGCAACTTTGGCACGCTCCTCGTCGAGTACGCCCGAGCGGTCCCAGACGGCGTCGTCGCCTTCTTCCCGAGCTACCTCTACATGGAAAGCATCGTCAGTGCGTGGAACGAGATGGTGAGCCGGCTCGTCCTCCCGTCTCTCTTTCGCCCACCGAATCGGCTCGACTTTCTGTCGGGCGAGCGTCGCTCACGCAGCTCTGCGTCCGCCAGGGCATCCTGAACGAGGTCCTCAAGTACAAGCTCATCTTCATCGAGACGCCCGACGCTGTCGAGACGTCGGCCGCGCTCGAGAACTACCGCCGGGTCCGTCTCGCTCTTCCTCTTTCCGCCCTTCCCTTCCTGCCTTTCCAGACGGCCTATCCCTGACCTTTACGAGCTTCTGCAGGCCTGCGACAACGGTCGAGGTGCCGTGCTCCTGTCGGTCGCTCGCGGCAAGGTCTCCGAGGGCATCGACTTCGACCACAACTACGGCCGCGCCGTCATCATGTTCGGCATCCCGTATCAGGTGCGCACCAGTCCTCTCACGCCTCGACGACGTCGTGCGACTCCTGCACGAGGTGGCAGGCGTCCGTTCGCGCAATCCTCGTACTGACGCCGCCCTCCTCCCGCAGTACACCGAGTCGCGCATCCTCAAGGCCCGCCTCGAGTTCCTCCGCGACACGTACCGCATCCGCGAGAACGACTTTCTCACGTTCGACGCCATGCGGCATGCGGCTCAGTGTGTCGGGCGCGTCCTGCGAGGAAAGACCGACTACGGGCTCATGATCTTCGCCGACAAGGTGCGTTCCGCTCCTCCTCTCCTCTCGACTTTCTCAGTGCAGCACTAACTCGGCTCGTCGTCCTGCAGCGCTTCGCCAAGGTCGACAAGGTGCGTCCGACGTTATCTCTCTCTGTCTCTCGTCGCCGTCGCTGACCCCGCTCGGACCCCTCTTTTCTCCCGCAGCGCAACAAGCTGCCCAAGTGGATCGGCCAGTACATCAAGGAGTCGGACACGAACCTCGCGACCGACGTCGCCATCGCGCACTCGAAGCGCTTCCTGCGCATGATGGCGCAGCCGTTCGAGCAGAGCACAAAGTCGCTGTGGGGCATCGACGAGGTGCGTCCTCCCTCTCTCCCCGCCTCTCCACTCTCACTCTCGGTCTCATGTTCTCGTGCTCACTCTAATACCTCGTACAGATCCTCGACAAGCAGCGCGGCCTCGATCCCGAGCGCGACGTCAACGAGGACGCGCTCGCGCTCGAAGCCGAGGCAGAGGCGATCGCTGCGGCCCATGCCGAAGCCGAGGCGGCAGCAGCAGCCGACGACGAGGCGTATACCGCGCAGCAGGCGCACGAGCAGAACGGGTACGGCGACGAGGACGTCGCGATGGGCGAGAACGGCGGCGACGACGACCCGTTCAAGGAGATCGACGATGCGGCGCTCGCCGCCATGGACATGCCCGACCTGCCGCAGCCACCTCACTTCATGGGCTTTGGCGACGACGCCGAGGCCGACATGCACGGCGGCGGGTTCGAGCTGCCGATGCCGCCTCAAGAGTTCCAGATGGGCGACGGCGAGGACGACGACGACCAGGGCCTCGTTCTGCCGATGCCGCCGCCCGAGTTTCTCTGAGCGAGGTCGCGACGAGAGGAGGCTTGGTTAGCATACGCAGTGACTGGGTCTGGAACGTGTTGTAGCTCTCCATTCGAGAGCTTTTCAAACGAGAGAAGCTGGGAGAGGAGATCTGCTCTTCGAGTTTCACACTGCCTCGGTTACAACGCCCTTGCTCGCCCTCGGCACCTCCCACCCTCTTCTGCCCCGCCGCAAGTTGAGCACGATGCCCTCGTCCTCGCTCGGCCGCCAGTCCCGCACGACCGGCTCGAGCCCAAAGAATCTCATCGCCCAGCCTGCCGCACGGACCTCGACCTGAAACCTCGCCCACTTGGCCCTCGAGCCCGCTCGGAAGCGCGGTGACGGCTGCTCGTACGCCTCCTCGAACAGGAACGCGGCGCGGTGACGGACAGACGGGTCGTCCTCCGAGGTGCCGCCGCCGGTGTAGCCCGTTGAGGCAGTGAGCGCCGAGCCTGTCGAGGCGTCACGGCGGTCGGTCGGCATTGAAGAGTGGTGGTGAGGGACGGAGTGAGCGAGGTCGTCGAAGGGAATGCGGTTGGGCGAGGAGGAGAGGTGGATGGGGATGGCGCGCGAGGTCGACGAGAAGACCTGCTCCTCGAGGTGGAACTGCAGAGAGATTTCCAGAGTCAGGTCGACCGTCGAGTGCCCTCGACGAGACGAGACGAGACGAGAGGGGACGAGAGGGGACGTACGTAGAGTTTGTTGAGAAAGCCAGAGTGGAAGAAGCCCGCGAGGCCGTGAACGCCCAGGAACTTTTCGAGCTGTGCGCGCGCGAGCGGCCGATACTGTTTCAGAGAAGCTGGTCAGTACTTCATTCTCATTCTCGAGAGGAAAGGAGAGGAGGGGAGAGGAGAGGAGACGCACGCAGACTGACGACGAGTAGTGCGGGCAGAACGCCTCGTCGGGCAAGCCGATGTCGTGGTTCCTCCTCCACAGGTCGTCCCACACGAGGTACCACCAGGCCCGGACCTTGTCGTCCGAGACGGCGCGCATGCGCTGCTCGAGTCTCGTCGTCGACGCCTTGTGCGAGCGGGCGAGCTGCTGCACCGACGGGTTCTGCTCGCTCGAGCGCAGGACGGCGTCGAGCTCGTCTAAGGATAGGCGGTCGTCGGCGAAGACCTTGAGGAGGAACGAGTACGACAGGGTGCGCCGCTTGAGGTCCGCCTCGCGGCGAAAGTAGTCGCGATGGTCGATGAGGGAGCGCTCAACGACGGGAAGGCGCTGCTCGACGAGAACGCGATTGCGTCGCAGGAGCAACGCGAGCTCGTGCGTGAGCTGGAAGTCGTCGGACACGCCGGCTTGAGGACCGGTGAGGACCAGACGCTGTCCTTGGACCGAACGCCCGTCGCCGCTGCTGCCCTCGCCGTCGGCGTACTCGAGCGAGACCTCGAACCCGCTCGCGAACTGGTAGCCTCGCCAGGCGAACGTCGAGTTGCGCTTGAGGCGGACGGCGGCCATGCGGAACGAGACGTGCCGCTCGACGACGGTGTGGCCGGTTGCGCCGACGCGCGTGACGACAACGTGCGGCGCGAACACGATCTGGTTCTCGAGAGCTCGCAAGGCGAGACGCACTCGGCGCGCCGCGACGACGTCAGGTCGGCCGTTCTGCTCGATGAGGAGCTCGAGGTCCTCGAGCTGAACGAGGTGCAGGGGGCGAGTCGGCTCTTGGTCGTACCGAAAGACGGCGACGAAGGGGAACGGGACAATGTCGAGGCGGCCAAAATAGCTCGAGACAGGTAGAGGCGAGTCCTCGGGCCGGAAGTAGACGTCTGGACCCGCTTGATGGAGCTCGAGTTGACGGCGCAGGCGGATGATCTTGGCACTCGGGCACGACTCGGCGTCGGCGTAGGCGTCTAAGCCGATCTCGCGAAGAATCTGTCGAGCGAGGCAAGGTAAATGACGGGCGCAAAGAGGGTTGCGAGAGCGAAAAGGGAGCGTACCTTGAGGTTCTCGATCAAGCGCTCGGCGACCGAGCCGCCAAAGTGCAACAGGTACGGCGGCAACTGTGGGTCCTGCGAGAAGTCGAGTCTCGACGACGACGGCATGGCGAACTCGGGCGAGCACAAGAGGCTGGAGGGGGCGAGACTTAGTGACGGCTCGAGGAGACGTGAGGGCTGGAAGAGGGGACGTACAGCGCTGCGACCGATTCTTGCCAAACTCGACGCACGATGTGTTTGCTGACGTCGAGCGACGGCGAGAAGAGGTCGATGGACGAGTCGAGTCGGCGGCGAGCCTTCTTGACGAGACGCTGCGACAGGCCGAGCCCGATGAGGGTGAAGTAGATGCTGCACGGCAAACGACGTCAGTTGACCGTCTTCTGAGACCCTGTACAGAGAGAGAGGAGACGCACTTGAGGCTGTAGACGACGACGTTCACCGCGATCACGGCAGGGTCCGTGCCCGGCGCCGAGAGCGCCGAGAGGAGGCCGAGGAGCGCCAGGAAGACATAGCCGATACGGCTGACGATGTCGGACGAGTTCGAGATGCGGGTGAGGTAAGGCGACGAGATGGCGGATGCGATGCAGAAGAGTGCGACCAAGCCGAGCACGCAGCCCTGCCGCACGACCGACAGGTAGGTCTCGCCGTACTCGCGGAACAGACAGTTGTTCTTCTGGATGAGGACGACGAGTATGACGTTGACGAGCTTGAAGATGAGGCTGTACGGCGGCGGGCAGCGTGAGCGAGGGTGGGCGGGGAAGGAGAAAGAGGGTCGAGCACGCACTAGATCGACCGAAATGCAGCCCACTTGCGGCGATAATCTGCAGTACGCGTTGCGCATGAGCTCGAGGCCCGCGTGAGGAAGGTCGAGAAAAGGAGAGCAGGGACGGACCGCGGTACAAGAAGCTGTACGGGCTCGGGTCGGCGTCGAGCAGCCGCTCGTACTGGGCATCGAGCTCGCGACGCCGCTCGCCGAGCTCAGTCCAGCCCTCGACTTACGGCGCCTCGCGCCGGACGAGCTGCCACATGCGCCACGGGAACCACAGGGCGAGGAGCACGAGGACGACGACGGCGAGGGGCACGAGCGCGTACGCCGCGTTGATGTTGCGCGCGCCGTCTCGACGGCGCATCGTCGTGCGCCAGCAGAAGTCCATCGGCGCGTAGTACATGTCGGCGGGTCCGAGTGGCGCAGGTGCAGGGCCGTCGACGCCGAGCGCGTCGTACGGGTTCTCGACGACCCAGAAGTCGTCGGTCCAGGTGACGGCGCCGATCGCGAGCTTGGACAGCGGCAGGAACAGGCTGCTGCACCAGAAGGTGACGGCGACGCGCCACGTGTACGAGTCGCGCCACTTGCGCCGGCGCTCCTCGAGGTCCTCGCGCTCGTACCCCTCGCCGAGGTCGAGCTCGCCGCGGCCGAGCTTGCCCGCCGGGCCGTGCCAGCCGCCGGAGAGACGATAGAACTCGTACAGGGCGAACAGGGTGACGAGGGTGAAGGCGAGGAGGAGGGCGAACGGCTGGCCGAAAGCGCTGACGAACTCGAGCGACAGGACCGACGGGATCTTGACGAACAGGGTGCGCAGGGTCTCGTTACCGGTAGATGTCGACGTGTGGGTGAGTATTGAGGGCGAGCCGGCCGTGACGAGAAGGGTGACCATCCTGCGAGGCGCTCGAAAGAGGTCAGGCGAGTTCGAGATAACGACGTGCGGCCCCGAGAGCGTCTCGCGCATTCGGGAGAGAGAGGAGAAAGCAGAGACGCACTGCATGAGGTCCCGCAGACCCTCGACCGAGGTCAACTTGAGGCCCATCGAGCTACTCGCCGCGCCGAGGAGGCCGTTGCTCGCCGCGCCGAGCAGGCCCTGGACGCCGATGAGCGGCGGCGGTGCGCGCCGGTTGGCCTTGAGGTCGGTGACGGTGAGCTTGGGCGGGAGGAGGTGAAAGGGCGGGAACTTGAGCGACCGAATGTACTGGTCGCGCGACATGCCGGCGGCTCGAGCGGCGACGGCGTGCGTGTCGGGCTCGTCTTGCCCGTCGAGGCGGCGACGCGTCAAGAGCGCCAACAGGGCATGCTCCGCGGACGCGACGAGGCGGCGCCACCTGCTCGGCTGCTCGCCCCGCACCCACTTGTCCCACCCCTCGCGCTCGAGCTCGCTCCCGAACACCTTTTCCGCCCTGCCTCCCTCGCTCTGCTCGAGCGTCTCGAGCTCCCATGCCTCGCCCTTGCCGCTCACCTCCTCGCGCCGTCGGCGCCCGCCGCTCGGACCGGGCATGGAGGAGAAGTGCGCCGCGCCGCCGAGCGACTCGATGACGGCGTCGAGCTCGGGCAGGACGAGCGTCTCGGCGCCGCGAGCGAAAAGCTCGTAGGCGTACACGCGGCGTGTCGAGGCGGTGCTGGTCGAGGTGATGGTGAAGCGGGAGGATGAGGCGGTCGGCGGCGCGTCGACAGAGCGCGGCTTTGGCGCAGCTCGAGGGTGGGGCGGTCGGGCCGGCGGCGCTGAATGCGGGATGAGGGGTGCGGCCGAGAGGGAAGACAGGATGGACGCCGAGTCGTCGCCGAGGTCGATCGAGTCGCGCTCGGGCTGGATGAGCTCTGCCCAGGTGACGGACGAGCGACGTGGCTCGAGGGTCGGCCGAGTAGAGACGCTCTTGTAGCGAAGTGGTGGTGCGTCGGAGGTGGGCGAGGAGGGCGAGGAGGGCGAGGGCGGCTCGGCGTTGCCAGATGACGAGGAGGACGAGTCGCGGCGAGGGCCAACTTGAGCTGCTCCCGCTGCGCCGCCGTGCGCAGAACGCCCATCGACGACTACCTGACCCGTCGCGGCCGGGACGACCGGGAACGAGAGCGCATGGCGCGCGACCGTGAGGGTCGGCCGACCGTCTCGAGCCGGCGAGACCGACGCGGGGACGACGACGACTGGCGCCGGGACCGCCTTGCCGCCGGCTGACAGGGCCGGTAGGCTCGCCCTCACGAAAGGCGAGTCGACAGACGAGAGCGCGGCGGCGGCGGCGGCGGCGGTCGGAGGCGACACGGGCGCCCAGTCCATCGTTCCGACATCGCCGACGACGACGACGCTCGCGCCCGCTCCCGGCGACGCGTCTCGTCTTTGGCCCACCGGCCTCATCGGGTCGCCGAGCGGCCGCATCGCGCTCTGCTCTTCTCGCCCGCCGCAGTCCTCCGAGCGAGTCCTGCTCGCCTTGCTCGTCGAGCTCGTTGGCCGCACGACGGCTGGCGGCGATGTGGAGGCGGCCGAGGCGGGAGCGGCTGGCGATGCGGCCGCCTCGAAGTGCGAGACGAGGGCCGAGACGCGGCGGGAGGGAATGCGGCGTGGCGGTGCGCTGGTGGGGGAGGAGGTGGCCAAGGGCGACGGCGGCGGCATGGGACGAGCTGGCTCGTCAAGCATGCAGGCTTGTCGGCAGCAGGTGTGTCGCGTCGTGCTGTTGCTGGCTTGAACGATGAGCGTGGGCGCCCTCGGCTCGACCCGCCTCGGGCGGCACCTGGAGGAGGAGGGGAAGAGGGGAGGACGCACCTCGAGATCGGCTCAGGGATGGCGGTAGGTGATGAATGAGCTGCTGCGCTCCGTCTTGCGCGCTCGAGTGCGGCTGCAGGCGAGCGAGAGGGCCGAGGAGCGAGGTCGTCGCCGGGTCCTCAGGCTCGCGCCTCGTGCTCGTCGGCGGCTCGAGCTTGTGCTGCTGCGCTCGCGCGTCGTGGGCGTACGAGGCCTTGTCGCGGCCCTAGACGCGGTCGTGGCTGGCCTGGTGCTCCCCTCGTCGTGGTGGCGCCCGTGTTTGTCGCCTCGTCCGCGCGGTCGGCTCGCGGGGCGATGGACCGCCTGCAGAGGTGCGAGCGCGCTGGACGGGCTGCCGAAGCATTGTGTCGGGTATCGGCTGCTCGCACGTGCGCGCGTCTGCTCGGTCGGAACGAGCGTGGTGGAGGGAAACGCTCTCGTCGCTTCGTCCCGCTGATGAGAGTGGGAGCGAGTCGGCTGCTCTCTCTCGCCCGCATTGCTACACGCTAGACCTCAGACTCTGCTCGTAGATAGCTCTGCTTCCCTCTCCCCCCGTCCACTCGTGCGCGCGAGCTCGTCTTTGCTCCTCCTCGCCGCACCTCGTTCGAGCACACCGAGCATCTTCTCGACGTGCTATCTTTGCGATTGCCGGGCGCACACGCGTACGCTGCGGCTAGCTATCGCTCGGGTCCGGCCGGGACGAGCCCCTGGCGGAGTGTCCGCGGCCGCAGCTCGAGCAGCTCCTTGGCCTCGAGCTGGCGCCTCGTCTCGTTCTCGCCAGCGCTCCTGTCCAGTCGAGGAGCTCGTACAAGATGCCTTCCGACCGTGCGTCCTGCCCCCGACCCTCCTCTCGTTCCACCTGGCAGCTCACCCTCTCGCTGCCCACAGTCGCAGCCTCGGCTCGGGCGCTCATTGACGCCTGTGCGTCCCTCTCTCTCTCGTTTGTCCTCTGGAGTTGCGCTAATGCTGCGAGTGCGCAGACGAAGGAGCCGACTCGAGCGGGCGTCAGGCCCTGGTAAGCCCTCTCGCTTCTTCACGGGGTCCGGGCACTCGACTTTCGCTGACCCGCTGTCACCTCACAGGTCGCTGCTCTCCAAGATTGTCGTGCGTCGTCTTCTCTTCTTGCTCAACTCGGGCAGAGCTGACGGTACCGCCTTGCTCGCCGTCGCAGAGAGCAAAAGTTCGCCCACCCCATCCTCGTTTTTGCCCGAGTCGAGCCTGATTGTCGACCTTCCGCAGTCGCGGCGCGCCTCAAGGAGCTCAAGAAGGGCCCGCAAGGCCCACTCGTCAAGCACATGCGCCAGATCCAGAAGACGATCGACGAGTACACGCGGTACCACCGTGCGTCCCTCTTTTCCTCGCCGACGTTGCCTCTCGCCTCGAGCCGTGACCCTCACGTCCTCTCTCGCTCTCACAGGGGACGCCGTGGTCGAGCACGACAAGCAGCAGAAGATGTCGCCGCAGGGTGCGGACGAGGTCAAGCGCGCCGCGGGCAACATCGAGTGGTACCGCGGTACCCTCTTGTCGGCGCAGCATGACCGCTGCTGGGAGAACGATCAGGTGAATCGAGCCTGGGTCGAGTACAACGAGCTCCGCGCCGAGATGGACAAGATTGTGGGTCTGCACCGTCCCCTCGTTTCCTCCTCTCCCGGTCCTCGTCGCTCAGGCCTCCCTGACCCGCTCCCTCGCGGCGCAGAGCAAGATCGTCGGCAAGCCTCGCAGAGCGGCGGTGCGTCGTCCTGTTCCGCGACTACCACCACGACAACGAACTCACAGACACTGGCACCGGCGCAGCACTCGCTCGGCAAGAACGTGTTCGTCCCGGAGCACATGAGGACGTATCGGCGCGTCGGCGGCTACTGAGCTTTGCCCGAGAGCCTTCTCGTAGATGTGTGCGAGCTCGTGGACCGTATCGATCACTCGTTTTCCCTTTTTCCGACGGCGCAGTGAATGAAGCGAAGCTGTACGTCAGCAGGTCACGCTCGGGCGTGGCCGCCGAGCGCGAAAGCGAAGAGACCGAGAGCCTTCTCGCGCCCCGACACGAGAGAAGTGGAAGCCCGGCCACGCAAGCTGGATGGACGACGAGGACCGGGCGCGCTCGTCTCGAGGAACCTTCTCAAGTTGAGATCCGGCTCGTCTCGCTCTCGAAAATGCTCGCGACGAGGGCACAAGCGGGCACAGAGAGATCTATTGCAGGCAGAGGAGGGCGACAGAAAGCGAGGGAGAGAATAAGGGAGCAAGGAAAGAGGCGGCGGCGGCGACGACGATCTAGTACCGCTCGTTAAAATACCGCCGGCGCATCCTGTAAAAGCCCTCGCCGACGCCGAGCGAGTGCGCGTTGGTCGCCGGCTCCTCGGCGGTCGAGCGACGAGGGAGAGCCCTTTTGACATACTCGATGAAGCGACGGCGGTGGCCCGGGCCCGGCGGCGGTGGCGGCGGCGAGCAGTCGATGGGCTCGACGAGGGCCTCGGCGTACTGCTTCTCCATCGTCTTGTAGATCGTGAACTGCGACGAGCGACGACCAAGGGGAGGAGGTCAGTGCCGAATCTGTCTCGAAAGGAGCAGAGGGGAAAGTGAGCGACGCACATCATAGTCGATCGCATCCTGCATGTAGTGCCAGAAGTCCTCGATCTTGCGCATCTGGTACTTGGTCTTGTCCTTCTCCTCCTGCCAGGCCTTGAGGAGAGGCTCGAGCTTCTCGTTGATGGCGGCGACCTCGGCCTTGGCGGCAGGCGTCGCCGGAACCCGTCTGCCCATGCCGTAGTCCCGCCAGTGGTACGTGCCCGTCCACGCTGCGACGACAAGGAGCGTTCGAGTCAGTCTTTGGACGAGGCAGGATCGAGAGAGAGAGGAAGAGAGAGAGAGAGCTGGGCGCACGGTCGTCGAGGATGCGGTGCCGGCGGAGCCAGAGCCTGCCGATTTCGGGCGTCGGCGTGTCCCACCCCTGCTGACTCCAGGTCACTGCAAGATGGATACGCATGAGAACGCTGACGAGGAGTGAAGCTGAGACGAGGGGACGCACTGCGCTCGCCTGCAACGGAGCGGGCGGGATGTCAGTGTGGCGCGGACGACGCCGAGTCGCGGAAGAGGGACGCACACTGCTTCTTCCACTTCTCGCCGTATTCGAGGAGGAACTCCTCCTTCTCCTTGCGCTCGGCGAGAGCTTCTTCCTGCGGAACCGAGGGGACGTCAGGCGAGAGATAGGGAGGGGTCCGAGAGCGGGAGGGACGACGCACATGCACCCGCAGCGTCTCGACCAACTCGGTCCGCGTCTTGTCGTCGAGGTGAGGGTCGGCGAGACGCTCCTGGACTGTCGAAAGGCGAGGAAAAGGGTCAGGCGCAGAGTCCGGCCGAGGGGCAGGAGAGGGGAAAGCGAGGACGCACACTTGCGGACTGCGAGGGACCCGTACAGCGTCACAGTCTAGCCGACGATAGACAGAGAGAGGGTGGGACGCACTATTGCGCTTGACGACCTCCTGAGGCGACAGCTTGCGGCCGTCCGCCTCGCTGCCGCTCGAGCCCCGCCCCGCCCTCCTTTTGTCGCGCGGGTCGGCGGACCGCTCACGGTCGCGGCTAGAGCTCGTAGGCGGCTCGATCCCGTGGCCCAACATGCTGTCCTCGATCTGCAGGAGGGCAGAACGCGTCAGAGCTCGACGCAAGAGGTTCGGAAAGGAAGACTGGGGACGCACGACGTCGCCGAGCACCTGTCTTGACGCCCGCCTCGTCTTGGCGCTGCGCTCGTCGATAACGTCGATGTCGATGTCGCGAAAGTTGGCGATCACTGTAGGGAGGCGCACGAGGTGCGAAATCAGGGGGCTGTCGCGAGGTCAAAGTCGCGGCGACGCACAGGCGTCGACTGCGCGGTCGGGGCAGGAAGGTGTCAGTGATCGTTCTGCGTGCGAGGGTGGGCCGCAGAGAGCGTACTGCGTTGTTCGAGGGCGCCGAGGCCGTGCGGGTCGTCGCCGCGGTCGGGGATGCGGTTCTGCGCCGTCCTCGACGACTCGGGTCCGTGATCATCGAGGCGCTGAGCATACGGCCGCGGGTCGGCCATCTTCACGGTCGCAAGCGAGGGCGACGACGAGTCGAGGGAGCAGAGGAGCAGTGCGAGGACCCCGAAAAGCGAGACGAACGCTCCGCGGAGGGGCCGCGATCGAGCCGGTACAGCAGCCCGGGAGCGGACGGACCGATAAGCGACAAAGGGAGGCAGAGAAGCTGGGCTGACGCGGCCGAAAGCGAGGCGGAAAGGCCGCCGAGGAGCCAGTGCGGAGGGAGGAGCTCAGAGAGGGAGGAGAGGGTTGCGTCCTCGCGGGACAAAGCCGCAAGCCGAAGCGCGAGGCTGTACAGCATGCGCGTGGCTCTGTGTTGACGCAGCTGGCGCAGGTTGCGGTGAGAGCGAGAGACGACGTTCGCAAGCTGTTCAAGTCGATCGCGCCTTCGACCAAGCGAGGCCAGCAGTGCTCGTCCTCGCCGCCCTTGAGCGCGAATCTACACGGCCATGGCCAGCGTGCAAGCTCCTCGCGAGCACATGCGCTCGACGGCCCACTACCCGGCCGCCGCACCCCTCGACACCTCGTCGTCCACCTCACCCCCACCAGCCTCGCTCGACTTTGCCCGCTCCCCGCCACGAGGGCACGTCGGTTCAGCTCTACCCAGCCCTTCAGCGCTTTCCCAGTCCCGACCGCCCGACCGCACGGCCTCGACAACTTCGCCCGCCTCGTCCCCATCTTCATCAGTCGACTCTCCGACCTCGACGACGACGACCCCGTCCGACAAGCCGATCCCCGCATCCGACAACCTGACCCTCATCTCGACCCTGAGCGCGAGCGACGGCGAGTCGATCCTCTGCATCGCCGTCGACGACCCGCGAGATCGCCCAGACCCGGCACAGCACGGCGGCGAGGGGCGCGGCAACGGGCGCAGGTCGGACGCAGCAGGGTGCAGGACAGGCCGCGTGTACGGCGGCAGTCAAGGTGGCAGCATTCACGTGAGTCGGCTCTCCTCTTTTCCCCTGTCGCGCTCGAGACGGAGGCTCGGCCGAGCGCTGCTGGACGCGCTCGAGCAGTGCCGGTCGCTAACTTGCCCGCATGCGCAACAGGTGTGGGACTTGGCGACGCTCTCGCCCTGTGCCCGCTTGACGGGCCACGAGGGCGCCGTCCTCGCCCTCCAGCTCGTCCCGGCACGACGTTGGCTCATCAGCGCATCCGGTGCGCCCACCTCTTTCGCCCTCTCGTCCCAACTGCCACAGCGTACTGACCGTCGTCGTATGTGCGCAGGCGACGGCACGATCCGGGTGTGGCACACGCCGACGCTCTCGCTCGTCTACCTTCTCCACCCGCCGCATGACAACATCGGCGACATCCTGTCGCTCGCTTGGCTTCCGAGCGACTCGCTCGAGGACGACGACCATGTGGGGCACAGGAGGGGCGTCGGGATGGGGCATGCGGCGCACGAGGGCGGGAGAAGGGGTGCGGGGCGGCTCTTCGCCGGGTGTCAGGACACGAGCGTCCAGGTGCGCCCTCTTCCGCTCCTTGTCCTCCTCCACTTTGGCGTACGACGATGACGTCGAAGCAGTCACTGATATATCCCCGACCTGCAGTGGATCGACCTGCCGCCGACCTTCCACCTTGCCCTTCCCTCCTCTCGCTGTCCTCCCGGCTCCCCTCTCTCGTCCTCGCACGCCTCGTCACACGCCTTCTCGACCTCGCCGCACTCGCCGCCTATCTTCAAGGCCCCGAACAAGTTCTTCGACTCGCTGTCGCAGACGGAGAAGAACCGCGCGCGCGTGACGGGCCTCGGCTCGCCGGGCGCGCTCGGCGGCGGCGGCGGCAGCGGGAGCGGCGGAGGAGGAACGCCGAGCGGGTTCCACTCGAAGAGCACGGCCAACCTTGTCGGGCTCGAAGCGGGCTCGTCTCGGCCGGGCACGCCCGACGGCGCGACGACGCCGCGAGCGGGAGGGACGGCCGGTGGGGCAGAGCCGCTCGAGCTCCAGTTCGAGGCAGAGTGCATCGTGCCGTTCGCTCATTTCGGATACGTCGTGCGTCGCCTGTTTCGCTCCTCTTGTCGGTACGCCCGCAGAGCGACACACTCCTGACCGCGAGCCTTACCGACCGCAGTACTGCCTCGTCGCCGGCAAGAGCAACGAGCGGCCCGTCCTCATCTCTGGCTGTCCGTCTCCTTTCTCTCTCACTCTCTGCGCTCGAGACACGCGACCTGACGGGGCCGACTTGCACCGCAGCCGGCGACGAGCTCGTCAAGCTTTGGCGCCCGACCACGTCCGACCTTCTTCCGGTCGCGACGCTCACGAGCGACTGCGACGCCGTCCTGACGCTCGCCGTGCGCGACAACACGCTCTTTGCGGGTCATCAAGGAGGCGTCATCAAGGTGCGTCCTCGCCGTTCACCCGACTCGACCCGGCTCGGAAGCGCCCGTCCTGACCCTCGTCCTCGTCTCGCAGGTGTGGGACCTCGACACGCTCACCTGCGTACGCGTTCTGCGTCCTCATCAAGTACGTCTTGCACCCTTCCTCTCTCCCTCCCCTCTTCTGCGTCGGGTCAGGGACCTGACCCTCCTCGCCCTCCTCACCTTCCGCAGCACGACATCCTCACCCTGTCCGTCCTCTCGACCTCGCTCTTCTCCGGCTCGGCGAGCGGCACCCTGCAGCGGTGGGACCTGCGCTCGTTCGCGCTCGTCGGTGAGTGGGACGCGCACAAGTCGATCGTGCTCTCGAGCGAGGTCGTCGGCGGCGAGACGAGGGGCCTGCTCCTCACGGGCGGCAACGACGCGAGCCTCAAGGTCCGTCTCGTCGTCTCTCCTCTTCTCGGCAAGCTGCGACTGTACTGAAGCCTTGTCTCGAGCGCGCAGGTCTGGCACGTCAAGGCGGACGACGAGGCGTCGCCGGATCGCTCAGACGACCATGGGTTCCAGGGTGAGCTTTCGTTCACCTTCTGTCTCCTCTTTCCTCCACTCGAAGATGAGCTAATGTCTCGAGTGTGTGCGCAGGCGAGCTGTTCCACACGTTGGCCAAGTTCGTGTCGTTCAAGACGGTCGCCGACTCGCCGCACCGCGAGGACTGCCGCCAAGGCGCCCTGTACCTCAAGCGCGTCCTGCGCTCGTTCGGCGCCGAGGCGTCGCTCCTGCCCAACCCGATCGAGGGCAAGAACCCGATCGTGCTCGCCACCTTCCGCGCCAACGCGCCGCCACGCCCAAACCGGTTCGAGGCGCCGAGGCGCAAGCGCGTCCTGTGCTACGGCCACTACGACGTCGTGCCGGCGTCGGCGCCCGAGATGTGGGGCACGGACCCATTCGCGATGCACGGCAAGGACGGGTGGCTGTACGGCCGCGGCGTGAGCGACAACAAGGGCCCGGTCCTCGCCGTCGCGGCGGCGGCGGCCGAGCGGCGGCGCAAGCAGGAGATGGACGTCGACCTCGTCATGGTCATCGAGGGCGAGGAGGAGACGGGCAGTGCCGGGTTCCAGGAGGCGGTCCGCAAGAACCGGGTGCGTCGGCTCGACCTCGTTCCTTTTCTCGCCGCGAGTCCTGACCCTCCTTCTCTCGCCTGCCGTGCAGGGCCTCATCGGCGACATCGACGTCATCCTCGTCAGCAACTCGTACTGGCTCGGCGAGACGGTCCCCTGCTTGACGTTCGGCCTGCGCGGCGTCATCCATGCGTCGGTCAAGGTGCGCCCGGACCTCCTCCTCCCTCTCAAGGCGTCTCGGGTACTCACGCACCCTACTCCTCGACGCGCAGGTCGCCTCGTCCAACCCCGAATTCACCCACTCGGGCATCTGGGGCGGCGTCACGTCCGAGCCGCTCAACGACCTCATCCGGGTCCTCGCGAGCCTGACCGACAACCGCGGCGCCGTCCGCATCCCCGGCTTCCTCGACGGCGTTCGCAAGCTCTTGCCGACTGAGCAGAAGCTGTACGACGAGCTGTTCCTGAGGACGGACGGGTACGTCGAGCTCTCCTCCCTCCTCATGTTCCTCTCGGGTCCTTCCGACTAACTATCTCTCGAATGCTGCGGACAGGCTGCAGCAGCATCGCGACGGCAAGAGCATGGTACCGTCGCCGACGCTCGACCCGATGCAGTCGCTCATCAACCGGTGCGTCCTGTTCCCTCTCGGTCTTCCTCCTCGACCTCGCCGACTTGCCTCTTACGCCCGCCTTTCCCTCACCCGCAGCTGGCGGCAACCTGCGCTCTCGGTCCACAAGGTCGAGGTGCCCGGCCCGGCGCAGAAGACGCTCATCCCCAACTCGGCGACGGCGAGCGTGTCGATCCGGATCGTGCCCGACCAGAGCCTCGACGACATCGTCAAGATGCTCAAAGCGCACCTCGAAAAGGCGTTCGCGACGCTCGAGACGACCAACACGCTCTCGGTGAGTCCTCGTCCTTGCGCCCCTAGTCGCGTCGGCCGTCCTGACCCAGTCCTCGTCCCGCAGATCGACATCAACCACGTCGCCGACTGGGTGCGCCCTCTTTTCCCTCGCTCTCTGTACGGTCTCGAGCCCTCACTCACCGCTTCCGCCTCCTCCCGCAGTGGCTCGGCGACCTGTCGTCGCCCTACGTCGCCGCCATGTCGTCGTGCATCAGCTCGCAGTGGAACATCGACCCGCTCTTCATCCGCGAGGGCGGCTCGATCCCGTCGCTGCCCTTCCTCGAGCGCGAGTTTGGCGCCGACGCGGTCCACTTCCCGATGGGCACGAGCAGCGACTCGGCCCACCTGCCCGACGAGCGCATCAGGGTGCTCAACCTCGAGGTGCGTCCTCTCGACTTTTCCTCTCTTCTGTTCCCTTGTCGGCGCGAGAGCGAGACTTTGACGTCGCGTCGTTCTCTCTTTCCCTCTCTCGCTTACAGAACGGCAAGGCGATCGTGTCAAAGTGGTTCACCAAGCTCGCGTCGCTCCCCATCTAGACCCCCTCCTTCCTCTCCTCCCTCGTTACTTATACCCGAGCCTCTGCGATATCCCGCCCTGTCATCCCGCACATCGTAGACCCTGCACTCCTTCACCCGACCCTGTCAATCGATACCGCGCCGTCTCCTTGCCCACCTTGACGCACAGCTCGGCCGCAAAGACCTCGCCCTCGAGCCGCAGCTTTTTGCCGAGGCGCGCATCAAGGTCGTCGAGGAAAGCGTTGTCGAACGGCGGATCTTGAGAGGAGAGGGAGGTCGAGGTCGACCAGGCGAGCGAGGTGTGGAACCGCGGGGTGGGGTAGTACGTCGGGAGGCGCAGGCGCTCGAGCTCGGCGTCGAGCTTGTGCGTGAGGGCGAGGAGCTGTAGTGAGACGTGTCAGGAGGTGTTGATGTCCCGAACGCAGGCGAGAGGGGGAGAGAGAGAGCGCGAGGGCGCACCTGGTCGTAGCCGTGCCCGATCTCGACGCCGAGAAAGCGCCTCGACTTGTCGTCGTTCTCGAGGACGCCGAAGCTCGCGTACCGTGCGTCGAACCTGTACGTACAGGGAGTGTCAGGGCGCCTCCGGGATAGAGAGAGGCTCTGGAGAAAAAGAGAGAGGCGCGCACCCTGAGGATGCTGCAGCCACTTTGGCGACGGCCGCCCGCAGCTCTTGTCGCTGGTTCGTCTGCAGCATGAGGGGCCGGGACAGCGACAGATGTAGAGCTGCGCTGCTCGAGTGGTCGCCTGCATCGATGGCTGATGGGGCATCGCTTTTGCACTTGTCGGCGGCGGACGGCGAGAGAAGAGAGTGGACGGTCGAGTCGTCGGGTGCTGCGGCAGCTGCGTCGACGGTCGCCTTCTTGAGGACCTTGCTCAAGCCCGTGCTCGGCTCGACTGGGTGGGCAAAGAGTCAGCAGCTGGCTGCGTGAGAGTGGGGAAGAGGAAGAGGGCTCACGCTCGAGGAAGACGTGGGCCGCCCACAGGCCGCGTTGATGGGGCACGGCGCGCTTGCGCCCTTGATGAAGCTCTGGCGAGTCGGCCGTGCGCGCTGTTGAATCGGGGAGAGGCGTCAGCTGGGTTGCGAGGGGGAGCTCGTGGGGAAGAGCAGAGGAAGCGGGCGGACCTGGCTCGTCAAACGACGCGTCGAGGGCGGGGAGCTTGCTGTGGGCAGTAGAGAGAAGACTGTCAGTGCTGTGACCAGGTAGAGGGAGGCAGTAGAGACGTACCGTTTCTTCTTGGGGGGTTCACTCGACATGGTGATGATGAGGATGGAGGCGAGTCGGGGCGAGTCGGGGCGAGTCGGGGCGAGCGCGTGCGAGGCTCGCGACGGCTGGAGGCGGGTCAGATGGATCCTGCTGAGCGACTGCACTGGCCTAGTCCGCAGCAAGTGCGGCTGCTGGCTCGTGGCGGCCGAGAACAACTCGAGCCGCCTCCTCGTCCGCCTCTTCCTCAATGCTCGGCCTCTCGCTCGCACTCGCGTGCGCGTGTCTGCTGGACAGTGCAGCCGAGCAAGCAGCATGCGCTCCCCTCTGTCCTCGACGCTCGCACTCGACGAGCCTGCGTGCTGAGGACGAGGCGGTCCTTCTTCCGCCCACTTCGTCCACAGCTTGACGCGGCGTTGCTGCTGCTGCTGTGGCCTACTCTCCGAGCTCGTACCGCCACCGGTGCGCCTGGGCGTATCGCGTGCTCCGCCCTCACGCCGGCCCGGCCGCGGCCCCCGCACCGCTCGAGCGCCCATTGATGGCTCGGCGCTCGAGCGACGGCTGGCTCGACGAGAGCGAGACGAGCCTCTCAAGCCTCTTCAGCACCCCTCGACATGGTGCGTGGCCTGTCCTCGCTCTACCTGTCCGCCCGCAACTGACCCCCGCCCCTCGAAACAGCTCGACTGGCCACCGTCGTGGCGCACGACGGCCGTCGCCGGCACCGCCGCCGCCTCCTTCCTCGCCTGCCAGCACCTCGCTCTCGCCGACATGGGCCGTCACGACACGAGGATGGTGCTCGCCATCGCCCTCGCCGTCCCTGTGTTTCGTGCCGCCGCCGCCGCCGCTTTCCTTCGTCGACCTGTCACCCTCTCCGCCCTCGCGACGAGCGACAAGCGCAAGTGGGCCGTCGCTGTGTGCGAGGTCGTGCGGACCTTCTCGCAGGTGGCAGCAAGCCGGCTCAACCCGGTCTGGGTCTGGGCGAGCACCGACGTGCGTCCCTCGTCCTCTCCCTCCTCGAAGCTCCCTTACCGAGCTGACTTCCTCTCGGCCTGCAGCTCTTCATTCCTCTCCTCCTCCTCGCCTTTCCTGCAACGCCCGCGACCGACGCGCCCCGCACAACCCGCCTGTACGCCGCCGTCGCCGTCGCCTCGTTCGCGACCGCCTGGACCTGGTGCTCCGACCTCCTCAACGCCGAGGGCATGTTCCTCGCCCTCGTCAGCGTCGGCGCCGAGACGATGGGGCAGTGGCTCGCGCGGCAGGAGTTGGACGAGGCGAGCGGCCGGGTGGACGAGGCGGTCGAGGCGGTGCGCGACTCGAGCCTCGTGCGTCCTCCTTCCTCTACCACGGCGCCGGATTGTGACGCTAACCTCCCCTCATCAGCGCGCAGCCGCGCTACACGTCGTCATGTACCTCGCCCTCTTCCCTCTCGACCTACATCAATACCGAGCCTACTCGCAAGGACCCGCCATCGCCTCCTCGATCATCTGGCCTTTTCTCGCCCTCTTCGCCTCGGTCGCCTTCATCGTCGTCGAGCAGGATGGCAAACTCGACGTACTATCCTCGATCGCCATCTACTCGGCGTCGAACGCCGTCGTCCTCGTCCTCGTGGCCGCTCCCGAGTGGAGCAATACGGCGAGCCGGACCGTCGGCGGCCTCCTCGTCGTCCTGTATCTCGCCAACGTCGCGTACCAGCTCATCTCGACGAGAATCGAGGGCATCTCGCTCAGCCTCGAGCCCGGGTCTGCCGCCGACTACGACCCGCTCGCGTCCTCTCCGGCGTCCAAGATCCTGTCGACCCGCCTCGGTCCGCCCTCGATGCGCATCATGGCGCTCGTGCCCGCCCTCGCATACCTGTCCGGCGCACTCTGCGTCGCGCTCGCCGCCTCGCCCACTCTCGACATCGTCATCGCGCACCACTCGCGCGCCCCGGCGTCGGTCGCGCACCACGTCGCCGCAGTACGACTCGCGCCGCACGTGCGCAAGTCGCGCGTACGCGTGTACCTGTACGAGAAGGGCGACTGGACCGACCAGGAGCTGTGGCGCGGCCTGAGCGGCGTCCTGGACCCGAGATGGGACGAGATTGTGCGCTTGCCCAACGTCGGTCGCGAGGGCGGCACCTACCTCGAGCACGTTGTGCGGCACTACAACGCGTCGCTGCCGTCGCCGAGTACGAGGAGCGGCGCGTCAAGGTCGTCTTGGGCAACGCGCGTCGGTCGAGGCGGCGAGGCGCGAGTCCGACCTTTCGCCGACACGACCCTGTTCCTTCAGGACCATCTCGCCTGGCCCGGCGTGGCCGGTCCTCGCCTGCGCCACACCCTGTCGTCTCGCACCGGGTTCCTCTCGCTCGGCCCGTACCTGTCGAACCTGTGCGGCCACGACAGCGAGGTCGGGACCGAGATGGGCGGCATCAAGGACATCTTCGAGACGGTCAAGGCCCGCCAGTGCACCGAGGGCAACGAGGACGACCGGGTCCTTAGCACGTGGTTTGGCCAATTCGCGGCGAGTCGTGCGACGCTGCTCAAGAACGGGCTCGAGGTGTACGAGCGGCTCGTGCGCATGGTCGAGGTCCGTCCTCTCTTTCTCTCTCTCTCCTTCCTTCGTGCCTCTCGCTCTCAATCGAGCCACTGACTCTCGCACCTTGCAGGCTCCCGACGATGACCCGATCCACAAGCAGTACAACCCAAGCGGGCCCTCAACAGCGTCGTGCGTCCCTGTCGCCTTCCTTGTTCTGCTCCCCTTTCCCCGTGCTGACAGGTACTCTCCCTCCCCTGCCTCCTCCTTCCTCTCTTCCTCCCTCGACGCCTCACCTCGCCCGCCGACTCGCCGCTGCAGCAATCCCGCCTTTGGTCACGCTCTCGAGCGGAGCTGGCCCCTCCTCCTGCATTGCGACGACAGGCGCATCGCCGAGACGTGTCGGAACGGCGCGTGGGAGCCTCGAGACTGTCAGTGCTTCGAGGAGACGTAGATTTGACTGCATTGCGAGCGTGAACGGAGCTTCCCACGCCCGCTCTCACCGCTCGTTCCGCCGACGGCGAGAGGTCGTCGCGCGCTCAACGACTCTTCGCGAGGATCGATGGAAGGACGGCTCTCGTCAGCCGCATAGCCACTCGACTATAGAGAAGCCGGTTGCAAGAGAGAGCTGGACCGTTGCGCTGAGGTCGTCCTTCGCTCAACCGGCGGCGCCGGGCTCGCCTGTCTCTCTCGCTTTGCTCTCACCTCGACTAGATAGCGCCGAGTCGCTCGCACCGCCTCATGGCGTCCCAGCCGCCATCGCCCGGGCCCAACGGCGCGTCGTCGCCCTCGGTCGCCTCGAGGACGGCGCACGAGGCCATCACCGCCGAGGCGAGCCACGTCGTCAGGGGCTGGCCGGTCGGCGCAGGGCTGCAGGGTGCAGGAGACGGTGCGTCCAGACTCTCTTTCCCTTCCCCCGTTGTCCACGACCGGCGCGCGAGCGGGCGGAGGGTGCGAGCGAGGCTCGGTGGGGTGGACGGGCTCGCTCGCCGCCGGCACTCCCTGGGGCGCTGCGCAGAGTGACTCTCGGTGCTGTATGCCGCTCTGAGAGTCCGGCGACCCTTGCCGTGCGCCGCCACGAGCTGTCCTGCTCGACGGCCAATTCCTCATCGCCCGCGAGGAGCGATGAGATCCTCGAGGCGGTGCAGGGCTGGACAGGACCTGGGCAGCACTCGCAGAGCCACACAGAGCCTACTACTGACTCGAGCACCACCCGCGCAGTCGTGTCGCACCTCCCTCCTATCCTCCCCTCCACCCCGTCCTTCTTCCCCTCCTCCAGCTCGCTCCCGACCTCTCTCGACCCCGCCACGACCTCCCTCGTTCCCTCCGACCCGCTCTTCGACCAGTACATGCGCGAGATCGCCGCCCTCCTCGCACCACAGCGCGGCGACTCGGCGACCGACCTCTGGAGGGACGAGCACGTCCAAGGCCTTGTCGGGCTCGGCGAGGTGCAGCAGCAGTTGATGGGCGTTCGCAGTGGGGCCGACATGGGACTGTGCGCTCTCTTTCGCGTTGTACCTCGTGTTACGGGCGACCGACTGACCGCGAGTCCTCCTGCAGCCCTCCTCTCGCACCTCCCTACCCGATCCTCTCGACCGCCCAGCTCAACCCGGCTCCTTCCGCCCACGCGCCCGCCCTTGCCGCATCCTTCCTCGCCGCGTCGTCGTACCCACTTCCGCCACCGCCGACCGCCCCAGCGTCGAACCCGCTCCAGCCCCGACACCTCGCTCCGCAGCCGCCCTCGCACCCGCACGACACCCTCTCCACCTTCGTCGAGTCGCACTACGCGAGCGCGCAGGCGTCAGCTCAAGCTTTGAGCGCCATGCGCAGGCAGAACAGCCTCGGCGGCGACAGCGCGAGCGCGAGTGCGCCAACGAGCCGGCCGCAGACGCCGTCGCACGTGCGGGTCGCCGCGCCGCACCCGGTCCAGATGAGCTCGCCCGACCCGCTCGCGATGGGTTACTCGTCGCCAGTGCCCGCTGCCGCCGCGCCGGCGGCCGCATCTGCGCCTCAGCTTGCGCCGTCGGCGAACGGGCAGGGCCCGCACCGGGTCGGCGCCGTCCACGCTCCGGTGCAGCGGCGTGCGCTCCCGCAAGTCGTCATCCCGCAGCCGCGACCGCGCAAAAGGGCGAGCTCGTCCGACCTGTCGAGCCACTTCTCGTCGCCGCTCAAGCCCTCGGACGCCGGCGCGGTTCGGCACCCTCTGCCGCCCGCTCTCGGCGGCGACGGCGACTTCACGCCCAAGACGAGCACGTTCAAGGCGTCGCAGCTCGAGGGCCCCTTCACGGGCGCCGAGTCGGCCGTCAAGCGCGTCAAGCTCGGCGCAGGTCCCGGCGCCAACTCGTCGTCGTCGACCATCGGCCGCACGCCCGGCACCGCTGCGACGCAGGGCGGCAACGATCCGGTCGAGCGTCTCGGCGACCTCGTCGGCGACGTGTTCACGGCCGACGACGCCTTTGTCGGCGACACGTCGTCGGCGGCCGTCTCGTCGCACATGCGCAGCCCGAGCCGCAAAGGCGGCGAGAAGCGCCTGTTCCGCTCGACGCGCACGAGCGAGTCGAGCAACGCGCCCCTGCTTCACACGGACGCGCTGCGTCGCATGCTCGGCCTGCTGCGCGCCGTCGCGAGCCGGGGCAAGGCCGAGGAGCTCGTCGAGGAGGTCGAGGAGGGCGGGGTCCAGCGGTGGTTGAGGGTGCTCGAGCGGAGCTGGGAGGGCATCGGCGATGCGGGTGGTGGGTGGGAGGGGTGGGACGCCGAGGCGGGCGACGCGCGGGAGGACGACGGGGCGGGCCAGGCCGGCAAGGGCAAGGGCAAGGGCAAGGGCAAGAAGGGCGGGCGCAAGGGCTCGGCCAGCCCCGCCAAGGGCGCGTCGAAGGGCAAGGCCAAGGGGCGCAGGAGCTCGGCCGCCGTCGACGAGGAGAACGAGGAGGACGACGGCGACTTCGACATGCTCGCCTCGGCGAGCCCGGGCAGGACCGGCACGCGCCGCAGCTCGCGCTCGGCGTCGCCAAGGCGCGACCGCTCGTCGACTATCGACGTCGACGGCGACGACGAGCAGGCGGCCGCGCACGACGAGGGCGACAGCCGGCGCACCGGGACGGCGTCGTCGGGCGAGTCGTACTGGGACGTCGAGTCGCGCCTCGCCTCGACCGAGGCGTCACTTCGCGACCTGAGCGACGCCCTCCTCGCCCTGCGCCTCGCCCTCGAGATCCTCACCCTCCCGGGCGTGGCCCTCCCCAAGCACCTCTTCTCGTCCGAGTACCTCCTCGGCGTCGTCTCGTCCCTCCGGCGCGCCCTCGACGCGTGCCTCGTCCCCATCCTCGAAGCACCGGCGACGAGTCCGCTCGCCGAGCTCGCTACATCGCGCGCGAGGGACAAGGTCGCCGAGGTGACGGACGCGCTCGTCGCCGGAACGCAGGCCCTCGCCGCGCTCGTCAAGGCCGAGGACCTCGGCGACGAGCTCGTCATCGCGCTCGCCTACCTGTCGCTCGAGCCGTTCTTCCACGAGGCGCCGCTCGCGACGACCGCCGCCGCACGGGCCGCCGCCGCGAGGGACCTGTCGCCCGCCGTCAACGCCGTCAAGGGCCTGCGCCTCGCGAGCCTCGCCGTCGTCCAAGCCGTCTACGCACGCTACGCCGATCAGCGTGCATGGATCGTCGAGGAGGTCTTGAGCAACCTGGGCAAGGCCGAGAGCGCGACGGGGACGGCGGTGGCGAAAAAGGCGGCCCGCAGGGGCATCCGGTCCGTCCCTCCTTCCCTCCTTCTACTTTCCGCAGCATATCGACGTCGACCTGACACTCTGCGCCCGTCACGCCGCAGAATCCGAACCGGCGCGACCATCCAGACCGTCTCGGCGCTCCTCCTCCACCTCGTCCAGACGTGCCCGGCCGACCTCGCGTCGCAGATCCGCAAGAAGCTCGCCAAGTCGACCTCGACCGACGGCGGCGTCACGACTGGCGGCGCAGACGTCGACATGGACGACGACCTCGGACTCGGGACGAGGGTGCTCGGCCCGGCCGAGACCCAGGGGGAGGGCGAGGGCGAGGGGGACATTCTTGAGCGTCCGAATGTGTGCTCCCTCTCTTTCTCCTTCTCTATGAGTCGTACTGACCCGGTTCGTCACAGTCATCGATCCAGAAGCTGCTGAGCGGCGCTCTCGACATGTCGAACAAGGCGGCGAGGACGATCATCGGCTTTCTTCTTCAACGGTCCGTCCTCAGTCGCTCTCTCCCCTGCGCGCATTCGTCCGCATGTCCTGATGGCTCTATCCTGCAGCGCGGCCAAGGCGGGCAAGACGACGGGCGCGACTGCCGACACCGAGTACCGCGCCGTGTTCGACCACCTCGTCGCCGACCTGCTCGCGACGCTGCACCTCGCCGAGTGGCCCGGCGCCGAGGTCCTTCTCACCGTCCTTTGTCGATCCATGGTGCGTCCAGACCGTCTCGCCGTCGTCGGTCCGACCGCGCGCTCACTGTCTCTACCAAGCAGATGGCGACGCTCGCCGACTCGAAGAGCACGCACGAGAGCAACTCGCTCAAAACCATCGCGCTCGAGCACATTGGCGTCATCGCTGCCCGCATCCGCAATGACCTGTCGGTGCCAACGACCGGCCTCAAGAGCTTGCGCGAGGTGCGTCCCTCGTTCCCTTTTCTCCCCTTCTTCTCGCGCGGCGCACTGACGAGGACCACAGGCAGCGATCGAGGGCGATGACGACACGCTCGAGAAGACCATCCTTGCGCACAAGTCGGTCGTCGAGCACGTCGTCAAGGTCGAGAACGTCCCTGGGAGCGCCGAGGTGAGTCGCCCGTCGCCCGCCCGAACCTCAACGGCGCGCCCGACTGACCCGGACCCTCTACTCCTGCAGGGCGCCGCCAGCTTCTCGCGCGCACAACTCGCGCTCGACGCGCTCCAAGCGTTGCCGCACTCGGGCGCGGCGCCGGCTGTGCATGATCGCCTCGTCGCGCTCGTCGGCGAGGTCTGGAACGACGACCAGGTCGAGGACGTGTTCGGCCCAAGGTGCGCCCAGCTCTCTCTCTTTCCTTGTCTCCTCCAGCATCCTCGGCCTGACGCCCTCACTCTCGACAGCGCCGACGACTCGCAGCCTCGCGTCGATGCTCTCGCCCTCGAGCTCTGGCGCTTCTCGACGCTCGCCAACCTGTACCAGCCCATCCTCACCCGTATCGTCGACGCGTCCGAGTCGGCCCAGATGGGCCAACGCGCCAAAGCTCTTCGAGCCATCAGCCTCGTCGTCGCGCAGGACCCGGACCTCTTCAACCAGGACAACATCCGCCGCAGCATCGAGAACCGCATGCTCGACAGCTCCCCGATGGTTCGCGACGCGTCTATCGAGCTCGTCGGCAAGTACGTCGTCACGCGGCCCGACCTCGCCGTGCAGTACCTCCCTCGCCTCGGCGAGCGCATCTCGGACACGGGCCTCGGCGTCCGGCGCAGGGTGATCAAGCTCTTGCGCGTGCTGTACCACGTCGTCGCGAGCGAGGAGCACAAGGTCGACATCTCGCGCAAGCTCGTGTACCGTGTGCTCGACGAGGACGACGGCATCAAGGTGCGTCCACACCGCCCTCTTCCCTCTCCTTGTTCTCCTTCCGCCCAGACCGCCTCGTCTGACGGTCGGCTCTTCCTACAGGACCTTGCCATCGATGCGCTTGAGGACATCTGGTTCAGCACGCCGTCCAAGAACGTCGCCAAGGACTCGATCGACTCGCTCGCTCAGCTCGCGAGCATCATCACGCAGACGGCGGGCGTCTTCAAGGACCGTCCGCCGCCGGTGGACGAGGCGCTTCGCCTCATCATGTCCAAGCACGCCGAGAAGGGTACCGAGCCGCCGCTCGAGCGCCTCAAGCTCGTCATGGAGAGCCTCATCGACGGCCTCGTCGAGGACGAGCGCAACATGGTGCGCCCGCAGTCATCTTCTCCTATCGCCTTCCTCCTGCCCATCCTGACTCTCTCACGTCTGCAGGACGTCGTCGCCGGCATCAAGACCGTCTTCCTGCTCAGCTCGGTCGACCCCAACCTCTTGTCGACCGCCAAGGCGACCCTGCTCCTCCCGTTCCTCAAGAGCGCCGCCACGCCCGACGAGCAGATCATCAGCGACTACCTCTTGCGCATCTTTCGCGCCGCCGTCGTCGCCATGCCCAAGTCGGCGACCAAGTTCGGCCGGGACCTCCAGGCCGCGCTCATGCCCATGCTGAACAAGCCGACGCACAACGTGTCGGTGCGTCTCTGCCTCTCCTCGTCGTCGCTCAAGAGTTCCCTGACTGACAGCTGCGTCGCCCCACAGATCCTGCAGGGCGTCGTCGCCTGTTTCTGCGCCGTCGTCCACGGGCAGACGCAGGACTTTGCGACGATGATCCGCGCCTTCGTCGCGAGCCTCAGTGCGCCCCCTCTCTCTCTCCTGCCCTCGGCAACTTCTCGCGCCCTTCCTGACGCCGAACCTCGTTCTGCAGAGCGCCTGCAGCAGGAGGCGCACAAGCTCGTGCACCCCGAGACGGCCCAGACGGTCCAGTTGCGCACGCTCCCGGTCTTGTGCTACATGGCGGCCCTCCTGTGCGAGCACGGCGAATTTGACCGGGTGCGCGAGGAGCACGCCGGTGCGTCTCGCCTGTCCTCCCTGCGCACGCCCGTCGTCGTTCCTGACCCGGGCGACCCGCCCACAGGCATCAAGTCGAGCATCGACGAGCTCACGCCCAACTCGGTCGCCGAGCTCACCTACGGCACCCTCATCCGCGTCTACAACCTGTCGCTGCCGGCCCAGATCAAGTCGACCGTCTTGACGAGCCTCGGCTTCGTCTACCGCGCCCACCCGACCCTCATGCTCCACCAGGCCTCGACGGCCATCATCGACGCCATTTTCGAGTCGCCGGCGCCGCAGATGCACCACCAGATCCTGCGCATCATCCAGGACTTTCTCGCCAGCCAAGAGCGCGCCGTCGCCGTCGCCGCCGCGCTGCCGGTCGACAAGAAGCGCAAAAAGGCGATCAACGGCGTCAAGATGGAGGAGCTCGTCGGCAACGTCGAGGGCTTTGCCGACTCGGGGTGCGTCCACTCGTTTCTTCTCGTCTGCTCGTTCGAGCCCCGTCACCGACCATCGCCTCTTTGTCGCAGCGTCGCGAGCGCCATCTCGCAGCGGTACCTCAAGCGCATCATCGCCTCGGCGCTCTCGCCAAACCCGAGCCTGCAACGCCTCGGCCTCGACCTCCTCAACACGATCGCCCGCTCGGGCTTCTCGCACCCGATCACGCTCGCCCCGACCCTTGTCGCCCTCACCGCCTCAGGCGACGCCGCGCTCGCCAACAAGGCGTACGCCACCCTCGCCATCCTGCACCAGAAGCACGCCTCGCTCCTCGTGACGCGGTTCCTCGAGCCGGCGAGGGCGGCGCACACGTTCGCCGTCTCGGCGGTCGGTGACGGCGAGACGCTGCGCGGTTACCGGGGCGATCCGCCCGAGTCGCTCCTCGGCCGGTGGTACAGGTGCGCCCCCTCTCTCTCCTCGGTTCCTCTCGTCTCGAGTGGACCCTCCTGACATACTTGCCCCGGCAGCCTGCTGCACAAGGAGAAGCGCCAAGTCCAGCTCGACTTCCTCAAGACGCTCTCCCGCTCGTTCGAGCTCGAGATTGGTTCGCCGTGCTCCTCGGTCCGTCTCTCTTTCACTCTCTCTCTCTCATTGCGCGTCACCGAGTACGGCCCTGACACTGCTCGACCTTGTACATGCGCAGGTCGACGTTTCGTTCTTCCGCTTCCTCGCCGAGGCGCTCTCGACCTTCGACTTCAAGCGCACCGAGGAGCCTCTCCTCGTCGTCGCCCTCCTCAACTCGGCCCTCGCCGTTTCGGGCATGCAGGTCCTTCATGCGCTCGAGCAGGACCTCGAGGGCGGCGGCGGGTTGATGGCGACCGCGAGCCCGTCCAAGAAGGTGCGCCTTTACCCTCTCCCTCCCCTCGTCTCGCCCCCTCGCTCATATTGCGCCTGTGTCCGCCCAGCTTCTCTTCAACGATGCCGCCATTGTCGACGCCGAGCGTGCGCCCTCGCCCGACCTCGCGCGTCAGTCGCTCGTGCTCGGCCTCGCGCTCCTCTTGCGCGACCACCTCAAGCGGCTCTACAGCCTGTCGGACGCCAAGCTCGCCAAGTACGTCGTCGGCAAGAAGAGCGCTATGGGCGACAAGGTGCGCTCCCTCTCTCTCTCTCTCTCCCTCTCTCGCACTCGTCGATCATCCCTGACTCGGACCTTCTCGCCCGCAGGCCGCGAGCCGACACGCCGACGCGCCGGTCGCGCTCGGTTCAGACGGTTACGGGCGCATGCCTCTCGTGCTCGTGCACCCAGAGATGAACGGCGAGGACGAGCGGTGCGGCCAGCGGGCGACGGTCCGTCCCTTCTTCCTCTCGAGGTTCGTCCCCTGGTGCCCAGCCTGACCTCGATTGCCCTCGCCCGCGCAGTTCATGCGCCTCGTCGCCGAGGACGGCACGATCGCGGCCATGGAAGAGCTCGAGGCCGACACGGGCGACGATGCATGATGAACGGCCCCGAGCGGCTCGAGCTGTCGTTCAGCCTCGACGACGACCCGCACCTGCCGTTCGCGACCGTCTGCCCTCCCTCCCTCGTCCCGCCTCGGCCCCGCCGTCATCCTCGCCCTCGCTTATACCCTCTGTCGTCGATACCATCGTTCCCCTGTCGAGCGCGGTCGTCGCCGAGAAGGAGGGCAGCGCCGTGGGCTCTGTTGCCGTCGCTTGTCCCCACTTTTCGTCGTTCCCCTTTGCAATTCCCCTTGCTCTCAGACGTCTCTCTCTCTCTCTGTGTGTGTGTCTGCAACGCGTGCCTGATGTCCGGACGACCCACTCTCGCCGAGAAGGAGAGCTGGGGAGACAGTGGGTCCGAGAGGCGAGGGAAGGATCTTGCGAGCTCGGAGAGAAGGTGATCTGCCCCGTCGGCAAGCAAGGCGGGGGAAAGAGGGCCCGCCTGATCGAGATGTGGACGTGCGAGGGCTCATGCGCAGAAGGACGCCCGGGCGCAAGGGCCGCGCCCGTTGTCGCTCCCTCCGCAGCAGGTTTCCGCGCTAGCGAGGGTTGCTGAGGCACACGAGGCCTCAGCGCGTGACGACCGACGTGCAGCGAGCGAACGTCGACGGCGAGAGAGAGAGAGAGAGAGAGAGAGAGCGTGCACGGACCGCTCTGCGCGGAGCAGCACTTTCGTCGCCGACCGAGCTCTCTTTGACGGACGCGCGCTCAGGAGCGTGGCGGCGGTGGAGAGCGTGTGAATGACAGCCGGAGAGGCGGTGCAATCGAATCCGCGAGGCGCAGCGGTGAGAAGGCCGAATCTGAGGCTGTTCTGCTTGCATCTGAGACGCCTTTGCCGCTCGGGTGCCTGACGGCGCCGGACGGTTGTGTGTGGAGGAGGCGGTGCTTGTGGACGTGCAGGGCGGTGCGAGCGAGAGGGCGGCGAGGGCAGCAAGCTCGCACAAGGTGGAGCGGCGGTCCGTGAGCCGGAGCCTCCCTCTCTTCTCTGGAAGGCGCGTCTACTTCTGCCAGAGCGAGCCCGCGAAGATGCGCATTCGCCGTGCCGCGGTGCATCTCGCCCAGTCGGGCAAGGTCAGCGTTGGCGAGGGTTCCTCGTGGGACGAAGCCTCCGACGCGGCGACGGCCGACACAGCTTGGTCGAGTACAGCTCTCGTCCTCGACGACCTCGCGCGGTGGTCGGGCTCGGCACCTCGTCGCCCGTACTCGCCGTACCGCCCTCAGCCCGTCTTGACGGCCAACCCGGCCGCGCTCTCGTCGACGCCCGCCGACGACCCCGCACCTTCTCCGCCCGGCGCTCGCACGGCCACGGCCTCGCCCGCCAGCATCCACGAGTGGGCGCCGGTCGACGACATGGCCCAGCACCGGGCGGGCCACTACGACCCGCCAGGCGTCCCGCACCCGCTCCAGCTCGCCGCGCACCGCCAGTCGTTGCCCTCGATCGACCTCGGCCGCGACCACCACCACCACTTCGAGCAGCAGCAGCAGCAGCAGCAGCGCGACTACGACGAGCAGCGCAGGCGCATGAGCATGTCGGCCCTGTCGCACGGCCACCCGGGCGACGAGTACGCCCACCACCTCGACGACTCGCCCCAGTTTGCGCCCTCGTCGGCGCCCGCAGCAGGTGACGGCGGCGGCGGGTACGACGCTCAAGGCGCGCACGAGCACTACGGCGACGACCAAGGCTATGTGAGTCGCGCGCCCTCCATTGTTTGGCCCCCTCCCCTCTCCCCGCAGTGCGAGGGCTGACCAGCCCCCTCGGTTCCGCCCAGGCATCCGCGTCGCACTTTGCGCCGCACCCGGCCTACTCGTCGTCGTCGTCGTCGCAAGGCCAGTACGGCCGCCCCTACCCGCACGCCCCGTACGACCACCACTCGCCGTTGGCGGCCGCCGCCCCTCGCTCGGCCGGGAGCCGTCCCTCGTCGCGCTACGGCGCCAACATGTCCCCGAACGGCTACGATGCGGCACCTCCACCTCCTCTGCAGCACCCGGCGTACCACCCGCGGTCGTCGTCGTTCTCGCAGCCGCTCCCGCCCATGTCGCTCGTCCCCGAGGGCGCCCACTCGTCGGCCACGTTCTGCTACTCGCCGCAGACGGGCCCGCTCCCGTCCATCTCGCAGCAGCAGCAGCAACAGCAGCAGCAGGTTTATCAGCACCAGCAGCAGCAGCACGAGCGCCGGCCGAGCTACCAGGACGCGCCCGACCCTTACCCGGCCGACGAGTCGTTCGCCTACGCTCCCCCGCCGGTCGACCACAACTCGGCGCCCTACCACGACGGCGGCTACGCGCACAACCCGACCTTTTCCCACCCGGCCTATGCGCGCGCCTCGACCGCGACGCAGCCCGGCCCGCCCTCCCTCAGCATGAACACCTCGTTCGCCCGCCCGTCGACCTCGCACGCCGCGCCCATGTCGTCGACGCCCGCCTCGGCCAACACGCTTCATGCGTCGCCGTGGTCGGGCCCGCCGCCGCCGTCGAGCCTGTCGCTCGGCGCCCTCGCGCAGCGCCGCCGCAGCGCGACCGACGCCCTGCAGCAGGGCTACTACAGCCGGCGCCTTAGCCACGAGGAGGAGGAGCGCCGCCGCGCGAGCCTCGGCGGCGCCCTGAGCCGCAGCCTGGGCCCGAGCAGCAGCGCCGGCAGCCTCGGGCGCCGCAGCGTCGACTACGCCGCGAGCGGGCTCGTCGGCCCGGCGAGCGCAGGCCAGTCGCCCGAGGTCCATGGCGACCGCCAGCTCGGCCCGGCGCCGATCCCGCTCTCGTCCAAGCATACTCTGCCGCAGCGTCAGAACTCTGGCGGCGGCTCGGCGGCGTCGGCGTCGGCGGCGAGGAGCCCGCAGCTTCGGTTCGCGCCGCCTCCTCCCGCCGGGCCTGGCCCGTCCTCTGCGCGCGAGCGCCGAGCCTCGGGCGATCGCGAGGGTGCCGTCCCGCGAGTCGTCGAAGAGGATGAGGGCGACGACGAGCTGGTCGAGGACGAGCTCGACAGCCCTCGGTCGACGTCGGGCGGGCGCACAAGCCGCGCCGCGAGCGCCGGCTCGAGGAGCGAGACGCCGGTCGGCTCGCGGCGGGCGAGCACGACGGGCACGTTTGTCGGAGCAGGAGCGGGAGCGGGAACGGGGAGCAAGAGGAGGAGGTTGAGCGCGGCGATGGTGGGCGACTTTGACGAGGACGGCGACTTTGCCGAGGACGATGGCGGCGGTTCTGGCAAGGGGCGCAGGGAGCCCACGTCCAAGAAGTTTGTGCGTCGGCCTGATTCCCCTCGTCGTCGTCCTCGAGCCGGGCGACTGACCGTGCCCTTTTTCCCGCCCTCGCAGACTTGCCCTCATCCTTCGTGCGGTCGGGCCTTTGCGCGCAACTTCAACCTCATGAGCCACATCAAGAGCCACCAGGGTATCCGCGAGTGTGCGTCGCTGTCGTTCCCCTCCCTGTCTTGCGCCTCGCCGAACCCGTCATTGACCTTGTCCCGGATCGCCTCGCAGTCAAGTGCCCCGAGTGCAACAAGCTCTTCTCGCGCAAGCACGACTGCACCCGTCACTGCATCGCCATCCACCACTACGACAAGGACGGGCAAGCTCCCGTCGGCAAACAGCCGGTCTACGTCGCCCAGGACATCCTCCCCGTCGGCGTCATGGTCGAGCGCGCCAAGGAGCGGCAACGCGCAGCGAGCGACGCCGCCCTGTCGAGCTCGGCGTCGTCGTCGGCCAACAATGCGCCGCTCCTCAGTGGCTCGCGGCCGCTCGGGGCGCGGGTCCCGCTCTTGAGCACGGGTGCCGAGCCGGTCCTCCTCCAGCCGCCGCCGCTCTCGGCCACGACGCCCTCGTCCGCCTCGTCGACCTCGACCCCGTCCCTCCCGACGCCCATCGACGGCCGTCCGCCGATCCCGCTCCACCTCCCGCCGCCGCATCACGCCTTGCAGCACCCGGCGTACCCGCCGCCGCCGCCGCCGGCTCAGCCGCTGTACGCCGCCGACGAGTCGACGCCGAGGGCGGTCGGGCCCGCCTCGCCGCAGATCGGCTTTGCTCCGCCGCCGCCGCCGGTCCGTCGCGCCGTCATGGGCGACGAGCAGTAGGGCGCGCACGTCGCGCTCGAGCCCCGACCCCGCCTTTTTCCTCTCTCCTCCCCTCTCTCCCCTCCCCTCCCTCTTCTTCCCCTCGCCCTTTCTCTGCATCATCATCATCATCGTCATCTATCGTACTTCGCGCGTCGGCAGGTCCCGCCCCGTTTTCGCACCCTCGAAGAGGTGCCTCCCCCAAGTGCCGGTCACCTTTCCCCCGCCCTCTCGCCCGGCTCGTCGACTAGTTCTCGCCTGTCGTCTCTCGTCCTCCCCTGTGTCGCCTTGAGATTACTCGTACCACCTGTTGCTGCATGCCTCCCTTGAGTAGCTTTGTCCCTAGCCTCCTCCCGCACTCGCAATACACGGTCCGCGTGCGCCCTCGGTCGCGTTCCCGAGAGCGAGAGAACATTGTCGTCGTGGCTCGTCCTCCCTCGCTCGACGCAGCTCGCCTCCAGGCCGTCACCGTCCGTCGATTTGGCGCCGTCGCTCCTCCTCGTCGACTTGCGAAGGTCGACTTGAGAAAAGGTCGACTCGCTCGCGCTTCGCTCGATGTCTTGCAGCTGCTCGACGAGCGGCAGTGTCCCTCTCGGTCATTGAGGCAGCGAGAGAGGCGCTCCTGGAAGATCTCGCACGACGTGAACGCGCAGCTCTCAGCGTCGGGTGACGCTGGCTTGCTCGCTTTCCTTGCTCTTGCTCGTGCTTGCCTGCAAGTGGAGCAGGCAAAAGACGCGGCTGAAGAGGCAGCATAAGACGCCTGAGCCTCACTGAACCAGAGATCGGGTCTGAGGCAATCTCGCCGATGTCGCTCGAGAAGGTTCAACAGCTCGTCTGGGTACAACCCATCTATCTACACAAGCTCGTCGTCAAGGTCTGTGTATCTACGTCTCCTCAAAGCACTGACAGTCCTTGGGCTCGAACGCCCTGTCGGGGCACGTCTCGGCGATGCGCTTGTCGTCGCAGTGCAGGAGGAGGGGCCAGCTCCGCTCGAGAGCGTGGCCAAAGGCGGGATTGCTGCAGCGGCGAGGCGTCGAGTCGAGAAGAGACGAAGAAGGAGGCAGGGGAGGGAGAGTACCTGTCAGTACCGGGAAAAAGGGAGGAGAACAAGGAAGGCGAGGGACGCACGACGCTGTCGAGGGCCCGCTCGGGTTGTACTGCTTGTGGATCGGGTCGTCGTCGGGAGCCTGCGAGGTGCGAGAGTCAGTGACTCGATCGAGAGCGAGGGGCACGAAGGGAGGAGAGAAAGAGAGCGGGAGAGGACGGACCTCGATCATGCGCACGAGCCTCTCGTACACCTTTAGCTCGTTCTTGAGCAAGGTCCTCCTGCTCGCCGCAAACTGGCCGGCCCACGTGCTCAGGACCCGGTCCTCCTCGTTGCCCTCGGTGCACGGCCGCCCCTTGACCATCTCGAAGATGTCGCGGATCCCGCCCATCTGCGTGCGCACCTCGCTGTCGAGCCCGCACAGGTTGGTCTGGTACGGCCCGAGCGAGACGAACGCCGTGCGGGTCGACAGGGTGCGGCGCAGGCGGGGCGCGCCGACCCAGTCCCACGCGAGGTGCTCCTGGAGGAACAGGGTCGTGTCGGCGAGCGGTCGAGCGCCGCCGAGTCCGAGCCGACCGAGCCCGGGGACCCAGGACGCCGCGCCCGACGACCTCGGCGACGACGACGACGGCGTCGACGCGTTGTAGTGCGCGACGATGTGCTCGAGGTAGGTGCCGCCCTCGCGCCCGACGTTGGGCAGGCGGACGACCTCGTCCCTGCCCCGGCGCAGCGCGCCGCTCAAGCCGCCCCACAGCGCCTCGTCGCTCCAGTTACCCTTCTCGTACAGGTACACGCGGACACGCGACAGGCGTGCGAGAGGCGCCTCGCGCACGGCGGCGACGTGGTGGGCGAGGGTCGAGGGAGGGAGCGAGTGGTGCGCGACGACGATGTCGAGGGTCGGCGAGGGGGCGAGGCCGAGGAAGGAGGCGCAGAGAAGGGACAGGGAGGCGGGGAGGACCGCGAGGAGGCGCGGCGAGGGTGCGCGAGAGCGTGACGAGGGGACCTTGGACGATGGGGACGAGGCGAGCGGGTCGTACGCCGCGCCGTGTCCCGGCTCGAGGTCGAGCGAGACGCCGCCGAGCGTCGTCGGAACGAGCTGACTCGCGGCGCCGGCGGCGAACAGGATGAACAGGACGACTCGGAACGCGGCCGTGTCGGCGTTCTGCCACCCGATCCAGGCGACGAGCGCGAGGATGAGCGCGTTCGCCGCCGAGTAGACGGCGGTCGCCGTGGACAAGTCGAGCGCGTTGAGGTGGAGGGCGAGGGCAGACGCTGTCGACGCGAGGAGGGCGAGGATCGGCCACGCGACGAGGTAGCCCGCCAGGGTGGCCTGCGAGTAGGCGGCGTACGGCTCATGCAGGTCGAGCGGGTACAGGGCGACGTAGGCGACGATGTGAAGAACGATTGCGCGCTGCGACAAAGGTGTGAGCGGGTGTGGCACAATACGAAGAGAGCGAGATGTGGACGCACCAGGCTCGAGTCGCGCACCGCCTCGACCGCCTCATCCACCCGGCCGCTCGCCTCGTCCACCTCCTGCCGCGCGAGCCACTGCCGCATCGTTTCGGCGCCGACGCTGACGAGGGCGAGGAACAGGCCCTCGGCGTTGAGGTCGGAGCGCCAGGTCCACGCACTCGCGAACGAGGCGACGGCGACGGCCGCGTACAGGCGAGTTGTGCGGGGCGGGTCGGTCGCGGGCGTTGCAGGAAGAACGAGGAAGAGGAGGGGAATGAAGAGCTGCGGGCCGAGAGAGAGTCAGCTCGGTACGGGAGGGAGGTCTCGAGGGGGGAGAGGAGGGGGGACGCACGTCGGTGCTTGCCCACACCCAGACCGGGTTCAGCCGACTTGCGGCCACCTGCGAGAACGTGCGCACGACCTCGCACGCGGCGATGGCCCAACTGCGCGTGCTGCGCGAGCCAGTGTTGACGAAGGGCGAGCCGGCGGACGGCGACGAGAGGTGGACCCAGACGGCGGCGGCGACGGCGCGCAGAGCGACAGGAACGAGGGCGAGGCCGAGAAGACGCGTAGTGGCATGGCGGCTGATGCGGCTCAGGGCGTAGTGGTGCGCGCCGACGAGGATGAAAGACGAGGCCGCGGCGATGCGCCCGATCGAGTCGGTTGACGGCATGCGCCAGTCCTGCGGGTGTGCGGCTCTGGTCAGGCGGGCACAGAGGGGAAGGGTCGCAACAGGACGCACCCTGCTGGCCATCCGAGAGCGGCGAGCGAGACGAGCGACGAGAGAACGTGAGCCGTACCAGCGCGCGGCGGGCGCGACGCGGGGGCGACCTGAGTTGGCAGTTTTGGCTCGTCCGCGCACAGCCCAGATTAAGCTTTGTCGATCAATCGGTATCCACGAGTTCGAGCTTGCGGCCAACAGAAGTGCTCGTTCTCAGATGCGAAGGCGTGCAGCTCTGTGCCGCTCTGGCTCACGCAAGTTGGCTCTCGAGGGCGGCGAGAAAAAGGCACGTCTGTGGCGAGAAGGACGAGAAGCGGGGGAGGACCCGGGGTCGGGGTCGGTCCGCGCGAGCGAACGACGACGAACGAGGAGGCTGCCTGTTTTCGAGGACCGTCTCCTGCGCCACCACTCGCTCTGCCTGGGTGCTGCACTGCTCGACCCGCGTGCGATCTCGCCACCGCCGACTCGACAGCCCTCGAGCGCGCCTCGTCCCAAGCCGTCGTCGCCAGCGTTCCTCTCCTCAGCGTCGGCATCCCCGGACGGCTCGTCGGCCTTGCCTCCGTCCACGTCGCCCTCGAGCAGCACCGCGGCCGCCCTCCTTTCGACTGCAGCCACCGTCGGACCTCGACCAGCCCCTCACGCGGCATGCGCCTCGCCCCGTCGCCCTCGTCGAGCTCGTCGTCCAAGCAGCACCGCCCCCTCGCCGAGCTTCCGCTCTCGGTGCTCGCCCTCGTCGCAGCACTCGCCGGCCTTGCCGCCCTCCCCTCTGCGCACGCCGCCGTCCTACCGCGCGTCCAACCACTCGCCAAGGGCGAGTGTCGCCCTGTCCTCAGCGGCCTCGTGCAAGAGATCAAGTCGGCCGTCGACAGTGCGTCCTCCCTTCCCTCGCCCATTGGTGGCCACACACGCTCACCCAGATCCCCCTACGCTCGCAGCCGACATCGTGTGGAAGGCCGTCACGAGCGAGGCCACGGCGCAGGACGGCGTCAAGGCGGTGCGTCCTCTCCTTCCTCTCCCCCTCGGTCGCACGGTCAGAGCCCCGACGAGGACCGCTCGCTGACCCTCGTTCTCGTCGTCCTCGTAGGTCAAGCTCCCTCGGACACGAGCGACGCCGCTACCGCTCGAGTTCGAGTGGTTCGTCGAGCACACGGACGAGCCAGGTGTCTACTCGATTTCGTGCGTCCCTCTTTCCCCCACTCTCCTCTGCCTGGGCAGTACGCCTGACCTCCTCGTTCAACCTGCAGCGCAAGCTCTTCTGTGTCGGCGTGCAGCGAGCTGTCGGTGCCGGGCACGCTCAACCCGTTCGCGCCCAACCCGCAGCGAGCGTTTGCGCCAGGCGACGCCGTCGCCGCAGCGACTGCCTGCTCGCCCGCCCACCTCGTGCGTCTCTCGCTCTCCCCTCCTCGTCGTCCCTCGACTGTTGGCGGCGTGCGCTAAACCTCGCCGGCCTCCCCTTCCCGCCCGCAGTTCCGCCTGTCCTGCACGTCCTGCGACGCTCACGAGGACTCGGCGCAGGGGTGCCTCGTGCAGAGCGTCAGCAAGGGCTCGTGCGTCGAGCTCTTGCCGGCGACAGAGGACGGCGGGCGGCCGCACTTGGGCTGGGGCGAGTGCGTGACGGAGCGCGAGGTGAGCAAGAAGGGGTGGAAGGGCAAGGAGGCGAGGGTGCGTCCGCTCTCTCTTTCTCTCTCCTCCCTGTCGCTGCCGACTATCCTCTCGTCTCGGGGCGACGTACTGACGAGTCACGCGAACAGGATGAGCGTCGGCGTCGGCAGCTGTGGGACATTGTGCCCTCGTGAACCCTCCTCCGCCGTCCTTCCTCCTCTCCCGTCCTCGACCCGACCCGGCGCGGCATCCTCATTCCCCAGCAACCTAGACGATACCCTCGACCTTTGACCACCACAGACACTCTCCCGTCTTCCTCACCGTCGACGAGTGCGCCGACGACATGAGCCTCTTTCCTCCCTGTAGCCATCTCTTAGACGGCTGTGCGCGTTGCGCCGGCCTTATGCCTTGCATCTCTAGACTGCATGAATGAGTGTGTGTCCGCAGAGGAGGCGTGTGCCGGTGCGAGCGAGAGTGGCTGGATTGGAGGTCCGTGAGCGCCGCCTTCCTCGTTCGGCCGTGTTTGAGCTTCGGGTCGTGCGGGCGGTCGATGGGACGAGAGGGGCGAGGCTCGTTGTCGAGAACAAGGCCGTGCGGTGATGGCACTCGGGCACACTCGAGCGAGAGAGATCCGGAGCAGCGACCGACGACAAGGAGGAGGAAGCGGCTCGCTTCTTTCTCGTCGTCCCCCGTCGGCACACGAGCTGTGTCCGCCTTGCTGGCTGCATCTCTGTGCACCAGTTCCAGCTGTACTCGAGCCACACACGCCCCAAGCGTCGCCGACGAGCCAGATCCCGCCCACCGCCAGCTCACCTCGACTCGCCTCCCCGTCCTCGTCGTCCTCATCGCCCCACCGCCTGCGCCCGACGACTGCTGCCATGTCCCGACGCGCGTGAGTCCTGTCTCCCGCCTGCGCCCCCTCGCGCGCCAGACCGTCAGCTGACGAGCTCGTCCACCCCCGTCCCGCCAAACCCCCACAATCCTCGTGCAGCTCGGTCGTGCCGCACAACGTCAACGACGAGGACGTGTCTGTCGCCAATTCGCCAAAGGCGCACGCCACCCCGGCCATCCCGCAGACCCCGCTCATCTCGCAGCTCGACCGCGACCAGCTCGACCACCCGCTCCCGCCTCCTCCAGCCGAGAGCCGCGACTCGCACCACAACCGCGCCTACTCGGCCTCGGCGACCAAGGCGGCCCACAAGCCTGTCCGGCGAGCGAGCCGCGCCGGTCGCTCGAGCTCCGACTGGTCCCGCGACTCGGTCGGCGGCGCCGCCAGCGCACCCGGAGCGCCCGCCGTGCCCGGCCACGCGCACAAGGCGACGAGCAGCAGGAGCTTCCTCCCGACCGGCCTCTTCTCGAGCTTCACGCGCAGCGGCCGCGACGCCAAGGGGCGGTACGAGCCCGTCGGGCCCATGCGCGCGGGCAAGCCGGCGGGCGAGAAGAGCTACGTCGAGCTCGACCTGGACGAGTACGCCGAGGGCCTGCGCCTCACGGTCGACGGCGACGACGACGAGGGCGGGCACGGCAAGGGTCGACAATCGAGCGGCGTGGGCGCCTTTGTGAGCTCCTCCCTGTCCTCCCCCCTTGCCTCCTCGTCCCGAGTCCTCGTGCGGCCACTCGCGCGGTCGATGCTCACCTTCGTCCCGTCCGCGACCACAGTTCGACCAGTTCTACCCGCCGCAAGTGCGGCGCAACCGGCGGCTGTACGAGCGCGTCGCGTTCGTCGGCGTCGCCCTCACGCTCTTCATCCTCCTCGTCACGCGCACGGGCTCGGGCAAGAGCGGCCTCGTCGAGCGCGCCAAGGTCAAGGGTCTCGGTCCCAAGAACGTGCGTCCCTCTTCTCTCAGCCTCGACCGACGAGCACGAGAACTTACCGGGGGCCCGAACACGCGCAGCCGCTCAAGAGCAACATTCCGCTGCACTCGTTCCGCGCCAACCTCAAGGAGGGCGCCGGCTACGTCACGAGTTTCCCTTATGGTGGCCTGAGTGCGTCCTACTCGTTCCACCTCGTCGTCGTCGGCGGCCGACTCTGACCTCGTTCGCCCTCCCTCCCTCGCGCAGCCAACCAGCTCATCGAGCTCTTCAAGCTCGTACATGTCGCACAGCGTCTTGACCGGGCAGCTATCCTGTGCGTCCTCGCCCTCTCGTATCGAGGCGGCGGCGGACGAGTTACTGACCTCGCTCCCTCGGCGCACCCTCGCAGGACTGAGCTCAAGGCGACACATTCCGAGGGCGGCGACGTGCCCTTGTCCGACTTCTTCGACCTCGCCCCGTTCGCCTACTACGCCAACGTGTCGATGGTCCAATGGCACGACGTCAAGATCCCCGACGTGACGGGCACCCAGTCCGAGTCGCTGTCGTGCTGGGGCTGGGGCGACGAGCGCCCGCTCGAGCGGTACAACGTCAAGACGCACTTTTGGCCGTTCCCGGGCCAGCTCCAGATCCCGTCGTCGATCGAGACGTCCATCACGTTCCCGGGCATCGAGGTCCTCGCGTCGCAGGACAACTCGCCGTGGCTGCGCGACACGGTCGAGAAGAAGTACGGCTCGCTCGACAAGGCGCCGGCGTTCCCCGACCAGCAGCTCCTGTGTTTCGAGAACCTGTTCTACGTCCAGAACGTCAAGTTTGTCAAGGGCACGCCCGACACGACCTACGCCATCGAGGAGCTGCGCCCCGACGGGCCCGTGTGGGACAAGGTCGGCAAGTTCCTCCGCTTCAACGACCACGTCAACCACGTCGTCGACGAGTTCCTCGGCGCCCTCCTCGGCTCGCGCCGCCGCAAGTACGTCGCCGTGCACTTACGCCAGGGCGACTTTGTCGCGCTCGGGCGCGCCGCGAGGGCGAGCCAGGAGGTCGCAGAGCTGTACGCCGAGGGCGTCCGCAAGGTCCAGGAGCAGCTCAAGAAGCGCCGAGGTGCGAGCAAGAAGGACCTGCCCGTCCTCTTTGCGACCGACTCGGACGACCCCGTTTTCATCAACCGCCTGACCCGCATGGGCTGGATCTATGTGCGTCTGCCCTCTCTCTCCTTCTCTCTCCTTCTCTCTCCTCCTCTCTCGTCGAGTCAGGCGTCGTGCACGACCTGACGCCCGTCTGTCGATTCGTGCGCAGCTCGACCATCGCGAGTTTGCGAGCGCGAGCCGGTACGGCGGTTGGTGGCCCGGCATCCTCGACAGCGCCGTCCTCAGTCGGGCTCAGGGCTTTGTCGGGTGCGTCCCTTCTCTCTCTCTCCCTCCTTTCGCCCTCTCGTCGACGAACCTGCCGTGCCGGGCGGACCGACACTGACTCTCGCGAGGAAACAGGACCAAGATGAGCACGTTCAGCTACGTCGCCGCGCGCCGAGTCGAGTCGTGGCAGGGCGGTCCGACGCTCATCGTTGGCTGAGCGACGAGCGGCATGCGCGAGGGCGGGACAAGGCCGCCGAGCGCGGGCGAGCGAGAGGGCCGGCAGGGGCGTCTCTCGCACGTGGCCGTGGCGGGCCCTCGACGATGACGGCGAGCCGTAGAATTTGTCTCTATCGTTATAGCAGCGCCATTCATCCCTCCTGTCGACGCGACGTCATCGCTGCCCGTTCGCGAGAGCTACACGGCGAGGCTATCGAGGCGAGGCAACTTGAGAAGGTCAAGCTCTCCGAGCACGAGTCGGCGGTTCCTTTCCTTGCGACTCTGCGCTACCACTCTCGTCGCGGCGAGACGGCGTGACTGCTCGGGAACGAGGCGAGAGACCGGCGTTGCAAGACTGAGAGAAGACGCTCGAGGGACAGAAGAACGCTAGTACCGCTGGCCAAAGTAGAGGTGCAGCCGACGCAAGGAGCCCTCGCTCTGGCAGTGCCCGCCGGCCTCACCGTCGACATGCGACAAGCTGTGCTCGCCTGTCGCCCTCGAGGCACCGCGACGACCACGCTGGGCGAGCCCTGCGCGCTGATCGCAACTCGTGCGTGAGCGAGTCGTCCGAGTCCGTCGCTCGGCGGGAGCGAGAGGAGAGAGCGCACCAAGCCTCTGAGGACCGTGAGAGTGAGGGTGTGGATGCTTTGACAATCGGCAGCTGCGACCTGGCCCTCCACTGCGCTCGCCGAAACGTCGTCAGCAGCGTCTCGCGAGCTTTTTGGCTTGCGTCGTCTCGGGCGACCTCGAAAGGCGTATAGGAAGTGGACAACTCACTGTCTTCGACTGTTTGCACAGTCAATTGTCAGTGTCGCGACTGCGAGACGAGGAGGAAGGTCTGCAACGCACTGTCTTTGAGAATGTCCGCGCGCGGCTGCGTGCGGCCCTCGTGCTCGGCCGCATTGTACACCCTCACAAGCTGCACGGGAGACGAGGTCAGCTACTGGTCCAGCGAGACGAAAAGCGGCGGCGAGGGACGCACCGCTGCCCGCATGAGCGCCTTGTACGCGTCGGTCACCGGGCTCGGCGGATGCTCCGCTACTGCGAGACGCCTTCTGAGGGTAAGCGAGAGGCACGGTTGACCTTGCGAGAGTAAAGAGAAAGAGACTGCTCACGGCGAAGGTCTGCGTGGGGAGCAAAAGGTCGTCAGTCGAGCTCGAATTGAGCCGAAAGGAACGGTGGGCGGCGACGCACATTCGAGCAGGTCTTCGACATCTACAGGCGTGCGGAGACCTGCCATCGTCGAGCCGGCGCGAGAGGTGCAGGAGCAAGGGTGTGGAAGCCGACGAGCTGCGAGCCAGCGCACCGCGGACTTTCCGGCGGACAAAGCGGGAGAGGGGCTCGAGCCCAGCTCGTGTGGTGCATGCGAGCAGGCCGACCGACGCTCGGTCAGTTTGTCGGCATTAGGGTCGGCAGCCGCGCCTCGGGCGACCCGGACACGCTCGGGCGGCTTGCGGTCGGACCTCTTGCGGCCTCACCTCGAGGGCCGGCCAGGTCGCTCTCAGAACGGGGCAAGCTCTCGAGCAGACGCACAAGGCACTGAAATAATTCTATGACACGTCGGCGGACTCTACAACTCGACCTCGTTCGCCCACTCGAAACCCTCGACGCCGACGCCGGCGAGGCAGTTCCTCGCGGCGTCCCTGCTCATGCCGCTCCGCGCTTGCACCGTCGCGCTGCCAATGTGCGGCAAGACGACGCACTTGTGCTCCTTGACGAGCGGGTGGTCGGCGCCAATGTTGGGCTCGCCCGTGACGACGTCGAGTCCGGCGCCGGCGATGCGGCCTTCTTGCAGGGCGGCGAGAAGCGCATCGCTGTCGACGACGGGGCCTCGTGCCGTGTTGATGACGTACGCAGTCGGCTTCATCTTGGCGAGGAAGTCGGCGCCGACGATGCCCTGGGTCGCCGACGTGAGCGGGCAGCACAGGACGAGGAAGTCGCTCTCCCGCGCGAGCTCGTCGTACGACTCGGCGGGCCGGATCTCGACGCCGTGGAACTCGGCCGTCTTGATCGTGTCGAAGTGGTCCTTTTCGGACGTGAGGGCGACGCCGGGCTTGGACGTCGAGTACAGGACGCGCGAGATGTCGAACCCGAGCAGGCGCTTGAGCGTGAGCTGGCCGATCTTGCCAAAGCCGAGGACGCCGACGGTCGACTATACGGACAGAGTACGCTGTCAGCTAGAGTGTCCCGGCGGACGAAGCCAAAGGAGAAGAGAGGTAAGGGCGAGAGGCTGGACGCACCCCTTTCAAGCTCTGCCCGCAGAGCAGCAACGGGTTCCACGGCATGCTCGGCCACTTGCCGTCGACGACAGCTCGAACACCCTGCGCAATAGGGACAGAAAGGCGAGTCAGTCGAGTCGCACTGGGCGGGAAAGAGTACGAGAAAGGCACGACGCACCTCTCCTGCGCGCCGGGACGCCATCAAGACGAGCATGGCGCCGACGTCGGCTGTCGCTGCGGTGAGCGCATCGGGAGCTGTCGAAGGATACGGTGATCAGTGTCCGGTAGGTGTATGAGAGGGTGAGGGAGAGCTGGACGCACTCGACCCGAGGCGGACCCCTCGCTTCTTGAGGGCGGCGGTCTGGACGTGGTCGAAGCCGGCGCTCATGGTCGACACGACCTTGAGGGACGGTCCAGCTGTAGAGGCACCGGCGCGCGCGATCAGCTATTGACCATCGCCGAGGGCAAGGACGAACGCGAGAACGAGGAAGGGAGGGGGAGGAGGAGGACGAACCGGCGTCGAGGAGCTCGTCGTCAATCTGCGAGTCGAGGGGGAGGCAGATTGTCAGGGGTGCTCGTCGGGGAACCTGGAAGCTCCCTGGAGGGCAAAAAAAAGCACCTTCTCGCCGTTGTGCATGCAGACGAGGCCCTCGGTGCCGCCCTTGCGTAGCTCGTCGAGGAGCCACTGGCGGTCGACGGGCTTGTCCTGGGTCCAGCGCACGAGCTCAATCTTGCCCGCACGCTCTGCCACCTCGAGGATGGCGCCGCCCTCGAGGTGGGCGGGGTCGAGAGGGCGGGTGAGGATGATCCGGGGAGCTGCGGCGAGGGGTTCGATGACGACGGGCATGGCGGGTCAGGATGCGGGCGAGGTGGTGGCAAGAGTGAAGAGAGAGCGAGTGCGCAGCTCACCAGGCATGTCGAGCTGAGGATGGGGGAGGACGACGAGGTGGGCGGCAGGACGAGGCGGAAGCGGGCCGGTCGCGCCGCCGCCCAGGTGGGGAAGCGACGTGCGAGATGCGAGTGGGCGCAGTGAGCGGCACAGGCGCACTGCCAGCACCCTGCGCCTCGTCAGTTGAGCTCCGTCAAACCGGCGGTCCACGGCGAGCGCGCGCTCTGGCCGCTTCCGACCGTTCGGACCTCGTCGAGTCGCTTTCCGGCCGCGACGCTGTCGCTCTCGGCTCGAGACTCTCTCCTCGAGACTCTCTCCTCGAGACTCTCTCCTCGAAGCCGTCGTGCCCTGTGCGACAGGCACCGCTTTGCCGAGCAAGGCCCGCTGTCGCCGTCCGTGCGCTCTTGCAACTCGAGCTCGCGCAGACGCACTCGCTTGCTGCGCCGAGGACCAGCGCGCCTGAGCTGCTGCTGCTGCTCCTCAGTCACCAGCTGATGCTCTCTCTGCTTTGAGAAGCAAGGACGGGAAAGACGCAGAACAGCGGGAGAGAGAATCGGCGCCTCGCAGACGCAGAACCGCCGTCTTTTCGAGCGCGCGAGCCGGCTCGCAGACGAGCGAGGACGCGCCCGTGTCCCGCTCTAGTCGTCGACGACGTGCGCGACAAGCGGAGGGCAACGATCAGCAGAGGACAGCGACAGAGCCCCTGCTGGCGACCTGCAGCTTCGTCCGCCCCTTCTTCGCCGGACGGCGGGCGACGCTGCGCTCAGCGACGAGCGCAGCACCGGAACCGAACGACGAAAGAGCTCCTCGCAGGTACGAGCGCTCGAAAGGTAGCGATGCTCGTCGAAGCGAGAGCTTGGCACAGGACGACGAGGGCGCTCGGGCCCTGCGCAGCGACGGCTCGCCGCCGGTGCGTCTCGCGCAGGCGGTCGAGGCTGGCGGGCACTCTACGAGCAGCACAGTCCAAGCACGGACTGGCTATCGCGCGCAGTGAGCTCGACCGCGCGTGCTGCGGCCTCGCGCGATGATTTGTTCGCCGCCAGCCTTGGCTGACGGCGGGGTGGGCGCGCGCGTGTGCGAGCTCTTGGTTCGAGGCGGATATGCCCGTCGTCGAGCGAGCGAGATGCGGCAAGCGAGTGAGGCGTGCTCGAGCTCGAACGCGGGCGGAGAGAAGCTGTGGAAGAGAACAAGGTGCGAAGCGAGGAAGCGCGAGCGAGCCCTTGGAGCACCGCCACGTTTGCTCGCCGACGCTGTGATCGGGTCCGAGTGAACCCCACAGAAGCAGGTCTCAGGGCGCTGCGGAATCAAACAACTCAAACGGTTCGAGCGGACGAGCGCCGAGCGAGCGAGCGCCCTCTTCTCGCGGCCTGGCCGCCTCCTCTCGCCCAGTCCCTCGTCGTCGCCCGTCGCTTGCTGTCCCTACCTGTCACCACCACCTCCCGTGCACACCTCCACCCCCGTCCCTCGCCCCACTATGCCGTCCCTCGCCCGCACCGGTCTCGTCGCGCTCGTCGCCGCGGCCAAGCTCGCCCTCGCCCAGGACGACGTCTCGTCCTCGCAGTGTGCGTCCCGCGTCCCCTCGCCTCCCATTCACCTGTGCGTGCAGTGCTGACCTGTCCCTCTCGCACACAGTCTGGCGTGAGTCGTCGCCTCGAGCTCCTCCCGGACGTTCCGCTCCGGTTGTTCGACGACCGTCACTGACTCTCTCTCTCCTCCCGCATCGGGCCCTATCGTGCCACGTCGGCTTGTACAGATGAGCGCTACCACGGTGCGCAGCCTGTTCCCCTGCCCTGTCCAGGCCCGATGAGAGCTGACCGGCGTGAGCCAACACCCCCTCTCCACACTCTGCATGTACAGGCCTCCTCTCGATGGCCGCCTACAACTCGGACCCGACCACCGCCTGCGCCCAGACGTTCGACCAGGCTGCACTGGAGAGCTCGTTCCCTGGCTCGACCGCCGCTCGTGAGTCCCTCGTTCTCGACTCGCTCGCTCCGCCCGTCTTCCCTCGCCTCGCGCAGAGTTGGACCCGGCGCTCACCCTCTCTTCGCCCCCGCCCGCAGCCTGGACCTACGTGCAGGGATTCGGCCCGACCGTCAGCGGTGGCGAGGGCTTCGTCGCCGTCATTCCCGGTACGTCGTGGCCCGCCTTCCTCGAACCGGTCGACCCGCGAGCGAGTGACTGACCTGCCTCGCCATTCGTTGCAGAGATGGACAAGGTTGTCATGGTCTTCAAGGGCATGTTCGGCTGGGAGTCGACCTTGTACGTCCTCTTATCTCGCGCCCGCTCGTGAGCGCGCCCCGTCACTGACTCGTCACCCGGAATCTCCGTCTCGCGCTCGCAGCAACCAGTCGACCGTTGACGGTCCGTCCTCGCCCTTCCTTATCTCATTCTGCGCCGAGTCAGCCACGCCGGACCGGTACTGACGAGCCCCTCCCCAACCCGCCCCGTCCTCCCTCGTCCTCCTGCCCGCCTCGCCCTCTGTCCCGCGCGTTGCTCGATCCGGCACCTGCAGTCGGCCAGCTCTTCTACATCGGCGACAGCTGCCAGAACTGCACGGCGCACGCTGCGGCGACCCAGGCCTACATCGAGGCCAAGGAGATCACCAACGACTGGGAGCTCGTCAAGTACTACGTCAACACGACCGGCGCGCAGTGCGTCCCTGCTCCCCCTCTCTCTCTCGTCTGGCGACGACGGCAATGTCCTGACGCACGTCATTGTCCTGCAGGTGGTCCATCACCGGACACGGCTTCGGCGGCATGGTCGCCCAGGTCGCCTCGCTCGACCTCGGCTGGCGCGGCCTGTCGCACTGGACGCACAACCACGGTGCCGCCCGCGTCTTCAACCCGGCCGCTGCGACGCTCATGAACAGCCTGTACGGCGGCGAGGCGGGCCAGCGTGTCATCGCCAACGACGACCCGGTCCCGACCTACATCCCCGAGTCGGACGACTACACGTTCGCCCTCCAGGGCTTCCACATCCTCGGCAACGGCACGAGCAACGCGACTTACGGCTACGACGTGCGTCCCCTTGTCTCTCTCGTTCTGGGTCGCGCCATCTCGCGAGCGTGCGCGCCCGGACCTCTCTCGCGCACGACCTGACGACCTTGTCCTTCTCTCGCAGTTCACCGTCTGCAACGACCCGAGCGACGAGGCGTGCCACGGTACTGCTAGCGGGTGCGTCCCACGCTCGCCCTCTGCCCATCTGCGAGAGCAGCATGACTGACCTCGCATGCCCTGCAGCCCGATCGACGACCACCTCTCGTACTACACGCCGATCGGCCAGTGCGGCAAGCCCTACTACGGCACCAACGACACTGTCGCCGAGGCGTACCTCGCGACTGCCTCGTCGGCGTGCGTCCCCCCTCTTTCGACTCGCCTCGTGCGCCGTGAGCCTGACCTCCTCCCTCGTCGCGCAGCTTCTACGCGACCGCCACCTCGACTTTCACTACCCCTTCCTCGACTCCTGTTACCTCGACTGTGCGTCGACCCGTCTTTTTCGACCCGCCATAAGCCGAGCGATGCACTGACCTCGTCCCTCCCTCCCTGCAGACGTCCGAGGTTCCCTCTTCCTCCTCCGCCGCCGCCGAGGTGAGCGCGACCGTCTCGGCCGGCGCCGTTGCTGCCGACGCCGCCGCATCGGGCGCGACGACGTCCAACACGGCCAACGACGCCAACGGCGCGTCGGCCGTCGGCGTTGCCGGCTCGCTCGTGGCCCTCGTCGGCGCCGCATCTGCCTTCCTCGCCTAGACGCCCCTCCCCCTACCTTGTCCAGTTCCCCTCTCTTCCACCAGTCGCTCCTTCTCCCTACCCGTGCATGCAAGGACACTCCCCGCCGTTTTCGTGATCTAGATTTCCTCCCTCTCTCTCTCTCTCTTTCGGTCTTCCCGCAACACTCGTTTTCTGCCCAGCACACGCGCAAGCTATACCTTATGCCTTCCCTGCCCTCCTCTAGCGTTCCCCCCCTGCACACACACTTTGGCCGTCTCGCGCTTTCGGGTGGCTCGAGAGCGAGAGAAAGCTGCGGTCGATGTCGGGCGAGATCTGATCGGTCTGTCCGTGCGGCGTGCGTACATACGAGCTTGTGCTGCGGGCGTCGTCAGATCGGCCGCTGCCGCCCGAGACGCCGGAGCGGACCTCGGACTGCGCAGAGGTACGAACGACGCCGCTGGCCCCGCCCCACTCGCCTCGCGATGGCTTCGCAGCTCGCTTGCGCCCTTGCTGGCACTCTCGCTATCTTGCGGCATCCACACACGTCGACCCTGTGCGGCGCACGGCACCAGTAGCGAGGTGCGTCTCCTCTCCCACCCCTCCTCCTCGAACCCGGGTGATGAGGCGCGTCTGCCTCGTGGGGGCCAAGCAGGCTGCCCCGACGGTGCAGCTAGCTGCTTTAGAGCGGCTGCTGACCACCCTATTGAACCCGCGACAGCCCTCAACACGTGCAAGATGCCGACCGCCTCGACCTCCTCGTCGCGTCGCCATGACGAGGTGCCGCTCCTGCCCCTGTCCTCCTACGAGCGAGGCGCAACCGACCGCAAGGGCTCTCCGACATCCAGCCTGCCGCCCTGTACGCCTCCCCCGCCTAGCGGCCGCCAGAACTCGTCGTCTCGCCTTCCACCTCGCCGCGGCATCATCTGGTCCACGCTCGCCCTCGTCTCGCTGTTCATCTACGGCATCCACGTCGCGTCGTCCGAGGGCAAGGGCGCTTCATCTTCGAGCCGATGGACGGCATCGTCTTTTCGCGGCGCAGTCGTCCCAGCGCCGGCCGACCTCGACGCACGGTTCGAGCGGGCTCGTCATCCGCTGTCGAGTGATGCGACAACGCGCGAGCGCCTCGCGGCGTGGGAGCGGGACGCGCCGGGCTGGGGAGTCGAGGGCGCAGACTGGGTCCGCAAGAGCGACGAGGTGCGTCGGCTTCTCCCCCTTTTCCCCTCTCTGCCTTCCAGGTTGCAGCGGCGTTCTTCCTCCAGAGGACTATCCTCACCTTCTTCTCCGTGTGCGCAGTTCTGCCCGCTGTACCGCATCCGGCCCGTCCAGAACTTCAACCAGTTTAACGACGCGCACGTCGCCTGGCATTCGCTCAACACGTCGCACGTCATGGGCCTGAGGCGCGAGATGATCGGCTATCTGCGAGCGAGAGAGAAGGAGGGTGCGCTGAGCGAGGCGGCATGGGGAACGGGTAAGGTGCGTCCGATTCTCCCTTTCGTCATCTCCCTGCGGCCTCGAGCCGACTAGTAAGGCCCACAGGGTCTCGTCTTTACCGCCGGCAACGCCGACACCTTCTCGCGCGTCCTCATCACGCTCAAGATGCTCCGCAACCACCTGTACACGACGTTGCCGTCCGAGGTCTTTTCGTTCCCGGGCGAGGAGCCGAGCGAGGAGATCCGCCGCGAGCTCGAGGCGCACGGTGCGCAGCTGCGTGTTGTCGAGGACGCGACGAGGGACCCGAGTCGCAAGTGCGTCCAACGCTCCCTCGAGCTTTCCCCAGCTCTCCCTCTCTCGCGCCGACACTGACTGGTCGTTTCCCTTCCCGACTCGCAGGAAGAACTTCCACATCAAGGTGCGTCCCTTTGCTCGACGAGCGAGCTCCTCGAGTCGAAGCCGTACCTGACTCCTCGCCTGCAGGCTCCCGCCATCATCCGCTCGCGGTTCCGCGAGGTCCTCTTCCTCGACAGCGACAACATCCCGACCGCGTCGCTCATGCCGGTCGACTCGCCTGTACCTCGAGCTATTCTCGACGCCGCCGAGGACGAGCGCGACCCGTGGATGCGCTCGGCCGCCGACGGTCGGCGAGAGGAGGTTTGGGGCAAGCCTGCGGGCCTGTGGGAGTCGTGCGTCCCCTTTCTCTTCGTCTTCTGCCTTGCCAAGGCGTTCACTGACTCGACATGAGCCTGCAGGAAAGCCTACGAGCGGCACGGCGCCATGTTCTGGCCCGACTATGTGCGCTCGCGCCTCTTCCTTTACGCCCCTGCCGTCCTCGCTCACCTGCCCACCCTCGTACGCAGTGGCGCACACAAGCCGACAACGCCATCTGGTCCATCATCGGCGTACCCTGTCGCGACGAGTGGGAGCAGGAGGCCGGCCAAATCCTCGTCGACAAGAGCCGCAACCTCGATGCGCTCCTCCTCGCCGAGTGGATGATGGACTCGAGCCGGTTCAAGTTCTGGTTCAAGTGCGTCCTCGACGCTCCCTCTTGATCATCTCGTCGTCACGAGTAGCCGGTACTGACTCTCTGGAACCTGCAGCCTGTCGGACGTGAGCAGCAGCCGTCGTCCCTCGAGCTCGAAAAGGGCATGTCGGGAGAGCTCACCTTCTCGCCCGTTCCCTTCCCTCTCTTCCTCCTCGTTCTACATACAAAGGGCGACAAAGACCTATTCCGATTCGCGTGGTTAGCGCTACGCCGGCGTTGGGGCGTTCCCGGGCGATATGTCTCGGTCGGCGCTCTTCCTCGAAACAGTGCGTGCGCCTCTCTCTTGCCTTCCTCGAGTACCACTCGGCCTTTCGCCTGACCCTTTCTCGCCTGCCTACAGCTGCGAGCGGCTTCTGTGTGCGTCCACGTTCTCTCGACTGCCGCCAAATCGGCCTTCCCAAGTCACTCGTCGCGCTCACCTCGACTCTTCTTGCGCAGGGTCACACCATGCTCCAGAACGACCACCTCGGCAAGCCCATGTTCGTGCACGCCAACCTCCTCAAGCAGATACCGTCCGGCGTCGGCCCCGGTCCGTCCCTCTTTCTTCCTCGATGCCGGCAGGCGTGACCTAGACTGACTCTGCCTCGGCCGGCGTGCAGGTAACGCTTGGGGTCGTCATCGTCAAGTGCGCACGCAGCCCAACTCGCTCCCCCTCGGCTCGGGCGCGGCGACGTTCGGCTCGTCGCGCGCGCTCGAGACGATCGAGCCGCTCGTCGACGAGGGCGTCGACTGCGACATGCTCGCCGACGTGCGGGACAACGGCACGTCGCTCGGCGGTACGGCGTCGCCGAGGGTGCGCAGAAGGGCGGTCATGGAGAAGGGAATTCGTGCGGTGCGTCCTCGTTTCTCCCTCCCTCGCCGTCGAGCAAGCTCCCTCGCCGTCGAGCAAGGCCGAACTGACCGCCTCTCCTCGCGCAGGGCTTTCATGGCGGGTGGAACATCGCTGTGCGTCTTTTGTTTCCCTCTCTCGAGTCTCGTTCGCGTGCTCGACGAGCCCACATTGACTCACGCTCCTCCTCGTCTGCAGCTCTGCATCGACACGCGGTGGGACGACCCTCGCTCGGACGACGATCGCGCCGCGCCGCCGGCCTCGGACGGCTTCGAGGTCCGCTTCGACGGCGGCGAGGCTCTCGAGATTGTCCAGTGGAGCGACGAGCCTCGGCTGCGAGGCTTCGAGGCGGCCTTCTTTGCCGAGGGCGGCAAGTTGAACGCGCAGGGTTTTTAGCGGCACCTTCTCCCCGACTTCATGTCGTTCTTTGCAGTAAAGCATCGCAATGTAGAGCTATCTCTCGGCCTTTCTCGACGCTGGCGCCCCACTCGCTCGAAAGCAACCGTCTGAGAAGGTCGAGAACTGCTCGCTCGGCAGCGCTCGAGCCTCTTTGCGTCGACTGCTCCGGTCACACACACTCTTGCTTAGTACTGCGGCACGCTTCGTTTCTGTGGTTGCCCGCCCTGCTCCCTCACTCGGCTCTGCGCCGAGGAGGAAGTCGAGGAGGACGGACTCGATTTCTCGCTGTGCAACCTCGCTCTTTCTCGACGGTTCAAGGCTCAATCGACCGAACGAGACGAGTACTCGACGATGGGCCCGATCCTGCAGACCGTTCCAGGTAGTGCCCGCTCGACTCTGCGCTCAGGAGGAGGTCGAGGAGGACGGACTCGATTTCTCGCGCTCAGACCTCGCTTTTTCCTAGGCACTCATGGCTCGATCGACCTATCGAGACAGGTACTCGACGATGGGCCCGAATCTGGAGACAGTTACCGGTACCGCTCGCACGACTCTGCGCTCGGGAGCAGGTCGAGGAGGACGGACTCGATTTCTCGCTGTGCAACCTCGCTCTTCCTCGACGGTTCAAGGCTCGATCGACCGAGCGAGACGAGTACTCGACGATGGGCTCGCTTCCGCAGACGTGGTTCGGGAACGCCAGCTCGACTTTGCGTCGAAGAGGGAGGTCAAGGAGGCGGCGGTCGCGTGTGCGCTCGCGACACTCGAGTGCTTGAACCAGTACCGCATTCTGCGCACTGTATGACGACGATCGAGCCACAAGTCGAGCCGAGAGAGCAGGACGAGGCGGCCCTGGAGAGAGGGTCCGAGCGAGCCTTCTCAAGTGGACAGCTGCCGAGGGAAACTCTCTCCTCCTGCTACCGGTTTGCCCCGGGTGCTCAGCAGACCTGTCGAGCAGCACTCTGAGCTCGATCCGAGCAGCTTGGGCGAGCGAAAAGGAGCGGGAAAGTGCGCGAGGACGAGTGCAGGCAAAACGCGAAGCGCAGCAAAAGAAGAGGGTTGGCGCGCGGCGCGGCCGGGGTGCAACTGGTAATCCGAGTTGCATGCCGGGGGCGTGGCGACGCTCAAGCGTCATTCTTTACAGCCCGGTATCGTGCCCCAACGTCTCGAGGTAATCCCGCAGCTGATGTTGGGAGGAGAGCGAATGAACCCAGGGGGTTCGACAAAGGAAAGTGCTACTTTGCAAACGCACGCAACACGCATCGGGTTCACCTCCCGATGGTTCTCCCTCTCGCGCCTCGACACGCTTGGACTTGGGAAGGTCGCCATCGTCTCGAGCATTTTCTGTTGCACATCTGGGTACCCTACATGCCCCCCCTTGCGCGAGATGGCGAGCGAGGAGCGAGGAAAAACGTCGGACGAGGAGGGCGCGCGCGCCGGCTCGGGTCGCCACTTCCCCACTTTCTCGCTGCTCTGCCCTCTCCTCCTGCCGCCACAGAGCTCAGGTTAGACTGTGAAGCAGCTCTGGGAGAGTTTTTCGCCAGTAGCGAAGCCTTGCGAGCAGAGAGCGAGCGAACAGAGGGCCGACTCGAGCTCGAAAGGAGGAGAGGCGAGCTGCTTGCTCGAGCTGTGCTCCCGAGTCTGCTCCTGCACCTTCGAGACTCACCCAAGGGCTCAGCAGAGTGTAGCTCGAGAGGTCCGGCGACCGTGCGCTGGCCTTTGCGAGCGGTGCGAGCGTCGAGTCGAGGGTCAAAGCGCCGCAGCTCGACTGCACTCGGCGGACGTTGATCGTGCGCTTCGAGCGGCTCTCGACCGATGCAGAGAGGCACAGAGAGAGAACAGATCGCGTCTGTGATGGCAAGCAATGACGAGAACCTGGAAGGAGAGCTACACGGGCAGAAAACTAGACACAAGAACGACCGAGACCTCCTCCTCGCGTTCTCTAACGCCGCGCTATGTACACCTCCACTCGCCGTCTCTATCCCTCGCCATGCTCGCGAGCTCCACCGCCGTCCCGAGCTCGTCGAGCGCCGTCTAGTCCCTGTACGGCTCGGACGCCGGCGCGCTCCAGCTCCCTCGGCGCTCCCTGCCCCTCCCACGCGTGCGTCCACCCTTGGCGACGTCCTCCTGCTCGTCGTCATCCTCGGGCTCGAACCCGCGCTGCGGGACGAGCGACGACTTGGTCTTGCGCCCGCCGACGACGGCGGCGCGTCCTGGTGCCGGCGCGGCCGCCGAGCCGACCGCGGCCTCGTCGACGGCGGCACGCTCGCCGTCGGTCGACGTGCGGGCACCGGGCGCGGCAACGTGCACGCGCCGGAGCCGGACGCTGCTCAATGCGGCAAAGCTCGCGACCGAGAGGGCGAAGGCGAGGGCAAAGATGCCCTCGTCGAACCGGCCGACGGTTCGGCTAAAGACGGCCGTGAACAGGACGGGGCTCACGACCTGGGCCGCGAGGGCCTGGACGACGCTGAGCGACGCAAAGAGGCGGCCGGCATCGCGCGGGGTCGAGTGGGCCAACGCGAGCGACTGGATGGCCGGCGACGCGCCCGAGCCGAGCGACTGGACGAGGACGGCGACGAGGAAGACGGCCGTGTGGGCCGACGAGGCGCGAGGGGCGCCGACGAGGGGCGCGACGAGGAACAGGAGGAACCCGAGCGCGTCGATGCCGAGCGACAGGCGCGCGAGGACGAGGTCAAAGTGCGAGTCGGCGACGATCTTGAGCCAGCGCGCCTCGGCGTCCCACTGCTTCTCGGCGGCGACCGTGTCGACGTCGGCGTCCGAGGACGAGGTCGGGCGAGGGCGAGACGGGGAAGGGATGGGCCGCCGGCGCAGGAGCTTGATGCCGAGCGGGAGGACGACGAGGAGCGTCAAGAGGCGCATGAAGCCCATGTAGGACAAGAAGTAGCCCGTCGTGGTCGGAGCCCACCCAAACTCGGTGCGGGCGTACACTGTTTCGGCGTGCAAGAGCGAAAGTCAGGTTCCGTTCTCTTCCGCTGCGACGACCTCGAGAGGGAGAGCGGGACGCACAGAGCTTGACCGTCATGACGCCCATGATGCCCATGTTGAGGGCGTACGCCGTCGCGATCTTGGTCAGGGCCCAGTCGCGGCGACCCGACGACGCCGCCGCCGAGGGGGCCGACTCGCCGGCCTTGCCGCGCCACACGTCCTTGGGGTGCCAGTACTCGTCGAGACTCGCGCCCCACTCGATGTTGGTGCGCAGCTCCTTGTCGGCCTCGTCGGTGACGGTGCGCGGGAGGAGGAGCGCCATGGGCTTGAGGAACGCGAACGGCTTGGCGGCCTGGCGGCGGGCCGAGCGCAAGGTGCGGCGCACGAGCGACGAGCCGTGGTGGCGGCCGGCGTGCGCGTCGTCGGCGTCGCGCTGCTTGTCGGCGTCGCGCTGGGCGACCTTGTCGAGGCGGTGGCGCTCGCGGGCGGCGAGCTGGCGCTCGTGCGACAGCGACTCGGGGAGGACCAAGGCGAGGCCGGCGACAAAGGCGCAGTGGAGGCCGAGGGCGACGTAGAAAGGGGCGAGGACCCAGCCGCCGGTCCAGGTGATGAGGGCGCTGCCGAACAGGGGCCCGCACGCGAAGCCGCCCATGAGGCACCCGCCGAGGAGCGAGAAGATGCGCGCGCGCGAGCCGGCCGACGTGCTGTCGCTGA